CACAATAGTCATTAGTCCAACAACCTTTCTAATTCAGAGCATAAATTTGGTGATTTATATCTTCCACTACCTATGAAAAGCATAAATATGTATAATTTATGAATAACAGTCCCAATTTCTGACAATCGAGTCTTGATATATAATATGTACTTATGTTTATTGTTAAATTCACACAAACTCCAAGCATTGGGGTTAAAGCATGTTTCCCTGCTGAAATGATTCTTTTCCTTCCTCTTTCTGTGGGGTGCTGGTAACAATCTGACCTGGAGTTTGTTATTGTATATCACTAGTAACACGCATATAAATTGCAACTTGATAGCATATTTGATATAGAATGAAAATAAAAATGTATTATTGTTTAATTAATATCAATAGTGGAAATATTTAAATCTCAAGGCAACTAAGCACTCGCCTCTAACACTCAATTCTTGATTCTTCGATACCAAACGTATACCTTTCCTCCTCCGAGCTTGACGATACTTTTGTAAGGAAATTAAGACGAATTTAAATAGTGTTAAATACTGCGCGACTGCATAGTAACACAGAGGAGTATACTCATACACTGTTTACGAAACGAGATTTGTCAAAATAGTCGTAAAATAAAAAAATTCAGTATAAAGCTACCTTCAAATGATGGTTTTTGAAACGATCGTTCCAAATCATCCATAATTTTGATCGCAGGTTCAATTCTTCTTCAAAATATATCTACATATTGTAGCCTTCACGCATTTATCACTTTTTGCAAAAGTGGGAGCCGGAAATCTGCATATTCTGCCAGGCGCTTCGTTCTCCCGTCGCGTCCTCCCCAAGCACCCCTGCGCGCTCGCACATTTTAGCCACAGATCTCTATATTACGCTGAATGCAGCTTTATGTTTTCCAATAAAGCGCCTGGGTACGAGGCTGCCTGCACCGTATGACTATTTACGCTGACCAGCCCAATACTGAAGAGGTGTGTTGAACTGAATATCATTCGTATAAGGTCGTGATCAGAGATGTTCTGCTATAGCTAAACTAGCTTTATAAACACATGATCTTCGCACACCTACATGCATACTGTCTCAGTTCAAAACGCTTTCCATTCGCAAAGCTGTCACTCTCTGGAACAACGCAAATTAAACTTAGATTTTAAGACCTAGATCTATTCCTATAGCATATACTGTATTACTAAAAAAATGTGTCCCCGTACAGTTTCCAAGTAACGTGTTAATTAATTTGTGTTTCGTTAAAGTGCTTATATCACTTGTGGGATCTTTATGCATTTGAAAAGAGCGTAAAAAGTTAGTTAATATATTAAAAAACATTTTTTGATTTAGTGCAATAATTTCGAAGATACAAGCCTAAACTACCTGCGGTTCCTGAGTCCCAACCTCCTGGGTTTAAACACGGCTATTCAATTTAAAACTGTCCATTGTTTACAGGAGCCTGGGACTCAGGAACTGCACGTAGTTTAAAGGCTAGTATCTTCCAAGATATTGCACTAAATCAAAAAACATTCTTAATATATTAACTAACTTTTTTAATATAACATTATATGTAACGGTCGAATTTCACACGCTATATAGAGAATTTTTCCAGGCAATTTTTGAACAAAAAGGGAGGGGGGGGGACTTGGTCTCTGACCCAATCCTTGGTGAACATAATTAATATTTTGTCACTGAAATTTCAGCCAAATATCGTTATTGTGTAATATGTGTGTCTTTTCATTATGTAGATTTTCTGATAAACGTTCATGCATAAGATGTCTGTCGTTCAAATTTGGATTTACGCGTGTCTCTGCCTCGTTTCTCATCAATGCGCGGGTGAGTTTGTGGTCGAGTTAGAGAGTATGCATCCTCGTATTCATCATCAACAATTTATAGCTCTTACAATTTAGACCGCCGTTTCACGAGGATTTATAGAAATTCCCTAACTGCAATCTGGCTGCTAATTCTCCTTCCGCGTTGGTTTTTTGATATGTTTCTACCAAGCGATGATTAACTGTCATCTTTATATCAAATTGAACTGATTATCCGGCCTTTCTGTTTCTATAAGAATTCTATTGGTCTGAATGAGTGGCCTTGGCTCCCCCAACACAGATATGCAGATTCCAAAACTTAAATTTCATCAACGATTTTTTAGATTAAATACTTAAACTTAAAACAAAATTTGAATTTCATAAACGAGTCACTACTCCCCGTACCCATGACACACAATTCAATTATAGTAGCCCAGTGCGTAAAGTAATCAAACAATACCTATTTCTTAAAGGGCTGATTATTTCACCGCCGAGTGGAACAGTCAAAACATTTGCGCCTGGAACAACTCAGAGACTAGAATGGTCATTCACGGATGATATAGACCACACCTTGCTATCTTGGTATTTCCGGAGTGGTAGTGGAGTGAGGATGTTGTTGGCTAGAATCATCCACAATGGAGTCCCTCATTTATTAAGTAGCATTCTTGATATCGAAATAGTGAAACCAGCAACATTGGTCTTAAAAAACATTAATGCCAGTTATAATGGAACATATGAATTTCAGCTAGACGGCATATGGGGCTCAGAAATCAATCAAATCATAGTTCATATTGCAGGTATGTTAACCCGCAAAACAAATCATTACAAATACCAGGTCTTTCGCAAAACAGGTAAAAACTTTGGGATGTGCAGAAAAAATTAACAACGAAGTATTTTATAAAAATATTTCTTGCATTGAAGATGGATGAACTGTTGGTGAATCTGAAACTGGAATGGAACAGGGGCAGCTGCCCTTCTTCCATGTCCACTGGGCAATGTCCTTTCAGTTATTTCATTACAATTTTTAATAAAATTGCTCCAAGAAAACTCCCAGACAGGTGACCATCTAACGAAAAAAAAGACACAAATCGCTGACGTTTTGTGAGCACTATTAGTATATGTGCCAAATGCCAATGATGAATGTGCTTTCACAAAAATCTGCCCCCTTGCCTTAGTATCGTTTCGCGTCTCTAAACATGGTACATCCCGAATATAATTCTTTTTTTAAAGTTCTAAATTTTGCTGGTTGGGTGTCGCGAAGTTTGACATTGTATTGAAATGTTGCATACCAACTGCCTAAACTGATAGACAAAAACACTTTCTGACGTTTCTTCGTAGGCATAGGCGCATGGGCGCAACTTCGTTTGGGGGGCAAAAAAATCGCCCGAATTTTTTACTGAATTATACAATGTGCTCGAATTTTAACTTTTACCAGATTTGTAACAATAAACTTGGCAAAGTGCCGGATGTGCTTTCAAGAAAGTGTAACAAAAATGGCCAAATAGAATACACATAAGTGATGAAACAAATGGTTTTAAAAATTTTAGCTATGTAACCGGCTCTTTTTCAGTTTGCCCGAATTTTCGGCTCAGCTTTGCCCGAATTTCTTAACTCTCGAAATTTTGGGGGGCAAGTGCTCCCCCGTCCCCCTGCCCCGTACGCCTATGTTCATAGGGAATTCCTTCAGGAGAGTTAATACTAGCTCTCTGAGACTCATAGACTAGTCATAGTCATTCTAATTCTTTTGACCAAGGCTCTGAAGTCGAAACGTCGAAAAGTGTTTTATTAATCATTCTGTTTCAGCCTTTTGTTATTATGTAACATTTGATGCCAAGTTATTAGAAGACGCTGCCAGGCTGCTTCTTAGGTTATATTGGGATATTGCTACACTTCTAAAGAGGTGTTAAAATATATTTTGACACGACGAACGATGTGTATAATATGCAGTAACACCAAATGATTTCCGGTAATATTGTTTATTGTGTGGGGAAATTTATATTCATCATTCGTCTATTGTCCCTCGCAATCCCCTATTACCACTGCAAAGTGGGCCGTCAGTGTTTGTCGTTTCTCATGAAATTAATTGACTATTGTGATGACAATAATGGAATATTCTGATCTTACATGCACCGATTCATAGTTGGGGCAACTTCGATATTTCAGCGATTCCCTGATTTCAGACACTCAAGTAATATGGCAAATTAAACAATTTCGTATTTGTTTTGAAGCCAGTTATGTATATAATTGTTTTGTCAACTGTCAACTTATTAATGAGTGTACAAAAGCCAAAACAATTGCGCCGGTCAAGCTCCAAAATCCATACGCGCCGAAATATACGGACAGGTCATTGCACAGCGAATAGGAGCAATTTAATTTTAAAATACAGAATAGAGCCGTAGACGCAACCCTCCATTGCCCGCAAGCCCTAAGGTTTTGCATATTATATATTCTTCGAGCACAGTCGATTCAATGTTTTTTCGGGTTATAAATACAATGCTGAACAATTTAATTCAACAATGTTAGCTTAATTCTATATTTGGATGAATAAAATCCAACTCGTTTTCCTCTCAAGGCAATAATTTTCATGTGAAGCAAGAATTTTTTCCATGGGAACATTTATTCCGTCTAAGGAATTGCCTCTGAGGCCATTCATTGACTGTCTTGTACGAGCCCTTTATTAACGTATCAATACATAACAGATTGGCCTGCCAGTCTAATGTGAAATATGAACTGAGGTCAATTTTTCAGACGCTTGTGTCAAAATTTAGTATCCGCCATAAATTTACTCTGATCTCGTGCTGAGGCAGTTTTGAACCAAGGCAATGTCCCATCTTTCCCTGTAAGATGGATAAAGCCGCGTGATAAAAGCGCGCAAGCGAAAAATGCACAAGCCGAAATCCGAACCCTACAATGCCAGTTGTGTTCTGTCTGCGGGCACCCTACTGCGTAATGATTAATATGTAACTTTGTCAGGCAATAGAATTATACTTTCAAAACCTGTAGTGTTTGCTCAAGATCGGTGAAAACCATGAAACGATTGACGTTTTACCCTAGGCGAGAGGCTAAATGCGAAAATCGCGCCGCTATAAGCTAGTTTGTTTGTTGTCGTGCGCGGGGCATTGATCACCGCGCTTCCTTTTGCACGCATATTGAGGCACACTGTCGTTCAAGGATCCAATTACAGAACAATCGTCTATTTTGTATGAAACCCGAGAGGAATGCCTCCCCTTGCATGTGGGTATTATTCGGTATAGTTGGCTGTGCTGCGTGGATACCACAACTGCACGAACCGACCTAGTCTCATTTGTCTCCAGCGAAGCTGTGAAAAGACTCTGTGGTTAACCCTGGTTTTTTCTATAAACCGGTTAATAAGATGGAGTTAAAATATCTAGCGATTCTTTTGGTTCTTGCTGTGGTTGTGTATCGAGCCGAATCTCAGGGTAAGCGAACGCCTTACATTCCTCCATTTTTTCGGCCGCAGAAACCATGATTTTGTGTAGATTCAATAATATCACATCGTGAGTCGTACGACTTTTGTTTCTGCGCGAGTTGCGCGCTTATCTAATTAGAATAGTTTGCGAATAAAAACTGGAATAAGCTAACATTATTTTCGCGGTTATGTTATTCTCACTGGCTGTAAATATTGATATCAATGCGTTCACGTAATATCAATATTTGCACTAGACCTCTTTAAATTGTTGACTAGGGGACACAAATGCATGTACAGTTGAAGGCGTCTCATAGCAAGACACTCGCTTTGTGCAAGGGAAACAAACGCCTGAAACAAGGAGTACATAGTCTCATTTGTGTGTTTCATATTGAAACTGACCAGGGAGATTTAGAATTTTCTTTTTGAAACAATAAGTGGTCTAAGGTTATATTAGTGTCGATATTCACAAAGGAGTTTATTCATTTAGCGCGCACACATCGTTATTATGCGCGTTACTATTTTTTATCACAGCATTGGTTGAATATTGAACGTATATAACAGACTTGACATTGTGCAAGTGCCATTGTCCGAATCTCCGAAAATGTCGGGGTACGGTCGAGACATTCTTTTGGTCGGCACTCAATCGTTTCTTCGCGTTGATTATCGTGAAGGGATTTGCTGGAAACGGTGGAAATATTGCGCGATTTTAGCACAAAGTTGTGAAAATATTTATGCGCCTATTTTGCCGCGACAACAAAGACCGCAGTGTTTTTGACCCCAGAAGGAATTGCTATTCAACGCGGCTCGCATTACAACTTTCCGTCGCGTTCCCTTGTGTTTAGGCTCTTTGCGCAAATGCAACAAGCCTACGAATTGCCCGTTTCGCAGCATTTTTTCACGGCTTCGTCAGAAATATTATTTTTCGTCAAAAGCTAGCGTGACTTGTGTGAGCGAATATTGACGATTTAGGTGCTGACGTGACATAGCTCAAATACAATAGATTATTGTACTCATGACAGGGTAACATAGAAATATTACACAGTTTTTTGTGCTACTAGAGGCAATAGTTGAGGAAAATGCTCGAATTTAATGTAATATATCAATTCTAAAATCTGCTACGAATTGCTATACTACAATGCGTGCTAAACGCGAATATTTGTGATATATTTATAAATGTTGTCTGCATGATCTGTTCCCCCCCCCCGTGTTTACTGTGGAAGTTGATGATTCTATATACATTCAATGTTCGTGTTGGGAGGGTTTAAGACTTTAAGTGTAAATTTGAATGTCGGGTGGGCAGCGAATTTATTTAGAAAATTACCGGCCGTTTGTTTAGACTTTGAGCAGACTTTTATTTTTACATATAGCTAAGTAAGGACAAATATGAGAACTATAGTATTTCAGACAAGGTTTTAATAAAATTGCCAGGGAAAAAGTTTTGTGGTTCGTTTTAGCCTGTGTGCAATCAATTGTATTTCAGGACATGATTTTCAGATAAAAAAATTAATAGTGTTTGAACGCCTCATTCATTATGCATCATTTATTGATCCAAATAAATGCTTTTTCTTTTCCTTTGACCTTGCCACTACCTGATCTTTTATCACAGTTTTCTTGTTCAGTTCATGTATATTAAAACACAAAACCTTTTCACATTCTCTTTGTAAGCCTGATTCAAACAGCAACGATTCAAGATGGCCGTCTAAAACTGAGGATAAACCCTTACTTGAAATATCATTCCTATGACAAATAAGTGAACAAAAATAGTACATACAATAAACTGTTGTATTCCCCAGTTTCGATCTGGGATTAAACGTAACTATACATAAATGCGGTTTCGATTTTCTCATGGGATTGAATTTTTACCATTTGTGAGATAAAAGCGGAAAAACTGTTGGTTAGAAAACCATAAACCCATATTGCAGCTTATATATTTGCGCATGGAACTTTACTATCACTGTTAAATCTGTTTGCTTGACACCATATTTATATATAATAGGTTTTTCAGTGATGCATTAATTTTGGTTTGGAGAAGTTTATATCGATTTTCAAAACCATGCATGGTTAATAATATATGCTTCGATTTTAACGCGTCTACCATATACATGCAGTCATGAAAATCATAAAGAGTCTTGCCATACACGCACTACTGCTAGCATGTGCACGGTTGTCAGAACAAAACAAGGAAACATTTAGACAACAATTAGTTCTTTTTGGCCCGTTGTCAGTAATTTTGAATGGGCAAACATTTTGTCGAAAATCTTTGCATGGGCGCTGCGCATCGAGTCATATCTTATAATCCTTTTAAACGCAAAACTCAGTTCTATTTAAAACAACAACAGGGTTATACACCTTTATTATACATCAACAGAGATTCATTCAAAATTCATTTTATTCAGATATTAAGTTATGTATGTATATATCAAGAAATGATCGCAAAAATCAGGCATTTAAATGTTTTTTTTATCTGTTCTTGATTTTCTGTTGATATATAAGATTAGAAAAAAGTGTTAGAATTCAGTGTTTCAATGTCTACTAAATTTGTGCTGCTGATATTAGTGAGTTTAAGATACACCAAATCTACGCGGACGTGAAGTAATACCGTTCTAATTTCCCCAGTTTCTCAACAGAGATGGAAAGTATATAGACTCTTTTTGCATGATAAACAAAGCCAGAGCCGTATGTAAAACAAATTAATACTATATAGCTTCCTAAAACTATAGTAGCAGATTTCATGTCACGTCCGCGTCGTAGAAATGGTGCATGATGTGCATCTTGAGCTCGTTTTCGTATCATTTTGGTAAAACCTATATGCCTATCTTAATGAACTTTTGAGTTCTTTGAAAATTCCTGTTTTACTGAATTACGTAATAATTTTGGACATGCATTTCGATAGATTATAGACGCGATTGAGTTTTACACGCGGCAAAGTATGTAACTATATATGTTTTGCATTTGATGAGCTTTAAAATCTAACCTCTATTTTCTATCTTTCTTTGTTTTAGGTTCAGGCTTTGTAAGTATACATCCATATTTATGTTGTTTTTCAAAATATTGTTAAATGAGGTTCTCAACACTCAAAATAAATTCCATATTTCCGCGCATCATTTATTATTCTCTATTTAATATATATGTAAGATTTATAATATTATATTATTATTATTATATAAATATAGTATATTATATATAAGATCTTAAGTTACTGATGCTTATTTCTTAATGTTTGCAGGTAATAAAAGGCGACAAAGGTGATCAGGGAGATAGGGTGAGTATACTTGAAACGCATACGGTAAAATTGATTATATTGGTTATATAGACTATTAGACTTATAGTGTGTGGTCTATAGGCACCATGAAAAGTAATTCGATGCCTGGGGCAGGCGATCTAGCCCTAGGAAAACTTTTTTTTGAGTTGAAACAAGTACTAAAGCTTTTAAAAGGGGATTTGTTATACATATATCATGCATGTCGCCCAGAGTGGAATTTTTTCGTTCAGAACTTCGCTGGTTTTATAAAAGTGATTCTTGAAATTGATTTATTTCAGGGTAATCCAGGTCCAGACGGAGGTCGTGGCCAACCAGGTCAAAATGGCCCACCAGGTTTTGATGTAAGTTGTGCCTAGACATCTAACACGTTACGCACATTACTTTCTTCTGAGATGCAACGACAATTAATATCATGCGGCCATTTTCCTTCAGGGATTACAATCTGTTATTTTCAATAGTCTCGGTAGTTGGCATAAATTTTATTCTCCTGTCCCTCGTATGTACATCGAATAGCCACTGATTGAAACCGATAATTATATATGATTCTATTGAATTTCTTTAGGGACCCCAAGGAAACCCTGGACCAAAAGGCCCTTCAGGCCCACCTGGTCCACCCGGCTCAGGCACAATTGGAACTGGGGTGAGTGTAGAAATACTCGCACAAACCATTGTCAACATAGGTCATTTCATGTTGGTTTCATGAAATACCAAAAATTCAATGATATTAAAATTTAGTATTCTTTCAATATTTTTCGAAAATTTAAATTGAGTTTAGGGAGTTTGTAATCACCGAAGTTCCCATTTTGTTGTACAACTGTCTGGAACAAGTCATTTTCACATTTTGCTATGGTGTTTGTAAGACCATTTAAAAATGAAAATGATACAGCTCTATGGTTTTACCTGCAAAATATATTCTATCAGGGAGCTCCTTTTGTCAACGAGAGTTTGGACTGGTAAACCCTGCGAACAATTCTGGCTCAATATTAAATTTATTTTTCCCTTTTTATCCAGAATATTATTCACAGACCAGGACCACCAGTAAGTGCAATGGATATACTAGATATTATAAGTCAAGATGTAACTATCAATGCAAAAGACTAAAATACTGTACACTGTATTTTTATTATTGAGGTCTAACATATATTATTCTCTTTATTTCTAAAGGGTCCACCAGGTCCCGATGGTGCAGATGGTCCAAGAGGCCGAGCCGTAAGTATACATTTTCAATTGCTAAAAGCTTTTTAGATACCTCTCTAAAACAATGTACTTAAATCTTGAATTGATCATAGCGGAGCAATTTAACATGGCCGCCATAAGATGCATTATTAATAGCAGGTGGTTAGCTGGTGTCATTTTATAAATCGGCAGTCGCAGTTCGTTTCACGAACCTCTTCACACACACTCTTTGCCAGGCATTTAGTTGGGCAGTGCTCCCTTTACAGAAGCACAGAGTATGTTGCACATGTACGTAGCGTCTTGCGTACTCCGACTATCCATTTCGCGTTTGCGTGTCAGCCATGCGTGCTATTCAACATAGTTTTGTAGACGGTGCTACAGAGGCTCGAAACACACGCGCAGAAGCGGCTGTAACTCCAATTCCTATAACATTTGGAAATGAGGTGTTTTATTTACTATACACATAGTCACCTATTTCACACACATGCAAAATTCGAGATTTGGAACAGGGCTTTTGGCTCTTTACTTGCAACACTTATATGGAAACAATTCCATAGATCTAAATCTTTTTTATTGTTTACTCTAGGGATACAAGGGAGAAGCTGGACCACAGGGTCATGAAGGATCACGAGGTCCTCCGGTACGTACAAGCAACACTGTGCACCAGTCCGACTTAATGCTATAATTAATATGGAATTACAGAGTTCGTATGTTGTTGGATTTCGCACAAATTGGAACCTATAGCTAGAGTGTGTATACACTAAGTACGTCCTTCTCGAGACTAATACTGCAGCTACTTTTAATATATGGGAACGAACGTAACTATAATGGAACGATTCCTACGTGCCTTCATAAAATATACGATCCATATTTTTCAAAAAATGTTTGTTTCAAAATTTTAGGGAGATCCTGGTCCATCCGGAGACATTGGAGACCCTGGGGCTGCTGGAGAACAGGTGCGTGTGTAATTACACTAGCTTAAAACGTATTAACGCAAATCTTTCGATGATGTTATGAAGGAAATATCCAATTTCGAGACTACCAGGCGAATTTTTGACAGGGCTTGAGAGAAAGTGTTACCTGTATATTTTATGTAGGGCGCAAATGGTGCTAAAGGTTATCAGGGAGCTCGTGGAGAGGTTGGACAAACGGTAAGTTGCTATCAAAGTAAGCGAATGTATAGTGATCACACATCACAGTATGTAACTAGATTCTTCAAAATAGAGTGTTTATGGTAAATTGGAAATAATATAACTAGAAATAATGATAATATATGTAACTAACTGCCTGGAAATAATATAACTAGAACTTCTAGATTTCTAAAATGGGTAGGGTAGTCGTTTCATTTCTGCCAAACGAAGGGCGTTCGTTTGACATATCAACACGCGATTTTTTTACCGACCATCACGATAAAACATTGTTTGTTTTCAGCAAAACGTAATCGAAATGTCTTTTTACTGTAAACTTTTAAGCAATGCTTTTGAATGACCTAGCCACAGGCAAGCCTTCTTAAATATACGTGGAGTGGAGTACCCGAACTTATTTTCCAGGCCCAAAACGGGGAGAAGTTCTTCTTTTCCATAATTTCAATTCATGAATATTCATGTTTTATTTCGAAACTTCAATGCTTGTTTGAAGCATTTCTAGCTGTCATCTCTTTAGCCAATCTCATTTCTTTTGCTCGGGGCTGAACGGTAGATAAAATCATATGATAACAGGCAATGTGCTTATCAACCTAGTCGGTGCAAACAACCCTATAAGCATGTTGCGTACTTAGCTAGAATAGGTTGTATTAAAAAGAAAATGCATGCATTTGTTTGACAGGGTGAGCCCGGAGTCGCGGGCGAAAAGGGTATTCGTGGATTCAAAGGTGATCGTGGATGGCGTGGAGATACTGGTCCACAGGGATCCAAAGGGGAACAAGGAAGTCCGGTGAGTTTCCTTGGTCTTTACAAATCATTAATGTTTAAGAGACTGGGCTGTTTTCTTTTGTTGGGATTTCAACATTTCTCTTCTTCGGAAAACTGGAAACGTTATTTCCGCAATCCTCTCTTTCCTTGTAACCCATCGCGGCAATCCTAAAGTAGTCACGTTTTTATATTTAGGGCACTGCTGGGTCTGCTGGTTCTGATGGACGAGATGGGAACGCTGTAAGTAGCTATATCGTTTATATCGTTTCCTGCAGTTATGTATGCATGTATTGAATAGAATTGAGACAACAAGACGATAAACAAGTCAGCCTAATCCATAAAAGATATTGTGCGCAAAGATATAATGTGGCGCGCCCTTTGTTGCATTTTAGGGTCAAGATGGCGAAGCTGGACAGAAAGGAGATCAAGGATCCCCAGGAGATCGGGTAAGTGGTATTGTCAAATTAAGAATATACTAAAGTATCACAGGCCAAATGTGTATTTTTACAGTCTTATATGAAAGGACATGCAGGCTCGATTTTTGTCGCAAGAAGACATGTACGGTATGGTGAAAAACTGTCTGGTCCCAACAGTAGGTTGTTACACGCTTTCGTTTCTCTTTTAGGGCGAACCAGGTGCCCCTGGTGAAAGTGGTCCTGCCGGTTATCCTGTAAGTTTTTTACCGCTTTGTTTCAGCGATGAGAAATTCGGGAATTCTTGATATTTTCACTGATATATTTTGCTAATATATGGAATATTTGATATTTTCCTCGCGATAGGGTGAAGAAGGTCCTGTTGGTGTATCTGGCCCACCTGGTGCTGCAGGCAATCCTGGTAGCCAAGGTGATAAGGGTCCACAAGGAGACGAAGGTCCTGAGGTGAGGATCTCCTCTTATCAAGTCTTAACCAGCTTTTTTTTCTCCAGCTAACAACTCTAAGACATTATTTGCGCTATGGCACAATAAAGATGAAAAACATGATATGAAACTTGTACAACCATTAAAATGCCATTGTAAAATGCCATTTCTCTTAATGATGAGTTATTTCTTGTTCAGCGTTGTATATAGGATACAATCGTGCCACCAAACATGCCCTTATTTTCTCCATTGAAGTAAATACAAACTGCTAGATTTTTTCCTTCCTTTTCAAAACGTCAGTTTTCCTTTTTTTGTCACTTGAAACTTAGGTTTTCTCTTGCGTCAGTTACATGTTGAATAAAAAAATAAAGGAAAATTTTCTCTGTTACTCTTCTTCAGGGTGCTCGTGGAGACCCAGGCAGTGAAGGAGCCGCTGGTGAACAAGGAGATCAAGTTAGTATTAAGCGTAATTCAGTACGAAAATTGAATTAATTTCTACAAAATTTTCTAATACTATACGTGTACTGTAAGTCTCTTTCTAATACTACACGTGTACTGTAAATTTTCTCTTGCGTACGAGCACTGAGATGTCACGCAGATTTTCACTTAGTTGTTTGAAACAAAATCTTTAGAAAAATGCAGTATTTTCTAGAATATGATAATTTGATGTGATAATTATACCAATAACACCAGCTACTATCAAGCCTGGTCGAAATTTTACCTCTCGCAAATCGCAACTATTTGCTATAAATTTTAGGGCGAACCTGGTCCTGCCGGTCCTGTTGGTCCCAAAGGTTCCACCGGCGATGCTGGCGAGCAGGGTAACCAAGGATTAACCGGACCTCCTGGCCAACAAGTAAGTCTACCATAGAAGACAAAGTATTACGAAGTAACGACGCTTCATTTACACAATACTGAGTTGCTTAAAATCTAATTTCTGCTTCAGTCCTATATGCATAATTATGATGCAATCTTGCGCATCAGCGTCTAGAACACTGACCCATATACTAGATGGACTGAGCACGCCACCTATTTGATCAGGAGCCAGACAGGAATAGCTCAGAATAAAAAATAATCTTGGCTTTTGCAATTGCATCGTTGTAATCCTTTTCTTTTTGCCATTAGGGTTCCCAAGGTGAAGACGGTCAACCTGGTGAAGATGGTGAAAGGGTAAGTTTGAGACTTAGCAATTAACTTCAAAAATATTTTTGTGCCTGAACAGTGACAGATGTTATACCCTTCTATCATTGAGGGTGTGGAGAAGAGGGGGTTGACAGTGGGAACATAGGAGTGGGATTGTCTTGAGTACTTTTAAGGAGGTCCATAGTTGGATCTGACCAATCTAATAAGTAATGTTGATCAGGGGCCGATTGTGTCAATCCCATTTAGCTTAAACGGTGGTTAAGTTCAAAATAGAAAGAAAGTCTATCGTTTTATTCAAGAAGAAAACTAAATGTTTTCAACCTTAATACAACGATACTGTCTACAACTACATATTCAGTGCATAATATTCAAGTTGACTCATTTCAGAGAGATGTAATGGTGTTATTTAAATTTAACTTGTCCACTGTTTAAGCTAAACGGGCTTGGTACAACTGGCCCCAGAAATTTCGTGGTTATACTTAGACATCAGCGTTTTGCGTAATAAGAACGGAAGATAATTTATTTCCCCCATATATTCCTAGGGTGACGATGGATATCCCGGTTCACCTGGTAGACCTGGTGATAACGGAGAACCTGTAAGTGAAAATTTCTTCCACCTTTCTCAACATTTGTTGTCATCTTGTCACGTCCTGGATACCATGTTTTCAGATTTTCACTTACATTATTCATTATTCATGAAAATCGTATTCGTGAAAATCGTGGCATAACCATGGCAAGAAATAAAGTGCTCAGGCAATGCTATGCTTGCCCCATGGCGCTGACCAGATAGAAGACAGAAAGTGGAAATCCGCAGCAGGATCATCAACATGAGCAGTAATAATGTAGTCGTTAAAATTAATTTTTAGGGTGAACAAGGAGCTCCCGGTCCAGACGGAAATGAAGGTCCACAAGGAGAGCGGGTATGTTACATATATATCTCTTTACGTGAAGTATCAGACACTGCTCGCGACGTGGAGTTCATTGTTGCGGTTCTAAAGTTCAAACAGCGAAAGGCAGATGCATTTTTTACGTATACTCTACATACAGGCATATATTTTTACATATAAGGCTATGCGTACACGAGCGTCGTTTTCGAGCGTTTTCAAAAGCTTTCTTGTCTTTTTATATTTTCAACGCCCTGTCCACCGACACAGGGGAAAATATGCCTTATATGTATTATAAATTAACTTCAACTTCTATTCTAAATTGACGGTGTTTGAAACCGTTTTGGCATGAAAATGAATGTAAAAACGTTGTACCTTTTGCACATAGCTTAAATTTCAAAATTCAGGATATGCAATTAGGCACAGCGTACTTCTGAATTGAATAATTTGTGCATAATTGGCAATTAGAAGTTGTTATAAAATTGCTCGGAAAAATGAAGCTTGAACATATTCTAAAGAAAAGTGACATGTAAATGATAAACAACGCGGTGATGTTTTATTGATAGTTTGCATATTGGTAATTCGTAATTATAATTTGATAATAAAGAATTTTTGTGATGATACAGCATGCTTCTCTTTAGTCGTTGGACCCTTTTGCTACTCATTCCAAGTCCCTACTCTATGATAACGATAAAATATCGATTACAAGCTCTTATTCGTACGGCTTTCGGCATGTTTTCTACACCTTGTTGCACAGTCATTAATTCCGACCGAACGTCAAGAAAACAATGATTTAATTAATCGCGCCACGCTTTGCTACGGTACAATTAGATGTTCACTATTTTTTCATTGATGTGGAAAATTTTCTTTCCTTCAGGGTCGAACTGGAGCTCCCGGACCACCTGGCAGGATTGGCGATCCCGGTGCCAAGGTAAGAAAGGCTGGTAATATAAATTAGCCTTAAAATTATCAGCACGCGACGAAAGCCTGGCTAACCAGATTAGTTCATTGCAAGATCTAATTGTACCTACACGAAAGATGCCTGCTATTTTTCGCTGGTTGTAATGTTATATCACAATAGAGTTCTCATACAACGAACATAAATTTCAATTAAGTCAACGAGATTTTTCTTTGATGTTACAAAGGGTGCAAGCGGTGTTCGTGGTGCAGTCGGAGCAAAGGGTCCCAAAGGTCCAAGTGTGAGTATATATGAGATTAGCATTTTTAGTATTTTGCCACTACAGTTTTAAACTATGTACTGCATATTTGTTCAAAGGAGTAGTTTTGAAAGAAAAAATGACTGACCACCCTTCCATTTCAGGGTCAAAAAGGTGAACCCGGTTTACCAGGTCCAATTGGAATCCGAGGCGAACAGGTATGTTATTGAATGCTTCCATATTTTAAAAGGTAATTCCAATGCAAATGTTGGTCTGACGATCGAAAAAACTGATGAAAGTATGTTCGGTTCTATTTTCAATAGGGAGAGGCTGGTTTAGACGGTGACCCAGGTGACCCAGGAGATCGGGTATGTATAGTTAACAGTCGACTCTCAACTGATGGGTTGTAGACATGGGCGTATCAAAGTCAATTTTCTGAATTGGCGATAAACTGAGCTCTTCCTTTCCCCACACAAGGATACCTAGTGTGTTGTTGTACGTGTTTAAATTGATTCCATCTAAGACCGGTAAAAACAATTGTTTCGTTTCAATTGACAGGGTGCCCAAGGTAGAGCTGGTGAGAATGGTGAAGACGGCAAACCTGGTATTGCTGTAAGTTGCCAATATTCCGTTCCAATATATAAGTAAAAAAAGCCTGGCCCTTACTGGGCTCCCATATTAGAAATGCCATTGATCAATATCTACCGCATCTTATTGTAGGGTCCTCCTGGTGATGCTGGTTCCCGCGGAGAGAAAGGTGCCAGTGTAAGTCGAGCCATAATTTGAGACATCCATGAATAATAGGGTTAAACATACAATTAGATGGACATGAGAAAAACCCCTTGCTGAGTGTACTTCATTGTGTTTAACTATTATATACTTGCATTGTAAATTCCTCGGTCAGCGTGTATGCAGCCATACTCTTAAGATAATATACTAGTGCTTCCGTTCCTGTTTGTCAATCTTTTCATGTCCTCTTCAATTTCAACTTATTCTCAATAATCTATTGTGTTCTGCAGGGACCTCAAGGGCCTCCAGGTCGCATGGGATCAAGCGGTTTGAATGGTGCTCAGGTATTTAGCCAATCCTTTTCCGAAAGCTGATAGAACTTCCGGATGAACCTTGACAGAAAACTTGAGAAAACTATTATAGACCCCTCTTTAACATTTTGATATTTGCCGCAGGGTGATCAAGGTGAACGAGGACCCAAGGGTGCGAAAGGAAAGGCTGGAGAGAAGGTGGGATTTTACGAGCAAAATACAGTCGTTTGTTTATTTGAGCTTAGCCATAACCAATCACTATCTTGTTCCAGGGATCAATGGGCGAGCGCGGTCCTATGGGCGAGAAAGGAAGAGAGGGTAAAAACGTAAGTATTGAGTTATTTCAAATTTTGTTGCTAAGAGTACGTTGAAAAGCCCTTCGTAGCTAACGTAGGTAACGTAAAAGCATCTATAGACATGCAACAAAACATTCAAACATTCAACTTTTATGTATGATATGCTATCGGCTGTATTCGTAAAGCACACTCACATTCCATGTCACCCTTCATAGCGGTATTTTTACCCCCTCTAAAGACTGGAAACAATACATTTTCTTTCGCCATAGTACAATAACATTGTCCCTGTTTGTTATTTGACAGGGTTTGGCAGGTGCTCGTGGTGATCCAGGTGCAGTTGGTCCTGATGGTCCCGAGGTAAGCAATTTAACACGTTGGCTCATGTTGAATGTTGATGATAATTATTGGCCAAAAATTTTTCTGGTCAATTTGATCACCAAGATTTGGAAATCATTTATTTTGATAGTCATTACCGGATGCGCAGATACGCACTAACTTTCCAGCTCTGCCCTTCCTTGTAACCAATCTTGGAAATCTTATTCTGATAATTCTTAGGGTATTCAAGGCGAACAAGGAGCTGTTGGCGCAGCTGGTGCTCCTGGTCCTGCTGTAAGTATCCTAAGCCATCATTCTCGCCTATGAATTAACCGTATCGCAACTTTACAAGTCTTCCAACCACACATGGTGCATTTTATATTATTTTAAAATGGCTTACATTTTATTCCATTTTAGGGGGCTCCTGGTGAGCCAGGTAGAGAGGGTGCAACTGGAAACCCCGTATGTATTAACTTACATAAAACAAATATTTCTTGTAATCTAGGCGATTTGCAATTACCGCCATCATGTCATTCAATACATAGTTTTTGTGCGATGTAAAACGAGCAATATTTGTCTTATTCTAGGGTCTCCAAGGGCCACCTGGCCCACAGGGCGGCCGCGGTCCTGCGGTAAGTGTGTTTCATTTTTATTAACCCCACTTCACCATCACAAATAGTGTCGCCTATGCAGACGTGCGCTCCACTACGGTATTGATTATTTTGACGGGTTATATCTGGTCATTCTTCTCAAGTAACTACCGTATCTCATCATATTTTGGACAATTGTTATTTTTTAGGGTCGTGATGGTGATCCTGGACCAACTGGTAATGTTGGTAGTGATGGACGACCGGTAATTGTTCATATCTTACTGTTGCTAATGCCTGATTCCTCTATATTATGTTCTATCTATGTGATAACTGGTAATCATAGACGTACCAGATGAGTGATGGTCGCAAGGCACCCCTTAGAGCGATCACTTTCACTCTTCCGTATGCCCTATGTGTTTTAATTAATATGAATTTGATTTACATGTCTAGGGTCCCCAAGGTGCACGCGGACCACAAGGACCCATGGGCTCACCAGGACATCAGGTGAGGTTGATATATGCAGTTCTATGATTGGGTTCTTTCCCAATCTCTCTTAACCAAAATAATTCTGTCACACTTGATAATTTTCTGCTAAAGATAAGACAAAAGAATCGATTAAAAGTATACAGATCAAAGGTGTATATATTTAATTGAACTATTCGATTGATTATTATCATTGTCTATAGGGTCATCCTGGCGTTGATGGCATTCCCGGTACTGATGGCGGTCCAGGCACAAGGGTAATTTTTGATAATGATTTCTTTTCTTTATTCAAATCTTCATATATTAGGCTTATATTAGCTTATGATTCCGGAAACAAACAAATTGTGCGTTAATTCATAATCAGAGTTCGATATAAGAGAGTGCTCTTGACTTCATGTAGGGTGAGCAAGGAGAAGCTGGTAAACGTGGAGAAGATGGTGTAGATGGCCGAAGGGTAAGTGAGAATTTTTACGTTTTGTTCAACACAAAACTGTACTTGTAGACTTCCTTGCGGATAGACCAGACTGACAATTACCATTCGGCCCTAAATTGAAGCTTTAGGCAAAGTACTGTAGGTTCCTAATTTAATCAGAATTAAATGTAATTCGTGAATTTAAAAATGAACGAAAGAAGCTATCAGAATTCATTAGTAAGCTTCATTTACATACCACGATACTTGGCTGACATAAAAAAGGTTTGCGTTGCTTGCTGACCCAGAAAGGCGCAGCACCACTTTTAATCAATGTTTGTTTAAACTTTCCTATAGGGTGACGATGGTGAACGAGGTGTCGACGGTTTACAAGGACCCGCAGGCAAACGCGTAAGTTACTTCAGATTTTTTCTCGCTCCAATCTAGAAAAGAGACCTTTAGCTGTTGTCTTCGATGTCGGGGCGACGGGGTCACTTCCATGGATAGTAATGGGCCTGAATTGGAATAGAAAAAGTGCAGTAGAAGAATTAAAGGAAACTATATGGTTTTTAACTTGTCAATATTAAATCATTTTACAACTTATATATTCTTGATATAATGGTTAAAAAATGCTTAATTTCATAAGTTTGCAACCTAGGACCATATTAACCAGGAATGAGGCCCTTTTCCAAATTCAAAGTGTTTCGAAGCGCTTATCAACAAAGAGGAATTCCGTTTTGAACTAATCGGCAAATTTGTTTGCATTTTTCATGTAAAATGGTAAATAATGTGTCTTTTTATCGGGCATTGTGATTGGGTTACTGGAGATGAAAACAATTTTGCTGATTGGTGTAAAACGATTTTGTGTTTATCTTCTTAAAAAATTCTTAGGGAAACCGGAAGAACACCTCCTCATGCTAGGAATCACATTTATCCAAATTAAAAAACCTTGATTGCGCTTTAGGGTGAACAAGGTGATGCGGGTCCACCTGGTATGAATGGTGCAAGAGGAAATCCGGTATGGCTGGCTTTGTCTGCTTCAATTCGAATTTTTTTGACAATTACATAATAACGCTCCGGTTACTGAAACATATTAATCGTTTTAGGGTCCCAATGGTGACACAGGCCCACATGGACCTAAAGGTCAAGAAGGTGCTAGGGTGAGTATCATGTACAATTGTTATTTTTGTTTTATTAAGTTCATCAGGCAAAAATGTCCGAAACCACGTGCGTACGAAAAGCAATCATGCTTTGCGCAATATTATGATATCTGATATTCTTTGTTTCCTAGGGTTCAATTGGTAATGTTGGTGACCAAGGGCCAATGGGCGCTAAGGGAATCAAGGTAAGATCACCATTTCAATTTTCTCATATCCACAGAATTTCAGTCCTTTAAACAAATCGTCGAAACAGAGCTTGTCAACCTTGAGCATACCCTTTAATTAAGATGCAAAATTTAAGTAATGTGTCACGTGACAAAAATTCCGACTTATACTGTAGGGTGAAGCTGGTGATCGTGGACAGAAAGGTGAAGCAGGTGAAGTTGGACCAAAGGTACAGTCAAACATTCAATATGTTTTGTCAACGTACAGTCAATTCCTTTTCCACATTTTCCCCCATTGTTATTTCATGCTATATTGAATGAGTTTACTGCTCAATCTGTTTTTAGGGTTTCACTGGACCAAAAGGTCCACGGGGACCTGACGGTGATTCTGGTTTAGTCGTAAGTATCTAAGCATTTTATGATAACATAGATTTTCTTTCCATTCTGAACACGAATAGTTCATTCTTTTTACGTTATTTTATCACATCCAACTTGTATATAACATATTCTGCCTGACAGAGCGTTTGAAAAACCAGAGCCAATCTAAGCCTTTGGCGGCATGTGAACATAAATAAGAAGGCCTTTTTTGAATTTTTAAAAATTTAAATGTAGGAGTTGGCAAAATTTTCACGTTTAATCTACACTCTAAATGAATTGTTTTCTGAATCGTTGTTTATTTATTTTTTTTTTTTTTGTTTCACATAGGGCCCAGATGGAGCTCGTGGTCTTCCAGGTCTTCAGGGAAGCCCAGGCGTGAAGGTGAGAGCATTAATTATTTTTTTGTTTATTTAGCATTATTTTATTTTTTTCCCTGAAAAGACGACCTAGCTGATAGGGCATTAGTTTAGCCTGGTGATCGAAACAATGACTGAGAGGACGATTGTAATACGTAAGTTATCACTTCAATTAGGAGGAGTGCACCACACAAGTTCTCAAGTGAAATACTGTAGAACAGATCTCCTTGTTCGATATCAGGACTAGTCAATTTCCCCAATATACGGTTTAACTCCATTTCCGCTTGTTTTAATTTCACTATTATGTAAGAATCTATCGTTTCATTCTCTACGCCATGATCGTTTTTTTATAGTTGGTTATACTTTCCCTATATTTCTTATCTGTTTTCCTTCAGTGTCCGACGGTGTCACTTTGTGGACACACGTCCCCCATTTTTTGAAGTGAGCTGTTAATCTATAAATAGTTTTCTTATCTCCACAGGGCCCTGCTGGTCAACGTGGTCCAATTGGTAATGCTGGCAAACCAGGCGCTCCTGTAAGTACTGCAAAGGATGAATGGCGATGCGGAGGGAACATATTTGACGCATGTTTAAATTCAGTTCGACGTTATTGCAATTATAACATTAGGTTATTTTACTAGTTCTAGCGTTAACGAAAGTTTCAACCAGCTCGAGCATTAAAAATCACTACAATGACGAATTTCTCTTCTCTAAGGCACCCTGTAGTGTTGTACCAAAGCGTTGACTGTCCCTGTTAGATCTTTTTTGAATTACATCCCTGTTATATTTGCATCACCATATACTTAAACGCCTGTTTATATACTTATTTCGTTTTTTCTAGGGCGAACAAGGTCCAAATGGTGGTCGTGGCGCTAACGGTGCACCAGGCGCTTCGGTAAGCGCACAGTTTCATCATTTATCATATCCTCGGCGAGCCAAGTAGTCGGCGTAGTGATTGTATATTTCACAATAACGCAACGTATTCGAACCCGAATGTTATCAAATTAGTGAAGTGCTATAATGTCAAAATGTATAGCAATTTATCCATCTAGCAATTTATCTCTAACTCTTTAGTAATTTCAACATAATCATCTTGAAATCATTGTGTCATCATCCAGCCATTAAAACAACTCGCTCGTTTCTCATTCTTAGGGAGCTGACGGTGCAGACGGCCAACCCGGAAATGCAGGCGCACAAGGCAATCCGGTAAGCGATATATCAATATCTTAAGCAAGGAGGGCAAAACTTCGCGAATTTCTGACAAATGCATAACATTAGGATTTTTTGAGGGCGACAAGTAGGTGTAATATTTCCAATCCTAATTTTTTTTCTATTAAAAAGGGACCTATGGGACCCGCTGGAGCAACGGGTGCACCAGGAGATGTTGGTGACACCGTAAGTATTACTTTCCTTCCATCCTTTGTTCAAGGCATCATGTGACTTTATAACTCATTGTAACTCAGTTACGCTGTCCTACCTTACTTCGGCGTTCCCCAGTTTCCCTAGTCTATCTAACCTCACCTCACTCTATTCTTTGTCTCTCTTGGAGTCCGTGTAGAAATAACTTTAGCTTAATGCCAAACGCGTAAACACTTTTCATACCGATCCCCAGGAGACACTCGCAGTGTTGAGACAATAAAAAAGTTAATAAGCAAATGTATAATTTAGTGTCGTTAAAGCGCATAACCATTGTTAGTCCATTAGTTTATGAGAAACTTTAACGTTACTGTCAAGCGCTTGCCCTATTAAAGTCGCTTACTTACTTTCTAGTCCAATATATCATAACTTGAACATTCTATCCCACTGAACTTTAAGCAAAAAACTGGCCCGAGTTCCCTTAGTTAATTCGCTTCATCGTCATGGCATATATCTACATCATCTTTTTGCATTTAAGGGCCTTCCTGGACCAAAGGGACAACAAGGTAGCACAGGCCCACCAGGTCCACCGGTAGGTTTTAACTACATTCGCTAATTAATTAATGGCCTTGTTCAGGCATCTGAAAAGGCTAAATGGTGGTAACTTGCCTCGTATATTACACCTGATTCAAAACAAGACGCGGCTCAACACCGTTAGTATATTGGTTTTATTACCTGGGTTTTTAGTTTCATGTATGGTTACCTTCTGTTACAGGGTGAACCAGGTAATACGGGAGAGCGAGGTACCGACGGAGATGATGGCGAAGCAGTAAGTAGATATTGACCAATAAATGAACTCCACTGCATAGTCAATTGGACCGCTTCGATTATGATTTCAAACCTTGTATTAATTACACTTTCAGGGAAACAGCGGACCTCCTGGTCTTCCTGGAAAGAACGGAAGAAACGGCGAAAATGTAAGTAAATATCCCATTTAATATTTAAGACATGTTCCGACTTTTTGGCGACAGCGTTATTTATTTTTAGCGATGGTCTTTGTCTTATTGAGCAAATATTCGCATTTTTAAAAAAAATCGATTCCACTTTAAGTTAATTCTATGTGCTCGTTACACTTAAAGAACCAGACATATGACAATAAAGCGACCATCAATTCCTTAACATTGTCGTTACAAAATTACATTACCGATTAAGTTGCATAATTTCTATTTAACAATTAAGTCGCCTCAGGCTCGGTATTTCGAGGTGTTTACAAATAATAATCAACATAATTTCCTAAATTTAATTATTTCTTAAATTTCTTATTTCAAAAACAACAACAAAAAGCTATAGTCACCGACCAGTGACTATTGCTTTAGAGACAGTGAATCTTGACCAATCATAATGCAGGAAAATCAATAGTCACCAGTCACCACAAGAACTGCATTTGTTTGCTTATCTCTTTGTAAGAAACGTCCACAAAACGACTAGCCGCCATTTTAAAATTTGTTATATTCACCTGAAGGTGAAAATAACAGCCTAATACGTCAAATTTGAGCAATCAGAATGTAGTATTTGTTATATTCACTTTTGCAAAATCACTAAGGTTATATAGTTAAAATTCGGGTTGAATTTTACAATTAATTTAATCGTGTTGACAAGTTGAATATTTCAACTTTGCAGGGTAGCCCTGGTCGAAATGGACCTTCTGGACCTAAAGGCGAATCCGGACAACCTGTAAGTAGCAAGTTAATTTCCAAAAAAATGTGAAACGTGCGGAAATAGAGTGGGAATCTTTAATTGTAGAAATATCTTTCGGTTTGTATTGAACCACCTATAATTGTGGAAGAGATTACAAACAAGGCTTTTCGATGTCTGTAACATCTATATTTTCTTACTCTTAAATTTAACATTAACTTTAGGGTGAACCGGGTGAAGCAGGAGAACTTGGAGCAGCCGGACCGCCAGGATTCGCCGGACCTCGAGGACCAGTTGGCAACCCTGGCCCTGCAGGTACCGACGGAGAAGATGTAAGTTAAAGTAATCAAGTTCCATTCTGTTTACTCCAGTAAGCTAAAACGATATCGAAATACTTGTCCTCATTATTTCGTATCGAAACACTTGTCATCAATATTTGCAGGGTAGCCCAGGTCCACAAGGTGATGTTGGAGAGGCAGGGAAACAGGGTTCAAAGGTAATTAAGCATGCTACCTTCCGTAGTTCTTATCTCAAAATAAGATTATTTTTCAGGACTTTTAAGACCCGTTTAGTGATAAGTATAATTAAGTTATGCTTTAAGGATTTTAGGTTTTGTAAGCTCCATTCATTGTTAGGTATTAGTAGTAGCATGTGTGATATTAAGATCATCTCATTTTTCTGTGAATACTAAACTGTGTAAATTCCCAACTCCATTAACGCTGTCGTCTAAAACGACGTATTACGTAAAGATGTTTTCGACACTTTCTGTCTCTGAGCCCCATTAAATATTCGGTCAGCGTAATAAAGTTGGACTAGTGAGTCTGCCTTATTCATAGTATGCTCATATTCAACAATAAACTATTGCAACCTAGGGAAATCGTGGCGATCCTGGCGCACCAGGAGGTGACGGTTTAGCAGGCGAAAAGGTGAGAGCAGTTTGATTATATTTTCTCAAAACACTGACTTTTGCCTCATAATAAGCTGCAACGACTACTTTTTAACAAGTGCACCGTTGTTTCAAAAAAGAAGTAAACAAATACAAAAGAATTAACTCTAAAATAACTCATCTTCAACAACTCCTTATTTCTCTTGTTGCCATTACATGATATTTACGCTTAATATTAGTTGGCGAAATATGGCGGATGCATGACTGCGCGTGTCTGTAGGTACAGCTTTCATTTCAGAATTTGTAACATTTGTGTTGACTTTAATTTTAGGGAGACAAAGGATGGAACGGTCCGCGAGGTGAAGCTGGGCCACAAGGTCCACGGGTTAGTATTCTGGACGTTTTTCATGTTTAGATAAGTTGAAGTTACCCGTTACCGGGCTTTTTGTCGGGACTACGTGCACTGTGTAAAAGCAATTTCATTTGAATTGAATATATACAACATTAAACCATCTATATTGAATATATAGATTGTTTTATTGAAAGCACTTGTGAATTTTTCTAAATGTTTACTTTTGACGGAGTTTCTATTGTTTTATATTTTACTAAATATGATATCATTACTTCATTTCAGGGTAATCAAGGTGAACCTGGTACATTGGGTGAAGCTGGTGTTGACGGCGATATTGTGAGTGTCGAGTACTTCATTATTAAAAAATTAAGACCATGATAAAAATTGAAGTTAAATATAGAGCGATGTGCATGTATCACTCAAATAATCCGGTATTTCGATTTAAAATCTACAGAGATCTTAAAAATTTATACTCAAAGATCTAAAAGGCCTAGGTTGCTTAATTAAGATGACCAAAAATAAGCCGGTGAAATATCAACAAAATTTCTTGTTTAAGTTAAAATGCAAGTGCATGGCGGGACATATACTTTTTTAAGATTTTTTTGGCAACTATATAGCGTTGCAATCATGCAGTATTTATTACTCACGTGTTGATATTGCTTTGTTTCTTTATAGGGTCCTAAGGGTGCTCCTGGACGATCTGGACCTGCCGGACCACCAGGGCCAACGGTAGGTTCAAGACTTATTCCTATACGCCTACTACTTCCATGGTTCGGGTCCTCATTTTTAGGATTTACTCTTCAGTCTAGTCTGTGGTCTTTACTTAGTCTTATCCTTTAATCGTTTCAGGACCTAATTCAACAATTATGCGGGCCATATACAACTGAACACGTGTTTGTCTTATTTAGGGTGAACCCGGAGATCGTGGTTATCCCGGACGTAGAGGTGCCCAAGGATCTGACGTAAGTTATTTATGACTCCTGTCTGAAATATGTTCGTTAAAACTCTGGGTCAAACCACTTCTTAGGATTGAGGAAAAATGCGGAAAGCACGACCCTACAAAGTTCGCAATTGTCACATTTACGGCCCACATAAACTAATAAAAAAAATTGCAATCTCTGCTAAGTTTTATATACTTGTTTGCTATATACCTGTTTGTTTCGTATCCTACAACATTCTGCAACCGAACGTTGCAATTTTACAGTAGCCTCTACAGGGATAGCAATTTCTTTGCCAAAAAATAGTTTTAAATAAACAAATCGTTTATTCACCGAAGATGTAGTTACCATTGGGGTAAGGATTTTTTTGGTTTTAGATCTTTGAAGTTTATTTGAAATATGTCCAATTCGCTTTATCTCAGTACACCAAATGATATCACTAATGAACTATTGTCACTGCATTTGTTCTACAATGCTTACATCTTTTTGACATCTTTTATTCTTTCGTTTCGTTTTTTAGGGTATGCCTGGTGCGATGGTAAGTAGCAACTTATTTTATCATATTCATTACTGGTGTGTTTCTTCTAATCACCATTTTATGTTGCAATTTAGGGAGCTCCTGGTGTAATGGGACCACCGGTACGTGATTTTCTATACGTTGTGACATGCGTATTTTTATTTTGCGGTTTTGGCCATATGCAGCATTTATAATGACTGCGTTGAGTACGCTTCGGTTTTGTGGAAGCGACACAATGCAAGTTTGTGCATTGTCAAAGGTGCTCTTTGATGTCTTGTTTAAAAATATTTTATACATTTATATAAAAATAACTAACTTTGCATTATACTTTTCTTTCTGCAGGGTCCACCTGGAGGTTTACCACCTGTAAGTATATTAATTTCATGACATGAACAAATTAAAGAGAACTGTTAGGAAAATTTTCCCAATTCATTGAATGCTGAGGGTAAATAAGCATTCTTGACTTACTCTTAGCACCCCGACCCTAATGCGGTTAAAGGCAACATCCCAGACGAAGGACCTGGACCAAGACGTTTCCGATATTACAACAGCCAATTGGAAGTAAGTAAAGTAATTTCAGAATTTGCAGATTTCAATTATACAGGATTTTCGGTGGAACATGCACAGCTCTTTATTGTTCAATAACTTGAGTCATTTTCATCATCATCGCCGTCTATTTTATTGTCGTGAAGTATTTCAATTTTCGAATCGGTCATTGCTGACTGTCCGCACATTGAGGTATTGTCCACCCTTACATGTTCACGACACTCACAGCTAAATACAAACGTAACAAACACGGCTAAACGTACATATATCCTCACCATGGTCGTTTGTCGGGTTCACAGAGAGGATGGGCATATTGTCTGTTTAAAAATCCATTTTTCCAACGAATATTTTTCGGTACATGGTAACTTCAAGCTTTCTGCATCCCCACTCACAAACGGACGATTATTTTTTGTTTAGAAATTGGACAAAACTGACTTGACGCTTGTAAGTATTCTTTTTTCCTCATTTTAATGAGAGTAATTTTGAGTGGAAGAAAATGATAGGTGCAGAGTCTGATTTAGATCATAGATTTTTATAACATGATTATTGGTGGATAAATGATAATTGATAATCTTAATTTTCACGTAATTGTCACACGACATGGCCAATATATGCTTCGTTGTTGAAAAGTATTAGAAGACATGAATGAACGATTTGCCTTTTATTGTTACACATTAACCGATTTTAAAATTACAGGAGGATGCGCTCATGAACATGATGTATGGTTTGGATGAAGATTTACTGAAAAGAGAGAGTGCTGATGGGTCAATGGAATACCCAGCTGTATCTTGTAGAGCAATCAAGGATTGCCACCCAGAGAAAACTGACGGTTAGTGAAAGGAATTAGTTTAAGAAATTCGAGCATTGTTTCCCAGGCAAGCAATGTCATGTTTTTTTGTGGTCGTGCAGCATTAAAACAGCTATTAAATTGGTTGACGAATCACTGAGTTTTAAATTTGTTTTTCCAGGCTATTACTGGATTGATCCCAACCAAGGCAGCACCATGGACGCAATGAAAGTTCTTTGTAACTTCACTAGCGAATACTCTTCAACATGTGTCTTCCCTACCAAGAAGGTACGAATCTAGACATATGTTCAGACCAAATATGAATTTTTTCATTTATTTATCGATATGCATGAGTAAGATATATAAGATATGAATTGGCATGTACGAAATTTTTAAGATTCTAACATCTTTACTAGATCGAAAATAATGCCTGGAGTTCTCTAAAGAATGGCTGGTTCAGCGAACTTTTCGGAAAAGACAAATCAGTAAGTAATATTTGTTCAGAGCTACCATCGATATTACAGCAGCGACTTTGCATTGCTCTTAACAAATCGCACTCCGTAAACCCTATGTGAATCCACCACCTATAATAAAACCCAAGCTTGACAATTTGTTTGTCATCTTTTAAAAGATCCAATACTCAGACCATCAATCACAATTCGCCTTCCTGCAAGTCATGAGCCAACGGGCCAGTCAAACGATCACGTACCATTGCAAGAACTCAGTTGCCTGGTTAGACGAGAAATTGAACTCACACGATAAATCTATCAAATTACTTGCCCTCAACGGATATGAATACAGCAAAGATGGACATACGAACGCACAACCTAAAGTAATCAGTGACGGATGCAAGGTTGGTATTTATCCGAAGCATTGCAACAAGTAACTCTGGGAGTTCTAACTTGAAAATAAGACGAAGGGGGTGGCTCAAGGCAGAAAGTCTACTTTCTCTGAAGTCTGAAGGCAATTTTCTAGCTTGAAAGTTTAGACAATGCAATACATTGTTAACGTGGGCAAATGGTGAATGGTTTCATTGTTTTTATTTTAGACACGAAATAGCGAATGGAGGAAGACCATTTTCGAATTGGAGGCAAAATCGTCGATCGCCCTACCCATTATTGATGTTGCGCCTCAAGACATGGGAGACAATAAAGAATTCGGAGTAGAACTCGGACCCGTGTGTTTTATAGGTGTATAAGAGATACGAATAAAGAACAATAACAAATGACTGAGACTGGATCATTGTTGTATAATCGATCACGGGTCGATCGTGAGCCATATAGATAGAAAATAAAGATCCAAACTTCTTTAAAAATTATTATATACAATTGTCTTTCTTTTTCGTTGGAAACTGTTAAATATTTCGTACCGCGTTTAGTGTTTGAATAAACAGCGATTATGCTCATTTTGATGCTAGTTTGTAATGTGTTTTAGTGGTTAGGTAATTATTATATGTACGACAATTAAAATAAAGAATTTGGTTGAACTAGTATTTAACCTATATAATTCCGGTCCAGTTTCTTTGCTTGAAGTTTCGTTTGAGCTGCTCGTCACGCATTTTCTGCTTATTCTTCTGTTGTTGGTGAAAAATTCGATATTTATTTTTCTAACGTTTGGCATAAGAAACTAATATCATGTATTCGTTTACATTGTCTAGATAAACTGAATTGAAAACTTTATTTGCAAAAATTTCCGGTCCTCGTTTGTCTTTTTCCCAAATTGTCGTGTTCTCCAACTAGATAAAACGTTTGAAGCGAGCGCTCGATCTACAAATAGCTTACATACAAACTTTTAATTTTTCTGTAGCGTTGTGGAGAGTGAGAGAAAAACTGCTTAGAATACGTAGAGCTGTTGAAAAAGGCTCTGCTCACATGATAGCTACATCCGATCTGATCGTAATTTATTATGTTCAATCCAGCCCATGGGCCAATCACAATCAGTGATGGCCATTATTTAGTTGACGTCGTGGTATCAAATCGCTAAATTAGTGTTTTTTTAATCGAACTAACTAATCAATAGAATTTTTCGATCGTTAATGATTGACGAAGGTGGTGGTATCAATCTAATAAAAAATGAGCCGAGTATATTTGTCATTTTAGCCAAGGACCCTCGCAACTCCACCTATGATTTGCTTGGCCGTTGGTTAATGCTGCATCAGAGTAAATCGTTGGAGTATGGTACGAATTACGTTGATAAAAACCAGAATGACCAGGCTTTTCGAACTTTGAATAACCCACAGAGCAGAGGTTGCATGTTAAGGCCTATCAGAATCGAAAATCGGTGTTGAGAGATCACAATCGTAACTTTTAAATCTTTCACACTCAATTTTGGCCGAAAGACCCTGGATACGAGTGCAATTTTTTACTTGCCACTGACAGGATTCTCTCATTGGTCTGTAGGACTAACAATTACATGTACATTAGGTAGGGCAGGAATTTACATAATTGATGGATGGCCGGAGTTAGTTAGATAATAGGGCTTTCGCTCCCCGGCAATTTTACCCACTGGTTAAAACAAGATGGCGTCCACAATAACGGCAGGGCCACAATCTGTGGAATTATCTCGGCTTCCTCTACCTCAGCTGGACAACTTCAAAGCTGTACTTGACGAGGTATTTGTTCTATAGTTTTTGAACGTTCTTTCTGTGCTTTATTTTCTTCATTTTCTGTGGACAATAATATGAAATAGATATTTCATTATTGAAATTTTGGGTGAAAGTGAAATACCACTGTGGAGTGTGGACCTGTGGTACCGTATATATATTACTGTATAAATGCTTACATTTTTGCATACGTAGATGAGAATTTGAAATAAAATTGTAAGAAGTTCACGATTTTTTGTCCGTTGTTAAATCTTAAGTTCATCCATTGCCTTTGGCACCCCACCTTAGTTGGGCCACCTATGGGTGAGTACAATGTTATTTGTTGTGCATCTTTAAATTTTAGGAGATAAGGATTCTATCAGAATCAGCAAGTCAGCTGAAAATTGCTCAGCAGAAGTTTGTTGACTCAAGGGAAGCCATTAAGAAGCTTCATGAAAAGAAAGGTATGTTGTAGGAGTATCTGTATACAAAAAGAGGAATAAGTTGTATTTTGAAACTAGACCTATAACTTCATAATTTAAGCTCTCAGGTTACTATAGATAATGACTGGAAGGAGGGGGAGGCATTGAAAGAAAGGCTGTTCAAGATACATGATTATTGTCTTTTTACATATAGGTACTGAAGTGTTGGTACCTTTGACTGCATCTGTATCCTTTGTTAACATGTTGACTAACTTTTTGAGTTGGTATTCCTGTACAAACGTTTAAAAATCAGCCATTCTAGCATTTAGTTTAAAGTATATTTTGTTACTGACTCAACAAATCTCCGGTCAACAGATATGTTGTTTGTATTGGGGGTTAACACCATGTCGGTGTTTGTTATCCTGCTGGTGATGTATATTGGAGAGGCCCTTATTAAAATTTTGGCAAAGCATCCTGATAAAAAAGATTGTATAGTGTCAATATTTTTGTCTTTTGTGGAAGTTTCTAATAGTCCTTAAAGATATTGAAGTGAGGGCATAGTGCTTGCTGACTGGTGGAGGTGAGCATTTCACAATACATATTTTGAGACTATGATCCTCATAATAGTATGCTTCTTCAAATTTTCCATTAGGTGAATTTTTCCTTAACACATCTCAGCTCTATGCTCCGGGACATTTAGAGGGGACTGATAATGTTTTAGTTGATATTGGTACTGGCTATTTTGCAAGCAAGGTACTTTAAAAGTAATCCTACAGTATTCCATGTATTGCATTCCTTCCTAACACCACATTTTTCGGAAAAAGGTTGCCAATAATATACTTTGATATATTTCTCGAATTTAGTACTTTTACACGCAACTATTTTTTGGAAGCCTAGAATTTTTTTTCGGCGGTTGTTCACACAATACGTGAGACTTTGAGAGGTAGAAGTGTTTCAACATCATCCGAGATGTGATTATTGTTAAGAACTCAACAAACTGTCAGAGATTCAATTGGAGGTTTTCATTAGATTCAACTGCAAACTCGACACAGCTGGCACTGCACTTGCGTGAGTGCAATGCTACGTGATGATGTTAACAATCTTGTTTTTTCACCCAGAAAATAAAAATTGAATCTTTCGCTGCTCGGTTTCTTTAACGCAATCTTTTCAGTAAATGCACTTTTTTGTCTTCTCCTGTTTTCTCCTGTTTTGCGTATTTGTTCCGTCGAGTATTTTGCGTAGACGTTCTCGACAGCCTGACAGCAGCCTGAGTGCCCTTAGTTAGAGCCTGTTTATATAGAGCGAGTTATCCCGGCTAGACGAGGTATAAAAAGCGCATAAGACCAAAGGCTTAACCAGATTAGTCTTTCATTATATGCAGTTTTCACCTCGCCTAGCCGGGATAACTCGCTCTATATAAACAGGTCCTATGGCTATTATGCACGATACGACTAACCTATAAGATTATTTGTCAGACGAAAACTTGCCAGTGGGTATATCTACCTACTACGATCGCGTTTTGTGATTGGCTTTTTGTAACAATAGTGAATAGTGTTTATGACTCGTTCTTTCGACCCGAACTTGCCAACTGCTTGATACGAATCGAGACGTACATAATCGCGGACATAATTGGGAAGTTCTTTATAGACTAAAGCCTGCGTTATAAAGTGTTACATTCAGGGCGCTTATATATATATATATGTTAGAGCCCTGGCAACATCCTATCCTCGAACGCGCTTGCTATGCCCATCCGAATTCACAAAATTAGGTCGTGCGAACAAAAGAATAGCCATCCTCCATGGGTGTTCCTCCAAGCTAGGTTCTGTGTCTGTGGTTTGGTATTTCATTCGTTGCCAATGATTTTTTGTTTTGCATTGTTCACTTCGCAGTCTTTGGAAGGAGCTGAAAAATACTTTGAAAGAAAAATAGAATACCTTACCAAACAGATTGAAAAAATTCAACCAGGACTAATCGAAAAGCACAGAATACGACAAGGTAGTAAACTCGATTTTGATTAAAATGCGATAATATTCTGTCAATATTCAAGCCGCGTTCATGAGTGGATGTGACCTGTTTTGGGCCCGTTGGTTTACAGCCCTAGAAAGTAATCTGAAAAATAATTGATTAAAATCGGTTACAAAATAATAGTCATCTTCAACTCAAATACATGTTTATTGTGATATTTCTGGCTGGTATCCCAGATCAGAGGGACCTTGATCGTTATCCCGCACAACCACATAAAATTCTTATACAACTTTTTGATTTGTCCGACGTACGTAACGTTCTGTGTGAACCTTCCGTATAGCGTCATATAAACATCGTTGTATCAGTGGTTAGTTCTTAAGAAATATGGCTATTCGTTTACATTATGGACCGGCTGTCCTGGGTACAAGGTTGACTGTACTTTACCCTTAAACTAAAGTGTTTTTCTTTTCTTTTTCAGCCGTCATAGACACGATGTCTGCTAAAGTGAAAGCAGCTCAGATGACGAATCAGGTGCCAATAGCAAAGGCATAAAAACATAACGTAACATAAAAGCATAATTATGAAAACTACTTCTTAGGCCTCTTGCGGGCTTGTTTCAAGGACTTACCGAGTACGATAACGTGACTCAAGATGAATATAAAGCCCATTGAAACATTGTTGCGGAAGCATTTGTGGCTCGCGATAACTCCCCAAATGTTTCCCTGTTTGCCCCCTCGTCGAAACATCATTTCGGAAACAAAACTTGATCTTCAGGAAGCTAAAATGTTTCCTATCAAATACAGAAACATTTCAACATGCTTTCAAACTGTAATTTTTGTTGACATATTTTCGTAGTGTTGGATCATCATAGGAAACATGACACGAAACCAGTGATAATATGGGGAGGGAGGGGGGTATTGATCACATTTTCATATATTCATGTTAACAGACCTGTAAAGTCAATGAATTTGAAAATTGAAAAGAAATTAATCTTGCACAATATGAATAAATGAATATGTGCCCCCCCCCCAATTATCGTCTCCCTTACGCCACTGCACGAAACGTTTGCAGGAAACAATGTTTCTGCAACAGTTTGCAGGAAACAATGTTTCTGCGAAAGCACAAAAATCGTCCTATGTTCTGTTCCGTCTATGACAATTTATGCACATTTTCGGCATTGTACTTTCTGTGTAATGAAGCACTCATCCAATAGCATCTAATAGACTGAATTAATGAGTCACTTCAGCGTTGGGTCGCTCCATCATAACCCGCCCATAAAATGAAATTTCATTTTCTTTGTTTGTGTTGCCTAGTCGTAAAATAACCCATCATCTATTGCGCGCCTTTAATGTTTTCCTTCATTGAATTCGGTGTATTAAATTTCATCAACGATGAGCCGGTCGCAAAGTGGTTTTGATCTATGCGTGACATACTTGTTCGAGAACAGCTTCAGAAGGCCCACTCAGAAGGTGCAAAGTTTCTCGGCTTCTTAAAGCAAAAATATGCAATAGACTTAGCGAGGACATTCACATCAAAGTTTCCGACCAAAGTGATCTTCTAGTGCTCTCATTATTTTATAACAGCGTACACTTTATTTTCACCCCAACCCCATGGGTGGGTTTTCAGGCAAATGGTAGTCACTGCAATAACATTACCGTGTAGAGGGAATGTTGGAAAATCAGGCATGCGCACAATTCAATGAAAATACTGCTGTTGTTTTTCTGATTCGTTCTATACCATTTACAGCTCGTTAAAATTCGCTAATTCGGGGTATGAGTCTAGGTGTTAATATTCACCTCGGATTAGATCTTGGGACGTATCCAAAACAAAGTAAGATCCGTTTATTTACACTAGTTGTTGTGTTTTACCCTAGCGACGGTAACGTCCGCGGCGTAGATTTGATTACTCGATACTAGCGACCGTATTTTTTATATCATGAAAGACCCGTGTACTGCCTCTGTCTACCTAATGTGGTGTTCGTTGCAAATCGAATGGCCGTAAAGACTAGAGTGAAGCAATGATTAGATAATTGGACCATTTTCATTACCCGAAATATCAATGGCTTGAATTATCTGCAGATGATAAGAACTACTACGTGGCACCACGTGGTGGCTGGTAGCACCTCGAACTCAAGCAGCGAATACAGTGGCAAATAGATGGATTTTTCGAAATCTTTTGTGGGTGTAAGATGGTGGTTTGACAGTTCGCCCAATGATTAATTCAGCCCGTGATCCTTCACGAGAGTGATTTGTTCATCTCCTAGTACGATCACGCAGTAGAGTCCTGGCGATCCTAAGACCTAACTCCTTGTGAGTTTCAATGGGGATCTCAAAGAGCAAAGTTTACACCACGCCTCCTGTTAAACTCGGTCACCTGTAGAGCTTATCTGTCATGACGTGGGAGAGCTGAGAAACAGAATAATATAATTGCCGCCCAAGCCGTACTACGCCAATAGCAATTTAATTTGTCGGCAATGCCGAGGCATTGAGAGAAGCGGTGGTCGATCAGCAGGTTGAAGGAGTGTTGTTGCATTTTAAATAATCTCGTGTTAATATATTGGTTTTTTAGTAATTATGAATAAATTAAAGCCAGTTTTGACATATTTCTTATTTAAAAAGAGTTTTATTCTGATAAAAAAAAGCGATTTCGACCGAGATTTAAAACGTCTTCTATATGTTCCGAACGACGTTCGATAGCTAGACGTTACACTAATGGGGCGCTTTAGCAGTGACTTCTGAGTACGCAAACTCAATTCGTCATTCTTGCGGCAAACTTCGTGCTGTTTAGTGTTTACTTACCGATGCTTATGCCATCTGCCAAAACTCGAAAAGCCTAAAGTCTGTTCTCTCCAATTTTGTCGGACCAATTCACTTCTATTCAACCAAAGCCAATGGCAATGCAGTACTACTTTATCAATAACAGACTACGTTCCATACATCAAAAGTGAATTAGACAAAATTGGATCGTGTGAGTCCACTAACTGTGTGTGAACTGACCCTAGCTAGTGTTGGGCTTATGACCGCAGAAAATCAATTTTCAAACTCGTGATCAACATTGTTGAGAAAGAGTTTTAAAGTCTATACGACCGAAGTATATCACACCATTTTCGAAGAACCGCCCGGTTTTCCGACCATTTAGGTGCACCCAAAACACACAATATGAATTAGGTTTAATCCGATTTAAAGTCGGAACGATGTAAATGCTAAATTTTTGCATAATTAGTTGACTCGAAGCTTGCCTTTGCCCTTTAAATAATGTCTACACTTTTTGTCCTCTAATATTCCAGTGTATCAACTATGAAATTTGGGGACGATGTTTTTTGTCTTCTTGGTTAGAGTGTCCGAGAGCGACAGCTGCTGCTGCTGCTGTCCAAACTCCAAAGGCGTTTAGAATTATTGTCAAACAAATCGGCTAGCCCACGATCTTAGGGTTTAATTGTATGATCAATATTAATTTAGATTTTTATTGCTTTTCGAACATTTTTTTTCAATTTCGACCTGCACTGAGTTGAATCAACGACGTTTCGTCGTTTTTATTTCAGTACAAAATTTACAAATTACAATTGACAAATGCTTAGGTAATTTTTGCCAGCATGCGGTGTATAAATAATATATACATACAGCCTAAATTTTCGAGCATGTATAGTCTGTGTATCTATAGTAAACTATTGTCTGAATGTAAACAACAGCTTGTTGTTACGGTTACCGGTAAACGTAGCAACGAAACGCCACATTAGGTGACAGACGATACCGAGCTGTGATAAGTTCGATAAGCCTCAAAATTTAACGCAACTACAAGTATCTACAAATCGCGGAAAGATGGGAAACTCTTAGATCGGAGGCTATTTTGGACCATCATTGGACACATTCGTTCGTGCGGTGGTATACGCTTTACGCTATACAAGACGGAAATATATAAACTTGAGTATCACCTGGACAGGCTGGACTTTCATCTCAACTACATAAACTCTAATATTAATTTACTACATCCAGGCAGCGTTTAAAAATTTCAGGTTCAACATGACAGAGGAAAGTGTAAAGGTCGCCGTGCGAGTTCGTCCATTTATATCCTTTAATGTTCTTATTATTGCTGGTGAAGTCAACCTTTTAGGACCTAATGGGACGTATAAGCTCATCGAATTTAATATTACGTACAACCGTGTAGAAATTACTACAAATTCAAATCAAGTTCAACCCCCTATTGTGAAGTTGTCAACTGCGAGCAATCTGTATCCTATAGTTGCAGAAATCATGTCTAAATTCTTGCGCAAAATTGCCAGTGTCTCTGACAACATTCGAGGCGAAATTGTCCTACTTATTTTGCTATGTTTTCGTACCAAATGTATTTTGTAAATACAGGCCATAACTGTATTAAATTTATAAACAGGACTTGCTGCCCACATTATTAGATATAGAATTTTGCATATTTAATATAATATAGTCGCATGTTTTGCTGAAGATAGGGAATTTATAGTTTTACTTTTAACAATTCAGCTATGTCATACAAAGATTAAGCCTTCTGCAACACTAATCCTATAATGTTTTAACACTAGTACTTGGCATCTCTGTGCACAGTAATTTTTTCAGCAGGCTGAGATGTACCATTATGATAAAATTGAATATGTTGAAAACATCATTCTGACATAATACACTGCCATTATTCATCATTAACATCTAGCAATATGCAAGTGACAAGCATGAAATGTATAGTAATCTTAATTTAACAGTCAATTGCAAACTCTTAGGAGATTAATGATGTACCTCAAACCTTAATTCTCATGTCAATCCCTTTAAACCTCTACATTAGTGAATTTTAATTACAAAATGGAAAGTATGGCATGTTATTATTATTATATCTACAACCATGATAGAGAGGCAGAAGGCAAAGGATACCTCTTATATTTACATGAGTTATTAGTATTTTCTAATAAAGATTGTCCAGTTACTATTACAGCCATTATAATCTGAGTATAATTTTAGCAGAAAGCTCTTTACTATAAACCTGAGCATCATACAAATGGATCTATCAAGTTTAATTATTTGGCAGGGTGGTCATGCAATTAGATCAATGAACTATATAAAGCATCAGTTTCTCTAAAACTATCTTCATTTGTGACTGACATGCAGATAAATGAGGTTAATCTTGATAGTTTGACACTTTTGATCAGACATAAATCGGCTATGTTCTGCAGATGGTATATATAGATTTCAAACTATTCTATAAATATAAGATATATTACACGGTTCGCTCGAAAATATGGATTTTATGTTCTTGTGTCAAAAACAATATCTCACTCATTCGCAGAATGGAAAGAAACACAATAATGAAACAAAATAAAGTGGGAAAACATGCTATAGTTGTGCAAGGAAATACGCACATTACATATTTTATTATGGAAAATATTTTCATCATGGAAAATATGTCTAAATAATAAAATGTGATATACAACTTATTGAAATCAAGCCTTTGTTAGAATCTGATTGCCTGGATATTATGATAAACCCAATTGAAAGCAAGATGCTTTATTTGAATGCCTCAACCTAATAACTATGCTATTTATACATTACTGCATTGATCATGCATTCAAATTCCAACCAAAGCTTCATTTCAATAGGGGGGACTTTTTTGGGACACCCTGTATTGTGAGATAATGTTAGTAGACAGCCATTTTAATTAAAGCATGTCAGATAGGTCTGTGTAGTTAAAATGTGTCACATTGCACTAATTTACAGGTCAAGGTGATCGAGGATCAAGGTTTTTCAATCTTGTGCTTTTCCTCATTAGACCTGCCCTTGGACTGGGACTCTGTAATGTTTTTTGTGTTTTGATGCACATGCAGTACATTAATTTCCCTGCTAATTAATATTTGCTGATAGCATCATGCCCATAACGGTAATGACCAATTGATAAGGAAGTATAGAGATGTCATCAGATGTGTGGGTAGATGGACATGTGATTGATTGATAGATGTTGTGATAAGCTAAAAGCTTTTCAGTCAGCTAAAACTAAACTGAAAAAGCACACATATTTCACTTCTATATGGTTTGGGAATAGGGTGTGTGCGATACCTGGCGTCAAATGTTTATATTTCCTTAACATTTCTCACAATAAACGGGAAAAAGCACGAAATTCGACGCTTATCATTCAGATGAATGGCCCGACCACCGAAATCACAGATCCAGCAGCTCCAAATGACCCACCACGCAAGTTCACATTTGATTACAGCTATTGGTCGCACGATGGCTTCGAAAAGAACGATGATGGATATCTGAAGCCGACTGTACCACATTATGCTGATCAGGTAGAGTAGTACAATTCATGCAATGCGCTCAAAATGGGGCAGTAAGTAGTTTTCTCTCTAATAAATCAAACGTCTGAACTTTTTTGCGCCCCCAGGTACATCAGTATACATGCAGGGTGTATAAGAAAACGCCACCCTAATAATTCCTAGGGCCTACGATCTTTTGTTATTGAATAGAAGCGAACATATATGAATATTAAGTGTTTTGCAGTTTTTTTTTTACACCCTGTCCCTGTATATACTCGTCTCAGAGTGCATAAACTTCTTTCAAAAGAGTAGAAAATGTTCTTAACTTGACGTTGGACGGCGTACGTTAGTGCTTTTGACGTTTTCAAAATTCGTTTTTGTATTTAGATGAAAGTTTACAATGATCTTGGCAAATTGGTGCTAGACAATGCGTGGTCTGGTTATAACACATCATTGTTTGCTTATGGCCAGACAGGCTCGGGAAAATCTTGGTCCATTGTTGGTTATGGTCCAAACAGAGGTGTGAACACTTCTCTACTCCACGCCGTTCTATATCGAGTACAAAAAATACCTAGCAACCCCCCTGTTTCTCCGGATGTTCCAATGTCATCTTGCAAAAAAGTATTATGCACGATAGCTTGATATTACCAATCTAAGGGTGCATCTAAGGATGATTGTCTGCAGCTGGTCAAAACCTCTCACAGGGAGAGAGGTTTGAGTTTGTCTTAATTGGGCTTGAGGAGGGGCCGCGGGGATGACGTAGAAATGACATATTGCATAATAAGGGTGGAGGGGGAGGAGGCCAATAGGGTGCTGTCCAGTATATGAATTTATAGTTTATAGTTCAGGGACTCCATATATCAAATTTATGAATTCGATGTTAAGGTATCGTTCCCGTATTTTGCGAAGAGATTTTTTCACGAATCAAAGAAAAGCAAGCTGCAGGAACAGCTGCTCAGTACGAGGTTAGTAACACAGATGAGGAGAGATATTTTCGCAGCGAAAAAATTTCACAGAGGAATTGGGCTTATTAAACGGATAGAGTAGTCTTCTACGTCTCAGTAACCGCACTTTAACAGGGAAAACTGCTTATTTAGTTAACACTACACTACACTACATTGCATGCACTGCACTACTGCACTACTGCACTGCACTGCACTGCACTGCACTGCACTACACTACACTACACTACCCTACACTACACTACACTACACTACACTACACTACACTACACTACACTACGCTACGCTACACCACACCACGCCACGCCACACTACACTACACTACACACACACAGCCACACTACTCTACACTACACTACACCACACCACACCACACCACACCACACCACACCGCAGTAACGTGGATGTGACTATTTATATTAGGTCCAATTCAGTATGCTGGAGATCTATAACGAACAGGTCCGAGATTTGTTAAATCCAAGCAGCAACAAAAAAGGCGGACTCAAAATCCGGCAACATCCAAAGAAAGGCTTTTACGCTCAAGGATTGAAGGTCCTGCCAGTCGTGAGTTATGACGATATCGAGGACAGAATGGAGGAAGGAACGCAGAATAGAACCGTTGCTGCGACTAATATGAATGCAACGAGCAGGTATCGTACCATTCAACTTGGGGCGTCTTTGACAGGGGGGGGGGAACAGGGGTGATTTTTATAGATAGAAAGAATGAGGTGGGATTTAAGGAGAAAAAGGTTTCCTTACATTCTTTGGTCCGCAAAATTCATGTCTTTGCTCATTTTATTTTAGTCGAGCTCACACAATCGTGGGAATAACGTTTATACAGAAACAGAAAAACGATGCTGGACAGGAAACGGCGAAAACGGCAGTAATTAATCTTGTCGATCTGGCAGGAAGGTATCATCCAATGAGCTCTGTATACATTATACATATCTGGAGTACGCACTGTGGATCTTATATCAACCCATCACCTGTTACAGTAATCAACCCAAGGAAGCCAAGCTTCTAGGAGTGTTTTTGTGTCGAGACTACTTTGTATGAGAGATACAGTAGGGCTAACTAAATGAGCTACGTTATAAGCAATTAATTTTAGTAATATAGTCCAAAATTGCGGGCAATCTATTCTCCTGGCTATAGATGAAGTTCACAATCTGCTTTCACACCATTTCACCGGCAAAAAAGTTTCACTGTTGTGATGAGACGCAAAAGTTCACATCACACTCATTATTGCAACACTGTAGAAATACCGTATAACAGTGTTGACTTTTATTGCTGTGCCTTGATAATCAGTAAGCACACAAAACCCTCAATACTGCATCCCTCAATGCGTACAATTTAAGGATAAATGGGCAAAAAGGTACATGTATCTAAATGGAATAAAAATACCGTACGTTTAGCATGATTCTAATATGATGCTTACTTTTCCGTTTCAGTGAGCGCGCTGAATCTACTGGTGCCACGGGTGATCGGTTGAAGGAAGGTGCCGCGATAAACCAGTCCTTGTCATCTTTGGGAAATGTTATTGCAGGTATATAAAGGCTCGTTTACTCTTGCAATTTTTGCTGCCATTTAATGTGCGATTCTCTTCTTTTGATGGCTATGAACAAGTAGCTAAATTTGTTACTGTTGTTCAAATAACAACTCTTATACATCAGAGCATCGTATAACTAATTACTCATTCACATGCGTCAAAAGAAGAACATCGCACATAAAATCGCAACTTTACACGGGCCTTAATTAATTATATATGCGTGCTTTTCTATGCCTTGTGCATGTCCATGTTTTGGTCAAATACTGATGACAACGTGTGTCTTTCAAATCTTTTAGCCCTCGCTGAGAAGTCGGGAGGAAAGCAAGTCAGAGGTAATACATTAATCCCTATATGCTAATACGAGAATTTCTGTCATTACAGAAATGTCTGAAGAATACTATAAAAAACTTGGGAAAGGGGGGAAGGTGGCAGAATTTTGTCGGAAGGTTACAGTTTCCCACAAAATTTTGTTAAATTTTGTTTACGTAATTCATTATGAACTCATTAATTCTTAACTTTTGTTGGATTGTTGAATTCTCTATGAATAAGGAGAAGGGCCTAATTTTTGTGTGCCTAATTAATGTGCGCAAAACATCGCCTGCATGTGCATCAAGGTCTTTTTCTTAAAACGACAAAATTTTTCATAGTTTTGTACTTTGTGTTTTAAAGTGCCATACAGAAACTCCGTTCTCACGAAACTTCTGAAGAATGCTCTTGGTGGCAACAGCAAAACAATTATGGTATAGTCTCAATCGCACAAGTGTGCATGCTTTCTGTAAAAACACAACGCAACGCAATTCTACATCTTTTTAACAAAGGCAACGGGGTCTCAGTTAAACTACTTTTCCTAGATTGCTGCGATTAGCCCGGCAGATATCAACTATGACGAAACGCTATCCACCTTAAGATATGGTATGTATATGGGATTGATAACAATGTGAACGGTTAAGATGTGTGCGGTATATATTGGCGGTTCTAAATAAAATTTAATCGATTCATGTTAGCTGACCGCGCTAAACAAATCAAGACAACAGCGACAGTGAATGAAGATCCAACGGAGAAGCTTATCCGTGAACTGAAAGAGGAAAACGAGAAACTGATGAAAATGCTGAAGGCTGCCCAGTCGGGAGAGGCCGTCACGATGAAAGCCGCTGATGACGACGACGATGATGACGACGATGCTGACGATTCAAAGAAAATGTCAGAAGAAGGTAAGTTATATCTGGTATTTGACTTGGGAACGGACATTTTGGCAAAGGAGTAATTTTTTTGTCTGAACGGACCATTAGTTATAGTCATTCTTAACGCGTGGAATTAAGTGGTGGAATCTCAGTATGAAAATGTTGTTGTTATTTTTGTTTTAAGACCTTGATGAACTTAGAAAGCAAATAGAGGATGAAATAAGACAACAGGTAAAATAGAATTCTTCCTTTGGTCGTGATACTTTTGTCGTAAAGATGACGTGTGTGCCCATGCGCGGATTTTCAAAGCGATTTTTACATTCCCTCTTATATTCGCGTTCTTAACCAAAATCTACTCATCGCTGAAGGGCGTTATAAAAACTGACACGCACGCATATGGTTATAGGAGTTCGTCTTTTAAGTTTCATGGATTCTTTATTATAACTGAATCTTAGCGCTATCGATGACTCGATGTAAATGAATGTACCTTGATTGCGCATTACTGATGTCCAGCCAGTGAACTCTGTAAAGACGGTTAACTGACGGTAATTTTAAGCCGATTTAGGTACGAGTGGCAGTCTCTTTCTATTGTCTTTTTAAATGTATAATCGTCGACCGAGAAAGACCAAAATAATAGAAATGGGCTGGCACTGGTGCCTAATTATTGCCTTCCAAGATGGCAACTGCCATCACCGCCATCAAGGCCTTTCGTTCCTCCATGACATAAAAATCCCATCTCCGGGCGAACCCCCCAATCGCGACGTCTCCCCAGATATTCTTCCTATCTCCAGATATGATAGCTTCATATCTGAAGCTAAAATATATTAATATAGTAATGACACTAGCGCCCCTTGGATTGCCTGCCATAGGATATGCTGCCTCGATTAGTAAGAGTATGGCACCCATGGAATAAAGGTTTGTTTTAAATCGATCGAGTATCTATTGATTCTGCGTTATCCTTATAAACCCGTAGATGAAGCAAGATGAAAACGCCGAAGATGTGAATACGTCTAAACTAAAAGAGGCAGAGAGTCTCCATGAGGTACTTCATGCGAGGTTTTTTCAACGAGGTGTCATTCTGACCTTGAACCCAGAATGTTTGTTCTTAGATCACATGTTCTTAGGGACACTTCTTCATATACGTAATATTCTGCTTTGTAGACTAAGCAAGCGAAAAAGAAAGAACAACAGTCGACTGCTCATATTTGGAATCTAAACCCTGATCCACAACTGTCTGGAATGATTGTTTATCTTCTGCAACAAGGTTCATACAAACTTTCAAGGCTCTGTGAGATTTCACTTGCGTTCAATCCAGTATTCAAAGTTATCTTTTTATGTCCTCAGGTGAAATTCGTGTTGGAAGCAAAAAGGCAGATCCCTCTCCAGATATAACTTTAGTTGGTCTCAAGTGAGTAAAGTTCAGTCATTATGTATGCCATTTTATACAACAAAAACCACTTCAAAAACGTATGGTCTTGCATTGTCCAGAAACATCTCTATCTCTATTTCTAACCCAGTGCAGTTCATGCCTTTCTATATAGATAATATCCGATACTGATTTCCTTCCTATATAGATAATACCCGTTACCGATTTCCTTCCTATATAGATAATATCCGTTACAATTGCCTTCCTATATAGATAATATCAGTTACCGATTGCCTTCCTATATGGATAACATCCGTTGCCGATTGCCTTCCTATATAGATAACATCCGTTATCTGATTGCCTTCCTATATATATATATATATATATATATATATATATATATATATATATATATATATATATATATATATATATATATATATATATATATATATATATAATATCCGTTGCTGATTGCCTTTCTATATAGATAATATCCGTTACAACCAAATTAAAAGACAGCTGAAGAATTTTAGTGCAAACTTTCGGTCATATATTGACTTTTTTCTCATCGTTATACCCTTCCTGAATTTACTTTCTGGCAAGGGAAACTAAATCTTACTAAACAATAGGCCATTTTTTCTGATTGTTTGTGTGTAAATTCAGGAAATGTTTATTCATTAAAATATCTTGGCGAATTTTGTTTCAATAAATAACAAAAAATATGTCTATGAGCTTTAAGTAACTAAATTTTTTTCTTTTATACCAGCATCCAAAAAGAGCATGCTATACTATCCAATAACGAAAATGTGATAAGCATTCAGTCATGTGGTAATTCTAAAGTCCTGGTAAACGGAGAACCATTGACAGAAAAAGAAACATTACATCACAATGACAGGTAAATAGTTATTTTCTGTATTTTAATGTCTAAAGTATATTCTTATATCGGGTAATACGTTCAGTTTGCATTGATTATAACGAGTTTAAAATAACCTTTTTATTTATTTTGTCGCAATGACTAGTAAGTAAATGTAAGATTTGCGTATAATAGGAAACAGATTGCTTATCTGATCTGGTCATTCCTTTTTGTAGGATAATGTTTGGGTCCAGTCATCTCTACGTGTTTTATCACCCGCAAGAACTAGAGACGGCGAAAAAGAATGGCACCGAAATTGAAGACGTTAATTACGAAATGGCGCAGGAAGAGATCGCACAAAATTCAGGAATTAATGTTGAAAAGGGAACCGATAAATCGAATGGTATGTAATACTGTGTTGCACGGTCCCGGTGTAAGGAGTAACCTTCTTTTGTTTAGTAATTTCCTTCGATGTTTGTGGTTTTATCTCGACAATCCTTTTCCAGTAAACTTTAGCCTCTTGAGGGCAGCATGATTTGTTAATGAAACATGTCAACAGAAGGAAATTCCATTTAACCAAAAGAGGATGATACCTTTACCCGTATATCATTCAAGTCAAAAATAACGAACACGAAGACATTTTTATTAATGACATTTAGATATTGAATACATACAGGCCTTTTTGACCACTTTGCTGGTCAGAGTATAGCAGCCTATTCTAGTGGCTCAACCAATTATTGATTGTATGTTCCCCATTTAGAAGAACTGCTTATTCAAGAGGACCTACTTGACATCCTTCCCATGGTTGAAGAAGCAAATGCTATTAGTCAGGAACTCGACAAAAAAGTAATTCTGTTAATAATATCCACATTCCAATACAAGACTTTATTCCAACATTTGTATAAATAAAACTTTTGTTCTTTACACGAAGCAACTCCTTCTTGAAATATTCGCACGACTGATATTTTTATTCGATTTCTTTCAAAGGTCAAATTTGAAGCCTGCGTTCTTTCACCCAAATCAAGAGGACTCGTCACAGGACATCCTGAGGTTCGTGATCAGCTTAGTGTATTCTAAGATCTTTTTAGTTCATTTTGCGTTGTTGCAGAAGATTCGTCCATATAGTTTCCATATAGGTTGAGTGGACGAGAATGACGGATACAGTCGCTATTTCGTCTCCATCCTAGACCTAGTTTATCCAATGCTTGTGATGTTGCGATATGTTCGTATACCGCGTTGGACATCAGAGTGTGAAATACTGTATATGGCATTTACAAAAAGCATATTATGTATTTTTCCTGAAGATGACTAGTTGTAATATATACGTCGAAGGGTCGAATGTTTAATTTTAATGATTTACGGGTTATCAAAATTTCCTTTCCATTTAGGTGTTCGTAATCATGAAGAATCTTCAGTCAGGTTTGGAATGGATGTGGTCGAGAACGAAGTTTATCAACAGGAAATATTTGATGCAAGAAATGTACCAAGATTTTGAGGAGGGTGAGGATTGGGAACTACCCGACGAACGGGATCCCTTTACCGAATCCGATAGTACGGAGGTCATGATTGGTTGTGTTGAAGTGTATCTAGAGTCCATTGGTTATTTGGTAAGTATCACGTGGCTGTATTTGTGCCAGTAAACTTATAAGATGTAACGGAAATAAGGTAATACATTTTTGTCAATAAGGAAATAAGGTAATAAGGTAATAAATAAATAGTCCCCCCCCATTCTAAGTAATGTATTTTATTAAAAAATCAACGGACGAACGATTCGGCACATGAGTGGGACGGCATCTAGACCTGTGTCGCTGGAAATACACATTCGCATAGCATGACTAAATTGTCGGGCTGGCTACGCTTTCAATGATTCGCTTCAGTGGATTTGCTGCTGATATACATTACAAGACAACAGACTATAAAACGTCCATCAGGAATGAATTGGATCCAACAAAATTGGATCGTGTGAACAGACCTTTAGTTACAGTACATGCACGATTATATCCAATCTAGATTGATATAAGAGAACAGTTAACAATCAACGATTACCGAGGAAAAGATGTTGGATATTTAAATGTAAGTACGCGTGTTGCAGGTTATGACTTGGAACGTAGTGAAAAGAAAAGGAATTTAATCAACCACCCCCCTTGACTATCAATGTACCAAATTCACGGGGGGTGATGATGTGAAATATTTCTTGTTAGACTTACAGTAGCTTGTAAATCAACAAACTCGACCCGGTTGTAATCGTTTCTCGGATTTTTGTAGATGGAAGTAGTACCATTAAAAGAGGATGGAAAAGAAATAACTGAAGGTGATGACATATTTATAGAGAGTCCCAATAATATGGTGAGTGAACTTTCAAATAATTTACTCGGTAGGGGCTTCCTAGGTAGGACAGAATATTAGATGATACCAGAAGTCTTCATGCGGCATACACGAAAGCACCGACGTTAATGCCCACACAGAGCGAAAGACTTCTGGGGGTTTTCGCGTCTAGCTAAAGATAAATTAGAATGGCACCGATTTGATAAAACTTATTAGATAGCCTAATCATACATGTACTTTGGGGCAGTCAAGCTGAAGGTTTTACGAAATAGCCTGAAGCAGGCAATATTTTTTATCTACTTAATTAATAATTTCTAATTAGATTGGCAAAAAACTGGAGTTTGTCGTCAAAATTGTAAATGCGCGAGGAATTGAAAAGAAATATACAGTAAGTACATCGTAATTTTTTTTTGAAACAAAAAAGCTTTACTTTCACCATGGATAGTTAAATGACGTGATTTAATTATCCATGCTTTCACTTTACCGTTGCATGGTAAGCCGGATTCTACTAGTGTGATCGATTGATTTTTGACTTGAGTACTGTATAAACTGCATGCTACTAGTTTTGCCCAACCGTTTTCGAGCGTTTGCGCATTCGTTTTCATGCCAAAACGGTTTCAAACACCGTCAATTTGAAATAGAAATATAAAGCATTATTTTCCTCGGATCGTGTAGAGAGTGCGTCGAAACAATAAAATGGACAAAAACGATTTTGAAAACGCTCGAAAACGACGCTCCTGCGCGCATAGCCAAAATATGCTTCAGAAAAACGATGCCGGAATTCAGGATCCGGAAATTTCTGTCAAGAGAACAAAATGATAAAAAAAATATGTCTTATTATTCCAGGACGTTTTCTGCAAATATTCATTGTACAATTCAAAACAGTACGAAACAACCTGCATCGCTGGTACAACGAATCCTGATTTCTTTCACATGGAGAAATTTTCTTTTGATCCTTGCCCCAAAGAGGTTCGTATGTTCCAAAATATTGCATGTGACCCTCTAGAGGCATCATGTGCGTTGCTCATTTTTAGGCTGGGTGGAGCGATTCCGCGTAGCATAACTGCAGTTCTCCGCTAAAACCGTTGTTACCAATGAATTGGTATTCGGGAACATGCTTCCCCACCTTTTATTATCGGTTCTGCATGTAATAAATCGTTGACCACAACTTTTGTATGTAGTTAAATTGTAGTTACAGTCAAAATCTCCGAACACAGTCAGTTCACTTTAGCATGCATTAACGATAGTTGACTCATGGACTCGAGACTTGAAATCTTAAGTGCAGTATCAGTGAAATAAGTATAGTATATCCCCTGCAAAGCATTTATAGTACTGGGGCCGGTTGTATAAAACTCTTTAACTACATTGGAAAGTAAACTCAGAAATACACTATCCTGATTGGCCAATTCTGTCGTTAACTACAGCTAAATGTTAACTAGTCTTTTATATAACTGGCCCCTGGTTGTAGCAAGGCATTCGGACAATGGCCAGTCAAACTTTTGTTCATTTTCGCTGTTAATCATACAAGGTTTTATACGATCAGTTTGCTCCTAAATCACGAGTATACTCACCACCGATTTGAAAGTTTCATGTCATGAATCGTACCCAAAGTGTTAAAGTTCTGTCACTCTGTGATATTTTACAATCTGTTAGACAAAAGTCCTGACTGAACTTTGAATAATTTCTTTTTGTTTTTATAATTGTAATTTTTAGTTCGTTAGCTTCATCACGACGGAGAAGAAGCCCCTAATAATACAGGTTTGGGGAAAGCAAAAGGCAATTGGAAAGAAAACCGCAAAGAGGGCGAACAAACCAGATCAAACTACAAAAGCAATCGTGATGTCCGAGGCAATGAAGAAAGATTCTGCCGCTGGAAATGTTCGCAGTGTAAGTATCAGTATCGCTGGCATGCATTTAAACGACATTAAGGTGGCTAATAACCGCTTCGAGCGGTCGTCGACATTTAGTACTTATAGAAGATCCATCTTCGGTGTATTTGCAATGATTGTACTTTTTAGGATAAAAAGTATACTGAAAATGCTGTATTCAACGCAGTTCAGCAGATAACCATGCAGAAGCGTTTGCAAAGACTAGAAAACAAAGTTGTGAGTATTTTTTCAGCTTGTTTTGTGAGAAATGAATTGTTAATAATTCTGTCCATGTCCGCTTGTCCCAGACTTCCGGCGCGCCTTTATAGTAATGAAATTCCCTGCCCGTACATACGCATCATGCATTTGAAGAACAAAAGTTTATTAGCTACGCTAAACAATAAACGTTTCTACATACACAAGCTAGGTCTCGTGCACTTACGTTTCCGACTAACCGAGCTTCAGAGTTAATTCCTGTAGTGGACCTAAATGCGGTGCCTTTCCGCTCTAAATGTTCCTTTTAAACTATTTTTAAAACACTCATCCTCATGAAAACTAACCAGTTAGTCTGTGTTGTAAATCATTTGTACAAGGAAATTCTTGCAGCAACTTGTAATTGGCAAGCGGACTATCAGTTCAACACTTTCTCTCTCCTACAGCAACAAATACGAAGTTTGTGTGAACAGAAAGAACAAACAGGAGGTCATGAAGTCGAGGTAGGAATTAGTGTGTTTGCCCTTATAGTTAGAAAGTATAAAACTACAGTTTCAGAGAAAACATTTATTGAAGAGAATCCCCAATTTAGGAATTCTAAAGGGTTTAATCCAGGTTATATACCGAACCGTTGTTCGGTAACAACAGAAAACGGTTGCCCCCAACAGAAAACGCCTAATGAAAATCCTCCAAAAGACGGAGGTACTCCCAACCTCAACCAGGATCTTTGTACGCAGGCTAAGAATTGCACAAATCAATGCTTTTTTTAACCGAATTAACTTTACCGCGGCTTCTGTTTCCTTGCCAGGTCTCTGACATACGCAAGGTGCTGGGAGATCCTCCACCAAAAGTGATAAACGGACATAAACACAGACGCGACTCTTCTGCATCATCCGCATCGTCGGCAGGAAGTAAACAACAACAACAACCACAAAAACAACAAGATGAACGATCGCGAAGCCAAAATGGGAGTCGAGCTTGCACTGTGTTATAATTTGACGCCACAAAACACACCGCACATTATAATATGCGTACGTATTGTTCAATATCCTGTACAATTGCACGCATGTCTTCATTTTATCACAGAAGCTTTGTACATATTTTAAGTATTTTCACACAGCCAGCGTTTCTGTGAGATGTAGGACACATAGGATACCTTAATTCCGCATTATTTGCCCATCAAACGTTTTGAATTGTTGAGATATTTAATCCCATGTACTGACGATTACAGTTACAGTATATAGCCAATGACTGATATAGCCACATACGGTATATAGTTTAGAATCACAAGCTATAGGATCGGGGACTACCGAATAAACCGAGGAAAAATTGACATCTTTCCATGCAGTCTGTTAAGGGCGGCAATAGTCTGTGAAATGATTTTCATTCTCAGAAAAGGGCACGCGATTTTTTTAAACATGTTCTCTACAGGGTGTATAGGAAAAAAATGCACAGTTTGAAATCAGATATTTATAAAAATTGCATAATTTAGTACTATAATTGCTCCATGCTAATTTTTACAGTGAAACACAATTCATCATGCTCCGAGTCCGTACTGTAAGAAGTTTTGATTTGGCTATTGGAATAACAATGAATGAAACATATTTTCAAATTCCAGATTATAATTAGTTGTACTGGCGTAGAAATGCTATTTGCAGTATCTACTTACAGCGTTTGCACTTTTTTATACACCCTGTATATAGGGATATGCTATACGAAGCTGTGTGGAGATGATCGGTACAGGATTAATTACAAAACAGCTTATGGGAACATGCGCAAAAGCAACCGAATGTTGTGTACGTCTACTGAATTTCTCTCTTCCATCGTATGCCTAATTATAGAAGAATCTTCATCGATTTACTTGGCAGTTCCTTTAAACACATGCTTATAATCATGATTATAATCGCTACAATCCATGTTCCATCCATGCGGATGTTGATATGTACTGCATAGAAATATTGTAATTGATTTTCTCCAACTATTTATTGATCAACTCGTAGCTAATATATTTGCACGTGACAGATCAGTGATTGTTTGCCACGATTTAGCTGGAGTTAATGTTATTTTATCGTTGACGTAAAATATACAGTAAGAAAAACCCCAATTGATTATTCTCCGTTCAGCTTTACAACAATACGGTAGATAAAATGTTTTACGATATTTAATTTGGCAAGCCCAATGGACGAGTTGCGTTTTCGACTAATTTCTTATCTCAGGAGTAAAAAGGACATTTTCCCAAAGAGCTTACTAAAATTAGTAAAACTGCCAGGTTTGGCTGCGAATTGATGTAAATTATGGAAAATATAGCCATGCGAAGTTGTCGATTTTTGTATACTTTTGTATTACAGCCGGAAGTTTGTAGTTTCCGCGCGTAGTATACAAAAGTGTACAAAATATGCCAACTTCGCATGGCTATATTTTCCGTATTTTACAAAATTTCGCAGCCAAACTTTGCATTTGCACTAACTCAAGTACGCTATTTCTAGCTGGGGTGATTTATTTTATTCTAGTTACTTCAATCAAAAATTAGTCTAAAGCGCAAGTCATACACCACAGGATTCACAGAAAAATTTGCGTAAAATAGTCCAGAAAATATGTTTAGGTCAAAATCCGAGTGATTAGATTTTTAGGCAATGTTTGAAATGCATAATCTTCGAACGAAAAATATTATCGAGGGCATGATACAAACGACTTGAATACAAACTAATCGCTCTCAGAAAACGTGTTCCCTGTTGATTTGAAATATTTTCTAGAGCCAAGTTTCTAGACTGCTTCTAAAGAAGCAACTTATAGTATGTATGTTAACCCATACATCACGCATGAAAATATGATTGCTGTCATGGCAAGATAATTCAAGACAAGTTCTATCACGTCTTTGAAGAAAGGAAAGAAGATAACCTTCGCAGGAAATCCTAAGAGTACAACCCAAATACAAGCCAACCATACGACGATGAGTTTTCCTTTAATGACGACGGTCATTAAAAGGCGTTGTCCCTGTTCTCATAGCAAATTTTAAATTTTTGTGGGCCATTTAGCATTTTATAAGTTGTGTTAATCCCCACGAGCAAAAATTTGCGAACAAGCTATTCAATTTTTAACAATAGGTGATTTCAAATAGTTTTTTGGGACACCGTGTGTGTACTGTACAGGGTGTCTCAAAAAAAACGCAATCACTTAATATTCTAAAATTCATATTGTTCATAAGCTCAATAGATTTTATGCCCCTGGGATTTTAAAATGGCTTCTTATGGTACAGTTCAACTGCTAATAGTCAAATCAGCTAAACTAATAATGGTGCAGCTAACAACCGAACAACGAGTTTTTATTGTCGTGCACGATAACTTGAATGCTAACTGTCGACCTTGTAAAATAAATTGTAAATAACATTTTACTCGTTAAATACTTTCAATTCAGCTCGTTGGTTTACGCACCCGACTTTGTTTACCGACGATTGTGCCGCTAGAATATGATTACAAGCTTTCTCGCATTCCAGGGGCCAAACGTCTTTTGTGTTGTAGAACAAAGACGATATCATGAATATTAAGTGGTTGCGTTTTTTTTTATACACCCTGTACAGGGTGTATCAAAAAAAACGCAACCACTTAATATTCTAAAATTCATATTGTTCATAAGCTCAATAGATTTTATGCCCCCGGGATTTTAAAATGGCTTCTAATCGTACAGTTCAACTGCTAATGGTCAAATCAGCTAAACTAATAATGGTGCAGCTAACAACTGAACAACGAGTTTTTATTGTCGTGCATGATAACTTGGATGCTAACTGTCGACCTTGTAAAATAAATTGTAAATAAAATTTTACTCGTTAAATACTTTCAATTCAGCTCGTTGGTTTACGCACCCGACTTTGTTTACCGACGATTGTGCCGCTAGAATATGATTATAAGCTTTCTCGCATTCCAGGGGCCAAACGACTTTTGTGTTGTAGAACAAAGAGGATATTCATGAATATTAAGTGGTTGCGTTTTTTTTGATACACCCTGTAGAGGAAAGAAAACAAAAGGCTACAAAACAAAGGACCGTTTATTTATTGTTCAGCGATTGGTCAAATAAATTAACCAAACAACCTCGTTAGGGCTCAAAAAAAAGACAAAGAAAACAAAATGATTGGATTACAAAATTAGGGGCTATAATTATACGCATGACGGATTTGGCTATTCCTACGAACCTGAAAGCCACTAAAGTTGGAGAAGAAGCATAGCGAAGTTCAGTTGTTAAACTTCCTTTAAATCGTCTTTTAAAAGAACTTCACTAGAATAAATCACTAAAATAAACGTTGGTCATTGTCGCATCGAAAACCAGGTTAGTGTTGAAAAGATCGTTGTTTGAATGAGTTTGACTCGTACGTGTTGTTTCCACAGAACGACCTGTTGAAGCCGGCTGTTTAAACAATATAGTATGAATATGAGTTTGCATCGCCCTTTACGCTTGACATAATCTGTTTAAAGCCGATATTTGCCGAAGGAGTTTAATATGATAGGTTATAGCTGTGTTGAATGTAATGTATATGATATATTTTCTGGAAACAACGACAGAATCCCAACATGTTTAGCCAGAATCTCAGGACGGCTAAACGTACGCCAAAATAAGCAAATGTGGTTGCAAAAGAAATAAAATAGTCTTGCGAACACCGTATATAGTTTCTCGGTTACACAGATTTCTCATCCTCTCCATGCACCACATAATCACAGAATATTCCCGTTCTATCGCTGCCCAGCTTTACAACAATACAGTAAATAAAATGTTCTACGGTAATTTGGTAAACGCAATACGTACACCACAGGGTTCACAGCAAAGTTGGCGTGAAATAGTCCACCGAGAATGTGGTTCATAATCCGAGCAAATGGGCGATCTATACGCGACGCTTGAAATGCACGATCATCGAAAAGTATTATAATAGGCAGTAGGCAAATTATTTGAATACAAGCTATAAAACTAATCGTTCTCAAGAAACGTTTTTCTTTCAAAACTCGTGCCTTCTCCTGTCGATTTGAAATATTTCCTTGAACCAAGACAAAGTTTCTAGACTGTCTCTTCAACTTATAGTATGTTAAGCCATACATCACACAAGAAAATAAAATTAGTGTTCCCGAAATGTAATTGCCGACAAGCATTTTCACGTCGTTGGCATTGGTTACAGGATCTAAAAAGTAAATATTCACAGAAAGTCCGAAGAAAACAAGCCAAGTACAAGCCAACCATATCACGATAAGTTTCCCCTTCATCAAAACGCGATATTTTATTGGATATACAGTCATTAAGAAACGATCAACTGAAATCGCTGTTATCGTTAAAATGGACACGCCGACGCTAACGTGTTTGACCAGCATGACCATGTGCATATACCAAGTACTTTGGAAATCACGCAGGAAGAATAAAATCGGAGAGAAAAGACAGAACAGGAAATCTGAAGTCGCTAAATTTCCTACGAGATATGTTCCTGAGTTCCTGAAGCATTTCAGAGGGTCCTTGATGAAAGCAACGATGAGGAATACATTAGCGATTACGCCAAAAATGCAGACAGAAAAAGATAATATGCTTGTGTACATTATTTCCAAATCAACCGAGACAACGGAGTTGTTACTTGCCATATTTACGGAGTGGCAAACTTAGCTAAATGTCAATCGATCATGGTTTCGGGTGTTTTATATTTCAATGCATTTTAGTTTCAAAACTCAATATTTTTTAATGATGATAATTTAATTTTTTTAATGAATGGTTTTAATTAAATGTATTTACTGTATATTAAAACATCATATATTAAAATGGTGCGGCCATTGACCATTGTAAATTACAATGAATCACAGAGTATAAGCGTGCATTGTCCATTCAGTCGACGTAATCCTTCATGTCTTGTGCTTTTCATCCTCCGTTTTTCAATGCCTTCCTCAAACGCAATGCATCCATGGAGGATAATATTCTTATGCCAAGCCGAGCAAACCTGCAATATTCCAATTTTAATGAAAACTTTTTGACTGCTAATAAATGGGGATTATTGACTTAAATAGCAACAATAAGATGAGAGCCATTACTAACCGCCCGCCGCACACTAGAGCTATCAGCTGAGCTGAGCGTCACTCGTGATGGTCGGCGTAAGCAAGTCCCTCCAGTGTGCGGTGACGTTTTGAGCTCTTTCTGGCACGCGTGCCATCTGCAGCAGATATTCAACATGTTGAATAGTATGTTAACCCGCACATCAAGCCTGAAAACATAATTACTGCATGTTATGTCATAGAAATGTCTGATATTCCATGCCACGTCTTTAAACGAAAAATGCATTAAAACGGCATAACCACGTGTGCGGTGTGCCCAGTGGTTAGGAAATGATGCTGAAAAGCAAGGAAATAAATCAGAGAGATAAAACAGGTCAGGAGACCGAAATGGTTTTAGTTTTCCACAAGATACGTTCCTGAGTTCCTGAAGCATTTCAGAGGATCTTTGATGAAAGTGACGATGAGAAATACGTGAGCAATTAACCAAAAATGCAAATAGAAAGAGGCAATATATGCCTGTGTACTACTTCAAATTCTGTAAACACATCGGAGTTGTAATTTGCCATAGTTCGATCGAATAGCTATGTTGGAAGCATATTATACTTTAGTGTCAATTAATAGATTTTTAGGGTGTTTTCTGTTATTTTAAACTTTTTAATAGCAATTTCGATTTAAGGAAAATTATTTAACATACGCATTTTCTTAAGATTTAAATATCATTGAACAACCAATATTGTTTTTTGACGAAGTCTGTAATAAATTCTCAATGGCTAATGAATTAAAATATTGAAATGAGAAGTAAAACAATAACAAGACCACAAGCCGTATCAACTTCATTATCGTCTTATTAACTATTATCTTAATTGCATTCAATACGAGGAAACGTATAACCTCTTCTAAATAGTCATGCAGGGCTGCCTACATAAGAAACTAAATATCAAGTTCATGATACATGCCTCTAAATCTACGGTGTAGGTGGTTTTCACTCAAGACTAAAACATAGGGAAACACTTGGTGGTCAACTTCACACATATTGCCGAATTATGCCTTGTGGAAGTGAGCAAATTTCGTTAAATTGCACATAACATCTACTCAACATTAGGTCAAAACCTACATTGAATATTCTACAAAGAAATGAGTAAATATATGAAGTAGATTTGTCACGAATAAACGCAGACTTCACGTTCTCTCTTCTCTGTAAGTTCCTCAGACACCAGATCTTCACAGAATAGTTCTGTTCTATTGCAGGTCAGCTTTACAACAATACAGTAAATAAAACGTTTTACGATAATTTGGTAAGCGTAATACGTACACCACAGGATTTACAGCAAAATTGAAGTAAAATATAGCACTAAAAATATAGGTCAAAATCCGAGTTGCTAGGTCATTCGGCAATATTTTAAGTGTATGATCATCGAAAAATATCGTCGCAGGTACGATACAAAAAATTTGAATACAAGCTATGAAACTAATCGTTCTCAAGAATCGTTTTTCTTTCATAACTCGTGCCTGCTCCTGTCGACTTGAAATATTTTCTAGAGCCAAGCTTGTGGACTGCTTCTTCAACTTATAGTATGTCAACCCATACATCACGCAAGAAAATATAATGAATGTTTCCACAAAATAGTGCACGATATGGCCTACCACGTAATTGATTGAAGGGAAGAGGATAACCGTCCAAGGGAGTCCTAAGAAGAAAAGCCAAATACAAGCCAACATTACGAGGATAAGTTTTCCTTTCATCAACACGCGATATTTCATTGGATATACGATCATTAGGAACCGATCAACGGAAATAGACGCTATCGTTGCAATGGATACGGAAATGCAAACAAAATTGATGGACCTCAGATACGAGCACCAAGTGCAAGGCAAATGAAGCGATAAGACAACAATGGAAGAGAAAAGACAGAACAGGGCATCCGAAAAGGCCAAATTTGCCACGAGATATGTTCCTGAGTTCCTGAAGCATTTCAGAGGGTCTTTGATGAAAGCAACGATGAGGAATACTTGAGCAATTACACCAAAAAGACAGATGGAAACAGGCAATATTTTTGAGTAACTCATCTCCAAATAAATGAAGTCATCGGAACTGTTGTCTGTCATAGTTCAAATGGCCTGTGTTGAAAGCAAAGCAATATTAACCGACTTTAGTTGTAGTTCTATTTTAAGGTTGGTCAACCTTTATGTCCCTGTCGTCTTGGGTAGTGTCGCAGCTCCTCGCAAGAATGATTTTCATTGGCTGAACTTTACAATACATTTCTGTTTCAACCAATAGCATAGCTTCGTTCTTTAGAAAGCATAGAAAAGCATTATCAAATTGGACGAGAGCTGCGACATGTCCCGAAAAAAAACGAAAATGTTTAAGTAGGAGAGCAATAAAAGATGACAAACCATATTAAACGCATTATTGTTCTATTATCTATTGTCTTTAATTGGGAGAAAAATAAGACATCCAAACTGCTGCGATATATAACTGCTGGGCGGAGAAGGGCATTGTTTATATACGGCCAATGAAACGTATACGTTTTGCAACGATAAGATTAATGTGGAAAACAGCCCCTTTTTCCCTTATGAAAACGTGTACAAATTAACGGTGGCTAACAAACATGGAGATAAATAAAATTCTGTTATGTTTTATAGAAATGACTTATTTTGTAGCTAATTCTAGAGGTGGCTAAAAGCATCTTCAAAAATGTCTGATGATTTCTTTACGTAGCACTCCTGTTCTGCTGCAGCCCAGCTTTACGACAATACAGAAAATAAAACGTTTTTCGATAATTTGATAAGCGCACAACGTACACAACAGGATTCACAGCAAAATTAGCACAATATAGCGCACCAAAAGTTGGCGTCAAAATCTGAGAATATACGCCTTCTATAGGCAAAACATCAAGTGCCTTAAAATGGAATAATACCGTTGAGGGCACGATACAAACGATTTGAATGCAAGCTATAAAACTAATCGTTCTCAAGAAACGTTTTTCTTTCATAACTCGTGCCTTCTTCTGTCGATTTGAAATATTTTCTTGAACCAATACCAAATTTCTGGACTGCTTCTTCAACTCAAAGTATGTTAACCCGTACATCACACATGAAAATACAATCACTGCTCCCGTGAAGATGGTTAAAGGAAGCAGTGTCATGTAGTTAACGTTGCTTGAAGAGAAGAGGAGAGTTTTCGCCGAATATCCGAAAGAAATAAGCCAAGTACAAGCCAACCATACGACGATAAGTTTTCCTTTCATCAAAACGCGATACTTCATGGGATATACGGTCATTAGGAAACGATCAACTGAAATCGCCGCTATCGTTAAAATGGACACGCCTAGGCTACCGTCGACGGCGAACAGAATAACCGTTTGCCAAGTGACATGGAAATGACTATGAGAGAAAGTAAACAGATAGGTAAGACTGGTCAGGAGATCCGAAATAGCCAAATTCACAACAAGATATGTTCCTGAGTTCCTGAAGCATTTTAAAGGGTCCTTGATGAAAGCAACGATGAGGAATACATGAGCAATTACACCAAAAGTGCAGATAGAAAAAGGCAATACGGCTTTGTAGTTTATTTCAAACTCAGTGAAGACAATGGAGTTGGTATTTGCCATACTTCGATCAAAAAATCTGTGTTGGAAGCATATACTTATGCTTAAATTCTAAATCAAATTTGCATTAAATTGAATTTAATTTAGTTTAAATTTTAAACATTTTAAATTTTAATTAATTTAATTTAAATTTTGAATTCTTAAAATTTTCAAATTATATCAAGTCTAAATTAAATTAAATTTAGCTTAAATTTTTTAATAACAATTTTGATAGAAATTTCGATTTAAATGGTCGGTAGGCATATCTGTAATGAAATAATATATGACTATTCACAGAGTAATAGCGCGCTGACCACCCTGCTTAGGGGGGGGGGGGGGGGGGATAGCTAATGACCACTTAAATTGGCAAGTCGACTCACGTTTTATACGCCCTGGTCGTCTCAGCCTTCATTTTCCAATATCTAGCAAGGGATAAAAATATTTCATTGCAAACCGAGCAACTACAACTAATTTCAATGAACTCAGTCCAAAACATCTTGAAGGTTAATAAATGCAAATATATAAAAAGCAATTATGAGATGACAAGCCTTTATCAATTACCTCATCATCGTCTTATTAACTACAATTGTCTTGCATGCAATAGGAGGAAAGTGAAACTCATCTATATAGTCAGGGCTGCCTTTCAATTCAATCGTGTCTCCTGCATGATGGCTACTCCATTTACTGTTCAGGATCATTCAGAACACTGTTTGAGAAGTGTGTGTAATGGATGCACATATTGTTCTGGAACAGTGTTCAGTCTATTACATATGCGTTCAACCATGATTTTATAATTGTTCGCATTATACACAGTATAATGATTTCGTGTATTTTCATGTCTAAGTGCACTTTTTAGGCACTTTTACACATTGAACCTCTCACAACTATAACCTGTACAAGGGCGTAAATCCTGAGAGGGGGGCACCCCCACACTTTTGGCGTAGGAGGAGACGAATATGTAATTGTATATACATACCATAGTGTCGTATCAGAGGCGGATCTAGGGTCAACAGTCGACAGACGTATTTAAGGTATATTAAATAAGAATTTAATACTCCGAACAAATGAAATGGAGCCGGCTGCTGCACGGACGCTCGGCTAGGAAGACGTGAAGTTCATCACGTTTGCATACACTGCTGAAAACTCTTATGACTCCAGATAGTTTTTTTAATGTACAGTGCAAAATGCAAATATACTCAAATTGATCATGAACTATACCTAAAATCAAAACAAAAAATATTTATTACAGTATATATATAATTCTTTATTAAAAACCAAACGATTACTGTTAATCAAAAGAAGGCTAAAAATTCGTGGTTTTCTTCATGGCTATCTTTTTGATATAAAACACAACAGAATACGTACAATGAAGTATAATACAAGATACAATTTTATTTTGCTGGTGCTTATCACGATTAAATATAGCTATATCATTGTGCTGTCCTCTACAAGTGTTAAGTCAAAGTGTTGCCAAAGAAATTAATTGTTTTCAAAAACGACCAGGTTGGCTTCTATCTTCTATGATAGATCATAACTCATGGTTAGTGTTATAAGTCATAACCATGTTTTGAATAGGAGCTTTGAATACGGGCGTCAGTCAGGGAAACGTCTTTATCCCCCCGGTTACACAAACTTCGCATCCCCACTTTTTCTGACCATAGAATATTTTTGTTCTAAAGCCTTTAAGTTACAGCTTACAACAATACAATAAATAAAACGTTTTTCGATAATTTGGTAAACGCCATATATACACCAGAGGATTCACAGCAAAATTGAGGTAAAATAACCCATAAAGAATATGCGTCGTAATCCATGCTGATGGACTATCCATTAGCGGAGCCTGAAATATTCGAAAGTTAAAAAATGTTGCGGAAGGCAGGATACAAACGATTTGAATACAAGCTACAAAACTAATAGTTCTGAGGAAACGTTTTTCTTTCATAACTCGTGCCTGCCCCTGTCGATTTGAAATATTTTCTGGAGCAAAGTTTCTGTACTGCTTCTTCAACTTATAGTATGTTAACCCATACATCACACATGAAAATATAATCACCGCCCCTGCGAAAAAGTTAATGACCAGCGTCGCTACTTCGCCAATTTTGTTCAAAGGGTCTAATAGGAAAACCTTCGTAGAAATTCCAAATGAAATCAGCCAAGTACAAATCAACCATACGATGAGACGCTTTCCTTCCATCAAAATTCGATATTTTATGGGATATACAGTCATTAGAAACCGATCCATTGAAATTATCGCTATCGTGAAAATGGATTCGCTCATGCAAACGTGCTTGGCGAACAGGAGAACCGAGTGCCAAGTGCCAAGGAAATGACGATGAACGAAATAAATCGGAGAGATGAGACTGGTCAGGAGATCCGAAATTGCCAAATTTCCCACGAGATATGTTCCTGAGTTCTTGAAGCATTTCAGAGGATCCTTGATGAAAGCAACAAAAAGGAACATGTGAGCAATTACACCAAAAATGCAGATAGAAACAGAAAATATGCTTGAGTACATCATTTTTATCTCAGTCAAAACATCGGAAGTGTTATGTGCCATAGTTCGAATGGTGATCTTAGCCTTCGTTTTCCTCTTCTAGAGGCAACGGAGCAAAACACTCTTATTGCAATTCTGATAGTTAATACTTGTTTTAACGAAGTATTTAATGTTAATATATGAGCATACTGAACTAAACAGCAATAACAAGATGACAAGCCTTATTGACCTCGTTATCGTCTTAATTATTAAAATTAGCTAATAAGTCGTCATCTAATCTCTTAATTGTACTTAATGCAATTATAAGACACCTAAACACAGGCGGATCTCCGAAAAAATCTCCCTTCAAAAAAGCCGCTTCCTATAAGCAAAATATACCTTCAATTTTCGAGTGTACCATATTCTAGTATATTCGACCATAATCGAGTATACCATATTCCTGTATATATTAGACCATGGTCGAGTACACCATACTTCGGTATATTCGATCATGATCGAGTTTTCCATACTTCGGTATATTCAACCATGGTCGTGTATTCCATATTCCGGTATTTTCGACCATTATCGAGTATACCATATTCCTGTATATTCAACATGGTCGAGTATACCAATCTACGGTATATTCGACCATGGTCGAGTATACCGTATTCCGGTATATTCAACCATGGTCGAGTATGCCATACTTCGGTATATTCGACCATGGCCGAATATTCCCTATTCCTGTATATATTCGACCATTATCGAGTATACCATATTCCGGTGTATTCGACCATGATCGAGTATACCATATTATTGTATATTTGACCATTGACGAATGACGACGTCAAATGGGCAGGCGAGCGCCGCTGCGCCGCACGTTTGCAGTGGGGACGAAGCACACAGTCACATACGACCGGGGTAGTTGCAAACGGCCCAAGTTCAAAGGACATTGTGCGCACTCGCATTCTTATAAGCCTGGTTTTCTTCAATCGTAATCGTCGTGAACAGTCATTTTCCCCTATATGACATTTTTCAGGACCAAATGAAAACCCTGCATTGCAAATCTTAACCGAAGTCGACGTTATCCCTTGAAAAGTTGACGATTCTCGACATCTGCACAAAACATCTTTCCATCCACGGAGGGACGCTGCCCCATTTCTCCACTGGACCACGCCGACTTCGCCTTTCGTTTCCTTGAAAAAAACATGATTAATGATTACGACATTTTAAAACCAGCCTGCCTTTAAATACTGCATGTTTTTATTAAATATTATAAAAATTGTTATTAATTGTAAATTTCATTATAATAAGTATATATAAGGTATATATAGTTACTCAGCCTATGTGTAGTAAAGCTATTATCCCCTTTTTTTTGGGGTAGGGTCATTGAAAATGAAAAGCTGTGATGAGACGAAGATAAATGATGGGTCTGGCCAACGTATAGCCGCTATACTACACCTTTCTCCGGCTCCCGGCAGCTGTCTCCGAGATTTGTTGAAATACAAGTTCAACAATAATTTCTTCAAGAGAACATTTTAATTAAAATTTCTCATTATTAAAATTAAAACTGTTATTAAAATAAGTTTTGAAACTGTAAGGCTGTCAGAAAATTACGAAACACACCGAAGTGCAACCTGCACTAACTAAGCTTCCAATGCACGCCATTGTGGTATGGCAAATAACAGCTCCGCTTCCGATGTCATTATTGGACTGGAGTACCCAAACATTTTGCCTGTTTTTATCTGTATTTTTGGTGCAATCGCTCATGTATTCCTCATCGTTGCTTTCATCAAAGACCCTCTGAAATGCTTCAGGAACTCAGCAACATATCTCGTGGTAAACTTGGCTATTTCAGATCTCCTGTCCTGTCTTATCTCTTCGACTCTTTTCCTTTGGCGTTATTTCTTTGTCACCTGGACCTCGATTCTGCTGTTCCTTGCTAATGTTAGCGCAGGATCATCCATTCTAACGATAGCGGCGATTTCAATTGATCGCTTTCTTCTGACCGTATATCCCATAAAATATCGCGTTTTGATGAACGGAAAACTTATCGTCCTGTGGTCGGCTTGTACTTGGCTTATTCCTTTCGGACCTACTGCAAAGGTTTTTTTATTCCCTTCAGCCAGCACTAGCGACATGGAAATGCTTCTCATTAACATTTTCGCAGGAACAGCAATCATATATTCGTGCGTGATGTATGGGTTAACATATTATAAGTCGAAGAAGCAGTCCAGAAACTTGGCTTTAGAAAATATTTCAAATCGACAGGAGCAGGCACGAGTTATAAAAGAAAAACAGTTCTTGAGAACGATTATTCTTATAGCTTGTATTCAAATAGTTTGTGTCGTCCCTAAGACGATTATGTTCAATGATTATATATTTCAAATATTGGTTACAGACGGCCGTTCCGCTCTAATTTGGGGCCGTATTCTTGCTGGACTTTTTTACCTCAATTTTTCTGTCAATCCTCTTGTGTACGTCTGGCGCTTACCAAATTATCGAAGAACGTTTTCTTTATTGTATTGTTGTAGGCGCCAAGACAGATAAGGCCGAAGTCGACACAACGTAACTTAAATTCTTTTTACTTAAGTCTATACGACTATAGTATAAATCAATACCCGGCTATATCCAAAAGGTTTTGACCACTTAATTGTGCACGAGAAACTAAATGAAACTTGTTAAATATGTTTATATTTGTATGAATATTAAAAATAAACTTTATTTTAGCACAGAAAATCTCCATATCGAAACAGTACACTCTTTAGCACACTCATGCAGTTATTGCCAATGTGTTAACATGATAGCAACTCATTATTGACCTCGCTTAGTTCGGTCTATACTGTGAAATATCAGACCGAGGTATTTTAGTATGCAAAAAATGGTCTGATATTTCACAGTATATACTGACCGGAACAAGCGAGGTCAATAATCTGAGGCCGGTTGTATGAAAGCCGGATAGCGTTGAAGTCGCCTGTTGTGCATGGGTATACAACTTTGATTAAATCTTAGTATTCCTAAATTGAGGCTTCTTTTTAATAATCGTTCGTTCCAAAGGTGAAATTTTATTGTGTTTCAAGCAATTTTAGAGCGGTTGAAAATTAAATCACCATGCAGTGGGTAGCGCTATCCGGCCTTCGTACAACCGTCCCCTGTTTATTATATATGACTAACTTCATGAGATATCTGGGATACTGCATTTCATCCACGAAGTTACATATATTTATTCATCCTCTGACAATGTTGACAAAAGCTTGGCAGAAATCGAATGGTTCCCTATAATAGTTCTCATAAACTATAATAGTTCCCAAGAAACGTTTTTCTTTCGTAATTCGTGTCTGCTCTTGCCGATTTGAATTTTAACTCGCGGTCATCTATTTTTTGCAAAAATATTTACAAAAATGAAGACGAAAAAATTGATTAAAAAAACATTAAATAGAAGGTTTCTGAGAAGGTCTCTGATAATTTATGTTTCATTAAACTATAGGCTTCATAAAAGATGCCTTTTAAAAGCACTTAGATATAGCTTTGCATCTGTAGAGAGTGCATTTACATATTCATATATTCATGTTAACAGGCCTGTAAAGACAATGGATTTGAAAAGAAATTAATCTTGCACAACATGAATATATGAATATGTGCCCCATCCCCCAACTATCGCCTCCCGTACGCCACTACTTTACTCTATGCGAGAAAAAGTCCAAGCTGCTTTGAAACGTAAAAGAGGCTATATACAAAATATTAGAACAGCCCCACTGAGTGCATGGGAGTCAAAACACATGGGTGGCATTACTAACACAAAATGCGCAAGTTCAGATCAACATATCAAATCTCCAACTCACAAGATATCATTTTTTGAACGTTAATGTTTCAATTGCTTCTCGACTTAGGGATGCATGGAGTAAAAACACACAGGCAAAATTTGTGGGAGAATGGGGTGTAGGGGTGAAGTACTCCGGTGAATTATTTACAAGTTAATTTTCTATTAATAGACGAAAGATGTCCTAGGGGTAATAATCCCCTAGAACTGGCGCTCTATGGCAGGGGCCTGACGCATGCGAGAAAAGCTGTTCGCTCGAAGCTGTGTGGGTATTCGTTAAGAGCTCTATATCGTCTCTTGCTTCTTTGTTGTCTCCGTTTTGCGAGGTATAGGCTAGGTAGGTGTCGAGCTCGACATGGCTTTCACCGCTACAAGGGCTGCTTTCGATGCGATATCGGCCATTGACTTCTCAATTGTCCGTGTTGTTATGGCTTCGATCGCTTTTAACTGGGCTTCGCTCCGGAGTGGCGGGGCCTCTGTCGAGGTAGATGAGACCACAGTTGTAGGGACGATATCATTGTTTGGTGAATTTGAAGTCGTAGACGTCGAGGGCAAACTTGTAGTGGCAACTGAAGATACAGTATTTGTCTCGGAGACAGGACTTGACGCTGTGGTATGATGTTCTAGACGGGCGATCAAGGCGTTACGGCGACCGCGAGTAGGTAACCCCTAGTAAACCCTTATCCGAGGCATCGCGAAATATGTAGATTTTATTTCCCTTTCTTTATCTTGCTCCTTTCCGAGTTCGTAGTGCTTGGTCTCGACGTTAGCATAGAGTAAATCTCCAACTCACAAGATATAATTTTTTGAAAAATTATCGACTAGACTCAGACTCTATATAAGGTATAGTTACTCGGCTTACTCCAATTATATCTGCTTAGGGTCATTGTAAATGAAAGGCCGTGACGACACGAAGATAAAATATGGGTTTGGCCAGTGTAGGCAGCGACTATACTAGTATGGCCTCACCTAAGTGACGTCACCCACCCGCTCTCAGTGAAATTTGTTGAAATATAAACGCACAAGTTCAACGATGATTTCTTCAAGAGAAAATTTTAATTAAAGTTTCTCATTATTAAGATTAAAATTGTTATTAAAATAAGTTTTGAAACTGGCTGTCAGAAAATTACGAAACACGCCGAAGTGCATGTCAACATGCACTAAGTTAAGCTTCAAACGCATGCCATGCATTCGTGCTATGGCATATAACAGCTCCGATGTCATTATTGCATTTGAGTATGCAAATATTTTTTCTGTTTTCATCTGCATTTTTGGTGTAATTGCCCATGTTTTCCTCATCGTTGCTTTTATCAAGGACCCTCTAAAATGCTTCAGGAACTCAGCAACATATCTCGTGGTAAACTTGGCTATCTCAGATCTCCTGTCCTGTCTTATCTCTTCGACTCTTTTCCTTTGGCGTTATTTCTTTGTCACCTGGACCTCGATTCTGCTGTTCCTTATTCATGTCACTATGGGTGCATCCGTTTTAACGATAACAGCAATTTCAATTGATCGATTTTTTCTGACCGTATATCCTATAAAATATCGCGTTTCGATGAACGGAAAACTTATCGTCGTATTGTCCGCTTGTACTTGGCTTATTCCTCCTGGACCTACAGCGAAGGTTTTTCTATTCCCTTCAGCCAACGCTAACGTTAACGTCATGGTATTGTTTGGCATGAACACTTTCGCGGGAACAGCAATCGTATTTTCAAGCGTTGTGTATGGATTCACATACTACAAGTTAAAAAAGCAGTCCAGAAACTTGGCTCTAGGAAATATTTCAAATCGACAGGAGCAGGCACGAGTTATAAAAGAAAAACAGTTCCTGAGAACGATTATTCTTATAGCTTGCATTCAAATCGCTTGTGTCGTTCCTAAGACGATTATGTTCAATGAATATATATTTGAAACATTGTTTACACACGGCCGTTTCGCTCTGATTTGGAGCCGTATTTTTGCTGTATTATTTGACGTCAATTTTTCTGTCAATCCTCTTGTGTACGTCTGGCGCTTACCAAATTATCGAAGAACGTTTTATTTACTGTATTGTTGTAGGCGCCAAGACAGATAAGGCCGAAGTTTGACACAATTAACGTGAGTATTTTGCATATCCTAGAGACATCCCGAAATAATGTACCGTAGTTTGAAAAACAATATCTCTATATTAATTCTTTTAAAGAATACAATTATAACATATAAAAATCTAAGTTAGTCTTTCCTCTAAATGATGAAAGTTATTTCATTTCGATAACTACACTCGATAAGAAGTGAATTGAATTGAATCAAACCGGAGTACCTTTTTTGGGACACCCGCGTTACTGTAAATTTTGACAGTTCTACAAAGGGTGATTTTTCAAGCATTCAGTTCATGTGATGCAGGAACAATCGGTAAATAGTTTCGTAAGTTTCTTTGAATGTAAAAAATATAGCATTGCATACATTGTGATAGGAAATTATTCATGTGTTTTTAAAAACTGCCGGAAGCATTAATTTGTATTAAAATAATATTTAGTATCTTGAATTATTATTTATCTTCTCAGGCTCACCTTAATTGCACAAGTACATGCAGCAGTGATAGGAGAGTAGAGAATAAATTTTGATCAACACTACTGCATTCGATTTAAATTAAGTGTTAAAGGGGAGATTTTAAATGAACAATTTTATTAATTACCAGGAGTGCACTGTGTATACTCCCACAACATTATGTGTCTTGTTGGACAAGACTAATGCTACGCGGTTGGAATAGGGAGGATAACACAATGTATTAGAATCTTACCAAGCGTCATGGACTGATGGACGTAATTTAATTATAGGAACCATGCTTCAAGCAAATTAATTGGATGGTTATGGTTCCCATGCAATGTGCAATACTAAATATTTCATCATTTTCCTTGAATGAGTAATTTAGCGCTATCCTTTGCCCCATAATACCATGTGGGTTGTGGTGATAGTAGAATTTTTTATCAGTTAGTTCATACTAATTTTATAAGGCAAGACTTCTGGAAACGGCAAGTTTCAAAGTCCCATTTGTTTTCTTCTTGTAAGGCCAATTTAGAATTTAAAGATAACGAATGGCATTGCAAGTCATGCTGACCGCTTTGCTATTTTAGAACTGTTATACATTTGTGCGTGCGTTTGTTAATTGTAGTTCTTGTGGCAATATAATAGTGAATTAAAGTTTGACATATGTCTAGAAAATAATAGACTGACTTATTATCGCATTTTATATTTTCATGATCATCAGAACTGATTCCGTCTCTTTAGCAGACTCATGCAGTAAATGTCAATGTGTTAAGCACGATAGATTTATTACATGCATTTACGAGTTATAAATAATAATTCATCTTCTGACAATATTAACACAAGCCGGTATGGCAGAAATCGAAGTAAGAATTTAATTAAAAATCTTTTAGTTCTATCTTTGGTGGGAAATTTTTTATTCACTAGCTCATGACTACATTCATAGCACGAATATTTAGCAGGTTACCTTAATACTCCCGCTGTCCTGCACCAGATCAGTGATAATGACATAACATACGAATATTATCTATCAGAAGTTAGTATAAAACCCAGTATATTTTTTTAAGTACACCAAAATTCAACGGATTAGACATTACTTACAGACAATCCTTAAAGGTCATTGAAAATGAAAGCTGTGACGGCACAAAGGATTAATAATGTCTTAATTGCTAGTGTATGTAGCGACACTAGACTTCAGCTACACTTTCCTCCCCAAGTCCCAACAGCATGCACGCTCACTCTGTGGTATGTTGAAATATGTGAAGTTGTAAACGCACAAGTTCAGCGTTATTTTAATTATGACAATAAGAGATTTTAATTAAAACCATGATGCAAATCGCTATTTCAATTAAAATTGTTATTAAAATAAGTTTTGAAGCTGATTGTATATAGTTGTGAGTGAAAAACTGAAACACATTAAAATATCAACATGCACTAAGCCTCAAGATACGAACAACATGCACACGTTATTCGTGCTATGGCAAATAACAACTTGAATAACTTCAGTGTAGACTCTGGACTGGAGTACTCAAGCATATTGCCTATTTCCCTATGCACGTTTGGTGTAATTGCTCATGTATTCCTCATCGTTGCTTTCATCAAGGATCCTCTGAAATGCTTCAGGAACTCAGGAACATATCTTGTGGGAAGTTTGGCTATCTCGGATCTCCTGACCTGTCTTTTCTCTCCCACTTTTCACTTCCTACGTCATTTTCCTAGCATTTGGCGCTCGATTTTGCTGTTCGTTATTCATGTTAGCATTGGCGTATCAATTTTTACGATAGCGACGATTTCAATTGATCGCTTTCTAATGATCGTATATCCCATAAAATATCGCGTTTTGATGAACGGAAAACTTATCGTCGTATGGTCGGCTTGTACTTGGCTCATTTCATCCGGACCTTCATTGAAGATTTTCCTATTCCCCTCAGCCAACGCTAACGTTGACGTCATGGTGTTGTTCGGCATGAACCTTTTCGCAGGAACATTAATTGTCTTCTCAAGCGTCATGTATGGGTTAACATATTATAAGTTGAAAAAGCAGTCCAGAAACTTGGCTCTGGAAAATATTTCAAATCGACAGGAGCAGGCACGAGTTGTGAAAGAAGAACATTTCTTGAGAACGATTATTCTTGTAGCTTGTCTTCAAATCGTTTGTATCGTCCCTGTAACGATTCTTTTCAAGTATCAGACACTTCTTATAGAAGACCCTTTCGTTCGGATTCTAGCTCATATTTTTAGTGGACTATTTTACGCTAATTTTGCTGTCAATCCTATGGTGTATGTCCTGCGTTTACCAAATTATCGAAGAACGTTTTATTCTTTGTACTGTCACAGGCGCCAAGACAGATGAGGCCGAAACCCCAATCATATTATGTAATGTTATAGACACGGAAATCATGAAAGAGCAATTTTGGTCATTTAGATGACCGCGTATAGCTATATATATCATTAGAAGAAACTTCGTTTTGAATGCATTGACATCCTCAGTTTGATTTCATGTCATCGCCTGAAAAATGCCTGGCGATGATTTCAAAATTGAGGATGAGATGTTTTTCTCTCTGTCGAGTACACGAACCCGATTAATTCGGTTTTCCATAAGATTGAAATTTTCATTTTTTACAATTATATAATAACGTTAAGAATTCAAACATTTTCATTGGTCGAGAGCCATGATCTATAAGAGAATAGACACGGATGACGTCACAGATAATTTTAACGAGTAAGATCAGTCATCTCTAGTTTTATTTTTGTCAGCTAATTACATTTTAGCACGTGTCTTAAACTAGCCAATAGCATATCTCCAATTCTATAGAACATGTACGCTTGATATCTGCAAAATTTTGATCCATTGGATCCGGGAAACATTGCATTAATTAATTTATTTAAAGTCATATGACTACTAATAAACCAATCATATTCAAAATACACAACACCTATATAACTGGCAAATCCTAATGTAAAACTGTATAGCTAGAATGTTCCGTTCCAAAAACTGAATTTGTGTGGGTGTGTGTGTGATAACAATAAATTATAAATAACACTCAAATATTGAATTTTCTCAAAAGCTAAAGCCACTACTAGCCACTACAAACGCTTTCAAAAATTGCTCCATGTCCTTGCAGTTTTTAGGCCATCCGAAAAGATATTCGACTTATTATTTAACTTCCAGAAAAACGTCCTGAAGTTTTTTGATCTGAAATTCAGTTGGTTGATTCATAGTCAATGTTTATTCAAAATTTCACAGCATGTTTTTGCTGTTGGCTCTAAGCAATTCGATTTCTTCTGCATCGATCTTATTTCTAAAAACCCTCCTCGTGCGGCCGTGCTTAATTTATTACTTATTTGTTTCTACCGTATTCAATCCAGTTTGTTTCAGAGGTATTTTCAATACCTTTCTTCAATATAAAAATAAATAATATTTTAATTAAACATAACCTGTTTAGTTCTAATTGCTGCATACATTTTTCAGTTTAAAAAAACAGGGTTTTTCCATTCCTTATAATTATCATAGATCTTGATTAAAACTTTTCAACAGTCCCCACGATATTTTTCGTGGATCGTCTGTAAATGCGAGATAATATAGTGATAGATATAAGTCCTATAACGACTGGCGTATAGGACTTATATACGGATATATTATATTTGACAATTAAAATGAATCAAATGAAATTCGACAACTTCGATTAAAGAATGAGATTTTGATTTTTGAATTCATTTGAACCACTGTCCACTTGAATACACCTTGTATATATCTCTTGACTGAATCGGTCATGCCACGTTTGAAGATTTGACTTTACTTTAAGCTGCATGGCTATGTTACATCGCGGTGCAATTTTTCTTGCAACTTGCAATGCAATTCTACCTTGAAGAGATGGAAAGGTTGGTAAAGAGTCTTCAAAATGTAAGTGTAAGAGACGTCACGGAGTGTAATAAAGGCAGAATTATATGGTAGTTGCTAAATTTACATCTCTCAAAAGAAGAATTGCATCGTAAGTTGCAGGAAAAATTGCACCGTGTAACAGGACCTTAAATATACTTTGCATTATTGACGGAGCAAATTGCAGAATGTCGATATAGAAAATAACTAAGGACATAATGATGAAAATAGTGTGTCTATAATAGGGAATCGTCTTTAAGGTATATTGCATAGAGGATATGATATTTGTTAGCTACCCATGCACTAGCTGCAAAAGGCCGTTGCGTGATATGGTTGCGCCTGAGCTACAGTAATACAGTGAAAATTGGAAACGTTTGCACTTTTTATTATTATCATTTAAAGTACAGGCTATATATAACATCTAGCTATGTATGTAACGTTTTAGGTTTCGATTCGTTTCAGCTCATAGACGACTTGAGCAGTCATTGTATAAATAAAATGTTTCCTGGAAACAAGACTATAAAGGATGCATGACATTAAGTACCTCATACTCTATACGATGCAAGTTTATGAAATCAAAATTTATTTTCATTAAAGGCCTGAAAATGCGAAAAGAGTTCAAACGGTAAAACACTTGTAGTTAGGCTACACATGCAGACTTTGCAGTCTATTTATATACCAACGCTAAAATTTTCTGTCCATAACTTCATCGCATAATTCTTTTCCGCCGCATCCGGCCAGCTTTACAACAATACAGTAAATAAAACGTTTTCCGATAATTTGGTAAACGCCATACGTACACGACTGGATTCATGGCGAAATTAATGTAAAATAATACACCAAAGCAAAATTTCAAAATCCGTGCGAATTGACCAACTTGAAGTAAAGCTTGAAATGTGTGATGACTTGTAAATATCGTCGCAGGAACGACGCAAAAGACTTGAACACATGCTATTAGAATAATCGTTTTTAGGAAATGCTTTTCTTTTATAAATCTTGCCTTCTCTTGTCGATTAGAGATACTTCTTAATGCAAAGTTTTCGGACAGCTTTTTCAACTTAGAGTATGTTAACCAATACATCACCCCAGAAAATATAATTACAGTTGCCACAAAATAATTCATGAACATCAATGCCACTTCTTCGAATGATGGGAAAATGAACGTTTTCGCAGGAATTGCGGAAGATATAAGCCAAGTACATGCCAACCATACGACGAGAAGTTTTCCTTTCATCAAAACACGATATTTTATTGGATATACGATCACTAAGAAGCGATCAATTGAAATCGCTGCTATTGTTAAAATAGATACGCTGACACTAACAAAAGAGACAAGCGGCAGAACCGAATACCATGTGACGGATAAATGACGCCGAAAGAATAAAATCGGGGAGAGAAGACAGTTAAGTAGATCCGAAATAGCCAAATTTACCACGAGATATGTTCCCGAGTTCCTGAAGCATTTCAGAGGGTCCTTGATGAAAGCAACGATGAGGAATACATGAGCAAGTGCACCGAAACCGCAGATGGAAAGTGGCATTGCCAGTATGCCTGCGTACTCCATTCCAATCAAGACATCGGAGTTGTTATTTGCCATTGCTCAAATTTTTAGCCTACTGTATTGTCACTTCGGTGTATTTTGTATTTACAACATGGATTTCAAAATTAAATATTTTTAATAACCATGCATTTTCAATTTGAATAATGAAAAGTTTTAATAAAATAATCTTCTTGTAAAACGAGAATGCATTTATGAATTACAACGACTTAAAGAGTTATAGCGTACTGCTGTTGAGAGGAAAGCTATGTATAGCTGAATTCCTGGGCTATAGATTTGTAGGACTTAGTCGCCACCTATATATTCACATTGCCAGATACCATTCCTAATTTCCGCTTCGTCTCAGCCTTCGTTTTCTCTAACTTCTGTTAATTCAGAAAAATATTTTTATTGTAACTTATACAAGTTCTTAATCAAGTTTTTTTTTAATTTTCAAACTGTTGATAAGCGGTGTTTTTAGAAATCAGCAGCGGGCGAAATCTATAGCCTTTCTTGCAATCTGATTGGCTGTACGTAGCAGCGAGCGGATATCATAGCAATACTTTTTTGTTTTCCTAAATATTTATTCACCAATTTTTAACTAGTTTATACATTCCTTGCATTATCGATTAAATGGTTTCATGTACGACTAAATGGTAATCACGCGATAAAAGTATATATTTCAGTAAATTAAACGAATGAGGTTTTATTAATAATTGGTCTGACTACATAAAACGGACTTATAATATTATACATTGCATGTATATTACATAAAGTCGAATTTAAGGAAATAAATATTATTCAATATTACTGAGGGAAATATTTCTTTATTATATATTATTATAAATTATATATTATAATTTGTTGACTGAAAGCATAAAACGTACGCTATAATTTAAAACATAATAATAACATTTTCGCGCTTCTTTCTTCCCCCTTAAATCTCGCGATTAGCGTGGCTTTCACGAGTAATATTCACCTCTCCAGCGATGAATAAGAAGCGGCCGCTGTTGTGAAGGACTGCAGAAATTAATATAGACCATTTGAATTTGAGGTATATAACATTGCCTTATATCCCGGTATAAGTGGGTGTGCTAAATAATGCATATAATTATTTCCACTGAACATAGAAGTGATGCCGGAAGGTTTTTGACTGGATAACAGTCGGTTGAAATGATAAAATGATATTATGATAGGTAGATCAGTATGAATGGGTCCTCACGATCGACTTCCTCACAATTATAAGCACATTGTACATGTTTAGTGCAGTTACTGTGTTCCGCATATTACGTATATCCTCCCCACTCGATAAATGTTTTTTACTATATTTGAACTGTTTTACCGCTGCCCAGCATTACAACAATACAGTAGATAGAATGTTTTACGATAGTTTGGTAAACGCAATACGTACACCACGGGATTCACAGCAAAATTGAGGTAAAATAGTCCGGCAAAAATATGGGTCAAAATCCGGGCAAATGAGCCGTCTATACGCAAAGCTTGAAATGTCCGATGGTTGAAAAATACCGTCGATGGCACGATACAAACTATTTGAATACAAGCTATGAAACTAATCGTTCTCAAGAAACGTTTTTCTTTCATAACTCGTGCCTGCTCCTGTCGATTTGAAATATTTTCTAAAGCCAAGTTTCTGGACTGCTTCTTCAACTTATAGCATGTCAACCCAGACATCGCGCCTGAAAACAGAATTACTGTTGTCCCAGAATAATTCATAATAAGCGAAGACACGCCGACATAGCCAGTTGTAAAAGTGAGGGAAATCGTAGCAGCCGAAACCGAAATGAGCCAAGTACAAGCTAACCATGCAACGATAAGTTTTCCTTTCATGAAAACCCGATGTCGTATGGGATATACGATCATTAGAAACCGATCAATTGAAATTTCTGCTACCGTTAAAATTGATACGCTAAAGCTAACTAGATTAGCGAACAGCAGGGCCGAGCGCCAAGTAATCGGTAAAAGACGGAGAAAGAATAGAATTGGATAGATAAGACTGGCCAGAAGATCCGAAATAGCCAAATTTACTACAAGATATGTTGCTGAGTTCCTGAAGCATTTCAAAGGATCTTTTATGAAGGCAACGATGAGGAATACATGAGCTAGTACACCAAGAACGCAAATGGAAACAGGCAAGATGCTTGAGTATTTTAGTCCAATGAAGACATCGGCGGAGCCGTTATTTGCCATTTGCTATAGTGTTGACATTTCGAGGTGTTCTGTATTTCTTTGCTTTCATGCAAAACTCTTTCTAATAACAGTTTTAAATTAAAAAAGAAAGTTTTAATCAAATCTTCACTATATCAATATAGGTGAACCATCATGACGTGATAGAGGAAATATTTTATTGCAGCCATTTGCCAATATTGATACAAGTCTTTTATAATATACTAAATGTTCTTATACTAATATAGTCTAATATTCCTTCATTCACTAAGGTATACATTATTGTGCTACATAAGACGTTGGCGATAAGGCCTAAGAGGTTGAGTATTCTCTCGGCGAGAAAACTGAACGATTAGAGTGCAGTAATATTGTGCGATAGTAATATTTTTACGTGTCACCATATATTTATTTATGAAACATAATACATTATTGACAAAATAGGAGTTTTAATATATTTTTTAAATTAGTGCAAAACTTCTCGGTATTGATGGGTATGGTATATGACATGTATTATATATATAGTTATAGACAAAGAGCTGATAGAGGTTTTAAGCTGTTTAAGCTGTAAACGTTATAAACTGCACATGTTTCAATGATTTGATAAGAAACTTTAACATTAAGAAACAAACATTATTAAGAAACAAACGGGTCGTTTTCAGCTACTACATAAAAATCGGTTACTAGAAAGAGCTAGAACGCGGAGCCGTCTTCGGATAGGGGTTGACTGTTTAGCCAGAACACATTAGATATAGAAAATCGATAAAGATCGAGGCAATTTTTCGTCCAATAAAGCGCCTGTATACGAGACTGATAGAGTGATAGTTTATGTGTAAGATAAAAATCTGGCGTTAGCGTTGTGTAAAAGCCCTCCCTTTCATAATTCCGTATATACTTGGATGAAAAAATTTAGCCGGTGCAAGACTGAAAAGTATATATCAATGAGAGTAGTTCGTTCAGACATGCAGTTAGGCTGTTATACGTTGACTTCGCATTTTCTTTTCTCTCGGCAAAACTTTCTGAGATATCTTCGCTGTTCTACCGCTGTCCAGCCTTACAAGAATACAGTAAATAAAACGTTTTACGATAATTCGGTAAACGCAATACGTACACCACAGGATTCACGGCAAAATTGGCGTGAAATAATGTAGCAAAAATGTTGATAGGAATCAGAGAAGATTGATCAATTGTGGGGGAAGCTTCTAGTGTTCGAGAATTAGAAAATATTGCCGAAGGCACGACACAAACGATTTGAATACAAGCTATAAGACTAATCGTTCTCAAAAAGCGTTTTTCTTTCATAACTCGTATATGTTCCTGTCGATTTGAAATATGACCTAGAGCGAAGTTTTTAGTCTGTTTCATGAACTTATAGCATGTTAACCCATACATCACGCTTGCAAATAGAATGACTGCTGTCGCAAAATCTCTCAAGATATGCAAAGGAAGGTCAACACCGTTCATTGTAGAAGGGAAAAAAACCGGCGCGGCAATTCCGGTGGAAATGAGCCAAGTGCAAGCTAACCATACGAAGATGACTTTTCCTTTCATCAAAACACGATGTTTTATGGGGTACACGGTCATTACGAACAGATCGATGGAAATTGCCGCTATCGTTAAAATCGATGCGCTAATGCTAACAAGGCTGGCGAACACTGTTGGCAAGGTTAGAAACTCAAAGCACCAAGGGTCTGCCAGATCACGCTGTAAAAAAATTATTAGAGAGGTAAGACTGGTCAGGAGATCCGAAATGGCCAAATTTGCCACGAGATATGTTCCTGAGTTTCTGAAGCATTTCAGAGGGTCCTTGATGAAAGCAACGATGAGGAAGACGTGAGCAAATACACCAAAAATGCAAATGAATACAGGCAAAATGCTTGTGTACCCCAGTCCAGAGTCTCCAGCAAGGACATCGGAGCTGTTATTTGTCATAGCGCAAATTGTCTTCCTTCGTACTTAGTATCGACATTTCAGTGTGTTTTGTATTTTGCTGAAATAATTAAGTTTCAAAACGTATATGTAATAATTAGGAAATTTATTTAAATAATGGAAGTTTTAATTAAAAGAGTTCTCTTAATTTAGCCACAAGTATCGCTGAATCAAATATCGCTGAATGAAGTGGTGTCCGCATGTGCATATTAATCAAATTAATTTTTGTGACGTCCGAGCCTCTTCTTTTCCAGCAATAGCAATGATCTAGCTTCACAGACGCAGTTGGACGAAAAAATTATTAATATTACAAGTTTAATAACTGAGACTAACTTTTAACAAGACGGTAGAAAGAACAGTCAGTAAATTTATGCATGCATGCATAAGATAATATTCACACCCAAATTATGCTTCACGCTATCTAGAAGCTCTACTTTTTGAAAGCAAAATTTTATGTCTTTCAATGCAAGCCATTAGCTAGTATAGTAAACTTATTCGAGTTTTTATAACTCTAGTCGTAATTTTTCAGCTTTTGATAAATTAGAAACCCAGTTTAAACTTATATTAAAGACTTTTTCATTCTGAGTCTGTCTGAGTGATATTATCCAATGTTGAGTGGAATTGTCATTTTCATAACTATATTGTTCGTATAGAAATTGCATTCGTTCATTCGACCAGATTAAAATATTGTTACGTGTCACTCGCTATATGCAAAATAGAATATGTAAAAATGTTAAAATGAAATTTTAAAACTGTAAAGTAGGCCTAAAAGAACGGAAATTATCGTATTTATCAATCAAGCAAGATATTGGGTTTATAGTTGTGAAAAGCATTTATACGTTGTTCAAAGGGTCTGACTGGAATCAGCTTCCCGTCCGATTCAGTGGGAAATAGATAATGCTGAATCTTAAATGATTTAAATCTTATTCAGACATCTTTCATAATTATAATGAATAACGTGAACTCAAATCAGGAAGTCATCGAAAGGGAAATAACACAGGACTCCAGTCTGGATTCCACTTTGGAACCATGCACAACTTCTTTAATAGAGGAAGATTTGAAAAAAAATCTATCCAATGTCAAACCGTATACCGCTAAAGTTATACGAAATGAGGTAGAAACAATTGCAATTTTCCGGATTCATCTTAAGAGTGAAGCTAGTGTTCAAGCCTGTTGCTAAAAAAGTCCAAAACTACTTACTCGATAAAAAATTTCTTCAAAAGGTCTTAGAGGAGGCATTTATCTCTATTTACACTTTTATCAGTCAAAGATTAGGCCAACACCTTTATCACAGCTTTAAGGAAAACATCAAGTTAAGAAAAAGTTAGAAAAAAAGCACATTTACGCATGACTGCAGTTACTTTATTCACTATACATGTAATTCAACATTTCAAGTTTGGTCGTATATTATCCTACTACCTTCCAGCTTTACAACAATACAGTATACAAAATGTTTTCTGATAATTTGGTAGGCGCAATATGTACACCATAGGATTCACAGCAAAATTGAGGTAAAATAGTCCAATATTATGTAATGGGTTATCCTCTCGCGGAGCGTGAAATTGCTGATAGTTGTAAAATATTATCGAGGGCACGATGCATACCATTTGAATACAAGCTATGAAACTAATCGTTCTCAAGAAACGTTTTTCTTTCATAACTCGTGTCTGTTCCTGTCGATGTGAAATACTTTCTCGAGCCAAGTTTCTGGACTGTTTCTTCAACTTAAAGTATGTCAACCCATACATCACGCACGAAAATATGATTGCTGTTATTTCAGAGAAATGCTTGATATGTACTGTCAAGTCGTTGAGCGAATTGCGGATGAAAACCTCTGAGGATATTCCGGAAAGAATAAGCCATATGCAAGCGGACCATACGACGATAAGTTTCCCTTTCATGAAAACGCGATATTTCATGGGATATACGATCAGTAGGAAGCGATCAATTGAAATTGCTGCTATCGTTAAAATGGACACGCCAACGCAAACGTGCTTGACAAACAGCAGAATCAAGTGCCAAGTGACGAGGATATGACGCTCCACAAGAGAGGCAAGACAGAACAGAAGATCAGAAATGGCCAAATGTCCTACAAGATATGTTCCTGCGTTTCTGAAGCATTTCAGAGGGTCCTTGATGAATGCAACGATGAGGAATACATGAGCAATGACACCAAAAATGCAGATTGAAGATGGCAATATATTTGCGTACTTCATTTCCAATCGAATCAAGACATCGGAGTTGTTATTTGCCATAGTTAGAATTTATATATAATAGACTTGCATGCGTTGGAGAGAAAGTGTTAACCCATTTTGCAAGGGGTGTTTTTTATTTAACTGCATTATTTTTACGAATTTTTAATAAAAATTAATGAATAGGTTTTAATTATATATGCATGCATTGCCCCTAGATTTAAGTATCGAAATTGTTTTGGCCATGTACAGATATGTAGGATGAGGAAATATGCCTGAAAATATTCCTCTCATCAAAATGCGATATTTCATGGGATATATGCGGTCATTAAGAAGCGATCAACTGAAATGGTGGCTATCTTTAAAATGGTCACGCCAATGCAAACATGCATGATTTTGGGAAAATTGCAGAACCGATTCCCATATGGAAGTGCGGCAATCCACAAGGCAGCAAGAGCTAGCGGGCTATGACAGGTTAAGAGATCCGAAGCAGCCAAATTTTTAACAAGATATGTTCCAGTGAGTTTTTGAGGCATTTAAGAGGGTCCTTGATGAGAGCAACGATGAGGAATACATGAACAATGACACCAAAAATGCAGATGGAAATTGGCAATATTCTCGCGTGCTCTCTATTTCCAATCCAGTCAAGACATTAAAGTTGTTATTCTCCATAGTTCAAATAGACAGGCGTTGGAAGCGAAGTGTTTTGCATGAGCTGTTTTTTATTTCGCTTCATTTAGTTTTAAAACATTCTCATTAAAGTATAATTTAAATTTAAATATTAAAAGTTTTGCATCTATAACATTGAAGCGTTGTTTGCATTCGAATTCGTTAAACGTGCAGATAGACGATACCGGATATGCCCAGGTTTTGGAATTCAAGGACATCCGAATTGTTATTTGCCATAAGTGATATTTGAGTCTTTCTTAATCCACTGTATTTGTTTTAAAACCTTTTTACAAACCGTTTTCAAATAACAGAGACATTTAATTAAAAAACGTTTCTGTATATTATTTTTGCGGTAGCTCAAACTAGATGTCATTTATTAAGGTATTTGCACCTTTACATGCTTTACACTTAAAATTGCACTGAACGATTAATTATGCATGCATAGATATAAAGTCCTGAAGACATTCAAGAGAACATCATTAATAATTACTTTTGGTAATATTTCTGCAGTTCAGGTTTCAGAAAAGCCTATTATTGATGTCCATAAATATCCGGTTGTCTTCAAAATATCCGACAATAGTGCCAAAAAGTTCAAGCATTTATTAAATTTCATATAGGAATGTGTAAATAATGAAAATATCATTAAGAAAGTAAAAAATAAACCTGTCAGAACTAACTGCGAAGTGAACGAATATAATCAGTTTGATCAGTTTAATAAGTGTGATGTGGGAAAAAGGTGACTAAATCATATATAAACTATAGTATATAGTATATTATATGCATGGTTTATACTCCATTGTAGTATTTTTGAATATAGTATTAGTGATACATTTCGAAGCCGTACTAGTTAATTAATCTGTAAAATATAAATTGCAAATAAAAAGCAGTTTTTTTCTCAAAATTTCGTTATCTCAAGATTTGTCGATTTCTTGTATATCGGTTTGACGGATTGCGCTAAATGCATGTTTCGCAAGTTGCACTTCACAGGAGTGACACCATGCAGCCCGTAACGGAAAAGGTGTAAAGAACCTAATGGGTTTGAGCCGCTTTACCTTATAGCGCTAGAATTTGATTGCAAAAACTGGAGAAATGGCTACAGATTGCAGGGTCTGCTTTATTGTTAAATTTCATTTAAAGAACGGAAGAATAATCCAAAATACAGAAAGTGCGATTATTCTTGAAATTAAGAAGTGAGGTTGTAATCATGTTTTAGCCTTTAGGCCTTGCAGTGCATATATATTGCGGTTCTACCGTCTCCCATTCTTGCAACAATATAGTAAATAAAATGTTTTTCGATAATTTGGTAAACGCAATACGTACACCACAGGATTCACAGCAAAATTGAGATGAAATATTCCAATGAGAATGTAGATCGTAATCATAACTGATGGGCTATTTAAAGTTTGAAATCTATGATGGTTGAAAAATATCGACGTGGGCACGACACAAACCATTTGAATACAAGCTATGAAACTAAGCGTTCTCAGGAAACGTTTTTCTTTTATAACTCGAACCTGCTCCTGCCGACTTGAAATATTTTCTAGAGGCAAGTTTCTGGACTGCTTCTTTAAATTATAGTATGTCAACCCATACATAAAGCATGAAAATAAAATTATTGTTGCACTAAAAAGATTTTTGAAATAAGATAACACGTTTTTAAATGAAGGATGCATGAAAACGTCGAAAGTAAGACCAAAAGAAATAAGCCACGTAAAAGCTATCCATACGACGATACGTTCTCCTTTTATAAAAACCCGATGTTTTATTGGATATACCGCCATTAGGAAGCGATCAATTGAAATCGCTGCTGTCGTTAAAATGGACACAGCGATGCTAACACGCTCGGCAAACCTTATAATCTTGTGCCATGTGCCCAGGTCAAGGGAATGACGCGACAACGGAGAGATAAGACAATAGAGGAAATCTGAAGTGGCTAAATTTCCAACAAGATATGTTCCCGAGTTCCTGAAGCATTTCAGAGGGTCCTTAATGAAAGCAACGATGAGCAATACATGAGCAATTACACCAAAAATACAGACTGTATAAGGTAATATGGTCATCAGGTTTTTCAATTCAAGGACATCGGAGTTGTTATTTGCCATAGTTTTGAATGCCGTGCGTCTTCAGAATCGTATACAGAATCGAACCTTATTTTCATAACAAAGAGATTTCAGATGGCGATTCTTAATTAAAAAACACTTTTGTATACTCATCCCCTATATATAGGGACAATTACTAAACGCCATTGATAAGACTGAGTTGTTTCGACATTTGGAAATTACACTGTCACTTAACGAGTAACTGTTGTTAATAAACAAGAAAATTAAAACTTATATTAAATGAGCTGAAGTGTATTTTTCGATTCTGAGTTAGGGATAGGGCTATCGTGTGCGACAGTTTGAATCTTGCTATTTTACAGAGCCTTACCGTACCTTGCCTTGCCCTTTGATCACATATAGCTATCAAAATATTTTCAAACTTTCCGACTTTCAAATATATTGCCGAATATTGCCATAAAACATGGGACGGCAGCTCACGGCGTTACTTGAGGGTGTCAGGGTGTCAAGTGATCGGGGCCCCCTGACAAAAATTACCATAAAAAATATTAGTACGCGCGGTCATGTTGTGAAATTTATTAGATGATGAGTTGGAAATTTTACTTTTATTAAGATAGTGGATATATGTATTTCGGACATATTTAACCAGTGGGATTACGGACAACAGTTTAAGGGCAGGTCCAGGAGTTTTTTTATTCGGTTTTCAAACATCCGCATTATGTGAAAACATAAACAACCTTACGTCCAAAGTTACTCAGTCTTTAATGAAATCGACTGTCCTGAGTAATACGGAAATCTATGACTTTCCTTCCGTGTTGTCTATATATACTACTCTAAACATCCTGCTTTAACTGTTTATGACTAACGAGCTCGAGGTGCATCAGTTTCAGTCATTATTTATTTTTGCCCCTTAAAAAAGACTTGTTATTTTACGGCACGAGCGAGGCTATAAAATGAGTTAAAGACTTTTAAGTGACAAGGCTTTTTTAAAACTCCGAAAACAAAATCTACGACCTCACAGATTTACAACAATACAGTAAATAAAATGTTTTCCGATAATTTGGTAAACGCAATACGTACACCACAGGATTTACAGCAAAATTGAGGTAAAATAGTCCAGCAAGAATGTGGATCGAAATCCAAACTGACGGGCTACTCAGCGGCAAATCTTGAAGTTTTTGGTAACTGAAAAACACCGTCGAGGGCACGATACAAACGATTTGGATACAAGCTATGACACTAATCGTTCTCAGGAAACGTTTTTCTTTCATAAGCCGTGCTTGCTCCTGTCGATGTGAAGTGTTTTCGGCCAGGGCAAAATTTTTCGTCTGTTTCTTCAACTTATAGTATGTTAACCCATACATCACGCATGAAAATATAATTACTGCTGTCGCGAAAAGGTTAATGATATAGAATGGCACGTCTTTTAATGAAGACATGATGAAAACATCTAAAGAAAATGCAGAAGAAATAAGCCAAATGCAAGCTATCCATACGGCGATATATTTTTCCAACATAAAAACGCGATATTTTATGGGATATACGGCCATTAGGAAGCGGTCAATTGAAATTGTCGCTATCGTGAAAATAGATACGCTGATGCCAATATGCCTGGAGAACTTCACGACTGAGCCCCAAGTGGAAGTGAAGTGACGTGAAAGAGAGATAAGACAGGCCAGGAGATCCGAAACAGCCAAATTTCCCACAAGATATGTTCCTGAGTTCCTGAAGCATTTCAGAGGATCCTTGATGAAAGCAACGATGAGGAATACATGAGCAATTACACCAAAAACGCTGATGGAAGCAGGCAATATGGTGATATAATTCAACTCGGAAGTATCGGACTTGTATATATTTGTCATTTTCGCGGGAATGGAGCGAATGGTTCGCTTTAACCTTGCTTCAATGGAAATATTATTTCTCAGTGTAATAAAAATTTTTAATTAAAAACCCATATATTATACAATTTATATTTATCCTCGTAAATAAAATTATTGAATGTCATTTTTATGCATGGATTTAGGCAGCTTAACATATATCGCGATTGTTTCGGTGGACATGCAGCTCAAACGCGTTATGAAATAAATTTGCCGCTCAATCGCCTTATGAAATAATACGTATTTTCGAGATTTCACTCACATATTTTGTGCTGATTAAGATTCAACAAATTTTTGCTAATGAAGATTTCGCATAATATCATTCATACAAAGCTCCAGGTCAAAAGTGCTACAAAAAAATTAGGTTGTAAAAAATAATTTATTCATTTTCAACGCAGGCGGGACTAATTTGAAAAACAAAACGGAAAGATTTAACTAGATAACACTGATCGAACCATGATTATAGGAAGTCGAGATCCACTGAACACTCCAATTGCGAGATATCGTCTAAATAAAAATAAAACAAAACAACATCCAAGATTCAGTGCTCTGATCAGCTTGATGTGCGACTGATCTATAGTACTATTCGCCCGTTTTTTTGGCAATTTAATTTTTTTCAAATGGCCTAGCTTGCATGCGTATAGTACTGACAATTTTCGATACTTTATAGCGTACAAGGAATTAAGAAAAAGGGAATATTGAAACTCAAAACTATAGCGACATCCATTATTTCTTCATTTTGTTACAAACCTTCTAGTTTCAACATGTAGTTAATAGCATCTTTGACCACGTCGTTCGTTGAAGACTCTCTATGAAGAAAAGTTTATGAGTGCATAAAGTTTCTGAAAAAAGGGATAGCGAAAATTTCGTCATCCACAAAAGGAGTAATAACCTAGTATTTTCCATGCCAACGTTTCCTTGAGGTTTTAATGTCGCATCACTGTTCGGGGCATGCTTGACTGCGGACAGCTCTGTGAAATCAAACCAATGCAAGTTATATAATATTAAAAGGCCTTACCAATAGTAAGCATGCATGTAAATTTTTACGGAGTGGGGTTTTGAAGCCGTTGCAACTTCGTTACAAAATGTAGTGCTTCATATTTATTTACCTCTCTTATCAAAATTATATTCATCGCGCAAGATCTTCTCCATTTCTTCAAGTTCTCGCTTAATGGAAATGCCACAGTCTTCTTCTATATCCTCTACAACGATTGAAAAAAAAACATCATTGATGAATATTCTGCTTAGGAAACTGACCACAAAGTAGGCTAAAAACACCATTTTCGGCTCCGATCTCTTGATGTACATATCAAAAGTTTCATATTACACCTAATATCAATTAAAGATCTTATACACGCTAAAATAATTTCTTGCAGTAAATGCATATAATAACACTGCGTTCCTTTTACCTTCAGTTGGCACAAATTGTGGAGAATTAGGATTGGAACTTGGAACATATTCAATACCAGAAATTTTGCATAGTTCATGTTGTTGTGCATGATCACTGTACGCAGAATGTTCTTGAGGTTCATATGTCGGACTTTGGCAGGTATTATTCAAAGTAATGTTACACCCTTGTTCCTCTGAGGTTACGGTTTTTCTAGTAGATTCTCTACTGGCACCTGTTTCATGATCTATGGCATTATTTGATTCGCGAAAGCTTAAAGACCTGCTTGGTAATCCGGAAGATGAATTTACTGTAGTATCAGACTGACAAGTATTTGCTAGAGTAACTGCATCAACATGTTCTTCTCTTGAAAATTTTCCTGGCATAAAATTACCCTTTTCCATATTTTTGTGAGCCAAAGGATTTGTGTGATATGGTTCAACCTCTATCACAGGAGGGATACCATCTTCATGATTATCAGTTTCTGCAGTGTTAGAACTATAATTTGCCAGAGAAATTACATCTGCAACTTGAAACCGCGGCACAGCCTGATCTATATTCATGTTGTTATCCATTGGCTTCTCTTCACTGAAAGGAAGAAGTGGTGGAATAAACCATTGACTTTTTCTCAACTTTCTATCCTTTGATGGTGGACACGGAACAATATTTTGTTTTTCCATCTCAATATTACTGCCAGTCACGTCTATAACAACAGGATATGCACAGGTGATCAGAGACGTGTTAGATGTGAAATCAGATCCACTTGATCGAATTGTTTCCTGTTTATTCCATTTTCTTTTTCTGTCTTTCCTTGATGACATTACTTCCTCAGTCGATGCTTGAGGTAAATGGAGCGATTGTTCTTCCGGGTCGCTTCCTTTACTAATCATATTTTTGAGAGAAACATTAAATTTCATTGATTCTAAAGACTTCCTTGGTCTACCTCTCTTTTTGGATGGACGTAGGTTTGACTGTGCCTGACATTCCTTTTGGGCGATGTTTGATATTGACATTCCTTTTGGGCGATATACTACAAAATGAGCTTTATTTGTTTAAGGGTTTCACATGTTTTTGCCGGTTCCATGCATTTAATTGTAATTAGGGAAATTTTCTTTCACGAAATTATAGCACTCGAGGCATATGGATTATGTTTTTAGAGCAAAATGTAAATTTTAGTGAAATCGTGCTAAAATTTTAGCTTATTGAAGGAAGATTACACTTCTTATTTCTACTTGAACTCAACCAGACTCTGATATTGGTGATGAGTATAAGACCCATATTGCACACCTTGTGCATTTTTCACTTTCCAATACAATTCAAAATCAAGCAGATTCCTGAAAAAAAAAGAAACATTACTTTATGTAGTAGTAATTTGTTGGAGATTAAACCAGTGCTGCTTGCTGCAGAAGTACTTGTGTCAGTAATAATAGAAACATAGCTACTGTAAGCTACTGTATGTTTCGGGCCAACGTGTTGAATGTTATGCGGCCCGCAGAACAGGAATGATTGTATTAATACCTTTCATAAAATTGCTTTAAAACATGGCCACTTGGTCTGTGGCGCAATTGAACATCTTTTCCTATCAGACCTTCCCACAGGGTTAGCCACATTTGTCTTCTACACACCTATATAAGGCTAAATGTCTGAATTTTTTGCATCTATATAATACAAGTCAACAGTAATTCAGTACACATTCATTCTCGATAAACAGTTTTATTCGGTATGGAAGGCAGGTACTTTTAATTGTGCATCACAAAGTTGCAAACAACGTATACCACAGGCACAGTAAACATAAGGTGACGTACTTTTAAACTAACGATTATCTTTCGAGAGATTGTTTGTCTCCTCCGAATTTTACCTCAGTAAAACCTCCATGGTTTTTCACTGCCTGAAATATTTTGAAAAGGCCAATTTTCTTTCCACCCCAGACTGGGGATTGTGCCTTATCAACATCCACGCCGCTTTCAATAGTAAAATTTTTAAATTCTTGAAAAAATCTCGCTTCTTCGTTATTCTAAAAAAAATCTTTTGCATGTTGAAATATAATACTGAATTGGCATATTACCTTTCTTTCTCCATATCATACCTTTGCGTTTTTCGTGTTTACATTTTTTTCTTTTGGTTTAATATCAGATCGGGTACCTGTCGTACAAATAAGCCTTACTCAGTATGCCTTTTTAAAAACGAATTTCAAATGTCAAGATTATCTTAGTTGGATGTGTTTATCGATTAAGTTCAATCTACAAGTCTGAAAAACTTAATGTAGTATATATTCATCTCATTATTTTGGTATACATGCAGCCAGTGGCGCCAACAATGCCAAATTCTTTTTTCGGGTAATCGAAAAGGAAGATTGTCCATACACTGCGTATGGGCAAAAATGTCGGAGGAAAGCAAGCGTTGTTCAAGCACACGTTGAGATAAAGAGACCTCAAATCGATTGTTGAAAATATAAATTTGATAAATACTTGCACCCTCTTTCGAGTCCTTTGCTTCTACACAGGGATACTTGAAAACGCATTTTTGAAGTCTTTCTTCACATGTCAAAGGTAAACTCCTGAGTGCATCTTCCATTGCTACATCGTATGCTTTCTTCCACTTTGATTTACTCGTCGACGTCGTATTGTTTTCATTGTAAGGGAAAACATTATCTGACTTGATCCACGCATGACTTCTTGGTTGACCAAAAAACTCCACATGAATATGAGTGAACTCTTCCTCTTCGTCGTTATCATTCAACACGGCATCGTAATATTCATTGCACTCTGGATCAGGTGTAATGAAAGCTGGCCATCTATAAAATTCATAACTCAAAGCCCGTTACTATCAAACATATTTTGCGAAAGTGATTAGTGATCAGGGGAAGGGGTGAGGGTTTACTGCACTGCAGTGAAACACAATTACATACACTGATACATTACAGTGTTTTTTGCAGGAGAAATCGAGAAAACTCTTTGACTTTTTATACTTTTTCAGTACAAACATTGGAGAGTTTTTTCATTTTTTAAACTCATCGAGTACAAATAATTTAATTACTGACGTACGTACGTGGAAAATCCTGTCATTTTCGCCATTATGATATCACCTTTTTCATACGGAAATTTCGTTATGACAATCTTTTTTCCACGCGGTGCGTTAAGTTTCTCTTCAGGCAAACAGCATTTGTTGTAAGACTCGTCTTCGTTCATGTCGCATGTCCATGGAATATCTGAATATTTCGCTGCAATTTCTTCTTGAACAACCCTCCATTTTCCACACGAGTCTTTGCTGCATTGAATCCAAGTTCTTTTGCATTCCATTGTTTTATTGTCTAAGTTGCTTTTGTTTTCTCTTGGTCTGTTTTCCCGGTTCATAATAAATTTTACGGACAAATGTGGCGGGAATGGGCGGGAAACGATAGTGTGGCGAATGTTTACGAGCATTCACGACACGAAACAATCGGTAATCTTGCTGTATGATTTTCTTCTTGTTATACCACAATATGACAGTAAGTGACACTACCCAGTACCATTGACCAGTACCTACAGTGGGTTATTGGTTACCAGTGTTGGTTACACCCACTGGTTACACCCTGCCCAGTTCCTGACCCTGCCTCGTCCCCAGGCGCTTGAATAATAAAAAGAAAAAGATATAAACCTTCGCGCCACTGCTTCGCGCACCCACAATCTTGTTGATGTACTTCATGTAAACACTTCACCACTGTCAGCACGGGCAATACGTACATATGATATCAGTGAATATCAGTGGGTATACGACTAATGCGAGTTAACCTCATTGGGATAAAATGGCCACTGGGAATATTAATGTACCAAATTGTTCTTTAAATTCTGGTCAGACGATGCCAATGATGGGCTGTGAGTACACATTGTTAATGCATTTTAGAAAGAAACATGTAAAATATGCTGAGTTATAATGATATTATATCATTATAAACATGACTAATTGACCTTCTAATTGGGGTATAAAATATATTGCAAATCCAAGCTACACGGCCAAAAATTGATCAGTGTTGTGCTGCACCCATGACAGCCTTGCTAAAAATGTTGTTGAACCTTTGAAAGGTTGAATCAATCATCAGTGTTGATGCAATGTTATATTTTTCTTGTACAGCCTAGTTCTGTCAAGTCACTGCCTCACTGGCAATTTGAGAATAGGAATATATATATATATATATATAATTATATATATATATATATATATATATTATAATATATATATATATTAATTTATATATATATATATATATATATATATATATATATATATATATATATATATGTTAGTGAGGTAATTTAAGAAATATATTTTATTCAGGTAATTTGAGAAATATGTGTTAGTCATCAGTGCAATTTGAGTTAAAGACACAATATCATCTTTGTCCCTTTGAGGTTCTCCTGTTTTACTCCATTGACAAGAATAAGGCTTAAGGTCATTGATGCATAAAATCCTTTATCTATTGAAGAAAATTATATTCTAATAATTAGATTGTAGACCATCGCAAATTAATTACAACATATGAAAACCAGTCTTTACTTTAAATGCATATGTCTTTGCAGTAAGGTATTGGTAGAATATTGCATCATGTTATTCACTAGATATATATTTATTAATGCATTCATTATAAATTCATTAACTACTTGTGTGTTTGAATCAACTATAATATATATGCATTTCATTAACTGTTGACCAATCAGGAATAAACACACCAGTAAGCATTACAAAATTTATAGATTTTTCATGTAAAATTGTTGATCATCTTGGGTAATGAATTGATAAAAACTTTTACAAAATTGTTATAAAATAAATAACACCTAATTATTAAGACACAATCAATCAACGCATGTCTCACACCAGACCTAGTCTGGAAAGTATGCATGAATATTTATAGTTATTGACCTGACATTTTTGAAAATTCAACAAAATTTGCCCATTTTTGAGACACAGCAATTTTCTTTATAACTATGTCTGTACAATTATCGAGTCAGAAGTGTGTATAATGGACTTTTTTGAGCTCAGTGTGATTTGTTAAGTTGGCTTTCTTCAGTTACAACTTTTGCACGTCTGGGCTGCATAGTAATAATCAACAGTCATGCTAATATTTTTTATACTCTGTTAGGTTTTAGAAATTGCTAATAAAATATTTTTCAATGGGAGAATATTGATTAAAGAATATTCCGTTGCGGAAAAATTGTCTTTGCTACATTTAGTATGAAGGATATCTATATATTCCTGTCTGAATGGGAAATTTGTGAGGAATTTTGATGAATCATGCAGATGCTAATTCTTCAAATCAAGAAAATATAGTCGAGATGAGTGCGGGGTTATAATATGTTAAGGGGGTATTGTATATATAATATTGTAGTATGATCTTTAATAAGATATAACAATAAGCCCACATGTCGTATGAAGCAGCTGGTCTAATATATGCCTAACATGCCTTTTTTAAAAAAATTGATTCAGAAATAACATAATCCTGAAATCTTTTACTTTGGCATCGAGACGGCACAACTTAGTAGCTGCATCAAGAACGTTATTTTGCTGCGATTTAAAATATCATTAGTATATAATTATATAGTCTTGTCAGACTGGCTGGACCTGACGTTATTAAATCATTGATAAGTGTAATTTATCATAACGACTATAAACGAAGATGAATGTTAATGGATCAGGCAACACAACCTCAAGGCACACGACCCATTCAATGGTTAGATTTTTCTTTGCAATGTTTTTCATACTGGCATCACTTCTTGGAAATGCGCTGGTTATCTGCGCCATTTATCGTTTTCGGCGTCTTCGTTCCTGTTCCAACCTAATTATTTTAAATTTGAGCGTCGCTGATGTGCTTTTCACACTTATTGTGGCTCCGATAAACGCCTCTTACTGGTTTCAAAAGAAAGAATCTTTCGAAGTTGTTGCTTGCTTCACAACAAGTGTTTCGGCTCATTTGTTCTGCTTAGTCTCGATTTACACCTTGGTTTTCGTGAGTATCGAGAGATTCATGGCGACAAATTATCCCCTAAGGCACCGGCAGTTGTTCAACACACATTTAGTCCGAATTGGCGTCTCGATAATTTGGATATGGTCCGGATTTCTGTGTGGCCTGCCTTTCGCCCTGTCCAGATACGTGTATGTTAAAGAGTTTTTCCACTGCATGGTTGACTGGTCTGCCAATGTAACCTGCTCAATGATATTTCTTGTATGTGCATACTGTTTGCCTTTCCTGACCATGACATTTTGCAACATTCATATTTTCCGAGCAGCGCGAGTTGGCCAGCGAAGTCGAGCCAGGAATATAAGTCGTCAGAACTGCCAAAGCTCCAACCTTAAGCTTCGTGAACACAAAGCATCATTTTGCATCATCGTTATTGTTGTGACGTTTCTAATTTGTTGGACACCGTATATGATTGGAGCATTTGCAATTTTTATCGGCAAAAACAGTCTACCAAGGGAGTTCATGTCAGCTGCAGTATTGCTCACCATAGGAAATGCCTCGTTCAATCCCGTCATCTATGGAGTCATGAATAAAAACTATCGCGAGGCCTTTCGAGTCATTTTGTCTCTAGGTACTTCGCCTGTACGGCCTTTTTGAGTCTTTTTTTAGAAAGTACTGTATTTGTTTTTTCTCGCTACTTTTTGCCCTACACGAAGGCATTAATTACCATTGTTGTGTACGAAAACTCATTGGCTCCTAAACTAAATTAGCTTGTAATAACGCTTTTAAGACAAAAATGGGAAAGATAAAGCCACAATGCCCGTATACGATGATAGACGAAAACATCTCGTCATTGCCATAGTGGAAAAATAAGCACTTGTCAAAACCCATGCTGTACAAAGACAATGGTAGTAAGGACTACATGGTCATGGATAATCATTGACTTATTTCGATATTACTTATTGTCACGATATAGTTATAGCTCTCGCTAAGTTGCACGCGTACACTGGTGAGTGCATGGAATCGAAAGAACTGAACAGTATATTTACAAGGGAGGAAGCAATCTGTAATAATAAATGGTATCCAATATGACCCACAACCTATAAAATACGGTGTTTCACAAGGTCCCGTCTTAGGGTCTTCTACTTTTTTTAATCATACTCTCAATCGGTTTTACAGTTTGTCGCTGATATAATTCCAGACAGGGCCGTAGCTAGACCGCTTAATTTGGGTGGACTGTATATTCATATATTTATGTTTATCTACCGCAGGAACAATAGCGTAAAAAAGAAACCAGTCGGGCATATGAGATGTATTTTTCAATATACCTCCCCTCCCCCCCCCCCTAATTAAGCTTCTAGCTACGTTTCTGCTTTGGATGGTTCTGTTCATGCTCCAAATCCTTTTCGAAGCAGGTGAAAAAAGCATGTAAATACGTATGTATCATATGTATCCCGGATGTGGAGCTCAATTAGCATATCGTAATATAAACCGTGCATGTACGAAGCGGCTTAGAAACGGAACCCGGAAAATGTGTATAGGATGATTTTATCTTGTGTTAATTCCCTACCCTCTCTTTTGCGACTGGACTGTGATGCAGTTACGTGTTGGATGCTTTAATTCTTGTATTCAGGCATAGACGGTGACTCATTTTCCTGTCCTTGTGATCAATCGACTTCGACTAAGTAAATAAAAAGGCTTCTATTCTCTAATTGTTTGGGATATTCTGCCTTTCATTGTCACGATTAATTACTCCGGCGTCAGCGACGGAGTTGAAAATTCGCCCCGGTTTTGTTTTGTTTTGTTTTTTTTTGTTTTTTTTTTATTTTTCGTCGTCGCAAGTGTGTAATGGCGCGAAATATACTAGTACTTAAAACGAGTATGTGACCGTATTTATCTACGTCCCAGTCTTACCTCCCAAGAGTTGTGGTGCACAGCTTTGGCTAATTTTCCAATGCGCGATTCGATTTCGCTCGCATGATACGGCAATTCCTCCAAGAGGAACAAATAAACCGTTCTTTTCATGCTGTTCGATTAAGTTTAGATTGAATTGGGGTAAGAATATATTTAATACATGTAGACCCGGTCCTATTTTAATAATATCGCTGCTATTTCGCCGTTTAACAAGATGATGTGGTCGTGTATGGGCGCGTTGACACGTCGCGTAGTTTGCACAGGATCGAAGATTTAATACAACTATATAAGCGCGAATTCCAAAGGCAAAGTGTAAGACGAAGCGAATGTATCATGCGGTTTATTTACATTTTTGAACAATTGAACTTCTATACTGCGATGTGCTTCTGAATTTCGCGATCGAACATTTAGGTTCGTAAGGCATGAGGCATCTAAATGCGAATATGTATGCGAAACAATACGCGAACTGTATTGTTTATGTCCAGAAGCTCTATATTGAAGACTGGCACGTGCGCCGGAGTTAACGCCAGAACGGCGTCTTGTTTTAATGTAAATCAATATCAATTAATGACATTTTTTAATAAAAAATCACAAGAATTTGTATTTTCAGCTACCCATGTCATTCAGGTCTATACAGAACGATCCGTTTGATGCCTATTAGTTGCATGGATTTTTAAAAATCTTGAAAAAAAATGTAAATTTGGAAAAGGAAAGCGGCCAAAAAAATATTCGTGAGCCAGTTATAAAGCTGCGGCTACACGGGTGATTTTTACTCGCGATTTTTTGAAATCGTCGACAAACTTGAAAATCTCCCACAAACGCGCGTCGCGACAGCTGGAAAAATCGTCAAAGCTAATCGTGATAATTTCAATATGTTAAATATTTTTTGACGGTTCGATAAAATTTCTCCCGTGTAGCCGTCTCAACTGTAAACCCGACGCGACGAACCGTTAACTGGCCAAGGAGATGCGAGAGTGAAATCAGGGCGGCTTGGCAAAGTTACCGCCAAATTTTTAAAAATCAAAACTTGTAACAAAATTTGTTTTGCGTGTAGCCACCACAATATTTTGACGATTTCAAAAAATCGCGAGTAAAAAATCGCCTGTGACATTGCAGTAGAGCTATATATACTTAATTATTAAACAGATAATTATTCGATTCCTCATGTTTTAATAATTAAAATAAATTAAACAATTATAATGCATGTACTTCATGAATCAGCTGTCCCTATACATATATACCTAGTATCGTTAATTTCATTAAATTTAAAAATTGCGACATATAATCCTAAATAAAACATGCAATGCTACCTTGGCAAAGCTTGGTTCAAATAAGCACTTTGCTACAAGCTACAGCGAATATTCTCTGAAACTTCATTGATACGTTGTGACACAGCTTGAAATTGGACGCTGTTTGAAAACAAGCATTGAAAAGTATTGATAAAGTATTAATAAAATATTGAAACAGCAACATAAAAATGGATTCAAATGAATCAGGTGACAGCACATCAAGATACACGACCCATTCGAATGTGAGATTCTCTTTTGCATTAATTTGTTTACTGGCATCACTTCTTGGAAATGCGTTGGTTATCTGCTCCATTTATCGTTTTCATCAACTTCGTTCCTGTTCCAACCTAATTATTTTGAATTTGAGTGTGGTAGATGTGCTTTTCACACTTATCGTGACTCCGATAAACGCCTTTTACTGGTCTCAAGACAAAGAATCTTTTGAGGCTGCTGTTTGCTGCATCACAGGTGTTTTATCCTATTTGTTCTCCGTAGTCTCGATCTACACCTTGGTTTTCATCAGTATCGAAAGATTCATGGCAACTAATCATCCGGTGAGACACAGGCTGGTATTCAACAAAAGAACAATTCAAATTGGCATCTCGATAATTTGGATATGGTCCGGATTTCTTTGTGGTCTGCCTTTCGCCCTGTCCAGATACGTGTATGTTAAAGAGTATTTCCACTGCATGGTTGACTGGTCTGGCAGTATGACATGCACGATACTATTCTTCATATGTGCATATTGTTTACCTGTCTTGACTTTAACATTTTGTAACATATTTGTTTTACGAGCAGCGCGAATTGGCCATCGAAGTCGAACTAGCCCTTCAAATTCTCAAAACAGCAACAGAGCGTCATTTTTTATCGTCGTTATTGTGGTTACGTTTGTAATTTGTTGGACGCCGTATGCCAGTGGAGGAATAATAGTATTGCTCCGCAACAACAGTCTACCAAGGGAGTTCATGTCAGCTGCAGTATTGCTCACAATAGGAAATGCCTCGTTCAATCCCGTTATTTATGGAGTCATGAATAAAAACTATCGCGAAGCTTTTCGAAAAATTTTGTGTCCACGGAATTCGCATGTTCGGCCTATATGATGCAATTTGAAATAGGAAAGCGATATCGCGAAGCTTTTCGGAACATTTTGTATCCACTGAATTTCCGTGTATACCCTACGGCCGTTTTACGTTCTTTACGTTGAGCATCTTGTATGAGAATGGTTAGAATAGCCATAGCCAGCATAGGAACAGAAATTTGTTTTCATAATAGTTTGTCGTGATGCATTAGGACTAATTCTAGTCCACTGAATGAACTAATTTAAATGAACTGTAAGAATTTTTTGTTGCACACAAAAGATACAACCTTTTATTTCTGCCAACCTTTCAAAGCGCTGTATTATATATTTTTAATGAAGATTCATTTATAACATGTAGTTGATGTTTACGATATATATATATAAGTATATAATACGGACAAATATTGCTATTAAGGGTTGATTATAGATAGATTACATTTCATAACATGAATCACGTAATCGAACTGCGACCAGAGGCGTGGCGACCTGGGGATGTGACATCTCCCCCTAATAATTTGCAATGTCAAAAAAGTTGGTCAACATGCTGTATTATTGGTTAAAAATGCAGTGACTCAAGGATAACACAAAACCACATGCGCTAAAATCACCCAGTAAAGATCCACAAATGTGAATCCGCAAACGCCTGCGTCAACACTTGTGGGTCATCAAACCATGCCGATGACGGTGATGTAATCACTGCGATGTTAGTTCCAACTAATTCATAGCCACAAGAATCTACCAGCTGTTGACATTCATGAAGAATTCCATTCTCAAGGATTTTGGCGTAAGTCGAACAGAAGTCTCCCTGAAATTGAGCACCGTCTAGAGGATCGATGCTCTCGTTGTCCAGAAGCTCGAGAGAAGCGAAGCACCAATATCCTTTCCTCAAGGCGTGTTCCAGATAGACTATTCCGTCAAGACGATGACAGATTCCAACACCTGTATGAGATACCAAATTGGCATCTTGATTTAGCTTGCGAACAACGCCCAGAAGTTGGCACAGAAAATCCTTCAACTAAAAAACCAAAAAACTAACCAACTGCGTCAACGGAAAACTAAAACGCTGTTTAACTAAAACCCGGCCACTGGCAATGAAATTAGCAATGGATTGAGGAAACCCACGGAAAAGGGTAGGATTTACCAATTGGGATTTAGAACTTTTGGGCCAAAAACGCCAAAGTTGTTACCGCAATTTGGTCAGCAAAAATGTCGTCGTTTAGAAACATATTTATATATAAAGCTTGCGCTGCGGCCGTTACAGGCCTGTTTATATGAGAACCGGGATAGGACGTTTTTAATCCCGTGTTTATATGGAAGTTGTACTACCGGGACATTCACACCCGGGACGTTGCTTTTTTGGCAACGTGGGAAAATTCGAATATGGAGGAAGTGTTTACGCTTTTCATCTTTAATAATCTTCTGAACACTCTTTTATTTATTTTAAAGTCTTGTTATACCAGAATGTGAATGTTGCTTCGCAATTGAACAAGCGAGACGACTATTAAATCGTGCTATCGTCTCTCGGCAGTTTCCGAATCTGAATATTGCAAGTCAGCAAAATATCGTCCCGGTCTGGCGGGATGGAGCATTTATGTGAAAAAAATCGACGATGACTATATTGTCGGTGATCATTGATGAATCAAGTGCTTTGTTATTTTGAATAAATTTTCTTCGTCACCGACCAAAAACAAGACATCGCCCACTGTCTGCGACTTATGAGAACCAGGCTTAAGAGTTAAGGACTGTTTCAAACGTCGTGCTTCTCATAATATGCCAAACGCAATGATAACAACAGATAATGAGACACTTCAAAGTTCAAATGATTAACTATTGTTTTAAACCTCGCTCAAAAGTATAATTGAAAAACATAAATATTTAGAACAACAGAATGAAGATGGATTTAAATGGATCAAGTGACACCAGATCAAGGCTCACGACTTATTCAACAGCTAGGTTTTCCTTTGCATTAATATTTATAGTGGCATCACTTCTTGGAAATGCGCTGATTATCTACGCTATTTATCGTTTTCGGCGACTTCGCTCCTGTTCCAACTTGATCATTTTAAATTTGAGTGTCGCAGATGTCCTTTTTACACTTATTGTGGCTCCGACAAATGCCTATTATTGGTCTCAAAAGAAAGAAGCTATCGAAGTTGTTGCCTGCTTCATCACAGGTCCTCCATCTTCTTTTTTTTGCTTAGTCTCGATCTACACCTTGGTTTTCATCAGTATCGAAAGATTCATGGCAACTAATCATCCGGTGAGACAAAGGCTGGTATTCAACAAAAAATTAGTTCAAATTGGCGTCTCGATAATATGGATTTGGTCCGGATTTCTGTGCGGTCTGCCTTTCGCCCTGTCGAGATACGTGTATGTTAAAGAGTTTTTCCATTGCATGGTTGACTGGTCTGCCGATATGGCCTACCCGATAATACTTATTTTCTATGCATACTTTTTGCCTGTTTTGACTTTAACAATTTGCAACTTCTATGTTTTACGAGCAGTGCGAATTGTCCAGCGGAGTCGTTCTTGTCATTCAAATTCTCAGGGCAGAAAGAGTTCCAGCGCTAAGCTACGGTTCGCCAGGGAGCGCAAAGCATCATTTTGTATCATCGTCATTGTGGCGACGTTCGTAATTTGTTGGACACCATACATAATTGGAGGATTTGCGATTCTCCTCCGCAACAATAATCTACCAAGGGAGTTCATGTCAGCTGCAGTATTGCTCACCATAGGAAATGCCTCGTTCATTCCCATCATTTATGGAGTCATGAATAATAATTTTCGCGAAGCCTTTCGAAACATTTTGTGTCCGCGAAGTTTGTTTTGTTGGCCGTTTTAAAATTTTGGAATTAACTATTGGGGGGGGGGTACTTCTAGTTGTCATAAATGTGAACATTGCTATATGTGTACTACATGCAGTGTTAGGGAACCCCAGGGAGTACTGAATATGACAATAATTTGGCCGCCATCTTTGAAGCCAAATCGAAGGCTAAGCCTGTATAAGCAGCTGAATTTACACTGCCAAAACAACGCTTTTTATCCAAACCCACTTCACTTGAGCAAGAATGAAGTCTTAAAAGCTGTAAACGTGACTGCAACGCGAGTGGACTCATAAAACAGAAACAGGAGAAGGTTGAACCTACAGGTCGTTACATATTGAGTTTGTTTCCTGTACCAGTTGTTACGATGACTTTCTACGCAAGATAATCCTTTATAAGATGAGCTAGCCTAAGTTTAGTACAATGTACAATGCTTAGTTCTTTATTCTTCGTGTTCTTGCCTTACAGGTTCTTTATCATGATCGTTGCTGCATACGCGATCAAACAAGCTGGGTGATTCATAATATATTAACACTAATTTTATGAGCGCTGTAGATTATGGTATTTCTAGAAGTGTGGGGTTGGCATTATGCACTAGCTCGTTCCAGCTCTCGCATTTGTTTAAGGCGTCATCACTCCAGTTGAGTTAGTGTTGTTCTTATTATTTGATCACTATAATTTTTAATTAATTTTGTAGCTTAAAATTATTAAACTGTATGCCAGTTTGTGACGAAAATAAAGTAATTTTCCCCTGACCTGTCATGCTGAGTGTTATATCGATTCCTGACAGTGAAAACGATGAATTTCCAAAGAAATGAATAAATATGATATCCTAAAATTTGCATAGCTGGGCTAAGTCGTCAGGCTGTCTACTCATAAAATATTCGCCGTGAAATATCGATCGCACATTCGCGGGAAATGAAAGTTCCTATATCGCAAACAAATATATACGCATTCAGCTCACCCGTTACGTGGTTGTGGGTATGATATTAAGAAGTGGTAAATTTAGCGTATTTTTTGTCAAACAAAGGGCGCCCACAAGTACATGATTGACGGCGAGCTCGCAACGTTTGCGTTACGCCATTGCACGGAAATTATTAGGAAAATTGTCAGGCATTCACATCGAGTAGGAGCGAAACCCATGCAATGGCCATGAAAACGTCAATGAACCACTTCTTATAAGACCCAGAACAATTTCTTCGAATTCTCATGTTACAATTAATAAGATAAAACAAAAGGTTATAAAGATTATTATAAAGCTTAAGCCTGCAGGTGCTTTAATAAAGTGCCAAGCAGTCGCATGTTTTGCCGCTATATAGTGCTCTTATAATTAACCGCCGAAGAGGAGGAGAAACTTATCGTGAATATTAACCGAGACGAATTAAGCCAACGATTTTATTCAGTGAGACACTGTTTTAGTGCGGTTGCAAATTAAAGTGGTTATTTCAGAAAAAAACAATTTTTTGATTAATCGGAATATTTGTCAAAACGTAAACAAATTAGTTGTGCAGATGTATCACAATTAGATAAAACGATCATACTTTACATATGCGAAAAGGTGTTAAGGCTGCTTTCAACTGTCGCGTTGAAGTCGATAAAATTCATTTGTGCATGCATGGGTACAAATAAATTTTACTGGTTATGTAATAAATGTCAAAAATGATTATGTCAAACATTTATAAAGACAAATTCACGTACTATTTCTTAACGCCGAAAATGACTTGACAGGTTATATTGAATAAAGTGAAATACCGTGGACTAAAATGGCAATAAATATTCTGACAGGACAAGATATTTTAAGAGCTATAGCGATGCATGCAATATGTAAAAACAGCGTTTGTTAACATTACCGACTGTATAATCTACCTTTAAGTAGACACTGTATATATAAGAAGTTTACTTTTGTTTCAGAGCTGTCAACTGCAACCATCTGGAATAAATTGCTCAAATACAAAGGAGTAAACGAAAAATATCGCTAGTGGAAAACCGGCTTAACGCGTCCTCCCAAGCCGCGTCGTGAATCGTAAACTCTCTAATTTTCTTAGGACGCGCCTGTATAATTACAAAAGTGGTTTTTAATAGCCAACTGTTGTAGAGAAGATATAATTGCATGTTTTAAAAATGTAAACAAATATCGCGACAGTTTTACGGCGATTAAAATAGACCCCAATGCTTTCGCAAAATAGAGTTGAAAAGTGTTCTAAAACGCAGTTTTTTACCTCGAAATAAGTCCTATTGTTTTCACTTCTTTTGTGCTTTTAGTTACAGTATTTTCGTAAAAATAAACTATTCTCATCTGTCACTTTGACATAAGCAACTCATCGACATTGGGTGATTATCGCGTAATAATCCGAGGTCGCTCGACTAATCAGAGGCCAGCATGTTTTATAATCACCTATTATGCAATTATACTAATTATCAATAATAACTATAATGATGAATATTTCATAATAACTCCTAAAAGCTCTGCTGTCTTGGGAGTTACTACTTTGCACGCACATATACCATATAGCTACAAGCCACGACTGAGAAACCACCGCTTTGTCTTCGAATCTCTCCATTACTCAAAAGATTATAGTTGGTTTATTGTACCGCTGGCAGCATCAGGCGCTGTTCAAAAATCTAATTGAAAAACAACAAAATGAAGATGGATTTAAATGGATCAAGTGACACCAGATCAAGGCACACGACTTATTCAACAGCTAGGTTTTCCTTGACATTAATTTTTATAGTGGCATCTCTTCTTGGGAATGGGTTGGTTATTTGCGCTATTTATCGTTTTCGGCGACTTCGTTCCTGTTCCAACTTGATCATTTTAAATTTGAGTGTCGCAGATGTCCTTTTTACACTTATTGTGGCTCCGACAAATGCCTATTATTGGTCTCAAAAGAAAGAATCTATCGAAGTTGTTGCCTGCTTTATCACAGGTGCTCCATCTTATTTGCTCGGCATAGTCTCGATTTACACCTTGGTTTTCATCAGTATCGAAAGATTCATGGCAACTAAACATCCGGTGAGACACAGGCTGGTATTCAACAAAAAAATAATTCAAATTGGCGTCTCTATAATATGGATATGGTCCGGATTTCTGTGTGGCCTACCTTTCGCCCTGTCCAGATACGTGTATGTTAAAGAATTTTTCCACTGCATGGTTGACTTGTCTGCCAGTATGACATGCACAATAATACTTATTATATGTGCATACTTTTTGCCTGGGTTGACTTTAACAATTTGCAACTTCTATGTTTTACGAGCTGCGCGAATTGTCCAGCGGAGTCGTTCTTGTCATTCAAATTCTCCGGACAGAAAGAGTTCTAGCGCTAAGCTACGGTTCGCCAGGGAGCGCAAAGCATCATTTTGTATCATCGTCATTGTGGCGACGTTTGTAATTTGTTGGACACCGTACATAATTGGAGGATTTGCGATTCTCCTCCGCAACAACAGTCTACCAAAGAAGTTCATGTCAGCTGCAGTATTCCTCACCATAGGAAATGCCTCGCTCAATCCTATCATTTATGGAGTCATGAATAATAATTTTCGCAAAGCTTTTCGAGACATTTTGTGTCCACAAAGTTTGCCTGTACGGCCGTCTTAAGTTTCTGGGATTATATATTTGTTTTTGTTTACTTTTATTTGCCATGTATATGAGAGCAGTGATACATATGTAGCGAGAGCTATATAGGGAGATTAGGACAATAATGACTAAATCACCATAATCCAATTTTTATACTTGCCTGAATTGGCCTCTTTTTCGTTGTTTCTGTTTGTGTACGCAAATTGGACGAGCGAAATGTTCAAAACTAGCCAATCAACGTTGTAGATTGTGAAGTGTGATCTGAGCCCAGTTTTACACTACACTCGATTTTTTGGCACGAAACGGATAAAATTCGTACCCGTGCCCAGTTTTATCAGTGCATGTTCAGGTTACCAATACAAAGGACTAGCACGGATGAAATTGGCACGGGTGCCAAGCCTTGGTTTGGGCTGTAGAGGATGAAAGGTTAAACAAAACGATTGACACTTACACCTGTATACTACATTCATTTTTCCCTCGAAATGTCATGCAAAAAAAGGAAGCAATTTATGGTTGCGAATGACCAAAAAGATGTTTACTTGTCTGGGTATGACAAAAATTAATTTCGCCTTGTCATGCTAAATATTTTATATCTCTATATTTCCTATTCTCTTCTGACATTTCGACGGATCTATGTTAAAAAAATTATCTCATGCATGCATGCAGCATGCATACATAGTACCAGGTTACCCAAGGCTGCGTGGTTTTGACTTTTACTCACAATATAAATTACGGTATACGACTCTCCAAAATACATGAAGAATTTGTACAAACGCGTAACAACGAAGTCGTCAAATTTCTGCTCGCCCTCGCAAATGCAAAAGAAACATCCTACATCATGTGGATGTAAATTGATTTTCTTTCACACTACGTATTACGTATATGTTCTTCATGCGTCAAAAAGGTAGTATAGACTATTGGTGGGTTTCACTAAGCGTTTCGCGTCAACACATACAGTGAACAATTAACTCACTCTGATTACTGTGTCTCGTTTTCACTCCAAAAATATGCATGGTCTAAATTCATATTTCTGGCGTCAGAGATTAGCAAAGTTAGGCAGAATTCTGCGACGTAATTTTTTGCACAAAACGATTCGTCGTAATTTTGAAATATCCGCCACAGGTCACTAGATTTATTGGATTTTCAATATTTTACTTAAAATTTGAAAAAAAATGACTAAAGAAATCTTTCTTTTCATATATATACAACTTTCTCATGCATTGAATTGAAATTTTAAAGCTACTTTAATGAATTTTAAACATATAATAGCATATATTCTTTTAGTTTTATATATATTGTTTGAGTAAGATAAGACAAACCAAATCGGACAATCGCATTTTTTTAATCAGCTGCCTTTATATGTACCTAGTATATTATATTTTAATAATTATAAAATATGTATGACATAATCCTTAAACATGATATGCCTTGGAACGGCAAAACTGCTTTAAATTATGCCTATATATATAATATTGTATATAGCTACTACATGAAATTAAGCTACATGCAGTGAATTTATATTGTCCGAATTAAACTGGATGAAAACATGTAATTAAAAAGTACTTGAGCAAGCGAACGAGAATGGATTTAAACAGATCAAGCAACATAACGTCAAGACAAACAACCTATTCAACCGTGAGGTTTTCGCTCGCATTAGTATTTCTACTGACATCGTTTATTGCAAATTCGTTGGTTATCTGCGCCATTTATCGTTTTCGGCGACTTCGTTCCTGCTCTAACTTAATAATATTAAATTTGAGTGTCGCTGATGTGCTATTCACGCTTATTGTGGCCCCGATAAATGGCTCTTACTGGGCTCAAAACAAAGATACAATTGGAGTTGTTTCCTGCCTCATATCAGCTGTCTCGTCTATTTTGTTCGGCATGGTCTCTATTTACACCTTAGTTTTCGTGAGTGTCGAGAGATTCGTTGCAACTAATTATCCTCTAAAGCACAGGCAGGTGTTCAACACAAAATTGGTCCGAATTGGTGTCTCGATTATTTGGATATGGTCCGGACTTTTGTGTGGCTTGCCTTTCGTCCTGACCAGATACGTGTATATCGAAGGCTTTTTTCACTGCTCAATTGACTGGTCTGACAATATGGCCTTCACGATAATATTTCTTACATGTGCATACCTTTTGCCTGTCCTGACTTTGATATTCTGCAACATCTATATTTTTCGAGCAGTGAGAATTAGCCAACGAAGTCGAGCTAGCTATTTAAATTCTCAGGACAGGAGGATTTCCAACACTAAGCTTTGGTTCGCCAGGGACCGCAAAGCCTCATTTTGCATCATCGTTATTGTGGCGACGTTTGTAATTTGCTGGACCCCGTACGCTATTGCAAGCCTTGAAATTTTTCTCGGCAGCCATGTTTTACCAGCGAGGTTCATGTCAGCTGCAGTATTGCTCACCATAGGAAATGCCTCGTTCAATCCTGTCATTTATGGTGTCATGAATTATAAATTTCGCGAGGCTTTTCGAAATATTTTGTGTCCGGGAAATTCGAATGTTCGGCCTTTTTAAGCTTTCTATGAAAATTATATTGAACAATCTATGAAATCTATGAACAATCTTGCACCAGTGTAATATTTATGAGATGCCAGCTAAATATAGGCTCATTGGTTAGAATTTATCCACGTGCACATTACAATGCGATTAAAGTTGTAGAGGAGACATATTTCTGGACGTATTGTGAACGGTGTAAAAGAAGGAATAACAGTGCTTTGTCATTGAGAAGGGTAGCTAATTGTAAAAAATTGAATCTGAAAAATAAAAAAGTGGTTTAAGTGTTTGATAACCACCGAATTCACTTTTTTGCTTGCATGCATGAGAAAACAAATTTTCATCAATCATGGAAATTTGGCATCACTCTCATGGGATTCCCTTCAGATAGACAGGAGAACAGCCATAACTTAAAACAGCCAAAAGGCGAAATGTAAATTTAGCAAAGATTTTTTACGTCTTCAACAGCTGATGTGCGAATGTAAATTTGCCTTTGTTCTTAAACTTATTAAGTTCTTGATCACAAAAACATCGTATAACGATCCCAACACGGTACTTCCATTTGAATATAAGTGCTTGATTTTTAATGTTCTACCTTAAATCTTAACAATATTTGAGAAAGGATTCCGTTATTGGATTAATAATATTGAATGTCATTCACAAGTGTGGGTTGAGTAAGCTGTTTAAATACAAGCGTATATTTCCATATGCGACTTAATTCTTACACAATACGCATGGCTTCTTGTTTATAAGCTTATCCTTAATTAAACCTATATAATTATGTTTGCAACAGAGTACATAGCTACCCATTTATCATTGAGTTGAAAACACGTGATCAACGAAGTGGGAATTTTAATGTGAAATTTTCACCGTCACATCAATACAGGCGTTCCGAAATATTAAGAATTCATTTGCTTACATACTCCTTTCTGTAGATCTGTGAAATATTTTGGGAACTTCTTGAATAACTTAAAATTTGATTGGTCAATGAAATGCCCAATAAGAATTGCTCAATAGTAAAGGGAAAAATTGATTGGTCAGTAAAAATACAGTTATATAGAACAACCGATAAATTTGAGCAAATGAATTTTTCGGAACACTTCAGTAACAATGAAGTGCGAATTCAATGATAGTATGATGAGAATCGTCCCTTGACTCCCTTCAGTTTATTCATTGGCTAAAAATTTAACTATAGAGTCATGACATTATTAGGTGCACACATGCCTACCCATACCTTTGGCTTAAGTTTGCTGTATCTTTAAATCCTTTTGGTATGTTTATTTTATATTGTAGTGGGGACTTGGCAAGTACGATCAAATGAAAACGACGATTTTGTGTTTAAGGCATTAGATGATGCTTTAAAATCAGGATATCGAATGATTGGTTAGTATTGGCAATAAATTATGTTCGACCATTTCCCTAAAAATTGCAACATGTGATACAGTCAATGTCAAAAGTGAAGCTATAAGCATGGCGTCCCAATCTCTTGTGAATCATGGACAAGTCTTCCGCGTCTTTCAATATTGAAGTGAAACAAAGTGAAAAAAGGAATCTATGCTATAGCTGAGTGCTTCTTTGCAACAAACACTGAATATGTAATAACGTCCTTCCACATTAGATACAGCAGCATCATACAATAATGAAAAAGATATTGGAAGAAGTTTGAAGACGCTTTTGCCAAAGTATAATCTCAAGAGATCTGATATTTTCATCACAAGCAAGCTAGGTAAGGAGAGCTATCATTTATTCCGTACGTTTTAAACGATTCATATTTCATATTGAATAAAAGTTACATATTCATATTTTCCACAATTTCTCCTTTTGATAGATGTGAACGAGTAATTAGTTACGATTGCTCTGAGGCCAAAACTCTTAATTCAGCATCAGTCATTGGCATCAGTAACCAATTTACTCATTCACATCTATCAAAAGAAGAAAATTGCACATAAAATCGCAGCAAAAGTTTGCAAACTAGTGTAAACGGGCCTTAAGTATATGAAGTCGAAAATGCTTAACAAAACTAACAATTATTCGTGTTAACAGCTCCCGCTGATCAAGGCTTTGACACGGCCTACAAAGCTGGTCTGCAATCCATCGATAATTTGGGATGCGAATATTTAGATTTGTATCTAATACACTGGCCAGCGGTATCGAAACTGAAGAGAGAGGATCCAAAAAATTTAGAATATCGGACGCAAAGTTGGAAAGCGTTCGAAAAACTTCAAAATGAAGGTCAGTCGATTCACTCCTATCTGACTTCAAATAACAAAGTGTCATCGTAACAAAAGTCCAAAGAAATTTTTAAAACTTTTCAAGAATGCCGGAAATTTATCCACTTCACCGTGCACAGTATTAGACATATACCATTTTCTCAATAACAAATCATTCCAGCTAAATTCTTGTCTGATATATTTCAAAATCTTGAAAGCACTATGTTTTTAAATGTTGAAACTATCGCTCTGCAAAATTCTTTAATTCTTCGCGGTTTCAGAGAAGTGCATACTCGAGTGCATGAATTACCATCGAAAAATGCGCCGTCGTCATGTTATGCCATGCTTACGCGCACGAGATATTTTCTCTTTGAACCCAGTCCCTAACCGCCACCCTTTCCTAACCAAAAATCACGAAATCCGTAACATCACAATGCAACCTGATGCTACAACACGTGCTATTTTCTTTTAACTTTAAGTTTTTTTCATAAGAGACTGCATAGAAATAACAACATAAGTATTTTTTACTACATCATTTTTTTTTCTTGTATACCCTTGCTTCATGCAGGTCACGTTAAAGCAATTGGTGTTTCAAATTATCTTATCCGACATCTTGACGAAATGAAGACGTACTCTTCTGTTGCTCCCGCAGTAAATCAGGTCCAATCCGTTTATGTTCTTAGTATTGAAAAAATAACCATGCACAAAGTTAGCGATTTCTTGGAAATGCAACATCTAATCGGGGTTGCCCTTACCTTTCTTTTTTTCGCTCGATTTTTTGCAACGTGTTTTAATGCATGCCTTTTTCCTAACTCTTTTATACGAAGCAAATCTGTTGCGTAGCTAATTGCACAGTTCTATAATTGCAAGCACCTATGCCGAACGCTGTATATGGGGAAACTGCTTGTTGTGTTTGATCGAGTTTCGCTAATTTGGTCAAAGTTTTCATTTAACATTTCAACCATTAATAACCTTTGTGACTCTGTAAAGAACTCTTTTAACCACTTAACTTTTTGACCACACGTTTCGGCTAATACATAAATTCTAACTTCTCTAAAGTTTTGACTGGGCAACTTTGAAGGAAAGCCTATAACTTTTGAATATAAAGAAGCGCCATCAAACAGTGCACGCATACATGGTTCTTGGCTCTATGGCTCTAAACAGCTACTAAACAGTCTCAAAGCCTGAAATATAATCGACGTAAAGTTTACGCATGCAGTATATGTATATTAAATTCTGTGTTCGAATTTAGGTCGAGTTCCATCCTTACTTATATCAAAAATCGCTATTGGAGTACTGTAAAGCAAACAATATAATATTACAGGCTTATTCATCACTTGGCATAGGAAAGGTACAACCATTTCATACTATATATATAGGATTATAATGTTAATGTGACATGTAAAAGTTTGCCCGTGAAAAAATCAGATTAAAGACATTGGATTACAACTATTGGGAACATATAAAAGGATTGACGACCCGGCCTACAAATTTTTTGTGCAACTGGGAACAGCTTTAATTAAAAGCGATACACATAAAGTGTATGATGGGTGATCTGACTAAAACCGGTTTTACCTATTCTTCAAGCTTGTGGGTGATTCCGTATTTGTTGACATGGGAAAAAAGTACGAGAAAACATCAGCCCATATCTTGTATCGCTGGGCCATCGAACATGATGTTGGTAAGGATATAGGTTTATAACTATTATGATAATCAAGCTAGGCTAGCTAGTATGCCATAACTAAAGCTTCTGCAGCAACGAGCATAGCCGGTCATGCAAAGAAATTTTTGGTATCCTGTATCATGTAACAGGCGTTCAAAGGTTGATTTAGGCTAATTCGTACAAGGTTTATTTGCGAAATGCTAGCTGCATGTAAAATTTGCAAGAAATATAACCTTGCAAAGTATATGCGGTAAATTTTGCTTAATAACATATTACCTGTGGTAGCCGAGTCTATATATTTACAGTGTATCAATGTATATAGCTCAGTCTCAGTGGAGTGTATTTACCGTCTATATACATAGCCCGAGTTAACGCCTACCGGGCGTCTTGTTAATTAATCTAGAATATATATTAAAGTTGGGAGAAAGTGCCGTAATATAATGCTTTAACTTACAGCTATCTTACCCAAGTCTGTCAACACAAAACACATCAATGAAAACATGGAGGTATTTACCTTTGGTTTAACCACGTCGGATATGATGACGCTGGACAATATGAGCAAAGACACCCATTTTTGTTGGAATCCTGAAGAGGTTGCATGAAAATAATTCAGTCAAATAGAGAACATAAATATATAGAGAACATATAAAAGGAACATAAATATTTTCTCTGTTTTTACTACACCGCTCATAATCATTTTTAAATATGGCTATGGCGTTGAAAAATTAAAGCGATGAAATGGCTACTTTATTATAATACAATAAACACGTTTATAATCCACAACTTCATATTACCGCATTTACATATCTCAATGATGTCGAATGTTAAGCAGCTTGATCATAAAGAAAAATAAGTGATTGCAATGACACCGCAGAAATTGGTGTTTAAGACGTTTCAACCCGAAAATCTAATCTCTGGTTCACAATTGTGCATTTCTGTACCTCTATCAAAGAGAAACCTTTCGAATATATAATAAAGAAGCTCTATCAAGGATCAAACGGTGCGTGCATGCAATCATGCATGGTTCTTGCCAAAACATGCATGCAGCTACACAAATATCATCGAAGTAAAGCGTACCACTGTACACTGCCTATTGAATTCTTTGCTCGAATTTAGGTCGAGTTCCATCCTATAGTTAGATCAAAAGTAGCTAATGGAGTTTTTCTAATTATGTGCTTTCGCAATTCAGCAATATTAAATTGATCTGAAGAAAACATTACAAACTATTGAACAACACAGCTTCTTTAGAGTCAATATTTGCTATGAACAAGCTAATAAAAATATATTACTTGCCAAAAACGCTAATAACGCAAAACTTTCTAGATAAACAGTTATAATATATACCTTTCATCATGACTTATTGGTCGGCTGGGTATTTTTCGATCTTAGTATTTTTCACTTCACAATATTCTTGATGCATGAAACACAAGTCAGCTCTTTGGGGGAACCAGCTTTCTGTTTATGATACACTGTACTGTTCTCCTGCATGTACTACATGTTGCAAATTCGCAATCAGATTATATAGCGTCTGCGCGCAGGCTAAATCAGATCCAAACGTCGAGATTATCGACAATGATATAGGAATAAATTTGAAGTTTGTAAATTATATACCGTTTTACCTTTGCCAAGCCCCTAATTTTGAGTTCTTCATTGTACTTGTTGCTTTCGTCGTACACATGGCACATGCAATCAGTGACCTGGTGTACAGGCTGATACAAGACTTTGAATAAAGATATGAAGAAACGCAACTTATAATTAGTTTATGCGCGGTCATACTGAATATTTCAGTAGAAAGAGCTTTTTTTAAGAAGATTTTATTTCAGGAATTGGGTGCGGGGGCTGTATACCAGAGATACAGCACGAAACTCCGAAATCAAGAAAACTGCATGTAGGAGTTGAGTTTTCGTTAGTAGAGAAAAATTAGACGATAACATGTCATGCATGCTTTGCAGTTATGTCAAATATGTTTAGGCAACTCCAACCTTCCAATGCTTATGCAAAGTGAGCTTTATAGTAAATATGATAATTTACTGCTACTGGTTGATCTAGCTTGTATATACAGCTTTAGGTGAATTTGCAAATTGTTATCGTCATCATCATCCTTACCTTGCCGCGCCTTGTGAGTTTGCCGTTTGCATGTAAAAAGTGAACATTCAAACTAACAACCCAGAATCAAGTTAAAATGCCCTGGTAACGAGGTTGCTATAATCTGTATAGGCATTTATTAAAAAATATATGTATATGCACATTCATGGTATTGTACTTTCTGATGAAGCAATCATCCAATAATGACAAATAAACTGAATGAATGAACTGCTTCATCGTCACATATTCGGTCACTTCATATGACTCAGTTATCCTTGAATTTACGCTTACATGCGTGAATTTCACAAAGGCAATGGATTTGCCTAACTCTCTCTTTCAGTATTATTTCGGTATAGTACTCCCAAAAAACCTAGCGTTCGACGTTCATTTGACAAATAACAATCTTTATCGCGAATTAACTGTAACGTATATTGGTTGTAACCTATAGATAGCCCAGAGGTGTTACTTGCAGAAAAATCTCTTAGCTACTTAGGTTGTATCACCAACAAAACCAATATGATATATATTCTCTGGCCGAATTGCATATAAAAATAGTCCACTCCTTCAAGCTTTATTTTTTTAATTAAAGTTAATTGCCTTTTAAATTTGGAGTTGAAACCGTCCATGGAATTCTATGGCGGTTTTGGCAAGAAATTAATGTTAGGAAAATATTGACCATGCTTGTATCAGCTGTCAGCTGTGCTATTCCACCATATTCCAATGATTTATTTTAATTTTAATTTCGATCCATGTAAAGGTATAAATTCTTCCGACTGCTCTTGAGTGAGTATACAACAGACACACCAGAATATAAAGGAACTTACCAGGCGACAAATTTCGTAAGTATTTTGAATATATGTTGGTACGGTTTCGAAAGTATTTTGAATATAAATTGTATCAACTGATATATTCAGGTATCTTTTGTTCAATTTCCTAATGAAGTTCATCAAGATCATAGTACTCCTAAGTGCGAAGAACTGTAGGCTGCTAAAAGCCAAGGGGTTGTATGTTTAAGCTGGTGCTGCGCGGCGGCCAGTTTCCTTCCCTTTCTTTGTGGGTTTCTGGGATCAGCCTTCCTCCATAATTTCATATAGATCTTATAAGGTTGATGGACATTGTTTGACTTTTAAATTAGCATTACCTAGCATTATCATCTAGCTAGTGATGTACATCAGATACCGCATTCCTTCCATCCCCCACCTTGTTGACATGTAACCTTGGGGAAAAAACGGAATAACACCTGCAAAAAGCTTTCCTCTGCATGAAAAAGTGTGGACTGACTTATTATGATTATTTATAACTTTATTCAGGATTCAGTCATGAAACTTCTTCTATTTGCAACCCTTGTAATGGCTGCATATGTTGCAGCCAAGCCAGCGGAATTTGATGAAGATATGAATAAAAGAGGGGAATGGTCAACCTTGTCCAAAACCGTTAATGGACGTGAGTTGCTATTCGGCTGTGACAGAAGACACACATATTTGGACGATGGAAAATGTTGGTCTTATTGTGGTGCAAGCTGGGTTAGTATTCAAAATAATAAATTACGTCATGTACGATCAATCAGCCAGCCTTAAGCCAATTAAACGTGATTGTCTAATCAGATACATTGAAGATATATATACCTTCCCAATTTCCATATGACTCCTGACGAAGGCGCGGAGAAAGGCGAAAGACGTTGCTTTACCACATTTCATGGTTTTGGAAACCCGACGATGCCAGAACCCTTCCCTTCTTTTTCAAGAAAATCCCTAGGTATGAGGTTGATTGAGTCAGGATACTGAACTATATACTGCCACCCAGACTTATATTGTACAAAATTACGAATAGTACGACTATTACGAGTATCCATCAATTCAGGCTGGCTTTAAATTAATCTGGCAATTGTTATTGTAAAGAATTCGGCCAAAATTATGTATCCACGAAATCTGGCTCTATAGGAGACAATTTACAGTGTATCAAATGGGTGATTTGCATGAAAACTAACAACTATCCAGCTTCACTTTAACCAGCTGTATGGAGTGCCACATGGTACAAAAGTATATTACAACATTGAAAAACAACTGAAGAGCTAGGAAAATTATACTTTGTATCACATTTTTTATTCAGACGAGCGGAGAGTGGTGCTACACGATGAGACATGATGGTAAGACGAAGGGTTGTTGGAATGACAGCAAATGTAATCACTTCGTCGACAAATGCCTTACTACTTGTTCTCTTTAAAATCGTCCGAAGAATTGATCCACAGCATTGCGATTGGACCAAACATGATTAGTCTAATATTATTTATGTTAAAATCATGACATGAAAAATAAAAGAGTGCGTAAAAAGGACTGGTGTTTTTTATTTTTGTTAGCATGGTTACATAATGCTGTAAACACGCAACTTTATCGTCTAAATCTTCACACTGGCGGTAAGCCTTCCGCGTCTTTCAATATTGAAGTGAAACAAAGTGAAACAAGGAATCTATGCTACAGCTGAGTGCTTCTTTGCAACAAAAACTGAATATGTAATAACGTCCTTCCACATTAGATACAGCAGCATGATCCAGCATCATACAATAATGAAAAAGATATTGCAAGAAGTTTGAAGACGCTTTTGCCAAAATATAATCTCAAAAGATCTGATATTTTCATCACAAGCAAGCTAGCTAACATCTATTTGGTACGTTTTAGACAATTCAGATTTTATATTGAATAAAAGTTACATATTCATATTTTCCACAGTTTCGTAAAGGCTCGTTTTCACTTTGCTGCGATTTTATGTGCGATTTTCTCCTTTAGGTGAATGTGAATGAGTAATGAGTTACGCTTGCTCTGGGACCAGAACTCTTAATTGAGCATCAATAACCAATTCACTCGTTCACATCTATCAAAAGAAGAAAATCGCACATAAAATCGCAGCAAAAATTGCGAGTGCATGTAAACGGGCCTTAAATGACAATATGAAATATAAAATGCTTAACAAGACTAACAGTTAAGAAATCTTGTTGTGTTAACAGCTCCCGCTGATCAAGGCTTTGACACGGCTTACAAAGCTGGTCTGCAATCCACCGATAATTTGGGATGCGAATATTTAGATTTGTATCTAATACACTGGCCAGCGGTATCGAAACTGAAGAGAGAGGATCAAAAAAATGTAGAATATCGGACGCAAAGTTAGAAAGCGTTCGAAAAACTTCAAAATGAATGTCAGTCGATTCACTTCTATCTGACCTCACCGAGGTGGTCGGGAATAACAAAGTTTCATCGTAACGAAAGTCCAAAGAAACTTTTCAAGAATGCTGGAAATTTATCCACTTCACCATGCACAGTATTAGACAGATACCATTTTCTCAATAACAAATCATTCCAGCTAAATTCTTGTCTTATATATTGCAAAATCTTGAAAACACGTGTTTTAAAATGTTGAAACTATCGCTCTGCAAAATTCTTTAATTCTTCGCGGTTTCAGAGAAGTACATACTCGAGTGCATGAATTACCATACGATGCGCCGTCGCCATTTTACGCTATGCTTACGCGCACGAGATATTTTCTCTTTGAACCCTGTCCCTAACCGCCACCCTTTCCTAACCACAAATCACGAAATCCGTAACATCACAATGCAACCTGATGCTACCAACACGTGCTATTTTCTTTTAACTTTAAGTTTTTTTCATAAGAGACTGCATAGAAATAACAACATAAGTATTTTTTACTACATCATTTTTTTTCCTTGTATACCCTTGCTTCATGCAGGTCACGTTAAAGCAATTGGTGTTTCAAATTATCTTATCCGACATCTTGACGAAATGAAGACGTACTCTTCTGTTGTTCCCGCAGTAAATCAGGTCCAATCCGTGTATGTTCGTAGCATTGAAGAAATAACCATGCACAAAGTTAGCGATATCTTGCATGGTTATGCAACATCTACCCTTGCCTTGGGTTGCCCCTTGCCTTGGGTTGCCCCTTACCTTTCTTTTATTCGCTCGATTTTTTGCAACGTGTTTCAATGCATGCCTTTTTCTTAACTTTTTTATACAAAGCAAATCTGTTGCATAACTATAATTGCACAGTTCTATTTGTTAAGAATGTTAAGCAGCTTGATCATATCATCATAAAGAAAAATAAGTGATTGCAATGACACCGCAGAAATTGGCGTTTAAGACGTTTCAACCCGAATATCTAATCTCTGGTTCACAATTGTGCATTTCTGTACCCCTATCAAAGAGAAACCTTTCGAATATTTTAAACAAGTTAAATTTTTCTTCTGAATACGCATTCTGCAATCTTTTCACAGCTCATCATACGCGTCTGACCGCTGTGAAATGGCCATTTTGAGGTTTAAAGTGTACACAAGGTTATTATTAATTCAGACGATTCGTTTTTATCGTGTGCAAGCTTCAAATCTTTTTTGCAAGAAATATTTTCTTGAATATTTATAAATCTTTTTTCTCACCAAGTTTGAAGTCTAAGTTTCCGCGGTGTCGAATACAATGTGACTGCTTTAATAAGTGATTGCATGCAATGTGACTGATTATAGCAATGGAACTGCTATATGAATACTATATGGTTATAAATGCTTTCATCTGCGAACTTTTTTAGTAATATCAATTTTAATACAAATGAAACCATTTGCAAGGTCAACTTTAATGAAAGCCTATAAATTTTGATTGATATCAAGTATCGAACGGTGCATGCATGCATGCATGCATGCAATCATGCATGGTTCTTGCCAAAACATGCAGTTACACAAATATAATGGAAGTAAAGCGTACCACTGCACACTGCCTATTGAATTCTTTGCTCGAATGTAAGTCGAGTTCCATCCTACAGCTATACAGCTATACTTATATCAAAAGTAGCTAATGGAGTCTTTCTAATTATGTGCTATCGCAATTCAGCAATATTAAATTGATCTGAAGAAAACATTGCAAATTATTGAACAACACAGCTTCTATAGAGTCAATATTTGCTTATGAACAAGCTAATAAAAATATATTACTTGCCAAAAACTCTAATAACGCAAAACTTTCTAGATAAACAGTTATAATATAAACCTTTCATCATGACTTATTGGTCGGCTGGGTATTTTTCGATCTAAGTATTCTTCACTTCACAAGATTACTTATGCACGAACCACAAGTCAGCTCTTTGGGGAAACCAGCTTTCTGTTTATGATACACTGTACTGTTTTCCTGTTCGAATTAACTGCAACGTATATTGGTTGTAACCTATAGATAGCCCAGAGGTGTTACGTGCAAAAAAATCTCTTAGCTACTTAGGTTGTATCACCAACAAAACCAATATGATATATATTCTCTGGCCGAATTGCATATAAAAACAGTCGTCTTCAAAGCTTTATTTATTTAAAGTTAATTACCTTTTGAATTTGGAGTTATTGAAACCGTCCATGAAATTCTATGGTAGTTTTGGCAAGAAATTAATGTTAGGAAAATATTGATCATGCTTGTATCAGCTGTCAGCTGTGCTATTCCACCATATTCCAATGATTTACTTTAATTTTAATTTCGATCCATGTAACGGTATAAATTCTTCCGACTGCTTTTGAGTGAGTATACAACAGAGACACCAGAATATAAAGGAACTTACCAGGCGACAAATTTCGTAAGTATTTTGAATATATGTTGGTACTAGCTAAGTTGTATTAACTGTCACTGATATATTCACGTATCTTTTGGTCAATTTCTTAATGAAGTTCATCAAGATTATAGTACTCCTACTGAGTGCGAAGAACTGTAGGCTGCTAAAAGCCAAGGGGTTGTATGTTTGGGTTGATGCTCCGGGGCGGCCAGTTTCCTTCCATTTCTTTGTGGGTTTCTAGGATCAGCCTTCCTCCATAATTTCATATAGATTTTATAGGTTGATAAGGTTGATGGACATTGTGTGTCAGGGGTCATCCTAAGAAAAATTTAGTACTGCCCATCTCATCGCTGCCTCAAAATCCAGTATGTGTTGTAGGCACAAGCCCACTGGGCGTGTGTGGAATTTACCATTCCGGCGAAAATATTTGAAATTTGAGATCTCTTAAATGGCAATTTAAGCATTCTGAGAACCCTTTTTGGGAGAAAATTAGGTTTCCAAAAAAAATTTTAATGGCACATTTTGTGAAATCAGAATTAAGCTGGGAAGTTACTAAAGTCACCTAGCCCTTCATGGATATTTCCTATTTCCTTTCTAGAAAACTATCTATTTCAAAATCCATGAAAAAAACAAAAACAAAAACTGCGATGACAAATATAGGTAAATAAACGAAGGTCTCAGAATGAAGAATTTGTTTGGCAAAAGTTACATGAAGTATTATGTAATAGAAACAGAGAAGTTAACAAACAAGCTAGCTATAGAATATTTTGAATAGAATAGTCTAAAAGAAAAGAATATTTTGAACTTTAGAACAGGATAAATTACTTGAAACCGAGAGACTTTAATTAATATTGTTTATTTGTTTTGTAGATGATCAGTCTAATAAATATCGCGTTTTTTTAGACCCCTTAATGTTTGGGAATTCAATATTCTCTTTCCAAAACTTAATTTTTAGAACTGCCCATTTTAGGATTTAGAACTACCCATTCTTCAATTAGAACTGCCCATTTTGGAAAATGGGAGGCCTTAGGATGACCCCTGTATGTGTGTCTTTTAAATTAGCATTACCTAGCATTATCATCTAGCTAGTGATGTACATCAGATACCGCATTCCTCCCACCCCCCACCTTGTTGACATGTAACCTTGGGGAGAAAACGGAATAATACCTGCAAAAAGCTTTCCTCCTGCAGGAAAGAGTGTGGACTGACGTATTATAACTTTATTCAGGATTCTGTTATGAAACTTCTTCTATTTGCAACAACCCTTGTAATGGCTGCATATGTTGCAGCCAAGCCAGCGGAATTTGATGAAGATATGAATAAAAGAGGGGAATGGTCAACCTTGTCCAAAACCGTTAATGGACGTGAATTGCTATTCGGATGTGACAGAAGACACACATATTTGGACGATGGAAAATGTTGGTCTTATTGTGGTGCAAGCTGGGTTAGTATTCAAGATAATAAATTACGTCATGTACGATCAATCAGCCAGCCCTAAGCCAATTAAACGTGATTGTATAATCAGATACGCTGAAGATATATACGTTCTCAATTTCCATATAACTCCTGACGAAGGCCCGGGCGAAAGACAAAAGACGTTGTTTTACCACATTTCATGCGCAGATAGAAGTTTCAAATTGAAGCTTCAAACAAAATGACTTCCGTCTTTGTTTGTCAGATATAAACAGGTGCGAACAAGCAGCTGTTTATTTACAGTTCGTCCTTCAGCACTACCGATAATAAGCGAATTTCTTATTGTGCTGGTTCGCGTATCTGCGTCGTATTAATTTATCCCACAATTCATGGTTTTGGAAACCCGACGATGCCAGAACTTTTCTCTTCTTTTTCAAAAAAATCCCAAGGTATGAGGTTGATTGGGTCAGAATACTGAACTATATATTTCCACCCAGACGTATATTGTACAAAATTAGGAATAGGTCGGGCTATTTGTACTTATGAGCTGTAATACTAAAATCATTCCATGAATTTGTGAGGCTCGTACGTCACAATTTTTAAGCTCGTACGCGTATGGAAAAATTTAAATCATGCGACATTTTAAATCGTTAGCATGGTCGAAATAGTACGATTATTACGAGTATCCATCAATTCAGGCTGGCTTTAAATTACTCTGGCAATTATTATTGCAAAGAATTCGGCCAAAATTATGTATCCACGAAATCTGGCTCTATAGGAGACAATTTACAGTGTATCAAATGGGTGATTTGCACGAAAACCGCTAACAACTATCCAGCATCACTTTAACCAGCTGGATGGAGTGTCACATGGTACAAAAGTATATTACAACATTAAAAAACAACTGAAGAGCTAGGAAAATTATACTTTATATCACATTTTTTATTTAGACGAGCGGGGCGTGGTGCTACACGAGGAGACGTGATGGTCAGGCGAAGGGTTGTTCGAAAGACAGCAAATGTTATCAGTTCGTCGACGAATGCTATACTAATTGTTCTCTTTAAAATTGTCCGAAGAATTTATCAGCAGCATTGCGATTAGTCTAACAAAACATGATTAGTCTAATATGTTAAAATCATGACATGAAAAATAAAAGAGTGCGTTAAAAGGACTGGTGTTTTTTATTTTTGTTAGCATGGTTACATAATGCTGCAAACACGCAACTTTTATCGTCTAAATCTTCTCACTGGCGGTAAGCCTCTGTATCATCTAGTTGTGAACACGATCAACTTTTGCAGCATTTTCTATAATTCTTTCTAAACGTTTTGATCTCACAATGCCCCCTCTTCGTTATATGTCACCACTCAGTGTGTGTCACACACTGTGACACATTTCGTACTATCTTACATGACGTTTCCAAAAATTAATATTCTATTTCAAAATGGCGTCTAAACCCAGTTGTTTGATAGTTTGTAGCTCTTCACCAGAAGGTGAGCTTGCATTTACTTTTGCATCTTTTACAAGTAGTGACAAACAATAACTCGTTTTGCAGCGACACGTATATTTATAGATATGAAAATAACCACTTTATAATATTGTATCCTTTAATTGGGAGTGTGTGTAGGTTACCCCGTCCTTCTCCCGTCTTTATCAGGAAAGTCGACGTTGACAGGTTCCTTTTTAGGGGTCTATCCAGTAATATCGTAATTTTTCAACTCTTGGAATATATTTTATCAAAGTCAATCTCAAGATTTATACTTCAAGTTTCAAAAATTAGAAATCAATTTTTAAACATGTAACATGTTGGAAACAATGGTGGAAATTGGTCGTTTTTTTAAGAATTGTGGGATATTTTGGGTCCAATGCTTTTACTAGATACATGGATATATTTTAAAAAATGTAATCAAGTAGTGTGTTTCTCTTTAGGTGTGTCTGCATCTTCGTTTATTCATGCATTCACTCTCACAAACTCAACTTTTAATGTCCAAATTGTCACACCTCAGGTAATTTTTAGTCTTCCTGTTAGTCATATTAATATCATGTATATCTTATATAACATATGTATATGTGTACCCACTACCAGGGTCGACAAATTGAGTTTATCCGATCAGATGAGAGTAGCAAGAGATGGATCAATGACTTTAGAACAAAGACAATATCAGTGCCTGGTAAACTGGAAAATATTCAAGGTTTGTCACACAAGCCAGTGACTCAATAAATCAACCTGTTAGTGCCTTCTATGACCAGTTGATTATTATAATAAGAAGGAATTTTTACCACTTTTCTCAGCCTCTAGGTTCTCTGCCATGCTTATTCCGAGTTCTCCTGGCGCTTTAAACGATTTAGCTGAGAACGAGGTTTTGGCAGCGTTGTTGAACCGTTTCATTGAACAAAAAAGTAAGTATCTTTCTCATCATTTCCTGGGCAGTAAGTTTCCTTGTTAGTTTAAAATCTAATTAAATTTCAATATGAAAAATTTAACAGCAGTACTTTAAACCAATTAAAAGTGCATGCAACCTTATATTTCAACGCGAAAGGTTGTGGTGGCCTCTATGTTCTGGTTACGAGATTTTCACACAATTTTCTCACAATATTCACAAGCTTGTTTCTTTAGAGCCAATTTGTGCTGTTGGGTATGGCGTCGCTGCGTTATTCGCAGCGAAGAACGAAAACAACAAGTCTTCGTGGAGTTTCAAGAGTTATTCATTGACTGCCGTAGGTTTCCTAAACGTTCCACCGACCGTTAATGTGACTATACAGTCAACAATTGAAATTTTGGTTTTCAATTTAGCCTTCTTTGTTTGAAATGGTCAAAACGGAGAATTTTAACACCCTGAACATAATTCCTGAAGATTACATAAAGGATCATGGCGGAACATACAGTGGTGAGATGGCTGGTTATGTCTTTACGGTTACTTATGAAGGCTTCTTTGTCACAACTAGTTCAAAATAATGTGTTGATCTTACTGCGATAGTTTTATTTCTTGTACGGGAAGCCGGACCAGTGGAAAATCGTACAAAATAGAGCATTAATTTTGGTTGGTTCCTACCGGCCAGTAAACTGCATTGCGGACCACTAGTGATTCTTGAACGCTGCGGCCCGCTCAATTTTGGCGGCAAAATTAAATTTTACGTCTTTTACAAATTTCCACAAATTTTTTTCAAAACGTCTGTTGTTTAAAATAGATTTACAAATACAAAGTTTGAAATGTCTGAGAGTGAGGTTTTTATCATCCGGTGGGTGTTTTAGGACTAAACTGCGAGCGAGGTTCTAAACTTTAGCAAACTATTTCAATTCTAAACTTTAGCAAACTATTTCGACTTTGTTTCGTATCTTGCACTAACGTTACAGCTGCGAAATCTCAATCTTTGTGCGAGCGGCGGGCCCAAAGTTGATATTTATATCATGAGGGTCGTCTTTAGAAAAGGAAATTCATCCTTGCCTCCTGCAACGCATTCATTTATATTTCAGCCAGCGAATGTGATGCCGTTCACGTGGTTATGGACCGTCATGTTATAACGGGGCAGAATGACCAGTCAACGCTTTGTGCTGTACAAAACCTCATATTATTATGCAATGCAAGGTAGAAACAAAGAAAATGTCTCATGGCATTGATAAACTCTCGATTATTCTGAATAGAAAATATCCAATCTCTTCTATAAAGCAGTTCTAAAATGATACACCTATTATTGAGAAACTGCATTTATTTTCGCAAACAAGAAAACACATGTTCTTCTGACTATTTCAACCACAGCAGCGCGGTACCTGCATTTTTAACAATTTCAACCAAATGATGATGCAATGTGTTTTACATTCTTAATCGATTCTTAAGACATTCTTTTATTTGTTTCACGTTCTACGTTCAACTCTCCTTCATTCCACTCATTCACCTTTCCTGCAAATTTTCATCCGCACCCTTTCAGGCACGCAGACATTCACCCTTGCCTATCCTTTATCATCTAGAATTCTGGTTTGGCATTATGTGTGCAATTTATGCGGCTATTTCAGACTTTCTGTTGTATTTGTTTCAGACATGGAAAAGCAAAGTCGTGATACAGTCATGATATGCAAGTTAAATGCTCGACTAAAACAAAACCTAAAAGTGAACAATTAGTAACCGCATTTGGGGATAGAAACGAAATCATGCGATGTTGAATTACGTTGAATCGTCAGATTTGTATGCTATTACAATTCAAAGCTATCTTATTTACACTACAGTTGATTCGTATGCAAAGACAATGCAAGATAGACTTGAAAGAAATCTAGTCTATATCAATTACAGCATGGATAATGAATTTGTTCTTCTAAAGTCTATTTACTGGGTATAAACTAGGAATACAACCAAAACTACAAATTGAAACGAAAACAAAAAAATAAATTGAAAAAGTATAGATTAATTTTAGCAATATGTAAAATAGTATATTATATGGATTTTGCAACAATGCAACTCATTAATTTAAAAATCATGTAAATTTAAGTGGAGCATTGCTATTCTTGTCTGTTACAATTTAGCTTTTCTAGGTAACTCTGCCAGATAAACAATGTTTGCTGGCATATTATGGTGATGTTATTTCAGGTCAAAGCAAGAGAATCGAGGAGGCAGAGATTAGGTACTGCCTTTTGCAAAGAATCAGGTAAAGTGCAACACAATGCGACATGCTAGCACTTATGGCTTGGTATTTAACTATAGAGGGCCAATGTGTCACAAATAACTAAAGGAGTGTCCACTATCCAAATGAAGCAAACAGAAAGAACCGGCCTCGTCAACTCTTGTTTTTGCATTCAAGAGGAGAGAATACTTTTGAGGGTAAAATAATATAGCAAATACACAATGAATTTTTTTTACTTTGATCTTAAGCCCAGTACAGAAGGGCAAGTTTTCCTTGACAAAAGCTAGGGCCGTTAAGGAAAACTTGCCAAGGAATTGCGCAGTAGGAAACATGGCAACAATCTTCGAGCCAATCAAGCAGGTTCTTGAAGTTTTTCTCATTTTATCATGGCTCATATCATCATTAAATATACTCATACTTTATAGTAGCGTAAAACGTGTCAAGAAAAATTTGGTTTTTTTTTCATGTACACAGGAGCAAATAAAACTTGTCAAGGAAAACTTGTTCGTCATACACAGAAGCAAGTGAGCTGGTCAAGAAAACTTGTCATGGACAACTTGCCCATCTGTATAGGACTTTATTGTCGTGCAACAATTTGTATTCCCCACACTTTGTAGATCATTTTATTTCTTCTGTTGATATATATGATTTATTACTTTCTGAATATGAATATTTATGAGCATGAGAATTAAGAAAAAGAGTAGAGTGAAGTGAATCAATCAACTTATGTATAGAAGATAGGGTGATGAACAGCAACAAAGTGGAATGTTTTAGGCCCACAATCAACATTCCTATTTTATTTGTATTTCTCATGGGTAATTTGTATAGAACATCTATATAGAAACTCCTTGAACTAGAATTTTGTCCACAATATCTTGTTGACAGGAGGTCGCTTTCTAAAATAAAGTTTCATGGGCAGTAAGAAAGTCACCATTCTGAAAGCTTCACTAGCTTTTGTTTCATTATCACTGTTGAATTGAAATATGACTTGTCCTTCTTTCACTACTGCCTCATAATGATCAATTTTGCCCTGCCCTTTCCCCATACGACTTCCAAGTGGTTTCTTTGTCACAGGTGTTGTGGCTTCCACCTTCCACAGTTGACGTGTTTTGGTCTTTCGCACAATAGATATCCTTGCCGCTTCTATGGTTTTAGCCTTGAGTCTGCCAGGACCACGGGCATAGATTGCAAAGTCGTATTTATCCACAAAATCGTATTTAGGTGCAACATGCTGACTTTCTTTGGGAAGACTTGAAAAGAACCGTGAAGCCTGCCACCATCCCAGGGTGTTCATCTAAACGATAAAACTAAAAGGTATATGCATCTATCTGCAGAGAATTTTATCAGTTACAATATGTTTTCGTGTTCTTGTGAAGAATTGTGCTCTTTGGCTAAGGGAACTTCGAACGTTAACCCACCCACCGTTATTAAAAATCAAGAAGGCAGAGCAAACTGCAAAGCTGCCGCCTGGCGCCTGCCAAAGGCAAAGCGGCTAGCAAGTAGCAACCCAACTCATTTTCTGTACTTATTCAAAAAAATTTCGACCTATTTCAGTTTTTGACGGTTTTTAAACCATAGAGAAAAAATAAATTTAAAGCTTACGTATTTTAAACGTCCATAGTTGAACTTAGGTACAAATCTGCAAGAAAAAGCCGCCATCTTGAATTGAAGCTGCATACTTCATGTAAGAATTGGGTTCTCGTATCCCAGTCATCCCCCTTGACTGTTATTTGTTTAGATAACATACACGGGGGTACTTAACTACTTCGTTATTTGATTTACTTGTAAATTAAATGCATGTTGTTGATGGCTACAAATCCTGAAACAAGTTTTCTCGACGACGGTATTGAGAATTATAATAGGTCCGAAACTGAAGATATATCAAAATATGAAGAAATAAGAGACAGAAGCATGCGGCCATCTGGTCGAGGCCGGCAAAATAAGAACATTAATTTGGCATCACCAATTAATATAAATTCAGATATTAGTGATGTAGCACCAATAGTAAACCCTAATGGCAGATATAATAGACAAATGGATAGAGAGGATGAGGATGAAAGCTTACTGACAGATGAAAAAACATTGACTTGCCCAACTTGCAAAGGGACAGGGACAATTTATGCAGGTATTGTGAATACAGGCTGACTGAGCCTGACTCAACTGCTTTTAGCGTTCAGTTATTAATAAAAGTAGGTGAAACGTGTATAAGAGCTATATCACCCGAGCATGAAGTGCTACTTTGCAAGCTAGAGCCCTTTGCTGTGAGTGGACCGTGCTTTAAATCCCCCCCCCCAACATTTTTGGCAGCCAAAATTATTAGAACAATGTTACCATTAAAGAGTTATAATATTAAATTTGCATGGTGACATCAATAAGTAAATTAAGTTGTAGGTACACCACCGTCACCACGTAAGTGTTTAATACTGCAAAGCTTTCGGCCTGTTAACCCTGGCCTCCATCAGTGCAATTACCTGACTACACATCTACATGTCACTTAAATTGCACGTTTGTCATGATTTAGTACTTACATGAGTATTTAATACTTACATGGTGTACCTAAAAGCTAATTTACTTACTCACTAAAGAGTTGTTTGTGGAAAGTTGTTTGTTGTTCTATGTCTGTTTTGTGATTCCAGGACAAATAATGTGAGATCTGAGCGATATCCATATCATCTTATGACAGGCTTATAGGTGTTGATGAAAAATGGTTGCAAATACATTGTTGATTGATAGTTTCAAATTATTCTTAATTACTACAAATATGAAATAATTTCATACATGGAACAAACCGTTTACCATTTGCTTCAAAATAAAAATTTTTAATAAAAATAAAATATGTATATAGTACTGATGACAATTTTGTTTTATACAAAGCTGTTTCTGGGGTCAAATTGACTTTAAAGCATGACATCACATTAGTGAGACTATTAATTCCCTGGCTCAGCCATAACATCAATTTCAAGTTATTGAACACATCTTTATAATAACGCAATTATTATCTCTTTCCAAGGTCAATTCATGCACTGTAAAATGTTTCAGTTTTGGTTCATTAGATTACACCTTTTGCATTATAGATTACTTTTTGATCTTTGCAAGATAAACCAATCAATTATCACCACAGCTGAAAAGAGCGTACCAAAATTAGTGTAAATGCAAAGTTTGGCTGAGAAATGCCGTAAAATGCAGAAAATATAGCCTTGCAAATTTTGCAAATTTGTATACTTTTGTTTAACGTACAGAAATTGTTACCACATTCCTGCCAAAAAGGTAACAATTTCCGTGCGTTAAACAAAAGTAATTTAATTTTTGAATTTAGATGACAGTTCTTTGGTGGCTCTAATTCCTGTGAAAGATGAACGTTTAAAGCCAAAAAGAACGTAAGTTTAGCAACTTCAATACTTTCGCCTACTTAGCTCAGAAATACGTAATTATACGTAATTATAGTTAAAAGTTAACTAATCTAAAATATCTAAGTTAAAATACTAAGTTAAAATATCTAATTGTAATATAACATTTAGAGTACGCGCGTGCTGATTGGTCGAGAAGCGTGTTTCTATTTAACAATTGTCTAATTGTTTTAGTATATACCCTGTACCTAGATATAATAATTTCGAGAAAATAATCGATACACCGCAATTACACCGAAAAATGATTTAATTAATTCAATTTTATACGGTCGCGCGAGCGAATTTCTCCCAAACGTTCACCATCACGAATAGACAATGGTTGAGTAGCCAATCAGAATGTAGGATTTGTAATAGACAATAGTCGGGTGTATACTAAAACTGTATATAAACACAGGAAGAAATGTTTTCTATTTCTTAAATGTTTCACAGTCAGTCAAATTGTTTCATGAGTTAAGATATGCCGCGAAATCGTTTTCTCAAAGCTATTGACTTATTTTTTACACACAATTTATTAATTAATATGTACATGTCTTAAATTACATTATTTGGATTTTTGTGCTTCCAGGAAATTAAAGATCGCCATTGCTGTCTGTCTAACGATTTTGATATGCGGAGTCACCATATTTTTTCTTTTTCCACGAAGTCCGACATTACGGCTTCAATCAGTTGTTGGATATAACTCTTCATTTCCAACTTCAGGCGATGCTTATATTTTACTAAAGGTGAATGACTTTCCTCTTTTATCAGTTCATTTTTACTTTTTTTCTAAAATGTGAACAAAAACAGACTGAGGTTTTCTGTGTGACTCGCTCCTCAGTTTCAACCCCAAAATTTTGTTTTAAATTTTGTTCATTGTTGGTCTTTAATCGATGTATGCACAAGGCATCCTGTGTAATGCTGCAAACACTTAAAAGCTGGAATGTGTGTGCCAAAAAATTTTAGCTTTGTAGCATTTTACCATTCGTTTAAAGGAATTCCTGAAACCTAAAAAAGAATCAAATTGCTTTGTTCAATTCGTGTATAGGAAATGTGTTTTAACTTCATGCATTTAATATGTGCAGAACCACTATGTTGTTGACAACAAAAATTTTGTATACGTGGATTTGACGTCGATATCACTCAGCGTGTCATTCCAGAAGTTACAAGTTGCTGGGCCTAATCCCATTCATAAATTTGAAACAAAGAGTGTTGATATGCGTTCTTCTACAGATGTAAGTGTCCACATAAATTATACACAGGAGATTACTGCACGCATGGTTGGCGAGTGCGTACAGTTTTTATACTCACGAGTTGTGAAGGGTCGCAAGAAAACACGACGAGGTTTCTTTTTTATTTCTATAGTTTGACGTTTACGTAAATACAACGTACAAGCGAGATACTTCTGGCATGGCTGTATTGAAGTATGGATATCGTTATAATCTATGCATGCTTCTTGTGAGGGGGGGGGGGGGCACGAGATTCGTTCGTTTCTCATTTCATATCCTTGCCTATATGAAAACCAGCCTCTTGCTCCCGCGATGCAAATACCGCATTTAGGAGTAATTATAGCAAACTCCGATTCCGAAATGTATGATAAACCCAATCAATGATCATCAATGATTAGTTCCACCAATGTCAATGATCATTCTGGTTGACGATCGAACAATTAGATACAGAATATTTTATCGAAGAAATTTCCAGTGTGAAGCATTTGTTTTATAAACATATATACCGTCTTTTAAAAACTTTCGAATATTACCGCAAATAAACAATATAATAAACGTTTAAAAATTGACCATTTCCTTAACAGAAACTAAATGTTGAACTATATATAGGTTCTGGGATGTATAGCTTTCCAAAATTACTGAAGTTAATATTGCATGATGTGTATTGTTTTCAAATTAGTTTAATAGAGGAATGGTCCATTCATTGGCCCATGCACCTCTTTTTATTGTATTTATTGAAGTATTATTTATCTTTTTTAGATTATTGTGTATGTATGGTTTTCTCTTACTAGATATTAGGTAAGTACAGTACTCTTTCTCATGCATGACCAAATGATATAGATGCCAATCCTTGATAAATGTGGTAATAAAACATGACTATATAAAATTTCAAGTGAATTAAATTCAGGATAAGCGGTGTTTTGTGAAAGCTATCGCTATGTTTAACCGTCTATAGGTTTTCATCAGACATTAGCATAAACTTGCGCATGCGCTTAATTTTAAAAATTGCTAAGTGCAACTAGAGCAGGAAAACGACGTCTTAATTAATAATCTTTGTATATAAATCTTTAATTCGATGAATTTACGTTCCTTATCTGGCTGAGGCAAAATACTCAAAATATCAATTTGGTGCCAAAAATATTATATATGAATCATGCACCTTTGATTTTTACTTAACTCGCTGAGAATAATTAGCATAAATTTTCGTTTTTCAGTACCCAAATTGAATCATCTTTCCTCTTCCACACTGAAATGATATCATCCACAAAGCAGACATATTTTCCGTGTTACTACAATGGCTCCACTTTCTAGTACGTAAATTCTATAGCTACAATTATCTTCTCTATATCGACGAATTGCTGGAATTATTATTGTCATTCTGGTAGACGATCATAAAATTAGATGCAGAGTATTTTATACAAAAAATTTCCAAAATGAAACATTTCCATTTATAAGCATACCGACCTTTCTGCAAATTTTCTAATGTTACACGCGGATAAACCGTTCCACGCAGGGTTTCACGTCTAATCACGCGATATTCCTGCAACCCCATGTGTTAATCTTCAGTTCAGCATAGCGAAACATTATGAAACAATACGGAAGTTTTGATTTTTACACTGTCTTTTTTGCATCGCATAAGATGTTAATATAAATATAGAAAATGTTGAAAACAATCTTATCCAAGGGTCTTTTGAATTTCTACAAGCTCAACATTATACCACTATTATTATATGACTAGTTTTTTTTGTTTTTGTAAATCCTGCAATTTGATTGGCTGCTGACGAGGCGGGATTTTCCCATATTGCCCACGGGCAATACGCTCAATTTTTATTGACCGGATGTAATGGAAATGAATTATTATTCGTGTTCATGGTTTTCCCAAATTAAGTCATATAATAAATAACTTACTGACTTCGATTGTTCGGTCTGTACGGTAAAATATCAAACCGAGGTCGTGCCGTATTGACATCGCTCGGTCAATACGGCACGACCTCGGTTTGATATTTTACCGTACAGACCTCACTCTCAGTCAGTAAGTTCTTATTATTATATTAGATATATGCATGTATATACTATGTAGATAAACAGTTTTGTTTTAAAGGTTTTGAACTAAAAACTTGAAATAGTGATAGAAAAGCAGTTAAAACTAGGGGAGCGGTCAATTCTCTCAATCCTGTACCTTGTGGTAATTCGTGGGAAACTTCGTGTTTCCATATGAAGAATTTTCCTAGCTTTGTTCTCATGCTAAACCAATTTAAAAAAGTCTTAACTTTGCATAATTTGTGATTTCTACTAAGAAAGAACCTGCAAATATGTTCTTTACACTAGCAAACTGATCAGTTTCTATATCATTGTTGGAGTTTTCACCAAGAACTCTTGCGTGTCATGTACACAGAAACTGTTTGACATATTAATATAGTTTACTGGTTTGACATCAATATAAATTTATTGAACAAAGAAAATAAAAAATTACGCTGTTTGAATCGAGCAGCAAAGATGCACATAATTCATATACTGTTGTAATGTCGCGTTAGAATGATATAGCTGTACCATATCATATATGATTATGTTCGATGTCGGCATATATTCTTGCTGTTGTCTGAATCAAATACTGATGGCATTTGGGACTTCCTTGGGGTCTAAGTAAGGATACTTTTCCGGTCGTGTTTCGTTGCGTTTTGCAATTATTTCGCTGATTTCGTCTAATTTCGTGACAAATCTAGATGAGAAAAAAACCAAACAAAACCTGGATGTACAGTAAGTTTATTCATAGTGCGTCAACGCAATGCCAATGTGTTAAACGTGGCCTAGCGATTCGCCGCAATGTTGCCATTAACATCTCCGCTGATGAAATAAGTGTTCGAACAACACGTTTTTGAGTTGCTTTGTCTTTTTAAAATCAATTATGTTGCAAGATCGCATGGCGTGTATAGAAATTACGTCATCATCGAATAATGAGCGTGGCTTTTCGCTTTTGCGCGTGGCTTGCGTGGGAAGTTTGCGAGAATGAGCAACGTTAACAGCGTCCAAAAAGATCAAAAGCGCCTGGGTACGAGGCAGAAGGTGTACCTCTACGGTGTGGTATATTTTAATAATTGTAAAGTTTTTCCAAATTAACCAAATAAATAAATCGGCCTGTACCTCGAGTGTGCTTCCTCCCCAATTGGGTCAAACATATATTTCTTCTCGAAGCAGCCCAGGTTATTTGTTCCACGATCACTCAGTAGTTTCGTAATGGCTGCTATGCTCAGGGTCATTTCCTTGTCTGGTAAATGCTGTAATATTTCTTCATCCGAAACGTCGTTCTTTAGAAATAAAAACCTTTCCGTTTGAGCATTAATTTTAAATTGCTACTATTTTAATTCATGGTATGTTTTAAACCACCCGCTCGGTGAAGGTGATTAACTGAAGTAAATTGCAGGGTAAGCGGGCCACAGACTAAGGGAATTTTACTTACTACCCAAAATCCCAAATCATATAATTTAGCATTGTCACGCTCTGCGAGTCTCTTTTTAATTTGGCCTCGAATGTTGTCAAATCATGTTGTATTAGTTCGAGTATCACAGAGGAAATCAGCAACTCGACAAAACGACAAGAACAAGAACGACAAAAAAACTCGCTGACGTGATATCACGTATACCTTATCCTCTGGCGGTTGTCCTCGTAAAAACGCTGGATAATTGGCTGGAAATGCGTAGTCATCGTACTGAGAGAAGTTGGCCGCCGCGTGGCTGACACTTGCCATGAAGATGACTGACGTTAAAACTTTGGTGAGATGTTTATTGCTCATGAATTTTCCATTTCCTGGAACGCCCTTCAAAAGAACCGTATCGCCTTAAGTTGATTGCGAGGTGGAGGTGGATGTCATAGCTAATTTTATGTAGCTTGGCGAGTGGCTTCAGTGGAAATAATGATCAATTTTGAAAAAGGCAATGTACGTATTATACACCACAAGGGGTATTTTTGCTATGGAAAAGGAATGACCATATCACGAAATGTACGACATCAGAGCCGCGACTTTTCGTAAGGTAATACCAAGTTGAATTTTTTATTCTCACAATGTTTCTATTTAACAAATAGATAACATTGAACCGTTGTCTATTCACATTATAGATACACGGTATGACGTAACGTATAAAAAATGACGTCATGCCATGTATCTATAACTGAACAGACAACGGTCCAATGTTATCTATTTCTTTATGTAATAAAATCGAAAAACTGAATCCGAAATTAAACAGGCAAATAATTCGTTTTTGTTTTCCCCAACACTTGGAAAATTGTCAAAGTAAAAATTTTGCAGATATCACGACATTCACGCGTACATGATCTATATAGGATTAAAGAAATGCTATTAGTTATATTGCTATTGGCATGCATATACGCGGTGGTTGCATATGGTGCCGAGAATTTTTTAATCACCAACCGTTCTTTCTGCAACCTTCAATTTCTTCGAGAAAACGCTAATGTCAGGAATCATTTACAAATATCTAAGACATACCTACATGTTTAGCTTATGAAGATGTAAATATATAGATAATTTAATAAATCGAAAAATATAGGGTCCCAATCGTTAACATCTTATTCAAGTTGAAAAATTTTACCTTTAGACCAAGGCCCTCCTCGTCAACCAGCTTGTTTGCCCAGTTTTGAATTTCATAATCATTTGATAGCTTCTCTGGTTTGTCTAAGTGAATATAATTAATATTAGTTCGTTCAATCGCTGCATGTTTATTGATGCTGTTTCATTCTGTGTCTTTCTAGTTACAATACATGATCTGATAGACGATGAAGACATACCATAATGTGCATTCACTATTTCTTTAACGTATTTTTTGATCGCGTTATGAACCAAAAGGGCGTCATCTCTGTAAGGGTAGTAAGGAAGAGCTTCTTCATCATCCACCTAAAATCAGGAAGGCAAAATTATGGTGATTGTGGAGCCACACGTACTTGTTATTTAATTAAGCTCATCTGGAAAAAATCCTAAATAAAATAATTAGTTGTGAAAATTTCAGAATTGTTGATTCACAAAAAGTGCATAAAAATCAAACGATGTTTTCATGATGTGGAAAAGAAATTACTTGGCCTACACAGGTAAAATATATACTTTTTCATGATGGGATAAGAATATCTCAAGAAATCATTTCTAAATTAAATTCTAGGAAGTTTATTTTGCATCTAATTGTGGTTCACGAGAATACAATTGTAATGGTACGAAGGTTAGATAACACCCCCAAGGCAACATCTTTGCATCTAACTGTATATATCACTACCCCTCTCTTCTTTAAATCCCTAGGGAGCCAGCCATCGACATTCATTCTCCAAGCAGCAAACCTGAAGTTAAAAGTCATTTGAGGATCATTTGCTGTTTATAAAGAAGTAAACCTATTCTGTAAAGATTATTATTTAATTTTAGCCATGCTCTGCTATACCAGATACATTTTCTATACTATAGGTCAGTGGTTTAAGCCAACTTACAACAACGGTTTAGGGCATTATTGAACTCGACCGCTGGAACGGTAAAGAATTGAAAACAAAGCTTCACTAGCTCGAAACCTGAGAAGCAAGAAGCCATATAAAATCTATGCTTACTTGGTCTTTATGATATTCATCATTCCAACAGCTCCAACAGTCATGCACGTGTCAACCCAACCTCCTGGTTGGACCAGTTTTGCAAGAGCTCGACTGCAAGGTACGAAAATGATGTGTTGGTATGGAGAAGACCGATGAAATAATACAGTCCCTTACCTTCTGCGTGTGAACCCAATTTTAGCTGTCTGTTGTAGTTTACGCTCAAAATACCAGTTAAATTAACCATTGTAACCACTATTATACAACATGTATAACATAGTGTGTAAACTTATAAGGACGGACAAATGGCATATACCTGTTTATTGCAAGAAGGAACAAAAAATGTGGAGCGATTAAACGAAATATTGGATGTGATTGCGACAACTCTCTGTTTGTTACCACAGCAATTCCTTCCATTATAAGATGAGTAAAAGCTGAAAAGTTTCAAGCAAAGAGGCCTTCGTCAGCAGATTCGACGAAGGACCTTAATTAAGCCTATATTCAGCACCCGAAAGACGTCAGCTGCGCTATAGAGGTTACTCGATCCTGCCTGTAGACAAGCACAGACAACCTGGTATAACTCTATTACTCTAATGTTCCGCGTGCTATAATGATCGATACGTCGAGCGTTTTTCGTGTTGTTAGTTAACTTGTTAGTTAGAGAGGCCTGTTTAAAAGCGTTTTTCGTGTTGTTAGTTAACTTGTTAGTTAGAGAGGTCGTGTTGTTAGTTAACTTGTTAGTTAGAGAGGTCGTGTTGTTAGTTAACTTGTTAGTTAGAGAGGCCTGTTTTCCTTTTTTCTGGATGTATGATCTTACCTAAATGTGCACACGACTGATGAAATGCAGAGTCAGCATTGTTGAAATATATTTTTGCCAACGTCCAAACACCTTTCGGATCATTGGGTAAAAATACCTGTAAAATTACGTTGTTAGGAATATAAGCATAAAATATTGATCTTCTTTTAAAGGAGGCCTAGTAAGAGGCATAAAAAATCTAAAAATTCGACTTTTTGATGTAACATTTGAAATTTTAAATGAGCCAAATGATGCTATAACGTTAGCACTTAATAGAAAATAATACAATAGATCCCCGATTCTTAGGAGCTAGTTTTAACCAGGTCTAAAGGCTTTAGGAACTTTAGAAGCGTTAGAATGCAAACATTGCATACAGTATTATTTATCTGCACATGATTTTTGCAAAGTTACTATTTTACCGGGTGTTGTTTGGTGTCAGAGTTTGGAAACAATTGAATTGCAATCGGCATCAGTTGTCCTCTTGAATCTACGTGAAAAAGTGCCATTGGTGCCACTACCTAGATATGTGTATGAAGTAATAAATGTTTGTTTAGAGTTTGTTATATCTACATATTCTTGAGTAACTGAGCCCGGTATGCATATGCTACAAACCTTTCTATTATCAGTGCACTGGATATCCTTCAAAAACGAATGGTCCACGATGTAAATTTTCTTATCATCCATTGCCTCTTCAAGAGTTAGGCCCTCCAGGAAGTGTTCCACCATTTCTGATGTAACGCCAAAACTAGAAAACGCAGCACAATACAGCTGTAATTTCTTAAATCTTCTTCGATTACCAATTGCATGCTGTGCAGAAAAACCATGCAACATACGTTTCAGGTATTTCTGTACAACGACAAATGGAGATGGTATTGCAGCCTTGTAGCCTCTGGCGACCAAAATTGTTATCTTGCCTCCACATATCCTTGCCCTTTGAAAGAAATCAAATGCATAGTTACAGTTTTTTATACCATTCAAGCGTGGTATAAACAGAAACGACAAAATGTACATACATAAGGTTTTGGAAATGCAAAACATCCATCATAGATATTATTAACATCTTGTATTGATTCCCATCCGCCAGAAAGCAATTTTTTCAATTTCCAGCGAATGATTAAACCTGACCGAACTGATATTATGTCCCACTAGAAATGAGAATTAAAATCAACAGGGTTTTTTTACTCACGTCTTCAGCATGCTTAAAAGTTGAACTCAAGGACTTTGGGAAAACGTTTTGGGGAGAAAGCAAATATCAATCAGTTCTGGGAACCCCTCTCCCCAATGCATGGCGGTGTTTCTTCACTTCTTATATTGTACCATAACCAGTTCATCTCCCCCTCCTCTGGGAGGCCCTATGTACTTTATGTACTTTAAAAATTTAATACCTTGTATGAGTTGCTAAAGTTTTCATCTTCAGGTAGATTGGAAACCTTGGAAATGAGAAGAGCGTTTGTGTTTACGCTATGATACCTATTTTTTTCTTACTAACTTTTTACTCAAATGCGCGCAACAACAACCTAATTACCTGTTTTGGCATCCCGGGTTTCTTTTCAATCAAGACGTAATGTTTTCTTTTCCTTTCTAACTCGCATTGGCGTTGTCCTGGAGACTCAGAATACTGAGGTAGAACACTATCGTACCTAAATACAAAGCAATCACTGCAATACACTAATAATAAAATAATTAGTTGTGATCATTCTGTCTTGCTGATAATAGCGATATTTGTGCAAAATAACAACTATGTAAAACAGTACACGATTGCGTCATGGTAAAATCGTTCCAATTTTACAATTTTACGAAACATCGGATTTAGTTCGTGTAACTATATCAAGGTTTATCCGAAGGGGAACGACTGGATACAAATCTATATCGAAAAAAACTACTGCATCAACTCTCTCCTGAATTGCGTTTTTCGGCATCATACCTACAAATTGTTAAACGAACACCAGATCTAACCCAACGCTGAAACGGAAAGATGTCAGGTTTGTCTTCTGGTCGATAGTGATTAGTGATTTCCACCCACTCCATGAACCATTCCGATGATGTAAATGTTGAATATCGGTGAATCTCAACTTTCAAGATCGGGCCGATATCGGGAACAGCGTCACCAAACGTGAATGTATCAATTGCCCCAGCCTCGAAGTCATTCCTCCATTTACAATCTAAATAGAGATCATGAGACCTCCGACCATCTTCACTTATAAGGGTGATGTATATTTGAACATCCGTTCCCATGCCTTTTTTGTCTCCTGTTTTTGTTTTGATTTCATAGCCATTGTTCGCAACGTTGCTATTTCCCATTGATTTGCTAGAAATAAGAATTAGTACATAATTATTATACATAGTACAAGACCGTTATAAATGATTCGGGCGCCCATGTAGTTTGGGGACATGCGAATCTTCAAAAATCAGTTTTAAATTTCTTTGCCTCATATATTCATTGACAATGTCTCTACAAAAATAAATGGTTGAGGAATGGCTATGTACATCATATACTCGGCTATTTACCAACCCTATTTGAAATTCCTCTGTTTCTTTGCCCAGTAACTTGCAGTATTCAACCGCCCCTTTCCCGCGAAATATGCGAGAAAAAATCCAACGTATTTTAATAATGCAATTGATGGATCTTTCACCATTGATATTTGTATGAAAATTTGCTTTGCATGTTTTTGTTATTTTCAGTTGTAAACAAAACAGGCAGACGTAATACTATTCGTTAAAACAACTGGTATAGAGCTGGTGAGATAATGTAAACATGCTAAACTTTTCTGTCTATTAGAAAACAGAAATGATGTTAGCCTGTTGTACCTTCTGGATTTTTTATCCAAAAGGCATTTGGAAACAGGTTGAACATGCACTTTCTCAAAATATAACAGTTAAACGTGAGCCTAAAATTGAATTTGCTTTTATCCGTTCACATCAATTTAGCTGAAACGTAATGAGTGAGTAGTCACATGTTATATAAGCAATATGACTGAGATATATTGTATATGCACGGGCGTTGCACAACTAAACAATGAAACATTGTGGAACACTGAAACATTGTGGAACAATGAACAATGCTTAATTGTTAGACACTTGACACTAGGAAGCGGTGAATAGTGATTAGTCATATTAGTTGCAGTTAGTGTGAGAGGCAACAGCACGAGCCGGAGGCACAGCTTTTAATACATTTCTATAAAACGAAGAAGTTGTTGTTGTGGTTCTAATCTAGTATACGTTATTGGGTTATTCCCCCTTACGGCCCCGACGATTCCGCTGAAAGATACAAAGAATAGGGGTCGTGTAACACACAGCAATTTTTGTATTCAGTGTAAATATGCAACACAAGCATATTTTGTCAAGCACACCTTTGTTCTTTATAATTTTATAGACGCGCAGGCAAAAACAGAGTGTTCTTATACACGTGTCGTATTAACAGTAGATGCAAAGAAAGTCATCGATATTTGTCATAATTTATGTTTGCCGAGCCTAGCGAAGAGTTTAGGTACAACCATAAGAATTGTAAAACTCGTTACTCGGTTTTGACTCTGTGATTTCCATGCTCTTTAATTTTCACTCACGCAATGACGAATTCGAAAGCTTGCTGCGAGGTTCCGGTACTAAAGGAACGACCAAAGATTACAGTTGCTGGCCTTAGACTGATAGACTTGACTGATATTAAAAAATGTTCGGCCTTGGCGGGGAGGATGAACTACCAGAGCGTATGGGGGCCGTAAACATAGAAGGCGACGATGACACAGTCACTGTACTATAAAAAAAGTCGAGAGAACAGAGAACGCAGTGGCCCAATGATGGAAAATAGACGACTTTCATAAACACAATAACCAAGCAGGTTTTAAGGCTAGAGCAATGGAATTTCTTTTATTTAGTTGCTAATATTTTTGCCTAGAGAGCTGAATCTTGAACAAATGAAGCTGTTGCAATAATAAAAGTTTGGCAGGCCATGAATAATAGACGTCTAAGATCTATCTACTGATCAATGGCTCCATGTAAAGGTTGCTAAAACAGATGAAGGTTTCAAATCTAGAGCGAACGTTCTTCATTCGTAGTTTACCGTACGATCACTCATCACTGCATGCACCGGAATCGCAGAGGGTGCCAGAGGCAGGAGGTCGTATCCAGTCTGATGACCTGAGTTGCATTTCTGGCAATTCCTAATTTGGGTCTTACTATTAAGTAAATGGCATGTTTCTAAGACTGCATTTACACACCGGAAAAATTTCCTAGCCCTCGGAACGGAAAATTTTCTGCGGACAGCATGCGCTTTAGTATGCTCTTTGAGTTGCTTGCTTAAGCTCACAATTGCTTAGTACATAACGTGCGATCGGGCATAATGGCAAATAATCCGAGAAGAAAATGAATCTTCAATTATACCATGCAGTCTTATAATAATGTTTGTATATGCGTAAATAATTGCCATGTTTTATCGCACTTACCGAAATTCAATCTAAACTTGTCATGACCATTTCTGCACCAAACTCAACATTTCTGTCAATATCTATGATTGTCCCCTCAAAATTAACGACTGAAATTCAATATTTTGTATAATATAATGATAATAATATTTAATCATTTATATTATATAGCGCCATTTACTACTTAAGTCTAACATCTAATAATATTATGTTTCATAAGAACTATATACACGTCTGAATAAGAAAGTCTTTAATCAATTTTTAAAAATAGTTATAGAAGTTGCATTCCTAATATCATCTGGTAGAGCATCCCACAACATTAGTGCAGCAGCAGAGAAAGCTTTTCTCCCATATCTTTTAAGATCAATATTTGGTACTACTAAATGTCCTTTATTCGTTGATCTTAAAGCCCTGTTCGCTGATATGGAGTTAAAATGTCCGATACTGAATATTTTGGTGCCGTTCCACTTAGTACCTTGAACGTAAGTATTAAAGTCAATTCTTTCCTTTATTGGAAGCCAATGGAGTTCCTTTTGTATTGGTGTTATATGCTCACGTTTTCAGTCTAGTAGCAGTAAGGAGAGGAGCCGCAGCATTTTGAACATGTTGTAATTTCTTCATTTGATATTGTGGCAGACCATTCAAAAGTGAATTACAATAATCTAATGATGACGTCACAAAAGCGTGGATAAAGGTTTCACAATGTCGTTGCGATAAAAACTTTTTTATTGATGCTATATTTCTTAGTTGGTAGAAAGCTTTCTTACAGATGGCATTCACCTGTTTTTTCACAGACATAGTGTGCAACGTACACCAATTTTCTTCGCAGATCGTTTTGATTCGATCAGTGGCGTAGCCAGCCCGACAATATATAGTCATGCTATGCTAATATTTTGGTGTTCATTGACTGTGAAAACAATTAATTTCTAAAGAAATGAATAATGATAATAACAAAATCGTCAAGCTGGCTACGCCACTGGATTCGATTAATTCCAAAGTAAATGCTCTGTAATGGAGGTAATGGTCGATGAGAAGCTTGTATTACAAGTAATTTAGTTTTACCATTGTTAAGTTTGAGCTTGTTGGTACTCATATTTTATATCTTGAAACCGCGCATTATTTGAGTTAATATTGCCTCGTTTACTTGTAATATGAAACGTGTGTGATTATATTTGCTAAGGCCTGGTTCTCATATATCGCCATTCATCGGCTATGTTTATTGCCGGTAAACAAAGCATAAAGAAAGAATTTACTTAAGTGAAATAATTTATTTAAGAAAGAATTTACTTCAGTGGTCAATGACTAAGGATGGTAGAACATCGCCGATGAATTACGACATATGAGATTACAGTTACGTGTCTTGCGAATGTCGCAATTTGCATAAAAAGATAACATGTTAAAACAATTAATTTTTTAAGTGGTCATAACTACTGAGGACGGACGCCATAACCCTACCATAACCAAGGACAGTCTAATATTTTAAGCACGTCTTAGGAATATATCTATGCAAAGTAAGCGGTAGCTATGTGTGCTGCGCTTAACGAGAAGTATAAGTTTAACCATAAAAAATGTGATACTAAGTTTTCAGCTTATAAGGACAGCGAACATATAAAAACGATAGCAGAGAACGATGGCAGTCGTACATCCGTTAGCGAGTTCTGTGGCGCATTCTATCACGTACCTGAAGGGAAGATAATACATATGTTTTGTTTGGATTGGGAAAATTGTCAGATTCAGGGCAAAACTAATGCTTACAATAATCCAAAAACGGCGGTTGCTTTGGTGAAATATAATATCGAAGGAAAATCCACGTATTTTAAAAGGTACACAAACTGTTATCAATATAAGGTTCACGCAGAAGAGTATTTCAAACATGATGTGGAAAATCAAATAAAAAATGGCTCACTACCCAAGACGGCGAAAGGTGTAATAACTATGTACATCACAATGCAACCTTGTCATAAATCCACTTCCGATACTCAAGGAACAATTAACGATTACAGTTGCTGTGACTTTTTGACGAAATTGATAACGCCTGCCTAATGTAACACTACGCATAAAGCCCACTCATCTCTTAAAAGCAGGTTGGAAAAAGAATTTCAATCAGCCGAAGCAAAATGAACATATTAAGAATGCAGAAGAGGGATTAAAGAATCTTATGAGACATGAACGTATCGAATTCTCGGAAATGACACCAGACGACTGGAGTGACCTGTGGAAACAAACTAACGCACCCAAAGATTACACACTGCAAATAGTAGAAGAACGGGAGGCTCTTGATGCTGACATTAGAAACAAGCTAGAAAATTGGAAATGGGAGGCCCTTGATCCTGACTGGATTAGACTGTTTGCAATAGGTTTGATTATTTTGGTTATTATTATTCGATTATTTTGGTTATAGGTGTTAGTGTAATATAAGAGAAAACATACTCCGAAAATAAACATCTTGTAAACCCAAGATATGAGTTGTTAAAAACAAGACACAATATTCAAGGTGATATTTCGACTCTATTTCAAAGTCGAAATAGAGTCGAAATATCACCTTGAATATTGTGTCTTGTTTTTAACAACTCATATCTTGGGTTTACAAGATGTTTATTTTCGGAGTATGTTTTCTCTTATATTTCGCAAAACTGTCTGCTGGAAAAGGTGTTAGTGTAATCGGAGAGAATAATAAACTCGAGTTCATTGTGAGACAAGCGTTTGAGAGCGAACGATAGTAGGAATTTGTGAGGTTGCCAATCAGTTGCGATCCATTCTTCACGTGCTGTTTAGCTGTAATCTAAATAATCTAATCAGAATCCAATCAATTTAGAGTGTATTAATATATTACGAAAAATCTCCATTGGATTGTGTTTTGCCCAATTGAGTGGAAACACTGATGATTATTGGCAAGCTAGAGCCGTTGAAAATAAATCATCAATAACTATTAGAAAGTATGCTATAAAGGTTACATTTATGTTCGTCCTAATTTCTATATAATATGTGTGATTTAATAGTAAGTTGTAATGATTAGAGTAGAGTTGCAATAAAAAAAGTTTTCAAGTTTTGAAAACCTTCCTCAAATGCCAAGCAGGATAATAGTAATATTGCATGGTTTTTTTGGTACATAATATACATGCATGTGATTAATTAGAGTGTTCAACTTTGAGGTGGTCTTACACAAAACAAAACTTTTTTCACATTCTTCAACAAAGTGAAGGTTTTATGATGTTAAACTGTTGTATACTACAAGTTATCACTAAAAACATAACTTAAGTCAAAGTTGTTGCCATGGTAACAAAGATATCCGCCCATCGACAGAGTAAATGGGGTATATTTCAAAACACGATTTTTTAAAAACTATTGACTATAAAGGCTTCAAAAAACTTTCATTATATTACCAAGATGAATATCTAGGAGGTGAACTAGAATTATTTGGCTACTGCAAAAGCTGTGGCCAAAATATTAATTAATCTGTTGGCATGAAAGTATCAAATTACACAACAGGTGATTGCCGCAAGAGAATGTGACCAACCAACATCATTCTAGTTCACCTCCTAGAGAATGATAAGAACTAGTAGTTGTGAAAGTTTCAACCCAATAGCATAAATACCTTATTAGATATTGTGTTTTAAGTAAGGCAAAATGAGCGGAAATTGGAAACTGAGAAAAACAGGATTTTAGATTTACTGTTATAGTTGACAAGGTTTAAATTGGTGTCATCGACATCAATTGTATCGTAAATTTCTCACAATCCTCCTGGTTTCTACAAAGTACCCTCCTCTTGTTTCTGCTTATCACTTTTCTTCTTTTGCAAGCCACACAACACCTTTCTTTTCTTCTTGTTCTCTTCTTTTGACTTAAAGTCCGCTTTTGCAACCCGCTCTTTGTTGATCTTTCTCATGAGCCCATGTGATTCACCTTACACTTACCAACATGCTTTGCTTTCTTTGTAGCTTTCTTTCCCACATCAACTTCCCTTTCTATTCTCTCACTGACAACCATGACACACTTTACTCAAAACATGGACATCAAGGCACTACCCACTCTCCATTGACAGCATTGTCACACACCCATTCAGGGAAGAATGGCCCCGTCTTTACCATGTACCATCACAAGAAACAGCACACTGGTTGATTTCCTTTGACTGATTCCTTAACTCATTGGCAGCATCATTCATTGTTTTCACAGCCACTGTCTTTGGTGCTTTTGCTATTGCAATGTTACAAGCCCTGTATGCAGTAGGCTGAGGGGGAGGTGGCATGTTCATTAGGGTGCAAAATCGTTTAGCCGCTGTATGGCCTTTACCAAGACTATGCATAATGCATTGAATATACAAATCTTCTATTCGAATCAAAAGCGTATTCCTGCATCTTAGAAGACTTAGAAGTGTGTAATTTTTGTACCCACCCACAACTTTGACATCGTACTCTGAGATGGGATTCACATGCTTTCCTTTCATGTGTGCTGTCTTCGAGAACAAGAGTTGAGTCGCCACATTGTTTACAACACATCTCAGTCACAAATGTGAATAATAACCACATGTCAATGAAGCTGTAGCCCGAAACATTAACAGTTTTTTCTTTACTCCCATCTAAAATAATGTGGCCGTCGATCTTTCTCGCCGAAGCAGACCTATGGAGATCATTGCTTGAAGTAGACGCTTCTGAGTGCATGAGGCCATTTGCATTATCGACACACGCTTTCTTCGCTGGTTTAGCACCGTATAAATTGCCCGTAAACTTTCGATTTTTCTTTCATTTTTAATCTTTAGGCATCTCAACACAAATTGCGAAGAAATACAACAAAAAACCACGAAAATATCAGTAAAATTAAGCAATAATTTCTGTGACAAAAATTTACAGATGCCGATTTTGAGCGTTGGTAAAAATATAAATATTCACTTTCTTGACGGTAAAGGTGGTCAGCAGTTTGCTACAAACGTAACTGAGGGGGGAGGGGGGCTAGTACATAAATATTTTTTGAAATGACCAGAAAACAGAGGGTTTTTTGGAGTAAACAGAGGTTGCTAAGGGCGTTGCTATGAGTGAATTTGATGGTGACCATAATAAAAATGCGTTTTTTTCCCTTTTCATGCGCGCTATGAAGGAAAAAAACTCGGAATAGGATGGGGGAAAGAATAAAGATGATATTTTCAGTATTTTTCAAATTGGGCAAAATTTACGATTTTTTACCAAAATTTTGTGTAAGACCACCTTGAACCTTCCTTACAAACCCCATTAAAAGTAAACCTTTCTCACGGATAATAACCGCGCAGCTTTTTGCAACTCTGGATTAGAGACAAACAAGTCAGTTGGCGAATTAGCGAATGATTTCAACGAATGTACCCGAGTCACGAATAAAAATTGCCCGACTTATCATGCACTGATTTAAAAAAGTAGCTCGACTTTTGGTAAAAATCTCGATTATGGGGTGGCCGCTGCCCGGATGAACTCTTTTTCAGCAACTCTGCCCCTCGCCCCGAACGCCAGTGAGTGTATAGACAATAATAGTCAGACAGCTATAATGTAGGATGCTTTAGATTAGACTTTGCACGGGAATCGCAGGAGGTCGAATCCAGCCTGAGAACCTTCGTCACATTTTTGACAATTCCCAATTAGTCCAGTAATTTTAGGAGATTTTTTTGTTAAGGTCGGAAAAAAATAGTAAAAAGTTGAAATTTGCAGTATGCAATCCTTTAACCGTTCTCAACAACATACTAAAAGTCCTCATGTATCCCGCTTGAGCTTTTGTTGTATTAACGCCAGAACCATACACTACCTTTGAACGGAAATTTTGGCAGATTGAATACATTTTGTTGGATTTGGTTGGATTTGGCAGTTCAAAAGTGGAAGCACTGACAATAACAATTGTCTGCAGACGCTGCGAATTGAAAATATCTCAGTTAAAAAAATGTAAGTATATGTGCAAAAAACCTTTATTTTCTTCAGAATTTACACTATATGTTAAACTCTACCTTCGGTATGCAACAAAAGCTGTATAATATATGCCAGTCTGCAAAGTTTACTTTTTAACCGGATATCGATTCAGCCAGGCACATGTAAATGTACGCCAATTTTGGAAATGTATATGTGCAAAAGTTCCAAATACATTTATTTTTTAGACTTTAGTATAAATATATTTGGTCCAATTTTGCAAACTCTGAATAATTACTTCTAAAGGTAAACAAATGTACGCCATATGTACGCCAAAATTTGTGTTTGTACACCGGACAAGTCCGGTGTACACACTTTACTTTCCAGGCTGGTAATATATGCATTTGGCAACTGGATTTAAGTTTATAGCTATAGAGTATAGTCATACGTTTCTACACTCTACAGATCCCTTGCGTTGTTTATGATTTGGTATTTTTAAAAGGCAAATTTTCCAAGCTCCCAAGAAAGCTTAGTTATTATATATGCATTGTAGCATACAATAGCACAATGGCGCACATATTCTTTGGTCATATATGATCGGAATTTAATAAATGCAAACAAGGCAAGGGTCTGTTGCGCTATAAAAATTTGTACTACCTTGCTTGCTATTTGAAGCCCTTGTAATGTGTCATCCAAAGAAATATTAGATTACTAGTATGGAATGTTTATAAATTCGCCATATAGAATAGACCTTTTCGGTAATTACGTCACAACTACATTGAAGCGAGGCTTCTAAATAAAAGCAATATCGCTTGGCCTCTCAGCCTCGCTTCCGTGTAATTTTGACGTAATTACGAAAAGGTCTATTTGACCACAGAGTACTACACAGAGGTGGAACTCGCGGCAAATCTTGTCCCCCTGTTTTTAATGCGCACGCGCTAGGCTCTGGCAAGTGTTTTTGCACTTTTTAATAAGGAAAATTCGATTTTTTAGCAGAAAAAATGCAATTTTAAAGCCATGGATCTTTTGCTCTTCGTTTTTTTGACAAATTTTATTTATCCATCCGACATTGCTCCTTTTGGATTAAAAATCACTGCGATAATACGAATTAAAACGGAAAAAAACGGGAAATATACAACTACGAGGAGTGCGATTTTCACACGAAGCTTGCCAGAAGAACTGCCAGGTAAAAATTGAAGGTTTGGTATTTCATGTAATAAATGTAGGTCTATTTTTTGCCAATATGCAGTGAAGAAAAAATATTTTCTTTGTAGATGGTAAATATTCCAGAGTTGAGAAGAACTCTTGTCTCTTGGGCAGATTGGACATATTGCCGGAGTTCTACTGTTCTACTGAGATAGCGAGTTTTAATAGATGGCTAATATAATTATATAAAACTGAAATATTGATATTTATTGATATTTCTAATCCAGATTATAAGTTCTACTGTTCTAGATAGCGAGTTAGGTGGCTAAAAGAATTTTTACAACATATACGTAGTTCATTGATAATTCTAATCCAGCCTTATATGTATTTTTATTAGCTCACTGAGACAGGTTGATCCTTAATTTGGCAGACAATGGTTCTATTATACAGCATGCATATTAGAATAAGAAATTTATGTTATTCATATATATGGATAAGCTTTTCTACCGGTATTACCCTTTTTATGCCTTGACAGCTCAAATTACTTAGGCTTAATTAGTCTAAATCTCAACAAAAAGCTTTGTTCTTGAGTCTATCCATGTAATGCACATTTTACAACATTAATATTGAATTGTAAAAGAGAAGGTTGGACACATTCAGCTGATGTCATGTTAGTTTCAGAGCACAAAATGCTTATACTGGCATGTTTAAAAATAACAATAAAACTTTATTTAAAGAAGGGAAGTGAAGTAAACATACACTTTAGCCCATGTTAATCTTCCATGGGTCAAAGCCTAATTTATATGTTTCACTGATCAAAGCCTGATTTGCCTCAAGATGTAATTGATTAAGAATACGGTTATATAAAAATATTACGTAAATAATTGTATTCATGAAATTTATTCAATCTAATACAAAATGGTTTATTTCCAAATTGTGCAATGTAGCAATTTTAGGCCTTCACACATCAAGGTGCTTTTATACACTGTCAAAGCTTCAGTGATTAAAGCTAGAATCGTAGTCATGATAAATTTGTAAGAAATATCTGATGATCTATACCTCAATAATAATTCTCTTAGTTTCCCCAAATATTATTTTAAAAAATCTCTCAATTACTTAAATATACCCATGCCAAATTCTAGCTGTAATCGCAGAAAAATATGAGTACAAACCGACATCTTACATAGATATTAAATATTACATAAATGTGTATAATCTCATAGTCTCTGTGTCATATTTTGTGTCATAGTATTAAAATTATGTCGTATTGGGCATTGCGTGTACAAAAACAGTGTCTTTTCCGTACCTTTTTTCTGGCGGTCGGACCTTTCGACAAAATTTCACTAAATTTAATACAAAGAGACACGGAGAACTACTTTTTGCAAAAAAATTGGATCTGTACAAATGTAAAACATAATTGCTTTTGCCGATATCATGGAAACTAGCACGAAATATACCAAAAAGCGAAAAAGTGGGACGACTTGGTGCTCGGCATTGCAATGTAACAACAACAAAATAAAAAATCCGGATGTCGCTTTTTTCCGCTTTCCAAAGGACCGAGCAAGGTGAGACAACCAAATAAATCGCGAAGTGATAAATTGTTTTTCGCAAAGGGTTTTCGGGATGGAAAAAACTGATATAATAATGTAAATTTTTGCAAATTAGGTCGAAAAAATGGGCAATTAATTGCAGACGAAATGACTTGATAAAAAAAGACGCCGAATATTTGTATCGAAACATAAGAGTCTGCAGCGCGCATTTCGAAAAGGAAATGTTCGCCACGTCCTCCAAAAAAACTCTAAAAAATACAGCCGTTCCAACATTGTTTAACATACCAAATCCACCTGCAAGAATTGGTGTAAAACGGATACTATTACAAAGGGACGAGGCGACGGTTGCCACTAGTAAGTAGTATATTTGAATAAACATTAAACTTATAAGTAATATGTATATAACGCATAAACCTAATTATTTTTCAATGAAACTTAATTTAGAAAAGAGAAGAAAAACGTACAAACAAAGTTCTGCACAAGAAGGTAGGAGCATATAGTCTATACCATATCTAGGTTCATATCATTGCAACTATAGTTTCAATGTAATTCGAGTTCTCAAATATATTAGAATAATTTTAACTTCATTTTCAACAATATTGACATGTTTAGACTTGAACAATACACCAGTTCCAGCAACAACCTTTACTAATCACAATGAACAAGTCACACCACCTGAGATGGAAACTAGAGGTAAAGACATACTAAACACAACTGATGCCAAACTGAGATACTATGTCATTTAAAGTCCTTTTACTACATTACTTGACTTTCATACTTATAATACTGCCTATTTCCAATCTACTTAAATAGGTTTTTTCAACCATGCTGCTGACCAAGAAAATCATGATGATACCAGAGCCAAAGGTCTAAATCGAAATATTATTCCATCATTACATATCTATAAAAAAATTAGAACAGGAAAAGTTAGTTTTCCATGACTCATAAATATAGCTCAATATTCTCATAAGGGGTTAACCCTATGGCATAACACATACAGAAATAAAATAGAGTGTTAATAAATGACCTTTGTTAATTAAACATTATTAACAGGTACTCATCACACACAAGAGCAAAGAAAGCTAAATAATAAATTAAGGCAGTGCAAATTAACAATATCAAGACAGAAAAACAGCTACAAAGACTTCGGCAGGCAATGAATATGAAGAAGAAAAAATCAAAGACAGATAGAGAACAGCACTTGATGCACTGAAAACCGTGCTACCAGATAGAATGGTGAAATTTATTGCCCTCCAAATCGACCTTGAAAAGAAAAAGAACAAAGGACAGAGGTACTCAAAAGAGATGAAGTCTTTCGCCCTTTCTCTTTTCCATCTTAGTGGGAAAGCCTATAGAATGGTTGCCAAATTTTTCAATTTACCTTCCCGGAGCAGTCTTACGAAATGGGTATCTAGCTTTCCAACTTGTTCAGGATTGCCTGAAATTGCTAAAGAGATGATTGGTAAAAAAGTGAAATCGATGAATGAGACTGACAAAATATGCAGCTTAACAATGGATGAAATTTCCCTAAAAGCTAACCTCCAGTATGACCAATCTAAAGATGAAGTGACGGGCCTAGAAGATTTTGGTGAAGGTGATAGATCAAGCAAGGTTGCCACAGCAGCCCTTGTTTTCATGGCAAGAGGCATCAAAGAAAATTGGAAACAACCCATTGGCTATGTTCTCGTAAATGAAGCATGTCCAAGTGGAAAAATCAAATCCATCTTACTGAAGATCATTGACGACTTAACATCACTGGGTCTACATGTTGAAACAATCATCTCCGACTTGGGTTCCAACTTTCAAAAGTTATTACGAGAAATGAGTATCACACCAGAGAAGCCATGGTTTGTTCACAACGGCAAGAAAATCTTTTACCTCTTCGACCCACCACACATAATAAAGGCTGTACGAAATAATCTAATGAAATACAACTTTCATTTTGGAGAAAAGATTGCAAATTGGGATCATATCCAAGGTATATATGAGCGTGACAAAGAACAGACAATTCGATGCTGTCCCAAACTGACAGAGAAACATCTCCATCCAAATGGTTTTCAGAAAATGAAAGTCAAGCTTGCAACTCAAGTCCTGAGTCATACAGTGGCCTCAACAATAAACATGTACATTTCATTTGGTGCTCTTCCCCAATCTGCTGTGGGCACTGCTGAGTTAGTATCAAATTTTGATAACATTTTTGACTGTTTAAACAGTTCCACACTTAATAGTCCAAAGATGTACAAGAAACCAGTCTCAAAAGATTCACCTCACCACAAATTTATTGCTGATATGCTAAAATTTGTTGCATCAATCAAGGTTATAGATAAAGAAAGTCAAGAAGATGTCACAAACAGTTTGAGATGCTTGAAAGGTCTCACAATGACTTTAAATGCTCTATGTCTATTATGGCAACATCTCAGTACAGATTATTCATTTGAATTCCTCCTTACAAGACGGCTTAATCAAGATGCCCTTGAAAACTTTTTTGGGTTAATCAGGCAGCAAGGAGGAAACTCTGACAATCCAACTCCATTCCAATTTATCAGAGCCTTTCGAAAGCTTTTTGTGGATAATTACCTCACACCACTAGTAACTGGCAACTGTGCCGATGACCTTGGTGATATCTAATGGAAACATCCTGAGAAGCCAGCTAACATACCACAACCAGCCACAACCAGCAATGACCAGACTAGTCCAGAGAAATACACTGAATTTGAATCCATCAACACTGACTATAAAACAGATGAAATAGAACAAAACTTGATTTGTAAAAATGCAGTTACATATGTTTCTGGGTATTTGCTAAAGAAATGCCTTAATAAACATAGTTGTTCAACATGTGAATCGAGCTTCAAAACGAAGAGATTTGATGACTGCAGTCAACTGCTCTGCTACTTCAAGACATATGAGGGCTTAACATCATCTCAAGGGTTGACAATTCCACAAGATGCATTTGTCAGGTATGTCTCATCAATGGAGAAAGTATTTGTCAACGAATTTAACAGTTGTATTGAAAGACCAAAGATTGCAAGATATATCTGTTCTCAAATGCCCGAGCTATCCAAACACGGACAGTGCCCAAACTTCCCTGAAATATATTTAGTTCAGTTGTATGTGAAAATGAGGCTGCACTATGCTTTGAAGTTTGGCAACAGGGAGCTAAGTTCATCAAAGAAGAAAAACAGAAAATATTTTAAAGTTCAGCATTTATAACTTCAGCATGTATATAATTCTTATTGGAAGATAGCTTTCCATCTTTTCGATAGAGAGGCCATTGGATTTTCGATTGGATTACAAATTTGACTTGCATGCTCATATATTCATGAGTATTACTTTATTACATTGCCAGTTTTATGGCTAAATAAATTTATGACTAAAGAAGTATTTTCGTGCATTTTTCATTTGTAGAAATAACACATCAATCATGCTTGTTTTTAAATCAGCTCATATGTTTTCTGGATGGTTCAACTTATATAATTTATTTGATGGAAAAAATAACTGCTTAATTTTATCGGCGACCATGTGGCATGCATTCAGCGTGATAAAGAAAATCAATCGCGCTTGTATCTCTTTAACCTAACGCATATATTTTTTACAAAAAAAGAATCACTTACCGTTTGTTTTTAAAATTTAGGCGCAAAAATGGAGATCGATAGAGCCAGCTTTAAAATATTAACATTTTTCGTCTTTCGAACACCTTTTTCCCTTACTTTAGAGTCAAAATACACTTGCCAGAGCAATTTGCGTGGCGCGTGGAATGGCGTAGGCAGGGGGACAGCAACATCAAAGGGTTCCGCCGCGAGTTCCATAACTGTATATCATTAAACTGTGATTTGACTGAATGACCTGTTGGCATTTTCAAAAAACAGTGGAGCCTCCCCATGTTGTAAACATGATTAATGTAGAAAGTATCGCGGGCTTATCTTGCTAACAATATTATTATAGTCACCAAATTATTGCATTGATTTTTAACGTTTATTCATTAAAACACAAATTAAGTGTGAAATAAAATATATTAAGCCATTGCCAGAAATCAAGGACAGTTTCTGCACAGTTACAACGTGTTGCCTCGCGGGCGCAGATATAGCACTTTTGATTTTTAAGACTTTTCGATTACATCGCCATTCATTAAACAGTTTTTTACCCATACTCAGACTTTCGTAAAATGGTAAACAATCGAAGGAGCAATATGCTGAGAAGTTCGAAGAAACGTTTTGAAGTGGAAAGAGTTATTTTTCGCAGATATCATCGTAGAAAGGTGTGCATAATATGTTTTCATGAGCGCTCAAAATATTTATATTACAATGTCAATGACATTGACAACGACAGTCTATTTATTGTATTTCACTGTCTCTTGTTTTACTTAAAAAACTTAGATTGGAAACTTTTTCGGGCTGTTTATTATCGTTTATTAATGACTTGTCATGTTTAGGTAGAATATTATGTAAAATGGAAAGGGTATAGTTCTTTAGCAAACACGTGGGAGCCTGAGGGGAATCTTAATGCAGCTGCAATCAGGTATCTATTTTTCTCTTTTCTCCTATAAAGTGGATAAACTGTAGTTTTTAATTCATCATCGAGATTGAAACGGATAGATCTGTTCTTAATTTGAGGCTGCTTTATTAATTGGGCTATTGTATTAAAAAATCATACCTTTGACCCTGTCGAGGACGTCTGTTTTCAGGATTTATCTCTCTGGAAATCAAAACAAATTGTGGTCTGTGTAACTAATCCCTTTGAAAAAGTCCTCAACCCCCTAAATATATTTCTAGCAGAATCTGCATGACTATAGTTAGCATAGTTCAATAAACGATAAACGTTTCTTTTAATAGAGCTTATAATAATCCACAACCTTCACTTGAAGCTATTGAGGAAGGGAGAGATTTCTTACTTTGTGGAATACAAAAACAGCTGAAATCGAGAAGCACTGTACCAACTGTCATCTCATTTCGGCGTGATGTGTTTAATTATCTTTTCAATGGAAAGGGGAAACCAGGCAATGACAGAAATTCACTTCTACTTGAAAGAAATGATTTTAATCATTTCCGTAATTTTCCAAACAATTGGGATAAAATTGTGGACAACATTGGAGACGGATTAAAGATAGATTTTCCTATAAAGCTACGCTCATTCTTGTCTTGGGGTCCACAAACACATACTTCTTTTGATGGAAAGTTTTTACCGTGCCCAAGATATCGCCCAGAAAAGTTAAGCATTTCAATACGTAAAAAATCATTTACTCTTTCTATTGAATATTAAAAGCTTATTTAACGCACTTAACTCTTATGCATGTTGTGTTCTAAAAATATTACTAAGTAGCAATAACTTTAACATTAATGACACTAAGTCTATTACACTGCACCGTTTTCGTAGCGTTTTCGTATTGTTTAAGAGAATTAGACTATTGTCTTGTGCCCCCTTGAGGATTAAGAACAATACAAAAACGCTACGAAAACGGTGCAGTGTAAAGGTAGCCTAAATACGAAGGAACTGTAAATGTCACTGTTTCAGTCATGTTATAAATAATGGTAAATAACTTTGTCTTTGTTTATGAAACGGTTTACATTAAAAGAAAACCAGTTATGTTTATAAGTTTAAATGATTCACTACTAAACTAGTTTTTTCTCTTCGTTTTAATTTTGTATTACAAATATTCCTTACTCAAATCCTTACTCATCCTACCTTTAATCTTCAATCTTTATGCACATTGCACCAAATGCATGCGTAGTTCGATGTGACACATTTAATCCCAAAGCAATAAAAGTTTTATATCGACGATTGCGAAGGTAAAATATTCACTCATGAATGACAATGTTGCCACAGTGCTGTTTCTGTTTTGTTTTTTTTTTTTTGCGCATTGATTATGTATTTACCCGTAAACAAGACTTATATATTTCTGCGCATATCTAGCATTTGTAATGTCCTTGATTTCTGGCCATGAGCAAGTCAAATTGCCTTTGCAAAACCGGTAGTATAGAAATGGGAGGGTACCGGACTACTTGCCCTTGCCAGAACAGGGCGTAAAACAAACAAATTCCCTCCCAATCGTGGGAACTGACCAAAGACCTCGCGATTTGGTTACGACTGTAACTTACGGCTGGAATTTACTTTTCTTCAAGGCCATGTTCTGGCAAAGGGCAAGTGGTAAGTGGTTCCCCCCCCCCCCAAATTTCTATACTACTAAAACCGACAAACTTTTCTGAGAATTAGATAGGAGTACACATTTCAGGTCTACTATTTCTATAGTATCATTAACTACATAATTTTGCAAATATGTACTACAGTATTTAGCTTCATGTTAGTTTTCTCAATTTCTTATTTATATATCATGAACAGGACGTTTTTTGTGTTATTCACTTGATGCGAAGATTCAAAAATAATCAGAGACTAAAAAATAAACATTGTCAGTATGAACCAGCAGAGCATTTGCATTCTATGCGATGAAGAATTGTTAGCAGAGGAAAGTGTTACTGTGACAAGAGGAATGGAGACCATTCGAAAAAGCAGTGAACAACGCGGGGATGGAATCGCAGAAAGATTGGACGGCCTTTCATCAATCGATGTGCACATAATATGTCGTAAAAACTACACACGTCAATCCAGTATTAAGGCCGTGCTTCAACCTTCTCCCAAAAAACAAAAAACCCTTAGATCTTCAATGACGCAATTTAACTTCAAACAGCACTGCTTGTTTTGTGGCGATGACTGTGATATTTCAATTGAAACAAAAAAGCCTTTAGCCAGACGGAAAAGTATACACGAAATACGAACAATAACATGTAAAACCACGATTGCTAATGCAGCAAGTGAACGTGATGACGAATGGGGACAAATCGTACTCTCGCGTGTTGAATCCGCAATAGACTTGGTGGCTGCTGAAGCCAGGTACCATGGAAATTGTTATGCAAATTTCTTAAAATTGCCATCAAAACGTAAGCCAGGTCGTCCACAAGACAACGATTTGGCAGAGGCATACGAAAAGCTGTTCTCATACTTGAGTGAAAATGATGAATGTCAATACTCGGTTGATGAGTTACTTCATAAACTTGCAGAGTATCTTCCACAATCTAAAGACCTATGTTCTGAGAAGACATTGAAGAAAAAACTCGAAGAACACTTTGGGGATGACGTTATTATTGCGAGCAGACGAGGAAAAACACCAGTTGTTTGTTTTAAAGACACTGGATTCAAGATTCTCAACAACTCTTGGTATGAACAACGATCACAAAGCCAAGAAGAAGAACGTTTGCGTGTCGTAAAGGCTGCAGCTGCAATTATACGAGAAGATATTTGCTTAAAAGCTTTCGACACTTCTGTGTATCCAACATCTGAAGCAGCATTCGATGATACGTCCATTGTCCCAGAAACATTGAGAACCTTCACACATACTGTGGTTAACAAAACCAAGAAAGGAAATACTGCTGGAAAGACACGAAAGTGTACAGTTATTAATCATTCCATAATCTCAGCTACTAGACCCAGGTCTTTCCTCTCCATGATACATGTTGGACTTTCCGTGTACATACATAGACATTTAGCATCTCGGCATTTGATAGACTTACTATCCAGTATTGGTGTCTGCGCATCATACAGTGAAGCAAGGCGGTATGAAGCCTCGGCAATGCTTGGCAAGCAGCAAAACGTCAGTGAGGAATCATTCAAGCAATTCGTATTCGACAACGCAGACTTTAATATACGGACCATAGATGGATATGGAACATTCCATTCCATGGGTGGGGTTATGTGTGTTACACCAGCTTCAGGAGTTAAGTCACAATCTGATATAGAGCGTGTAAAGACATGTCCGCCAGCAGAAAAAATAGCAGCAGTGAATAATGTGAAACTACAAAGATATAGTGCATCCAACACCAAAGGTATTCATAACATTGTGGTGGAAAACCCAGCCAAAATCCGACAACTTCAATCAGCCAATCCAGTTCACAGTTTCCTTGACTTTTTATGGATGAGTGGTTCATGGCTTTCGCCACCCAAAAATCCAAGTTGGAGTGGATATATGGAGTTGGTAACCAAAGGCATTATTAATTACCAGACATCTAAGGTTATAACATTACCATTTGTCAACTTGCCACCCAGCAGCTTGGACGCCATTTACACGGTTCTTAAATTTGCAGCAAATGAGTGCGAGAAATATGGGCAGCAAACATGTTTTGTTACGTTTGATCAGCCCTTGTACGTAAAAGCGGTGGATATGGTGGCTGCTTCCTCTAGTGGCAGTGAACTCTCTTCTGTCATTGTTAGACTTGGTGGTTTCCATCTGCTGATGTCATTCATGGGAGCTGTTGGTTACATAATGGGTGGGAGCGGCCTGAAAGAGTTGTGGAGTCTTATATATGCAGTCGACTCAGTTGAGAAGATGCTGAATGGACATGCTTATGCTCGAGCATTACGAGCACATTTTTTGACACAGCTTGCGTTGATAATCGTCATCTTGCGCAATGCGGAAATCGATGATTTGACCATCGAACAGATTGTTTGTCTTCACGAGTCGGTAATGGACAATAGTACTTCTCATGTAGATGCTTCTAAAAGTCCGGCACTTAATCGTGTCATAGAAAAGATTGAGGCAGTTCAGCTTTCTGCCAGTAATGAAAGTCGAACAGCTGCATTGTGGGTGCAATATATAAATCAGGTAATGCTAATGCGTGATTTCATACGTGCTGAAAGATGTGGTGATTGGAAACTTCACCTTGTAACAATCCGGAAAATGCTTCCGTATTTCCATGCATCGGCTCATCTCGCATATGCAAAATGTGCTCACTTATATATCCAACAGATGTCAACATTAGAAGAGAAGATGTTGCCAAATGAATTCGAAGCCTTTACCTCTAAAGGTTACTTCACAGTGAGGCGAACGGACAAAATGTGGGCAGGAGTATGGACAGACATGACCATAGAACAGGTACTAATGCGGGCTATGAAGACGTCAGGAGGTCTGACAAGAGGTCGTGGGATGACAGAGAGCGTTGTTAGTCGTTGGGTGTTGGGTATGCCAGGTTGTAGTGAAATTACTCAACACTTTGAAGCATTTTGTGATGTTACCTTCACCACAAGCGAGCAACATGTAGAACTTAGAATGTCTCGTCAATTGCGAGATCAGAAAGATGTTGATACCCTTCTTCAGTGGCTTATGGTTCACAGTCCCATGATGTCAACCAAGGAATTGATGTCAATAGCGACTGGTGTCGTGGCTGACAACACAATAAATTGTGATGCTGCTGTTAAAGTTGGAACAGAAGCAATGCAGAAAATATTGGGAAAGACGTTTGGAGACATCCAACTGCACAGAAAAGACAAAGTTCTTCCACTGTCCTGTGTCAACAACTCGGTAAAAGTACGTGAAGAGGTCATTCCTGTAAATACCATGCAGTTGTTTAACAGAATTGTTTGTGTCATCAAAACAGATGAAGATTTCGCCTCTTGCCTAGAATATGAACTAGCTCCCAGACCATTATCACTCTTTGATGAGATATCAATGAGAAAAACTCAGAAATCGGTCATGTATGATGTCATAGAATCTGTAGCTGATAGTCAACAGACATATCCTGCAGGTAGTACCGTCGTCTTGGATGGTGGATACTTATTGAGACGAGTGATATGGCCGCAACATGGCTCATACAGTGACATATATTCATCATATGTGACCTATGTTCAAAAACACTATGAAACACAAAGGGTCGTTATTGTATTTGATGGCTATAGTGACGCTCCGTCCACAAAGTGTGCTGAGCAAAATCGGCGAGCAATGAAGGCGCAGTCGACAGAGATCTTGTTCACGGATGACATGCCTATTACTATCCGTCAAGAAAGATTTCTGACAAATGGAAAGAATAAAGCACGGTTTATTGAAGGTCTAACGCGATATCTTGAACATGCTGAGATAGAAGTGAAACAAGCGGTAGCAGATGCAGATGCGTTAATTGTGCGAACTGCAATTGATTTGTCGACCAACAACAACGTTGTCGTAGTCGGAACTGATGTCGACTTGCTTATTTTGTTGATACAGCTATCGAAGAAAGACAACCAACTCTATCTGTACAAACAAGGAGCTGGAAAATGTCCAGATAAAGTATTTTCTATCAGAGATGTTCAGAAACATTTGACAGAAGTATCCAGCTCGTTGTTCTTTCTGCACGCCATGACAGGTTGTGACACTACCTCCGCCCTGTACAGACAAGGCAAGAAGAAGGCGTTCAACCTCTTACAGAAAAACGAGGAATTACGGCGCGAGGTGGTGAGTGTATTCAACGATCCAACATCTTCCCCTGATTCTGTGTCATCCGCGGGAGAAAAGTTTCTTCTGGCATTGTATAGTGCTCCTAAGTCAACAACTTCTCTGAATGATCACAGACACAAACGATTCATGAAAGCGGTAGCTAACTGTCCTGTTAACAACCAGATGCAACTCGCGGCTTTGCCACCGACATCTGCAGCAGCAAAGGAACATTCATTCAGAGTGTATCATCAAGTGCAACAGTGGTTAGGAGTGGAGTTGCCCCCAACTCAGTGGGGCTGGCAATTGAAAAATGGAAACCTGCAACCGGTTCTCACTCGTCAAGCACCTGCGCCTGAAAAACTGTTAACTTTGATTTCTTGCAATTGCAAGAGTGGCTGTGAGCGATCATGTGGCTGCAAGAAAGCAGGTTTGGTTTGCACCGTTCTGTGTGGCCATTGCAACGGAAATGGCTGCAGTAATTCTGAATCACCAATTGTATGTGAATCAGAAATGGATGGAGAACATATTTTTGATGAAAAGAGCGAAGGCATTGATGTTATTTCCGATTCGCCGATATTGGAAAATGAAGCATTTGATGTCCATGTGCCTGACGAAGAGTTGTCAATAGACAATCAATCTGATGAACTTGAATTTCCATCAGCAACTGCGAATCCACGAAAGCGGAAAAGTAAAACATAAACATATCGGGACAGTGTACAGTCTTTCGTGTAATAGAGTTGGGTGGAACCCCTGGCTAGGATTCTTGTGAAACGTGTTTTAATAATATTCACTTGTCAACTTTACTGTGAAAATTCCAGTTGTTACTTTGTGTCAGGTAATTTTGTATGTTATCGTGCTTATGACGTCATAATATTGCTGTTTAGTCTAAAGTAATAATTTTACGTACCAAAACATATTTTAAAAAATCCATATTTAGCGCAAATATAAGTAATGACGTCATGACCTCATAACGGCAGAAGCTCCAGTCGGATACATGAGGACTTTTACTATGTTATCAAGGTCACTGAAATGAGTGAATACCCCAATTTTCAACTTCTTACTAATTTTTTCCGACCTTTTTTACCATTTTGACTGTACTAAATTTAGTTCTTACTAATCGCATGTTGCTAAGGTTTCCTTTACACGCCGGAAAAATTTCCTCAGAACGGAAAATTTTCTGCGGACTGCCGAACTATTTCCGTTCTGAGGAAAGACTAAACCACAGGCACAAAGTTTAAGTCAGAAATTAACGAAAATTTAATCTTTTGTACGTATTTTACACCTTCAAACAGCGCATTATGTGAATTAATATTGCCTCCTCACGTTTACTTATAATATGAAACGTGAGTGGGTATATTTGCTAAAGGAACAGTGCATCTTGTAGTGACGTGCCTCGCGAATGTCGCAATTTGCCTAAAAATGTTAGCCTCCTCCGCAGGAATCTCTTATGTATTTATATTAGGCATTTATATTTGGCTTGGTTCAGCTGTGTCAGGGAGCGAGAAAAAAAAACAGTTAACCCAAGTCAAACATAAATGCCTAAAATAAATACATAAGAGATGCCTGCAGAGGAGGCTATAAAAATAAGGCATATTGTTTTTTTAATGACTCAACTGGCGTCGTGTGGCGTCTTTCGTCGTAACTTTTTTATATACAGACGCCATAACCAAGGACAGACTAATTTTCTCAGTACGTTTTAGGAGTATATCTAATTATATCTTATATCTATACAAAGTAAGCGCTAGCTATGTGTGCTGCGCGTGACGATCTCATTGACGATGAGCTCGACGATGAGCGGTATAACCATGAAGAATGTTCTACTCAATTTTCAGTTTTTAAAGACAGCCAACATATAAAAGAGATAGCAGAGAACGATGGCAGTCTTACATCCGTCGGCGAGTTCTGTGGCGCATTCTATCACGTACCGGCCGTACCCGAAAAGAAGGGGGGAGGAGGTATGGTTTGTTTGAATCAGAAAAATTGTCGAATAATGTTTTGTGACAATAATATTTACAATAATCCAAAAACGGCGGTTGCTTTGGTGAAATATAATATCGAAGGAAAATCCACGTATTTCAAAAGGTACACAAACTGTTATCAATATAAGGTTCACGCAGAAGAGTATTTCAAACATGATGTGGAAAATCAAATAAAAGATGGCTCACTACCCAAGACGGCGAAAGGTGTACTAACTATGTACATCACAATGCAACCTTGTCATAAATCCACTTCCGATACTCAAGGAACCATTAACGATTACAGTTGCTGTGACTTTTTGACGGAATTGATAACGCTCCTGCCTAATGTCACACTACGCATAAAGCCCACTCATCTCTTAAAAGCGGGTTGGAAAAAGAAGTTCAATCAGCCGAAGCAAAATGAACATATTAAGAATGCAGAAGAGGGTTTAAAGAATCTTATGAGACATGAACGTATCGAATTTTCGGAAATGACACCAGACGACTGGAATTACCTGTGGAAACAAACTAACGCACCCAAAGATCTTACACTGAAAATAGTAAAAGAACGGGAGGCTCTTGATGCTGACATTAAAAGCAAGCTAGAAAAATGGGGATGTGAGGTCAGTGTCGAAGATGATTTGATTGCGAAAACGAAGAAGTTGAACATGCATAAATAAGTACGTACTTATTTATGGTACCGCGGTACCGGCTGAAATGATGACACTTCAGATGAGCATTTTTTTAGCGTTGGAGACTTCATATTTAAAAAAAACATGAATATAAATTACAGATTAAGTGTAGGCAAAGGTCTAGAAGTCATCAGAGAGAATAACAAGAATGCATTTATCATAGTACGTCTAGGAATGACAAGCATAGACATTTATCATAGACATGTAGCTACATGCACGTTGGAAAGTATGTTAGAAAGTATGCTGTATAAGTTACATTCATGTTCGTCCTACTTTCTATATTATGTGTGATTCTATTAAGTTGTAATGATTAGAGCCTTAAAAATTCAGTGTGGGCATCGAGCTGGCGAATGATTTCAGCGAATATACACCCGACTTACCGATACAAATTACCCGACTTATCACTGATCTCAGCAAAAATAGCTCGAGTTTTGGTAGACTGGATAAAAATTTCCCCAACGTTTCTCGATTCAATTGTTTCTGGGTTGGCCACTGCCCCTTGCTCCGAATGCCTATAATCATATATGAGTGAAGACAATAATAGTTAAACAGCTATAATAAATATAAATATAAGATTTTTTTATTTAGACTTTTTCTGTTTAGTTGGAATCGTATTATATGCATGGACTATTGAACATGCACTCAGTAAATAACGTGCATTGCGTGACATGAATTTAATATAAAGTTTTTGGCTTCGCCATTTCGTGCAAAGCCGCGGTTCATCATCAGATAAGTGTATAATATTATATCCTTTTGAAGATTACATGCTCAGTTGCGCAGCTCGTGCCGACTGCAAATCCTAATCCTAGCTGCTCTTAAGAGGCAACACGCATGGCTTGTGAAATGATCCACGTATCTTTTATACGATTCCATCAGGTTTACGTTCGCGCACGATAGGCAAGCAGAAGGCAGTAGTATTGACATCAGAGAGTTGAGCGGGCGGACTATGAAACTTTCGTGAAGACAGGTAAACATATTAAGTTCGGTTCACCTAAAATAGGCGGAATTTCTTTTGACTGAACGAAATTTTTCGCCCCAATCTTCGCTTTATTTGTGACAATTTGCACGGGAATCGCAGCCGGTCGAATCCAGCCTGAGAACCTTCGTTACATTTTTGGCAATTCCGAATTTGAGTCTTACTAATCGCATGTTGCTAAGGTTTCCTTTACACACCGGAAAAATTTCTTTGGAACGGAAAATTTTCTGCGGACCGCGGAACTATTTCTGTTCCGAGGAAATACTAAACCACAAAGTTTAAGTCAGAAATAAACGAAAATTTATAATCTTTTGTACGTATTTTACACCTTGAAACAGCGCATTATATGAATTAATATTGCCTCGTTTACTTATAATATGAAACGTGAGTGGGTATATTTGCTAAAGGAACAGTGACATATTGCAGTGACGTGCCTCGCGAATGTCGCAATTTGCATGAAAATGTGGCATATTATTTTTTTAATGTCTCAACTGACGTCTTGTGGCGTCTTTCGTCGTAACTTGTTTATATACAGACGCCGTAACCAAGGACAGGCTAATTTTCTCAGCACGTCTTAGGAATATATCTTATTATCTATACAAAGTAAGCGCGAGCTATGTGTGCTGCGCGTGACGATAAGCTCGACGATAAGCGGCGGTATAACCATGAAGAATGTCATACTAATTCTTCAGTTTTTAAGGACAGCGAACATATAAAAACGATAGCAGAGAACGATGGCAGTCTTACATCCGTTAGCGAGTTCTGTGGCGCATTCTATCACGTACCCGAAGAGAGGGAATTGGGAATACATATGTTTTGTTTGGATCGCAAAAATTGTCACATGTTTCGTGACAAAAGTATTTCCAATAATCCGAGAACGGCGGTTGCTTTGGTGAAATATAATATCGAAGGAAAATCCACGTATTTCAAAAGGTACACAAACTGTTATCAATATAAGGTTCACGCAGAAGAGTATTTCAAACATGATGTGGATAATCAAATAAATGATGGCTCACTTCCCGAGACGGCGAAAGGTGTACTAACTATGTACATCACAATGCAGCCTTGCCATAAATCCACCGATACTCAAGGAACAACTAAGGATTACAGTTGCTGTAACATTTTGAAGGAATTGATGGATAAACTCCTGCCTAATGTAACACTACGCATCAAGCCCACTCATCTCCTAAAAGCTGGTTGGAAAAAGCAAGAAAATCCGAAATACAATGAACATATTGAGAATGCAGAAGAGGGATTAAAGGAACTTATGAGACATGAACGTATCGAATTCTCGGAAATGACACCAGACGACTGGAATTACCTGTGGAAACAAACTAAAGCACCCAAAGATTACACACTGAAAATAGTAGAAGAACGGAAGGCTCTTGATGTTGACATTAGAGACAAGCTAGAAAAATGGGGAAGAAACGAAGTAGAAGATTTGACTACGAAAACAAAGGTGTTGGGCATATCAAATGAGTAAAAACGATAACACTCAGATGAGCATTTTTTATCTTTGCAAACTTCATATTCAAAAAAACATGAATATGAATTACAGATGAAGTGTAGCCATCAGTGGGAATAACATGCATGCATTTATCATACTAATCATAGTACGCCTAGGAATAACACGCATAGACATTTATCATAGACATGTAGCTACATGCATGTTGAAAAGTATGTTAGAAAGTATGTTATATAAGTTACATTTATGTTCGTCCTAATTTCTATATTACGTTTGATTCTATATTAGTAAGTTGTGTTGATTAGAGCCTTAATTAAAATTTGTGGGGATCGAGCTGGCGAATGATTTCAGCGAATGTATACCCGACTCACGAATACAAACTACCCGACTTAATTTTGGTAGACTGGATAAAAATTTCCCCCGCAGTGTTTCTGGATTCAATTGTCTCTGGGGTGGCCACTTCCCCTTGCTCCGAATGCCTATAATTATATATGAGTGTGGACAATAATAGTTAAACAGCTATAATAAATATAAATATATAAGATTCTTTTATTTAAACTTTTTCTGTTTAGTTGGAATCGTATATACGCATAGACATTGAACATGCACTGAGTAAATAACGTGCATTCCGCCATTGGCAGCATTGCGTGACATGAATTTATTATAAAGTTCCTGGCTTCGCCATTTTGTGCAAAGCCGCAGTTCATCATCATGCAGATAAGTTTATAATATTATATCCTTTTGAAGATTACATGCTCAGTTGTGCAGTTCATGCTGACTGCAAATCCTAATCCTTGTTGCTATCAAGAGGTAACGCATGGCTTGTGAATTGATGCACGTATCTTTTATGCGATTACATCAGGTTTACGTTCGCGCACGATAGCCGATAGGCAAGCAGAAGGCAGTAGTATTGACATCAGAGAGTTGAAAAATCATTTTCCTCGAAATGGGAAACAGTTGTACAAAGCTACCGGCGGACTACGAAATTTTCGTGAAAACAGGTAAACATATATTAAGGGCGGTTTCAGCTACAATAGGCGGATTTGTTTTTGATCGAATGAAAATTTTCGCTCACTTTATTTTAATTTGTCTTATTTGTGAGAATTCAACCGTAGGCGTATTGGAGTCACTTGACCGGCCACAATTAGTAAGAAAATTGAGCGAAAAATTTCGTTCGATCAAAGTTCAGCTGCTTTAACAAATTAACGAATATCAAGTTGTCGTTCTGTGTTTTGTTGTGTTGTGTCACAAAAAGTAATAGGATGTGTTGTGCTTATGTGATGTGACAGGGATGTTCATAAATTGCGAGTATATGTATTTGTCATTTTTTTTGTCTCAATTAAGTGAACAGTTCCCGCGCAGTTCTCGATCTTCAGTTGTGAAGCTCTAGGTCGAACTTGGTCTTCGCTATTCTTCATTGTGCTATGTCATTGTGCTATATCTATTAATATTTTCCGCTGCAAAGCCTAACTAAATGCACGTGCTTTTGTTCGAAAAAAGGTATGAAATAGCGTATTTATAAGGCATGCATGCATAACTTTCTTTAGCAAAATTTAATCCTCGCACATCATGTTTTACAAGTTTGTAAAATAATCGGAAGCCTATAATCAAGTAAAAGCAAGCTTAAAAATAACCTTAGCCTAGCATATATAAATATATATATCAGGAATACTAAGGTTTAATGAAAGCTACACAAAACAACCACTATCCGATGGATACCCCTTATGCATTTGTAAGTAATCGCGGTCGTAGCTTACGTTATATACGTATTTTATGGAATGTATATGCGTATTTTGGTGAAGTGTTGCTGAAATCATTCGATAAAGACTCGATAAACAACATAATGAACAATTATTGCGTATTGTGATGCCTTTTAGATACTACAACTTTACAAGTGATAATAAACTTTGAACTCTTCAATGAACTCTTGTGGCTGCGCAGTATAAATCACATGATACTGGTACCGTAATAAACCTTATAATTATACAAATTATTACAAATTATCACAGGGGATATGAAGGGCGCAGGAACGGACTCAAATGTCTACATCATTTTGATATCTCAGTCAGGAATTGAATCCCGTTGCATCAATCTTGATTGCAAATGGCGTGACGACTTTGAAAAAGGGAATGTGGATAGTTTCAAAGTCGGCGGCATTTCCCGACTTGGTTCCATTGGAAAGATTGTTTTGTGGCGAGACTCGTCCGGACTGAATGACGAATGGTTTGTCGAGTGGGTGAAAGTTTGCAATCTTCACGCGATGTACGAGAATGTGGATTGCTTTCCCGTCAACAGGTGGATAAGACACGACAAACGAATGGTTATAACGAAGTATGACTGCATGTTACCACAGCTTGATAGCAACAAAGAGCAAAGAGCTTTAGAAATCACGGAGAAGAGGCGAACCTATGGATTAACAAGAAAAAAACCTGGTATACCAAAGCAGGTCAGTGCTTTCGCTTTTCTGGAACATGATAAATGGAAAAATACAAAGTAAAAAATGAACAGGAATCACTAATAAAAAGCCTTATTCTTAAAAAAATGTGGGTTAAATTTTCTATGATCATTGCAACCACGAATTAACGCCGTGAGTTTTGAATTATTAAAGCTCCAAGTTCAACTACGCACGCGATTTAAGTTTGCTACGGGCTAAATTAGTGAAGAAGAAAATTGGTACGGACGAAATAAGTGAAGATGCCCGAATGGTTCGGATGAAATTAGGACAGATCTATTTAGGTAGTCCAAATTTTATCTCAATCTTAATTTTATCCGTACCAAACCTAAAAGTAAACAGAGTGTAAACGAATAATCGAGTACCCTACCAAAAATTGTCGGCAGTGTAAATGGGGCTTAAGTCAATAACTCAAAGAAGACAGTGTAATTAACGCAATCCATCAAATCTGAATGCATGATATGCATGGTGGCTATAATAATAAGCTATATTCAAATTTCCAAATTTTGGACACCCTGTACTTCCTCGGTAATTTGCATATCAAATATGGCTTCTGCATGTGTGTAAAATTATATTAGATTATGTTCTCCAGTTCTGTCGCATAGAATAGGGTAGTTCGTTGATCTTTTACTCCGGCTAATTTGAGTTTCCATTCATCCTATAATTTCAGGTTTGTATCGTAATGTAATGATATGTATTTACTACATTTGACGTCCTATATTATATTTAATACTCTTAAAGAGGTTAAAGCAAGCAACAAAATCCTGGAACAAATGCACTGATTTATTACTATGATATTACTATAAGCATTGTTTTACCGTCAGCTATTAACTAACGGTGAATCCAACTTGATTTAGCTATATATACCATGCATATCGCTTAGTACATTTTCAATGTTTACGATTCATTTATTCGACATGCAATCAGGATGAAGGTAGGATACATATCCTTGAAAACTGGACTGCTGCTAAATTATAATTGTCTCGGCTTACAATATCAATAAATGCATCATGCTGATAAATTTCTTTAAAAAATTGCGATTTATATGCGAAAATGAAAGCATCATGTTCAATAAAATGAAAAATTTCTTAATTCTGGTCTATTTCACTGAACTGCCACCAATTGGCAATGCAACATGATGGAGCCGCACTTGTTTGCAACGATTGCGTTTGTGATGAGTACGGCGGCTACCGCGAAGTATTCTTTCATTCAAAGTGTATTCACATGAACGTTATGAATAAGATATGAGGAAATAATCGCCTTATTATTTTAAAGGTCTTTTTTAGGAACCACGTGTATCTTTATCGCTTTCCTCAAACTGATGACCTCTATAGGGGTGTTGAATAATATATATATTGCATATAAGGAAAGTCAAATATCGTAATTAAACTTTTTTTAAATAGATTACAAAATTCCCGAAGGATGAACACTTCAGCAACGAATATAAGGTATTAGAAAATATAAAATATAAAAACTTGATCGTGTACGTACGACTTACAAACTCGTTCCCAGGTCATTTCGCCTCAACGGTAAGACGTCAGCGAAAATGACCCTAAAATCGGGGGAAATGTCCACAGTCCACTGGCTTGACAAACGCTCATCCTCTGTTCTGCATATTGTACTGAAGTCGTTACTCGTTAATGAGCTATAGAGTTTACTGACGTTCATGACTAAATTCTTGGACTTGATGCAATTGAAACATCCGCCAGCCTGATGATTTGTCTCGCTTTGCTAATATTTTGGTGTTCATTGACTGTGAAAACAATGAATTTCTAAAGACATGAATAATTATATATAACAACTCAAAATTTACACAGCGGGCCAAAATCGTCGGGCTGGCTACGCCACTAAAGGCGGTGTTACACTATGCAATTTTCCTTGCAACTTGCAATGCAATTATAATTTCGAGGGATGTTAATTAGTAAAGAGTGTTCGAAATGCTAAGAAAACGTTAGCAGATCGTAAGAAATGTTCGTATTTGTCAACTTTAGATGCCCCATGCAGGAGTAGAATTGCATTGCAAGTTGCAAAGAAAGTTGCATAGTGTACACTGCCTTAAACGGTCGTTTTTTTCACAGTGGGATATCCAAAGCACAAAGTACCGTCTGTTTGCGCAATCCAAGTTGACCAAGCTTACCACAGACTCTTGGGAAAATTTACAAGATTTGAGAAACATTTATAAAGGAAAATTCAGTGTGCCTGAGGTATGCTAGATGTACATAGACCGGTATTGTAGTTTGTAAACGTCAGTAAGAGGCCAAATCGAGTTATCACAAAGCAGATAGGGTTCTGCACAAATCCATACAGACAATATATATACAAGTCTGAATCGTGTGCAGTACTGCTAAAATACTGTTTTGTCGTTGACTTTTCCAGGGTGCCCAGTACTGGAAAGATGACAAAAATTTCGGTCGGCAAAGATTGCAAGGATGCAATCCAAATGTTATTCGTTTATGTACCGAACTTCCATCAAAGTAGGTATCCTATTATGGGCTATATTTTCTCCATTTCTAAAAAACACTGCTTGAAGTCTTACTCGTTTCATTTCCGGCGTTTCGATGTTTTGTTCTACCATAGGCAGCCCAATGCAATGGCGAATGTATGGTTTTATTTAAAGTAAAAATGCACACTTTGATGAAATTGACACATGTCATTTATTTACATGCTAATATACTTTACTACTACTGTTACTGACAACGGGCGAGTTGCTTGTCTAACAATGCAATGTTCAGGGAATAGTATTTAAGTATATTAGCATGAAAATATAAAAGACATGTGTCAATGTCATCAAAGTGTGAATTTTTACTTCAAATAAAACCATTCGCCATTGGGATGCCTATATGGTTCTACACGAGCTGTTTTATTTATAGTTTTAAAGTTACAGCAACCATGGTAGAACCGTTTCTTGAAGGGCGTTCTTTGCAAGATGCGATGGACCTGAATAAAATTTACATCATCAACTATAAAGACATGCTAGATGTAACTTGCATGGAAAACAGAACGGTAAGTGATGTTTATGAATAATGATATGTAAAACTAATCAGGCACGTTCTTCAGTATTTTACTTGCCCTAATTCGAGGACTTTTCACGCGCCTATTTTTTTTTCTTTTTGCTCTTCTAGCCAAATTTAAGAGCTTGAAAGCGGTTGCACCTGTTGTTTTTGCATTGGTTAATTTTTCGTGATACTCTCCCTTCTGATGGATTTAGTTGCGCGAGTCCGTTGTGAAAGACATAATTGCACCCTAATACAACAGGAAACGGTAACCCAGTGCCTTTTAGTTTTGAGCATTTTGAGCAAATGTACTTCACATTGAAAAATGAACATTGTTCTATACATGGAACTAAGGCTATTAAGAAACTCTTCGTGCAGTCTTGATACAGAGAATAGCATTTTTAGCATGCATTAGTTTGATGGCATTGATGCACCGATCGATGTTTGGAGTCAAATAGACCTATACTTCAGCCCAAACCGCTCTGAAACAATTTTGGTTTTAGGAAAATACGGTTTATTAACACTACAATGGCCCAGCCAAATCGGTAATATGTGAAATAATGTCTGCACTCCCAAATATTGGTCTAGTGGCGCCACAGCATAGTTACTCACATATATACTGTCACTCTGGCTGTATTCGAGTTCACTAATGAATAATTCTATGTTCCGTGATCCCGTGTACTGTACGAAGCGCATTTTAAATATTGATCTGGGCCATTTGGCATGGTAGTCAAGGCGCTCTTCACTCCAAACCACGTATTTCCATATATTGTAACTTGTTGCAACTTTTATGTTTTCTGCATGGTCAAATATTCTATTGCCATTTCTATATGACTTAAAACGTACTTGTTTTCTGTTATAGTTGGCGGTTCCAATGGCTTTGTTCTATGTCAACAAGCAGGAAGATCTTATTCCAATTGCTATCCAACTCTTTCAAGAGCCAAAAAAAAACAACCCAGTAAATTCCTTAAAAATTATCTAACAAAAACACAGTGTACTATTCTCAAACCAGATAATCAAAGTTAAAATGGCGACTAAATGGAGTAAAGTTTATATTAAAGCTTTTAAAAGGCATGTTGTTTTGGGAGGGGGGTGGTGGGGGAGTGGTTGTAGATCGGTAATGAAGACGGGACTCGAAATGCCATTACCGGTTTTCGTCCCCCACTAGCTGTTTTGTCCTGGTGAGTAACTGCGCTTAAATCTTTCAGGTTTTCCTTCCGAACGATCCGGAATATACTTGGATGTTGGCAAAGATGTATTTTAACAACGCTGATTGTTCTTACCATCAAGCTTGTACGCACCTCGGTTAGTAAATGGTGATGTTCCTACCGATCGACATATTTCTCTATTAACGGACCCATGAATCGCATGATAGCTGTTTACTGATGGTAACTAGGGTTTTTTGGGTTGTGCGGAATTTAAATTGCCCTTAGACCCCAAAAATTCCTGTGTATTTGAGAATGAATGTAAATTGGTATCTCACAGCGAGCTTAGCTTTCAGATTATTTTCCATTCACAGGTTTCACTCATTTGATCGCAGAAACGATTTGTATCGGGACCCACAGGCAGCTGTCGCCATCTCACCCGCTATTTCGCTTGATGGCGCCACATTTTCTGTACATTTTGGCTATCAACACGTAAGTATAATTTCTGGAATTGAGTAAGAAAGCACTTAACAATTGAAAGTCACTTGCCGCGTGACGAATCAATCAGTAACGATTTACTACTTCCCGGAAAACGATAGAGATGAGTTTTGAAGGTTTCTATCTACTTTCTCGACAAATTCATCGTCAAGCAAAATCATGGATATACTCACTGACGAATGAAGTGCTTTGTAAACAGTCAAATGAAATCAATGTTTATTCTAGGCTTGCGCTCAATAAACTGATTTCCCCAAATGGTTGGATTGACAACACGATGACGTGTGGAGCAAATGGAATTCTTGAAATAGTGAAAAAAAGGTAAACATAATTCCATTCCAAAGTTTGCCAGTGAACGCGTTGCCAAATGAAGTGTATTACGGTGGATATTTGCAAAAAATTTGTGTTGTGCTGCACACCGCGAACAGCATTGTTAAGTAAACACAGTCATGCACAAATTATTGTTATCCTAAACGATGCAATCGCAAGAATCCTGATGTAATCACTAATCATGTTATTTATCGCTGATTAGGCAGTTTTTTCCTAAATCTCTTAACCACATTATCAATGACAACCGTGTTATTTGCCTTTAATATGTCGGTTAGGGTTCCTTTTTTCACATGCTTAAATTTAAATGGTTGTTCTGATTTCAGTTGGAAAACCTGGAGACTGGATGTGCAAGGTTGGTTGCCCAGCGATCTGGCCTTCAGAGGGGTTAGTTTCATTTCCTGTAATATATAATCGAGAGATTGGGTGGTGCATGTATATCGAATAATTCGTGTGACTAAAAATTATAGTAAATTGATCGTTACACACCCCTCTCTCTGTTCAGTAGACCTTGCATAGTAATGGTTATGTCTCTATGGTATAATTAGGCAAAAGCCGTTGACTATAATTAGTTTTTGAAACTTATTGTTCCATTTCCAAGCTATCATAACCACAGCTGTCTTCTCAAACAGGTAGATGATTTGGAAGCTCTCCCCTACTATCCATACAGAGATGATGCCGTGCTATTACATCAGGCTATCTGGGATTATGTACGCGATGTGCTGCAGGGCCATTACGGTAAGAAATTGACTCTAGATAAAATTTAAAGACCAAATCAGTTAACTATTATTAAAAATAATCAGTCCAGAGCCTCCTAAAACGATCAGGCAATGCATGGTGTAGACGCTTTATAGAGCAGTGCATATGACTTGCATTTGAGAATGCAATGGCTGCCATAATGCTATTATCATAATCACAAGTACAACCACATTTACCTTCTCTCACGTCAGATACACCAGAAAAGCTCATCGATGATTGGGAGATTCAAGAGTGGGGAAAAATGTTGACAGATGAAAGAGAAGGTCTGGGCATTAAGGTAAGGCTGACTCGGTGTATATAATTACGTGAAATTTAGCAAAAAATGCGAAGTTATTTGCATTACGTTTAGAGTCGAACACTTTAAAATCTGTTTACTTAGTGGATTACATTCATGGTTTTCACAAAATTTGAAACAAACCATCGAATTAACATTTGGTTTGATTGTATTATATGCCGCATATTTTTAAAAGTTATTTAGTGGTTTCAATTACACCATTTCAACTTGTTTTGTAGTAACTTTAAATAACTCTGTAGTAACTTTAAATAGCGTGCTTTGTTTTTTAAAGGGCGTACCCGGAGATGGTAGTTTCACCAACTTGGAAGATCTCATTCAAACTGTGACATCTGTGATATTTATATGCAGCGTTGGACATGCAGCGTCTAATTTTGGTCAATATGATGACTACGCCTTTCCACCCAACTATCCAGCGATACTACGTGGCAACCCTCCAACTGATAAGGTATACAAGAATCTTCTAAAATAGCGGCGTTTCCAATTCAATTGACAATTCGTTTTCAAATTTGTCCGAGGGAAACGGGGAGGTTAACAAATCTTGACTTGCTCGAGACCATCCTTGTCTCTGTTCACATTTATGGCTGCTTTCCAGTTACGCGTTTTTCATACGCACGTACACGCACGTAAAAGTCTAAATCCTTTTGCATGATATCTTTTAAAAAACTAAGTAAATAAATCGAAGGAACTTAGTTTCTTGCTTATTTTAGTATGCATTAGTTGACCTAGATGTTAAATAATGAAAATTTAAAAGCATTTAAAATTTTCCGTACGTGTACGTGCGTATAAAAAACGCGTAAGTGGAAAGCAGCCTTTAAAAACCTTCCGGTGCCACTGTTCAGAGGCGGCAAACTTGGATCAGGTCCTAATCGCTGAAACTGAGCTAATTTAGATTGGAGTTTTCGTGCAACTGCTAATATCGATATAATAAACTTTTTCTCAGAAACATACATTTTGTACACATAAAGGTATTTGAGGCTAGAAATTTCGTGAAAATATAAGTTGATTGTTTTAACTTCTTAGACAGAGTTATCAGCGAAGGATATTCTTGCACAGCTACCAAGTAAAAATACAACGCTCAGCATCATGGTAGTTACAAAAATACTAAGTGATCGTGGAACGAACTCTCTTGGTAATTTTGAAGTTCAGTATATGCATGACCCGATTGGAATTGAAGCTGTAAAACGGTATGTTAATTTTTGTCAATCGTGTATTCAGTTCCGTGAGAAATAGCGTTGCATTGTGCCAACTAGTCTACAGATCAGCTTGAATTCCATATGTGGTATTGAAATCCTCAGCATTAGCGTCGAAGCATTTTAGTTGCACACTAAATTTTCGGGGAGAATATGGCCTAATCGCTTTCAATACACTTAGCTCTTCTTCAAAATGAAATCCTGTGACTGCAAGTTTTCATCTTATACCTAATGTCCTTTTCACCACAGATTCAAGAAACGGCTCTTAGAAGTGGGAGAAATAATTGACGAAAGAAATAAACGTCGCCAATTTCCCTACCCGTACTTGCATCCTCTTGAAGTGCCTAATTCTATTAGCATTTAATTCCAATGCATAAATAAAACTCTAAGAATTCTCTGGAGTTACTTGATTATAATGAATATCTATTGAATTATGCCGTATAATTATAATGATTATAAACTTGACCGGTAAACAATGTAATTTGATTTAAGAATAAATTACATTATTATTAATATACTAAGAATAACTGAGTGAAAATATTCATAAATGTAATCAAAGCCATTGATAACCAAAGCTATATATAACATTAGGTATCGTATAAGTACACAGATACTTGAGTTTCGATTAACAGTCCACTTTGCGTGCGATACATTTTTCTCTTTCTCGCGCGAGCAATCTTGGCCAACCGATATTGCCGTACTGAAATGCCAAATTGTCTTGGTAATTTTGGAAAGGATTTAATACCTTCAGTTGAGATTTATTCTTAGATAAAATAATATGATTAAAATATAAAATTCGACTATTAGCAAAAGGGTATAGGTTTGATGAATCGTACCTAGATCATTCTTATGTCAATATATTCATTTTTGACAGCTCGGCCGCGCCTAGGGCAACGACATTTAAAAGATCTAAAAAATGATCCGCTGGCGTTAATTCAGTGGCGACAGAATGAGGCAACCAACTTTAAAATTTCACGGCGGTGTGGCTTGCGGATCCACAAGCAAAACATACGCGAGCGTTGTAAGGTATTCCTGTAGTTCTTCAGACAGGACAAGACGATCCAAAATTTTCTCAGCTTGTTCTAAACGCGCCACACCGGATCCTCCAAGGAGCTGCAGTTCCTCGTTACGAATTTAGGTTAAGGTCGAATGTACCGGAACACGGTTCGGTATACCATATTCCGCTATATTCGACCATGATCTAGTATACCATATTCCGCTATATTCGACCATGGTATACCACATCTCGTTAAAGATGTCCACATGGACCTATAGTTCAAAACATTGCATCAGTTAGCTAAAATGCTGGATCCGCCCCTGTACTCTTCCCAGAAAATTCACCCACAGTAAGCTGTATACAGTTTTTAATGAAGTAAATAATGATACTGAAGTTAAAATAACTATTGTACAATTTTAAAACTTTCCATTTGAGAAGAATTGTCTTAAGGACCAATGCACTTTTTATGGTGCTTTCTAGTCACAGAGAACACAAACATCATGCCACATTTAGGACACTTACTATGGCCTGCATTAGCCAAGTGTTCCTGCAACTTACGATCGCCTTTACACTTCTTACCACAAACATTACAATGTACAACAACAAGGTCACTTGGCTCGACATTGAACAAACCATCGACTTCTGATTTTACATTTGCCTTATTGTCCATTGTTTTTAGCATGTGTAAATACAACTTAATGCCAACCCATGCATCTAATGCAGCATAGCGGATTTGACCTTGTTTCAGGGGTAGCTTTTCCCAATTACTCAACTTCACACTTTTTGGCTTATTCAATTCTAATCCTAACAAATTGTTAGCTAATGTTTTCAGGCCCTGACCATGCTCTTTTGTGTAGCCTGATATTTTGGCTAACTCGGCTAGGTCAACAGCCCCTTTACATTGTAGACCTGTGTCCTTTAACAGTTTGATCACATCAGGGCGGATACCACATCCCACTTTACGAATGTTCTCATTGGCTAAAACTTCAGGGAGATAACGAGGGAGGGGCTTTACATGTTTTAAATGACACACCAGGCTGTCTGTTTCAGTTGACAATTGCAATACGGCTGTTTTGTTTTCCTTGCCCCCCAGTTTCTTTTTCACAAACTGCGGTCTCCATTCCATGTCGAAGCCAATGGCCCTACAGTCAGTATCCATGATATTGTTTCTCAACCATGCGTCAGTCTCTATAGGATCATTAGTGTAGGTGACTTGCACCCCTCTGGCTTGCTCAGGTGACCCTTCGATTTCCATTCTTATTGTATAAGGTCTTTGAGGTCTTGAGGGCATACATCTTTCTTGATTATTATGAGGAATTTGCGATGTTTGCTTATAGAAGTTCCGATGTGAACCGTGTTTAAAATGCCTTGGTAACATAATTCAACCTTTTGACCATCAAGAGAGAGACCAACCTCGTACCCAGGGTCTGGAGAGAGACAAAAAGAGAAGTACACACAACCACACACAACACACACACTGAACTGTATAAATTATAATAATTCGTTAGGAATTATTATATAGCTCAGTGAGAAAATTCCTCGCAAAAGAATGTAGTTCCTCAACAAGTTCCTTAGTTCTTAAAGTTCAAAAATTAATTCCAGTTACCACATTCCTGTTTTCACGGATATTCTCTAAGGAAATTTATTCAGGAAAATGAGGAAATTCTGAAATCAAAGACATGGCATTGTGGGATTGTTCGCCATCTTGAATTGGATTTACAAAAAATCCTCTTTTTAATTTCTCAGTCTATCGTACTATTAGATAATATGGCAGAAAGATATAGCTTCAGTCTAACAACCTTCAGGTACGTATTTTTGCCGTTCCGTGGTACATTAGGTTTTACGATTTCTCACAATCGTCACTTTGAACACAGTTAGTAATTAACTGAACAGTATTGCTGAGTCAGCATTGCATGTGATATGTTATAAAAAAGATAGCATTCAAATACTTGCTAGATATTGGTGAAAATTTGGTTGATTGTTAGTATGTAAACCAAGTAAATTTTTAATACACTGCTTGATGAAAAAATATATGTGTATGCAGTATGTATCTTGGATGAAATAATTATTTCTTTGCCATGCAAGTGAACCAACAGGAATATGTGTTAGTAGAAAATGTTTATATCCCCTGCTTCAATAATCCCCTGGACCAGAACTTGTGCAATTAGCTTGGACGTTTTAGGACACTATATTAATATTATGTTTGAACCCATCCACAGTACACATCAGATCAGTTAATTGTGTCATTGATTTCCCCATTAGTCCTTCTGGCAAGCTTGTGCAAATTGAATATGCTTTGGCTGCAGTTGCTGCTGGTGGTCCCTCAGTTGGAATAAAAGGTAGGAAGCCAAATAAGTATCTTGACTAAATCCCCCATATTCTTGAAGAATTTACCTTATAGAACTGACAAACTCCACCACTATATTAATATATTTTCACAAGTACAAGTATTACAAATACAAGTATTTATTCACTGAATCAAGGATGCTTTCTTCATTTCCCATTTTTAGCCACAAATGGAGTAGTTCTTGCTGCAGAAAAGAAACAAAAATCAATATTATATGATGATTCTACAATTCACAAGGTGCTATGAGTATAGTAATTGATATATGGTGTACAATGGCAAGTTACTGTGAGCTTAGACTTAAAATTCTGCCATGCAATCACCATTGTAAATAGCGGGCCCAATTGTCTTTTGTTAATTAGAATTGTATATATACTGTCATTAGTGTGTTATTATTTATCTTCCTATTTTCAATATTAGATTGAGATGATTACAAAGAATGCAGGTTTAGTGTATAGTGGAATGGGTCCTGACTGCAGGTAATGACTTTCATTGTTTTCTCCTAACAAAAATTAATTTGAATGTATGATGTCTGATGGTATTATCATTTTGCTTTTTAGACTTTTGGTGAAACGTGCGAGAAAAATTGCTCTGCAGTATTTCCTCATTTACCATGAACAAATACCAACGTCACAGTTAGTTCACAGAATTGCATCTGTTATGCAAGAATATACACAGTCTGGGTAAGAAACATTTGAAACATAGGGGAGAAAACAGAAAACAGGAGAAACCAGGAAAAAGTTCAGTTAGTTCACTTCTATGTACCACTCTGTACTGTACTCTGAACTATCAGGACCAGGCTTATCTAAACAGTCTCTTATGTATCATTTTATCAGTTTTCTTTTCAAACTTTTTTTTTACGTAGCTAGAGAAAATTATCGGAATATTATTTATACTTAGTATAAACAATGTTTTTATGCACCCGTCGTTTGAACATTAAAGTTTTTCCTCCTGTTGTACTGGAATAACAGGCCACCCAAACTAGTTTCATCAATAGCGATTACAAGCATGGTTAGGATTAACACAGTATAAATAAACAGTACATCATTTATAAATCATTCATCGAACTCAATCCTTATTTATTTCAGCGGCGTACGGCCTTTTGGTGTATCTCTTTTAATAGCGGGCTGGGACGAAGATAGGCCGTATCTTTTCCAGTGCGACCCATCGGTAGGTTTTGAGTATAAATTCATCGTCGCGACCACACAAAGACGAGCGGTGCAAACATGGCTCGTTCAAAATTTGAAAGTTCTTCAAATTCGTAGTTTACTGTAAGCTCGGCGCGGCGCATCAGTAGTCATAAAGTTCATTCGGGCGCCTTGACTGGGTGATGCTGGTGGTTAATATAAGATTACGATTTAATATAGGGAGCATACTTCGCTTGGAAGGCAACAGCTATGGGTAAAAACCATTTGAATGGAAGAACCTTCCTGGAAAAACGGTAATGTAAAACTGTTTTCTGTGTGGATTCGTTTAAAATGCCTTTCACTTCCACCACCCTTATTAGAATAAACATGGTCTCTAATTTTCTCTCTCTCTCTCTGAGAGCAGAGAACTGAGAGGCGAAACATATTTCTTGTAAAACATATATTATAAACATTTCTTGACTTGGCGCTTGAGATTTCTTGATTACTTGAATTCACACGGCAGAGTTGCAAAAAAGCTGCGGGTACGCGGGTACCACCCGGAGGAAGGTTTGCTTTGAATGAGGTTTGTGAGGAAGGTTCAAAGCTGAATGCTCTAATTGATCACATGCGTGTAACAAAATACCGAATATTTCTTTATGCTGGTTGCCGGTTGCTTCAAAACTTGAAATCCTACCGGAGGAAGGTTGAAATCTTTTTGCAACTCTGTCACACGGACCAATGTGGCGAGCCTTCTTACTGATGTAAAGGAGCGAACTAGTGTCTTATGATGGTGTAAGTAAATTAGCTTGTAGGTACACCACGTACATAAGTATTTAATACTGCAAAGCTTTCGGTCCGTTAACCTTGGCCTTCATCAGTGCAAATGATGAAAGCCCGGGTTAACGGACCGAAAGCTTTGCAGTATTAAATACTTGCGAGGTGTACCTAAGTACAAACTAATTTACTTATGTTTATGACTTTGATATACCACCATGCATGGAAAATACCTTTGACATTTCATTGTATGCATTTCCAGGTATAATGATGAATTGGAGTTAGAAGATGCAATACATACGGCTATATTAACACTAAAGGTAAAAGAGATTCTTCTATGAAATCAGTTGTGAATCAGTGAAGTTTCACCCTTCAGGATCTAATGTATTCGTTTCTGTAGACTCGGCATTTCAGTTCAAATCACTGTCTTTAGGGAAGGGTTGAAACTTATATAGATCTATGATATAGCTAATATGGAACGGATTTGTATATCAAATAGTCACTCTTAAATGCAGCTACCTGGACAATCAAACCCACAGTGGTTTTCTTCCCTTGCTTGCCGTGTCAGGAATGCACCTTTTCCGTGCAACGTGTTAGCAGAACACAGTCCCTGGAACTATCACAAAGAGTACACTAAACTGGATATATATACAAAGAAGTATCCTCACATCAAATGACGAGAAATGTGGTTATAACATGCAACTGCCTATATAAAAAAGTCAAAGGTTCGACTCAAGGGCCTTCGTCAGGAGATTTATTTCAAGTGTTCCATTGGGATTGGATTGTTAATCCCCGAAACTGCCGAATATTAGTTCATAGTCCATAATTCATAAAGTATCCGAGCATTGGGATTATCGAGCTTGAATTTGCAGAGGATCACAATCAACCAATGCAAAGCTCTCGCATTAATGAGCTGGGTCGACCAATGGTATCCCACGCTATTTAGCCAATCATGAGCGCGATCAATTGTTCGTAGTTAAGCCAATCAGAGATTGGGTAAATACGTTTATAAAGCAACGCGCCAACTTCGAAAGTATACATTTCACGCATTCAGCTGGATACAGGCAAGACAACACAAGATCGAAGAAATTTTCAGAAGAAATGGCTCGTACAAAGCAAACCGCTCGCAAGTCAACCGGTGGAAAAGCTCCAAGAAAGACCTTGGCTACGAAAGCTGCTCGTAAAAGCGCCCCAGCAACTGGTGGTGTAAAGAAACCTCACAGATACAGGCCGGGAACTGTCGCTCTGCGTGAAATCCGTCGTTATCAGAAATCCACCGAGCTTCTGATTCGCAAGCTGCCATTTCAGCGTTTAGTTCGTGAAATTGCACAAGATTTCAAGACCGACCTTCGCTTCCAAAGCTCTGCCGTAATGGCGTTACAAGAAGCAAGCGAAGCCTACCTTGTTGGTCTGTTTGAAGACACAAATTTGTGTGCCATTCACGCTAAGCGAGTCACCATCATGCCAAAAGATATCCAGTTGGCACGACGAATCCGTGGCGAACGAGCTTAAATCAAAGCTACACAAACTTAATCAAACAACGGCTCTTTTCAGAGCCAACAAATCTTCCAAAAGAAGTAAACGAAGTCGATATAATTCCACACAATTCTACATATCGCCACGACAATTTGTTAATTATAGTGGCCCTAAGCCCAGCTTTTTACTTCTTTGCAACTCCCTGTGCTATTCCTGTGAAAGCAGAAACAGCGGAAGCCTATTCAAAATTGAAGTAGCCTTTGTAATCTCCAAAGTTCTGTAAAATGCAGTGCAAATGCTAAGCAAGCAATTCGTTCTTCAAATTTTCGTCAATAACAATTCACAGCTTTTGTTCAAGCGTGTTTCCGCGCAGTACGCCTACAATGTCGCCCGCCCACGCTTGAAGATTGATTTCGCCTTGTGAAAAAGTCAATATGGGCACTATCAAATTGAGTAGCTAATGGTATATAAATTTTAACTTTCTTTCCAAAAGTTTTTTGTTTCTTTCTTATTGCTAATCCCCAAAGGGGGATAGCTATTTATGCAAGTAACTTCTGGCAGCCTGGGCTTTGTGTACCTCTAAATGGGGGCTTTATTTCTTGCCTTACACGTTACAATACCGAAACTACCTAGGTGTTTCGCACGACACGATCGTACTTATGACAATGTTGATTGTCAACAATGACAATGCTGTAAATGCAAAGATGAGGTATTGATGTAGAAGATATGAAACAGAGTGTAGAGTTGACCAATACAGATGTAAAGTTTTTAAAATAGTAATCTTTGTAACCTTTGCAATGATCCTAGTAATTTTTTAAAACGTTGCCATTATTAGTTGAGTGTCGTGACTTACATGTCAAGTTGGCTGATGTGATAGCCATAACATTTCTCCTTGGCAGTTAACAATGACCTGTTTGAATGCAAAAATTAATACAAATTTATATAAATAAACGTGAACCGAAGCCCTGAGTTCGGGTTGGCACGTGAGAATTTCTAACTGCATGGATTGTAATTAGCTCTCTTGATTTTTTCAGGAAAGTTTTGAAGGTCAGATGAACGAAGAAAATATTGAAGTTGGCATATGTACCGCGTCAGGATTCCGTCGTCTACCGCCTGCCGAAGTTAAAGATTATCTAGCTTCAGTGCTGTAGTATCAGTGACTATAGGTGTTCATTCTACAATACTTTCTATACTGTTTTTGTTATGATATACCGAAATTATAGTAAATAGACCCGACGTCCTGTTCCCAGTCTTCTCTTTTAAGAAAAATCAAAGTTGCTTGTAAATAGGCGCGCGTGAATATGCCTCTGCCGCAGGTCCCTCAGTTTGAATTAACCAGGGGCCGGTTGTTCGAAAGGCGTTTAGCTTAAACGGTGGATAAGCCAAAGTATAAAAATACGCTCATAGATCTTGTAAATGACTGAACTTGCATCTTATGCGTTTAATTTGTACTTCTATTGAAAATTAAACTTTTTACATCAAAATATTTCAGCTCGGTTGTTCAATAATAATAATTTTGTTTTCCATTTTTAACTTATCCACCGTTCCAAGTTAAACGCCTTTCGAAAAACCGGCCCCAGACGCTTATTACTCACTCGCTCATCGCAAAAAACTAATCTCGTCCAATCACAATGCTGGACAGTTTATTTTAATTAGATCATAGTCCTGTTTAGCAAGCAAACCAGCAAGAGTAAGACTTATCAGCTGGCATAATTTACTTAAATTAATATTATCCTTTTGATTATCTTTAATGGCATAAAACACGGAGGGTAACCAAGTTAGACCTCTGGGGCCGGTTGTAATATCAAGCCCGTTTAGCTTAAATGGTGGTTAAGTTCAAAATAGAAAGCAGGTTTATCGTTTTATTTAACAAGCGAACTAAATGTTTTTGACTTTAATACAAAGATACTGTTTACAACTACATATTCAGTGCATAGAATTCAAGTTGACTCATTCAAGAGAGATGTAAGAGTGTTATTTAATTTTGTAAGCGAAACGGGCTTGATACAACCGGCCCCTGATATATACGAGACCTCTTATATGTATATACCACTGAGCTATATAATAATTCCTGGAGGACCGGTTCGTCATTTTTCGGTAACTTCGCCGCCATCTTTTTGCACAAAAAAACATGGCGGATTTTGCCTTCTGCGCACTGCGCAGAAGTTTTGCTGACGCCATATGGTCCCCTTTGCCCAGGGTAATTACCACTGACCAGGCTCAAATCTGAGCCCGCTACGAGAGATGCTCCCCCCTGGTTTATCTAAACAACAGTATTTCCCCCCTGGTTTTTTATGAATATTTTTTTTGCCGTGAAACATGAATTGGAAACCTTGCTGTTTTGTATTTTTCGATTTATTTTTGTGCTACAAAGCGTTGCAATAAGGCGTTTATTTCAGTTCTATACAATCGTGGACGCTGTTTTGCGAATGCCAGAGAAAATATTAATATTAAAACGTAAAAAAAAATTGTGGACGAAGGATTTTTATATACGATTAGCTGACAGGTTATTTTATTTATTTATTTATTTTCATTATTCATACATTTCTGTATAAAATTTTTGAAAATACTTGAATATTTTTCGAGTCTTGTCAGAAATTTGGATTATCTTTCGGATATCAATCGCCGACTAAAGGTTACCGGCAGAAAATATGTTGTTATGTGATGTTTTCCTTAGAACATCATGCTTATGCATATCAGCCCATAACTCAAGGAAAAAAAGGCCAAACCTCATGCAAGATGCTGGGCAGCTGATTATATAGTAATAGTACTTCAAGTCATTTGCATAGGATATTTTCATTCAGGTCATTATAGCTAGCCTAAGTTACCCCTATCTTACTGTATCCCAAGTAATGCATTTTCCAATCATAATCATATTCCAGATAATGCAAGGAAAGGCTATGGTAAATAACAAAAATTTTATTATAGTACCAACTACCAAGAAGAATATGGTACTAGTTGTGCTATTCAACAAATGTCTCATGAATTCATGAAAATGCAACTGAGCCTATTCATTCCTCCATTAGTCTATAATCTATTAACCTTCAATTCCTGATTAGCCCCATGATAATATTCCTTTGAATGGTGGGGAGGGTAAAACTGTCCAGAAGTTGCTGCAAATTGAAAACAAACTGCTCAGTCAATGCATGTCTGTATAAATTTATTTTCCATTTAAATAACTATCTTAACTATGACTAACAAAGTCAACATGGTAAAATTAACAGTTTAATGTTCCAGTAATTTGCAAAAAAGCCATCCCCAAATTCAATAGCATCTTCATCCTAAAAAAGAGAGATCAGACCAAGTTTAACTGTACTCAATAAAGTACACCCAGAGGACAGAGCCAGAGGGGAATAAAAACCATTGCAAACTGATTAACAATCAAGCTTGTAGCTTGATCAACAAGGTGCAAGATGCCAAGAAGTCTATTAAGCCATGATTATTGACTTTGCATTTGACAAGGCAAACAAGATAACATACTAGACTTTTAACAACCACTGTTGAAATCTGACAGTAAAATATTTTGTATCAGCACTCACACAGTCATCATGTTTAATGTTTTAAATTCATCTAAAGGATCAATAGAGAGACTAATAGATTCACTGGGAGGATTGAATATTGATTCATCTTAATTGTTTGGCTGAAAATACTCATGAGTTGGCATTAAATATGAGTGAAAGCTCCAGTGCAAATGCCATAAGAGTTCTATTCAAAAGCCAAAACTGGCAAGACATAGCCAAAACTCAAAAGATCAGTTATTGATCCTTTTTCATAAAGTATAGTTTTTCATAGCGTAACTAAGTCATGTACCATTGATCAAAAAGGCTGCACTCTGCAGCATATTTGCCGTTTTTAACATTAATTTCAAAAGAAATAAACTGCAACAGACGCTTTGGTAGTTGTCTATACCAAAGGCGAAAAACGAAAATGTTGTGAAAACCGGCTTACCTGAGGTAAAAATTGATATCCCGATAGGTGAATTAGGCCATTCACAGCATCATATGTAGAGCGAAAAATCACTTCTCCATTTAACTTGTTGAACAGGGAAAAAGAGTCTTTTTAGATGAAACGCGGAGAAAATATATGCCGAAAACAATACCGAAAACCAAAAATATTTTCATAAAAATCGGGAGGGTGATGGACACGTTTTTGACTTTGTATCGCGGTATGTCAGTGGTAATTACCATGGGCAAAGGGGACCATGTGGCGTCAGCAAAGCTGAAAATCCGCCATCTTTTTCGTTACACTTTTTGGTGGCGAGCCGGTCCTCCAGGAATTATTATATAGCTCAGTGGTATATACTCGACGTTCTAGTACTTTTTATATAATCGCGGGCTCGGCCAAGATTGCAACTGATGGATGGAAGTTGGAACCACTGAGCTATATAATATAGCTCAGTGGTTGGAACAGTTTGGTCATTTCCGTTTTCTCTTTCGAATATCTTGCGATATTTATTCCCACGTTGCATAAGCTGTACTGGCGTTGCATGCTGAGATTTCTCAGGCTAGCGAGCAATCCATCTCTCTTTAACGTCAGAAGTGTTTCGACAGCATCACGTCTTTGCCACGGGACGATTTTACCAAGGAAAACTACCACACAGAATTTCCCTGCGTTGACTAGAATGTCTTCTACTGAGAATGGTGCAACAATTGGGTAATGTACAATTATCGACACCAAAATCAATATGTGGTATTTGAAGTATTCGATTTTTATAATAATCCAGGGTGCCTAATTCTGCTTAATTTGCTACTTGGTCATTTGATGAAGTGAAAGAAAAAGTATAGTTAATTTTTAGACTAATCTCATCGATTTAGAAGTTAGAACAGAGCAGAATTCGATAAATTATGTTAGGACTGGGAGAACTTTATATTTAAATATGTTGATAATTAGTATAATATTCGCCTGGAATGCATCTCATAAACGTATACAAATCCGGCAGTTAGATCTAGAACTTGCATAGCATTCTGAAAATATGCTTTTGCTGTGTTCAATGAAATCACAGTCATTTATAGAATGAATAACTGTAATGTTCCAAGAAATCTTATTGTTTCAATGAAGCCTTTGTGGTATTTTAATCTAAATTAGTATTACGTTCAGTAATATAAAAGAGTAATGATTTTGGTAAATAGTATAGGTGTTTATTGTTTGCATTGGATAATTAAGATTTGTTGAAATTACTGTAATGTATTAAAGACAAGCATTGACCAGTTTATGGGAAAGAAAGGAAAGTCTTGGGATGAATAAACAAGAAACAATTTGTTAATTCAGCAGTTTTAGGACCAAAAGTAAAGTGTAATTGCAAATATTGACCCTTTTGACTGATATTGAGTCATATGCATCTACATACTGTACTTTATAAGTGAAAAAAATCCCTGTTACCAGATTTAAAGTGAAAGTATTGTGAACACCTATTAGTTATTACCTGTCATTATGTAAATGTTATAATAAATTCAAAACATAAAACAAATGCAAATCAGTTGGGGAAATAAATATTCATGTTTACTGGCCTAGCTTGAAAAATTGCAAAACAGAAAAGAAATTTGAACTTTGGACAATTATTTTATCAGCTTCTATAATCTGCTTTCCCACTACAATCTGTACCTGTTTTTTATACTAATGTGTCTACAATATTTGGAATCTCTAAACATGTAAACTCTTTGATTTCTTTTGCTTTAGCCCTGATGGTCAACCATTATCCAAAAGTGCATTGAAGAAACTGGAAAAGGAAAAAGAGAAGGCAAGAAAAAAAGCAGAAAGGCAGGCCCAACAGGTGCATACCAATATTCTAGAGGGGTTAATTAGATAATATACAATACAATACTCAACTGAGTTCCGATTAATTATCTTAGAGAATGTTCTTTCATTCACCCCAATTCATTAAGTGAAATAAAACATTGAATGAAATGAAGTGTAATAAGCTGTACAGTCACTATGTTAATGCATTGATTTCATTCACTGGAAAAAAATTTTTCTGGGTGTCATTCTTATAATTAGAATACTTAATAAAAGAACACTTGGGTACATACACTGTAAGCACTAACCACCCAGCAATAAAATTTGTTTCATTGCAAATTTCAAAACTATAAATTTCAAACTATGTTACCTTGATTTTAGGCTGAACAGGCTGAAGCAAATGAAGCCGAGGTAATTATTAATTACTAATGTCATAAACTTAAAAATATAATGCCTTTTAAATGCAAGACCCACATTTATAAATCTTACATAGAATATAGTGAGGAGCTATTAATTTTCTATTATAAGCATTTTATTAACATGCAGTAAATTTTAGGACGTCTCTAAAGATTGCTATGGGAATTTACCTTTGAATCAATCTCATGAAAGGACAGGTACAGTGTATATCTATGCTAAATAATAGGGTCAATTATGGTCTCAGTAGACTTACTTACTTATAATACAGTCAAACACAGATTGCATATGTTAGTGACTAACTTTGTCAATATTTGTAGAACGAGTTTGGACAAAGGTGAAAGATCTCCTCCCAGAGAAAGCTGGTGAAAGAGTATTAGTCCGTGGTCGTCTGCATACATCTAGGGGGACTGGTAAGAAATGTTTTGCACTAAGTCCTTAAGGATAACTAAGCATGAATGTTTCATTCAATAATTTGAAAATACTACATCAAGTTTGCTATAGTATAGCCCTTGTGTTTCTCAAAAGAAATCAAAATGCATTTTCCCGGGGAGGGGAGGGGGGGGGTTGGGATATTATAAATGTAACTTATTTATAACAGATTAGAGAAAAATTACCTTCATGTAGTATCAATTTTACACTGACATAAGAATACTTTCTGTTTTAGGAAAGCAATGTTTTGTTATTCTACGGGAGAGGCAATTTACTGTTCAAGCCATCTGTGCAGTCAGCGAGACTATTAGTAGACAGATGGTAAAATTTACGGCAAAGTAAGTTTTATATTAATTTGAATAAAACACTGTATATATATATAGATATATATACATCTATATTTAGTATATGATATAATGCTTTTATTTAATTCACATCCAATAGCCATGTAGTACTTAAAAGCGAGCAATTGTTGAGGACCCCGTTTTTGTACAGTGCTAAATTTGATTTTCACTTTCACCTCGATGACAGGGGCTATATATCTAGATTAGGAAACATTTAAGTTTCTCACTACATTAAACGAACTTAATAAAGTTACTGTGATTAAACCATTTCTGATGGACCGATTCAACACTTCCCGCGTTTTGAATTCTGTATAATGTATACCATATAACAAATTGAATTATATCTTATTATAGTGTCAGTAAAGAATCGATCGTCGATGTAGAAGGGGTAGTTCAAAAACCCGACCAGAAAATTCAGTCTTGTTCCCAATCTGATGTGGAAATTGTTGTTGCTAAGGTATTGTGGGCGTTAAACACTCTCAAAAAAATACACACTGTGTTCGTTTTCGGTCTGCATCAATGTCTTGTATCCCTAAACCAATCGGTCATAAATTCATCATACGTTATAAAGATCTATAGACTATATTCTATAAGGCCGTCCCTGGCCACTTAATATGAGGGGTGTATATTCAAACACATCGCTTCGAAATGACTGAAATTGGTCACGGTCCACGAACGGGTAATACGTCCAGACATAATTAATTTCAAGTTTCGGTACACTTAACTTCACGTGTTGTCCTTGAGTGCCGTGTGTCCTTGAGAACCTACGTGTTGTCTTGGAAATGAGATGTTTATCAAACTAGCAGGTGCCTTGATGGACTTTAGACCCACTAATATCTAAAAGGGCCCATACGAAAATCTATAAAGTTAGCCGTTTTGTGCAATTGTTATATTTCAGGCGGGTGCATGAGAAGGTGTAGAATTCAAAATGTCGCGCCAGTCGCGGTGTAATCCGATGACGTTTACAGCGGTTTCTTTGATTGATCTCAACCGCTGACTCTCACCGTAATTTTATGTTCCCGACCGTGGGACGTCACCGTCACCCTGACGTGAAACGTACGTAGCACCTGTCGCGGAGCGACGTAAGCGACGCAAACAGTATACTTCTACTGTTTATGTAAAATGGATATACCCTTCAATTTCATCTCTTTATATAACAACATAAGTTTATATAACAACGCCAGCCTATAGTTACAATAGGGCATGGGTATGGTTATGTGCATACGAATTTTAAAAGGGAATGTACTCCTAATTTCACGGCATATTATCCAACGTGTGCATGTGCATGTCGATATTAATTTTTTCGATAAGCCCATGAATTTGTTGCATGCTTTGACTATTTGTTTTAATTCGTTTATTTTTTCCTATATTTGCGTTCATTACTTAGGCGCGCCCACAATTTTGAATTGCCAAAATCCAGTACAAAATTATTCAGCAAGATAAATACCGTATATCAGTATAATGACCCGATCATGCATGTACGCGTTTTTGTTTTACACGGATAAAACAAAGACTCACAATTGTCGAACATGTTGTACAGTCCTTGCGCAAAAATTGATGCCTTGACTTTAATGAAATTACTCTTTCGAGCATTTATAAATTGACATGCGGGTGGCAGAGTGGAAACAGCTGCTGATTGATGCTCAAGGTTCCTTTATAAGGGCAAAACGTCATAACCATTCATATATTGCTTTTAAACCTTTTACCGACACAGCAGGAAGACAAAAACTTTTGCTAACTGGCAACAGCCTTTACTTTTAATGATCTGTTGTGTGTGTGGAAATATATTCGTCGATTGTAAGATTTTTCCTCGCGTTGTCGATTTCACTGCCTGGTGCAGTTGGTTGAGAGGATGTTCATTTGTAAATAAGTTGAAAGAATCGGTCGATTTCTGTCGCCGTTTTTCATAAACTATAAAGCAACTGCAGCAAATATACTAAAGACGTCATTATAAACGTAGAAAATTTAACCGGTAGTCTTTGAAAATCGTTTTTAGAGATCGTATTTTGAAGTCTCGTTGTAAATGACCTTCAGCCGACATCTTATATATACAGTGTAATTTTTTCACAATTTTCTTAATTAAGAGAGGCACAATTTATATGCATTATAATTAATGCCTTTAACGAACATGGAAGAAAAGTCCAGCCTGCTTGCATGAACAAGAAACAAAATTTACATACTGTGTGAATTTAACTTGATATACTGAAACGGGAACGATTTGAATTGCATCGAAATTATTGTAGCTATAAAGCGGTGTTGGAATTTTGCGAAGAATTTCTAAAGAACGGTTCAAAAAAGAAAAGGCGGTCTCGTATTTGGCACGAGTCTAGTTAAACGTCCAGATATACATCGTAAAAAGGGACTGGACTAAAGTAGTCTTGCTAAAAAATTCATGTCTGAACTGAACACTACAATTGCAGGTGAAGTAAAACGGTGTAACATTTTCTTTGCAACCGTTTACTGGACACTGCCATCGACTGGCGTTCATCTTTACAACAATATAACACTCATTGTGGTAAGCTTGGTAGTTTCTCTTTCTGGAATCATCGCAAATGTTCTTGTTGTAATCTGCTACGTGAAGAACCCTCGTTTACGCACATTGTCCAATATTCCGCTACTTTCGCTGGCTTTCAGCGATTTGCTTGTGAGCGCCGTAGTACTGCCCCTTTGTGTGGCCAAGTTTATTGAGGAGATATACGGTATACGTAATTGTATTCTATGGGCTTCCAAGGGGCTTGCGACGTATTTCTCAATTGGAGTTTCGCTGTTGTCCGTAATTGTTATAAGCGCTGAACGTTTCATCACATTGGCGTATCCTTACCGGTATCAGGCGATTCTGACAAAGATTCGCATGAACATGGCTGTTGCTGCAGTTTGGATTGTGATTTTTGTTGTGGTAATTTCAAATATAATTGGCTTGATACCTTTTGACGTTCTTCAAGCAATTGCCACTTCGATTACAGGGCTATGTATTTTCTTTATGCTTATAGTTTGGATCTGGGTTTACAAGCTGCTTAAAAACCATGTAAGAAAGATCAACACAAGCCATAGCCCATCGGCCGTATCGAAGCCGGAGACCTCGCAACAGCAATCATACAGAAACACCCGTGCTAGTGGTGTCATTGTCTTCGGTCTTATAATCTCCTATATTCCCTCCGTTGTCATGCTAGTTTACTTCTGGACCGAACCGGAAAGCTTTACGGGAATCTTTCTTGTCTCTCCTTGGGGTGAAACGCTTCTCCTCTCGCATTCTTTGTTCAACCCACTGTACGTGTTTTGGAGGAAATCCACATTTAGGCTAACCGCTGTTAGTTTTATTCGTCGATGGACGACTCCAGGTGTAGAATAAGTTTTGATTTGGCGCAGAATACGTATAATATCAAAAATGTAAGGGCTGCATGCGTAAGTCATAAGAACTTAATTTTCAGCATATTTTAGTCTGCGTTTGTTGACCTAGAAGTTGAAAGATATAGTGTGGAAAAAATAAGTGGAAAACAGCTTTAACTATAGAAATGGTTTTCCTGTCCTAAAATTTTGTTAAATCCCTAAATTTAACGTCATGCATGCACACGCTTTCGCACTTTGCTGGATTGATGATTGCTGTTTTTGGATATTTTATCATTTTTAGAGTATTTTTAGTAATTTGTTGACTATATATGCAATATATTAATACATTTATTGTCAAAATTAGATAACTCCCCTTCTAGCGTAAAAAAACCCCGCAATGCGTGCCTTACACGCGTCACGTAGGAATCTGTCAGATCGAAACTGATCGAAGGCATGCGTGGTCTCTACGCAGTGAGAAAAGTGCCCGTGAAGTGCGAAAATAATGCTTGTGACAGACACTTCATAATAATAATAGTAATGTCGGTGTGCAGTAAGCACGTGTCCGTCTTCGATTGGTTTCTTTGATTGGTCTCAACCGCTGACTCTCGTCGTAATTTTATAGTTCTGACTTTGAGCCTGCGATCATGGTATGTTATTATAACGTTAAACCATAGACTATCGAAGGGGAAATACTACGAAACGAAGACTATCCCTTCGATAGTCGATGGTAAAACTTAGCACCTGTCGCAGAGCGAGGTGAGTTACGCGAACAGTATATTTTTATTGATATAACCTGCAATTATATAGAGAATAGTATACGCGGTATCATTCTCAGCACGAGAAAAAAATTCCGTATTTCCAAGCATCCGTGTATTTTTGTTTTATTATATAATAAAAAATTGTTTTTTGAGAATTTTCTAACCCCTCAGGGCGCTTATACCTGCTTCCTGATTAGTGGATCAAACACGATAATCGCACAGTGGTATTATTGCTTTTCACAATGGCGGATTTGCCAATAAAACACTGCATATTCTATAATAAACGTGTTTTTATCTAACAACGCCGGCCCATAGTCATAGAAGTAAGAATATGATGCGGTAGTACATTAATAGCATGGCACTGTAAGGCAGAATTTCTAATTTCAAAGTAGCCATATGACAATACATGTGTCGCAATATTATTTTTCTAAATTATATTTATTGCTTTTGTCGACTTGTTTTGTTTTTTTGCCTATTTGCGTTGATCAGTCGCCGGCGTCAGACAAATTGCCATAATGGAGAACAATTAATCAGCAAGATATATATTGTGTTTAGCTCCGTCTTTTTTAACGATCATACAGATTTTCAAGTGAGAAAAAGTTACAAAAATACCGCGCCAATCAAAGTGATTTTTGGTCGAAAAGTTTCATTATTTCACTTATTGGAAAATTGCAAGTTGGTCGTTTATTATATAATTGTGTGTCTACTGTCTTAAATTTGATCAACTTAAGTAAACATTTAGATTTTGACCTGAAAGTGTTTGATAACATGAGCTGTCTTCTTATACACGCGGAAAAACAAAATATTGTCACTGGTATATTCTTTAAATTGTCGAACGTGTTTTACTGCCTCTTCGCGAAAATCCTTCGCCTTGAAAATGATTTTGAACACTTAAATTAACACGCAGGTGGCAAAGTGGAAACAGCTGGTGTTAAATTAATATTTTTAAAGTTTCTTGGTTGCAAAAGCGTCATAAATATGCATGCATGCATATTGCTTTTAAACTTTTTATCGACAAGAGGGAAGACGGCCAACTGCATGTGTGCCAACTCACAACAGTTTTCCTTTAAATATTATGTTGTGTGTAGAAACTCGTCGATTGAGTCTGTGATATTGAGTGAGTGATGATGAGTCGGTGAGGACGTCATTGACATTGTAATTGTAAACGTTGAAGTACTGTAGTTTTTGCATAAAATCGTCGAGGTTTACCTTGTACATCATTTCACCGAATTTCGAATGTCGATGTAAAATATTTTCAGCCGACAACTTTACAGTAACAGTGTTATTTATTTCGGAACTCGTGATTTAACGATAGAAGAAGAGTCCAGCTTACTTGTAGAAATGAAAAACAGAAAAACTGTGTGCGAAATTTAACTTGATATACTGAGGCGGGACCGATTTGAATTGGATCGAAGTTATCGTAAATCTTGCTAGAAATTCATGGCTGAACTGAACACTACGATTGCGGGTGAAGTAAAACGGTGCAACATTTCCTTCGTAACCTTTTACTGGACACTGCCAGCAACCGGCGTTCATCTTTACACCAATATAGCACTCATAGCTATTTGCTTGTTAGTGTCTCTTTTTGGAATCATCGCAAATGTTTTTGTTGTAATCTGCTACGTGAAGAACCCTCGTGTACGCACGTTGTCCAATATCCCGCTACTTTCGGTGGCTTTCAGCGATTTGCTGGTGAGCGCCGTAGTACTGCCCCTCCTCGTGGCAAAGTTTATCAAGGAGATATACGGTACACGTAATTGTATTTTATGGGCTTCCAAGGGGCTTGCGACGTATTTCTTATTTGGGGTTTCGCTGTTGTCCGTAACTGTTATAAGCGCTGAACGCTTCATCACTTTGGCGTATCCTTACCAGTATCAAGCGATTCTGACAAAGATTCGCATGAACGTGGTTGTTGCAGCAGTTTGGATTGCGACCTTTGTTGTGGTAATTTCGAACATTGGCTTGATATCGTTCAAGGTTCTTCAGGCAATTGCCACCTTGACTATAGGGCTATGTATTTTCTTCATTCTTGTAAGTTGGATCTGGGTTTACAAGCTGCTTAAAACCCATGTAAGAAAGATCAACACAAACCATAGGCCATCGGTCGTATCGAAGCCGGAGACCTCGCAACGGCAATCATACAGAAACACTGGTGCTAGTGGTGTCATTGTCTTTGGTCTTATAATCTCCTATATTCCCTCCGTTGTCATGCTTGTTTACTTCTGGACCGAACCGGAAAGCTTCACGGGAATCTATCTTGTGTCTCCTTGGGGTGAAACGTTTCTCCTCTCGCATTCATTGTTCAACCCACTGTACGTATTTTGGAGGAAATCCGCCTTCAGGGAAACCGCTGCAAGTTTTATTCGTCGATTTACATGCCACGCACGACAGATCGACGGACGAATAAGTATTGATTTGAGCAAGAATAGCATGCAAACTCAATCACTAGCTGCAGTTATATAAAAGAAGAACACTGTGAAGTTTTGTAAGGAAGTGTTGTAAAATGGCATGCAGTGACTAAAATATATAGCTTTGCGAATTTTGTAAACGGTTGTATTACAATCCACTTGATATAACTGATGTTATATAATGTTTTAACTTCGTTGTTTACTTTACAAATTTTTTTGCAATTTTGTTTTGCTCTATATAGCACACGGGTGATTGATTTGCCCAGCGTTAATATTCTTTGACACGTTATAGATTGTGCTACCAGGCTACCCTTCCAAGCTGTCCGCTTGTAGCAGACCGACCTGCTATCATTTACTGCATGTCACGCAAGGTGTCGCGCCAATTATCCAAAAAACGGTGTCAAAAGTTTTTGGGTTTTTTCAGGTGTTTTGTATTAGTCAAGCATTTCCAAGATTGCCCCTTCAAATCGAAGATGCATCTCGACCTGAGTCTGAAGAGGTATAAGTCATGAATATCGTGGGTTTATTCTCTCAATTATTCCAGCTACAATTATATACCGTCCACCTTGATTTTGAAATTAATTCCCCATTGCTTCACAATGTTTAGTATATGACAGTTTCATCACAATGTTTAGTATATTACAGTTTATCGCAATGCTTAGTATATGACAGTTTATCACAATGTTTATATGACAGTTTCATCACAATGTTTAGTATATGACAGTTTATCACAATGTTTAGTATATGACAGTTTCATCACAATGTTTATATGACAGTTTCATCACAATGTTTAGTATATGACAGTTTCATCACAATGTTTAGTATATAAAAGTTTCATCACAATGTTTAGTATATGACAGTTTCATCACAATGTTTAGTATATAAAAGTTTCATCACAATGTTTAGTATATGACAGTTTATCGCAATGTTTAGTATATGACAGTTTCATCACAATGTTTAGTATATAAAAGTTTCATCACAATGTTTAGTATATAAAAGTTTCATCACAATGTTTAGTATATGACAGTTTCACAATGTTTAGTGTATGAAAATTGCAATCATTTACACTCCACATGCCCCCACTCAAACTCAAGTTTTTATACAAACATTATTCCGATTAAACTACTATTTTCATAGTTTTGTTGGGAAAGTTTACTTATATACATCGACTATCAAAAAACGCGACTTTTTTATAGGCACCACAGGACTTTCTATGCGATGTAACCTTAAGCATTGTTTCCTCTGACCCTTTCATCTATGCATGCTTTCATGTATGCCAAATTTGTGTTCTTGAAACATTGGGTAACGAACTGTTTTAGGAATCTGGACTGGCCACTGTTGGTCAAGACGTAAAGTTGGATTATCGATATATTGATTTGCGGGTAGGTGACAACATGTTTGTACGATATATATAATATAGTTACATGTACAATAATTTACAATTCAATTTACAGTCTCCTGATTGGCCGTCACACTGTTTCCGTAAAGGACGTCGCGAATATCGTCACTAGAAAATCGTATAATCACATTGCATATTTGTTATATTACAGACTACAACTAATCAAGCTCTCTTCCGAATTGAAGCTGGTGTTTGTCGATTTTTCCGCGATTACCTGACATCTCAAGGCTTTGTCGAAATTCACACGCCAAAAATTATCTCAGGTAATTAGATCGCGTACTAACAATTCTTCAAAAGCGCTGTTTTGCAATGGTGGGCTTTAGACGAATAGGGCTGTTAGTGAAGTTACAGCGTTCTCATGCACTTCTAAATAACTTTCCTTAAGGCCCGATTACACACTTGCACTTTTAGGTGCAATTTTAGGTGCAATTTTATGTGCGATTTTCTTCTTTTAGTAGATGTGAACGAGTGACTTGTTACGAATGCTCTGATGTATAAGAGTTCTTACTTGAACATCCGTAACTAATTCAATCGTTCACATCTGTCAAAAGAAGAAAATCGCACATAAAATCTGAGCAAAAATCGCAAGTGTAAACAGGCCTTCAGAAAAGCTTGACTCTATATCAAGGGGAGAGAGGAATATTTTTTCTCTATCTTTTTCTTCTTTGTCTCAGCTTATTCAAAGCATCCTTCCCCGCGGTAAAGAATATGCATATTAAAATTGTGAGAGCCCTGGTGAAGTATATGTGTCAAGGCTGTTATCTTTTTTATTCGACTTTCGTCTTGCAAAATTTATCCTATATATATAAATAAAAGAAAATGGCGGCCAAATACTTGCTTTTTTAGTATAAACAACCAGACTAAAAGTGTAAAATTATGTATGTATTCAAAATGAACGTAATCTTTAACATTCAAAGGTGTATTTGGATAAAACTTTTCGTTGGTCATATTGATTAAAATACAGCTCCAGTATAATACTGATTTGAGTTTTGTTGTTTTAGCCGCTAGCGAAGGAGGAGCCAACGTTTTCAAAGTTAGTTACTTCAAAGGTAAATATTTTATTCTTGTTTACAAGATATGGACTACGTGCGGAAAACGTGTGTACTGCGCCTAAGTTTTCTTAGGAATCGCCTGAATACTGCTTATGCGGCGGCCGTGACGGGCCTGGAAAACAAAGCGCGCATCGCTCGCGCGGGCGAAACGGATATAATAGGACCTCTTTTCCTTGCTTTTGACAATAGGAAGTGCCTATCTGGCCCAGTCTCCGCAGCTGTACAAACAAATTGCAATTAGTGGTGACTTTGGCAAGGTTTTCACCATCGGAGGAGGTAAAGTGAAGTAATTCTGATATTTACTGTTAGCTTATATTATATAGCGGCTTACATAATATATAAGCATGGAACATTTATTATTTTTACCTATTCCAAAAAGCAAGCTTTCACATTGCATAATTCTCAGCTGAGATACAATATTCAGTTTAATCATACATCATGTATTTAACTAGAACTATGGAACTTATCTCTCTTGGTTTGTACCATGCAGCCATGTATAATTTGTTTAAAATTAATGCAGAAATGAAACAGCAAGGAAATATTCACCGAGAAATATTTGTAAAATGCTGATGTTTGTACAGTTAGCTTGTCCGGGTTTTTTCCGTGTTGATTGATACTTTTTTTAATGATCAGTTTTTAGAGCTGAAGATAGCAATACCCACCGACATTTAACAGAGTTTGTTGGTATGGATATTGAGATGGCCTTTTACGAGCATTATCACGAGGTAAGTATAAAAATTCTCGCACGCAATGGAGAATTCTGTATGACTGGTCCTTATGCGGTCAGTGACCCGCAGTGCCGGACCGTTGAGTTTTGGCGGAGAAAATTTCAAATTTGGCATGAAAATTGAGCGGACCGTGATGATTTTTAGTAACAGATAATAAAAAATATAATATAGATTAAATTTAAAACATAGGACCTGTTAACAACTATCCACTCTGCAATGCCAATTCGCCGAATATTGTTCTCTTCAGGCTGTCAAAGTGATTGGGGAGACATTCATTGCCATTTTCAAAGGACTTCGTGACAAGTTAGTACATGGTTTTCGGTGACCAATTTTTCTACCCATGCGAAAATGTTTTGTGTGAAAGTAAACTAAACACATTCTTTTAGTTTCCAACAGGAGATTGCAACAGTCCAAAAGCAATATCCATCGGAACCGTTCAAGTTTCTCGAGCCTCCGTAAGTTTTACCTCTTTATTTTTTTTAGCTTCATCGTGAAATTACCGTAGTTTTGGACAAAATGTGTATACTGTTGAAACGGCTAGGTTTTAAAACTTTTTTGCATTATTTTCTTGTTTACGAAACTGTGCTGAACTCCTTTCTTTCAATAAGAATGTAGCTATGTAACATCTTTCACACATTGTATATGAAGTCTACGAAACATAATTGTTCCAAAGCACGGGCGTGAAAAGTGGAGATATAACACCCCTTGATTTTTTATAGTTTAATACTTGAGTTCAAAGAAGGTGTGAAAATGCTCAGAGAAGCCGGTATTGAAATGGGGGATGAGGAGGATTTGAGGTACAATACACAAATATGAGCCCTTTGGCAATTTCTCTACTGGAAGATGTTGATTGGGGTTACATATGAAATTGCTGCCGGCAACGTATATAACCGTTGGACATTACTTTTGAATATTTTAAATCCTTAAGGCGCCTATCTTGCATTCTTTGTATGATTTGCATTCAGTTCCCCAATACTGTGTGTTAAAATTTCTCTTCTACTCATTGTAGTACTCCTAACGAAAAACTCCTTGGACGACTCGTGCGAGAAAAGTACGACACTGACTTCTATATTCTGGACAAGTATCCTTTGGCCGTCCGCCCATTTTACACCATGCCTGATCCGCATAACAAGGTAGAATCTTTTGCCATTGGAATTTCTTATATCAAATATCAAGTAAATATTAAACGACCAAACAGTTGTAGGGGGCAATAAGGCTTCTTTTTAGTACCGGGTAACCTAGCTGGTACTAATTTCGTAAGTATTTCACTAAGTATGTAGCTATGTATAGGCTACGTATAGTGATGAAGTTCTACAAGACAAAAAAACTGCACTAATTTGCAATGTTTAATAACGAAATTATATGATAATAAACGGTGTCCATAACCGGGAAAAGTCAATGAGGGGTGTTTTTCAAAAGCCAAAAACTATTTCAGGATAATAATAAACAAGATGCCCGCTAGGCATTAACCTCGCGTTGCTTGTGCTAGGCATGGAGCTCTAGGCCATCCGGAGAAGGGAAATGCCTTTGTTAAAACTGAACTCTGATTGGTGGTAGTCCATCTATTATAAGAATAGGCACACAATGTGTGGATGTGTCCGCTCCTTGTGTTAACAAACAGAGAATCATGCAGATAAACAAACAGATAAATGTTTGTGGCCGCAAGTGTAGTCAATTGGATTTTAGAATTGGATGGTTCAGCGTTTCGCTTTCAGCCAGCAAAAACTGTCGCCATCCAAAGCATCCTTTCTGTATTTACTGTTTCAATCGCGATACCGCAATACGTGCATGACTCATGAGGAGCGTCGGCTATTATAGTCATCGACATTCAGTGTTTCAGCATGCCCAGCGGGGATGCGCATAACACTAGGGATCTGAGCCTGGGGATACCCAAAACACGGGTATCACATACAGCTCCCTGGCGAGTCAAAGGATTATCGATAGCACGTTGGCTATCTCCATGCCTTTCTCTTCCATTGCATAAAGCTTCCTGGCATGTCAAGCAATTGTCGACAGCACGTTGACCGTCTCCTCGCCTTTCTGTGTTACATACAGCTACCTGGCGAGTCAAGGGATTGTCGTTGAAAAACAAACGAAGGATAGCCATATTTCTCAAAGAGCTTGTCGAAGTTGCTCGCTATTGATCAGGATTCAGGAATAGAGAAGCAATGAGATTGAAACACAAAAACAGCAGGGCGAGCAGATCATGCGTCGTGGCAATCACGCCACGATCACGCGCTTAATTTCGCATTCAGTTTTCCAAATATGGCGCCGGATCTTGGCCTCAACCAATAAAATTCTCGACACGACAGAAAAATAAACGCTGGGCAAATTAAGACCTCGCTGCGCTACGCACGCGAGGTAAAAATTCCGATTCGGGGTTGGTGGCACTTCTAATACGCCTGACGATGGTAAAAGCAATGGATATTCATGCATGCAATTAATCAATGTTTTTTCCACTTCGTCCAGATGTACAGTAATTCTTACGATATGTTTATGCGTGGTGAAGAGATATTGTCTGGTGCCCAGCGAGTGCATGACCCTGAACTTCTCACGGAGCGAGCAAAACTTCATGGTATAGGTATGTATGCATTATGTTCATAGACAGTTTAACTTGTAGGAACTCTTAGAAAATTGCATTTATATATTATTAAGTAGTTTTGATTCCAGCAGGAGGACACGAGTTCCATTTTTTGCAACCTCCCCGGGTTGGTCGTTTGTTTTCCGCCGTCAACATTTAACTTTGTTTTGAATCTTCAGAACTGGATAAAATCAAGTCTTACATTGATTCCTTCCGTTATGGATGTCCTCCTCATGCTGGTGGTGGCATAGGTAAGTGGCATTAATATAACATTAAAATAGATCCCTCTTTTGCCTCATGAATGGCAACATATTTTACCGCATCGAGAAAAAATTGTCAAATTATACAATGTTGTGAAAAAACTACTGGGATTTCAGCTCTCGACCACGTTTGGTCGCATCGTTTAACAAAAGATAGCCTTCGGTAAATTCCCCAGGTAGAGGGGTAAAAGACCCTTGGTACGAGATAGAGCGAGGTTGTAGTTTTTGCATAAGCCCGTTTTGCACTAGGCGAATTTATTCGCCTAGTGGAGAACAGGCTATACATACGTCTTCAATGATGGGGATATTCAGGCGAAGCAAAGGGCATGTAAACCTTGAACATGCCCCTACTTAGCATGTACATCCAATTTCACACAATCTTTCCATGTTTGGAGCCAGTGTATATTTTTATATTTGATTTTCTTATTGGATAAAAATATTGGGTAGTAAATTTTCACTTCATATATCCCTTTGTGCAGTCTCGCATGGCACACCTTAGATAAAATTAAACCATTTCACAGCTTATTTGTTCGGTCAGCTCCCTAAACGTAAACAGTCTAAGAAACGCTCGTTAATCCAGTAATTTTTCGCATATAAAGCCAGGTTTTCATATGTCGTAATTCATCGATAATGTCTTTCAATAAAATACATACATACAGCTGTATACTTCGTTGATCATCGTGAATCATAATGAATCGTAGCGCATCGCTGATGAAAACTAGGCGTATAATAGTTTGCTTATGTGTTGGTTGACCTTTTTTGATACACACTTTGTTACGATCGCCGAGAAAACACGCGTTTTTATTTCTTAGGTTTGGAACGGGTCGTCATGCTTTACCTCAATCTGGGTAATGTACGCAAATCTTCCATGTTCCCACGTGACCCGAAGCGAATCACTCCTTGAACGTTGTTGAAGTTGAGACAAATATTAAAAGCTTTTATCGACGATAATTATTTATCTCTTGTCCCCTAATATTTTTGTCACGAAAAATCCTTGCCATAACTCATTGGCATGCAAACATATGATCACGTAACCTATTTTAATTAAATTTCACAATGCACTTAGCTGTAATAATTCTTATATGCTGTAAAAGTTTCGAGCAATGTTTAAATTCAAGGCTGTTCATATGATCACATCTTAAGAGGATTAATTTCTCGCAGTTCTACTTTTTTTCTGTTGGAAGAAGTTACCAGCAATGATTTTGCAACATTGTGTAAATTTACAAGATGTGTGAAACCGAATTCTGAGGAAAAAGTCTAACATTGGCCTCTAAACTGCAGATAAAAATTATCGACCTTGGCCCAGTTGTATAAAAGGCTAGTTAACTTCTAATTGTAGTTAAGGACAGAAATGCCCAATCGTTTATTTCTACTTCTATCCTGGCAAGTGGGACCATATGAACAGCCCATTAGTAAACAATAAATTTTCTTTGAATTCTGAAACTGTTTATATTGCTTTGTCTTTTGGAAGAATACGAAGACTTCTTGGACACGAGTGAAGCTTATAGGCCAGTTCACTCGGGCGATTTTTTCTGCGATTTTCCTCCTCTGATAGATATGATCGGATAAGTTACCGGATGACCACGCATATAAGAGCATTTGATATACACCAGGACTTCATAATCTCGCTCTTTTGCATCTATCAAAAGAAGGTAACCGGAAAGAACCTGTGGAGAAACCGGTATTTAGATCTTGTGAGAAGTATCCGTTCGGCTCTGTTAATACCTAAAGGACTGAACCATAGAGAAGGGGATGTTTTAGTACCATAGTTTCATTTATGGAAATTATGTTATATGGTCATCACGTGGATGGATGGTCAAAGTTGTCTATTTCCAGAAAGTCCCACTCAGCGGTTGCAACAATATAAATATGCGCAGATATGGCTTGACTTGATATCAAAGAACTAGTCAGTTGATATCCACCATATAGGTGCCGAATATTTTGTGTCAATGGAAGGAGATTCGTCTGTTTCCCTGACCAAGTTTATTACCACAAATGCATGTAGATATGTTGGGGTGTCTATACACGTTTTGCAAGTTACCAAAGTTGCGGTTAGGATGATTCGTCAGACGTTTTGCAAAGGTATTGTTGCCTTATCAGTGTTCAAAAGATGCAATTGCGCTGTAAACAGCGTTCTATATCAGATATCTGTACCACTGCCCCATGCTAGTTTATATTATCACAGTTAATAGAATATGCACGGTTTAAAGACAAGTAAATAAAAGTACGTATACAACTCATTAACAATGTTTTTGTCCAGGTTTATGCAAAAAATGGTTCCTTCTCGTCACGTGTCTGTTGTATTTTAGCCAAATTTACTAATGGCATTCGTTTTACTAGTTGCTAAGCTCCTCAACCTTTACTTGAAAAATATGTTAATTAGAAGATTGCTATTGGAAATACAATAGACATGTGATGAGAAAGGAACAATTTTTTGCATAAATCACCTACCTTAACATAATGAGTTGTATATTGTTGTATACTATGGTATAGGACTATACTTTCCAAAGCCGATGGCGGTATTTTCGTTTTTATTTGTCAAATACAAATATTTGCCCGACTATTTTTACACATTTAACAGTAACTAGGCCTAGGCTAGGGAGGTTGGCCGTATTAGGTTTAGCGGAAAACATACACCGACACCCCAATACCAACTTCGTGATTTGATAACCTCTTCTTTATATAGTCATTTATAACATTCGATTGTCAATCTCAGCACTTGATTGAAATCGACCGGTGTTTATACATGAAGAATCACGCTGAGTTCGTGGGCGGAAAGCTAATTGTCTCTATCTACATAACATATTTTCCCTATTTTGATTAGATTTTTGTAAATAGGGGATATATTATGTAATGAGCAGTCGAAGATTGAATCGCCCTTCGTAGAGATCGAAGTGCAAACTGCGTCGTAACACATGCGACTCGAAATGGCTGAACCTAAACATATCCTCTCGGAATCAATGTTCAAGGCGTTCCTTGTTATTATTCTGTCGTTGCAAGGTATTTTGTCTGCTCGAACGGTCCGTGTGCGAATAAATGTAACAAGACAAACGAGCGGTGATATACTGCTGTTTGACGAAGATAAAATTGACTGTGTCTCGTTAAATGCTGCATGTAATAACGGAAGAAGTACGAAGCCAAACGAGTGCAAGAGCTGTAAATGTGTGTCGAGGGACACAACCTACGTTTCAACCAAGAACCGGTGTATCAATGCTGACGACACAACGATTCCAAACTGCCAAATATATCGGCAAAGGCAAACACCGGTGTTAAACGGAATCGTCAAGGCCTCGGTCAGTCGCATAATCCGATCGAGTCATTGTGAAATAAGGCAAAAGAATCCGCAGGTTTTTTCAGTTTCTGGAAATACTGGTAGCTGGACAAGGATGAAAAATGTCGATTTCGTTTTGGAAAGCCGTGAAAGAAGGGGTACTCAACGCGTTCGCAACTGGCTCGTGAAATTTCAGACTGCCTCTTTATCCTCAATGCTGTCGAAATATCTGGGCAGAATAGCTAACTTAAGACTTCGCTGTATAATGGGACGAAATGCGAGATTCACTGATCTGTGCATCATTTTCAAAATAGCTGGTTCTGTTATTAGGAATTTCACCGTTGTCGGTAATCGTTCAGATTCCCGCGGTCTCCTAACAACAAACCAAACTATTTTGCATACAACAAACGGTCAAACCACACAGTCACCACACACTACAACAACGGACAGCAGTGCCGGCCAAAAAGATGAGAAGACGGGCGATGGAAAAAATAACCACGTAATATGGATTACAATATCGGTTCTTGTTGTTGTCATAATAGTATTAGTTGCAATAATATGCTTTATTTGTGTCAAAAAAAGGAAAGAAAAGGAGTCGAATGAGGCCGGTTACCGAAGACGGGACGGCGCCGTTCCGCACAATTACGATGTTTCCACGAAGTCGGCATTGCACGATGTCGACGACCATGTTTACGCGACGATTCCGGAGACGCGATCTGTCAATCCATCCACGAGCAGTATTCCTACTGAGTATCAAGAACTGAATGCTATCGATAGAGAAATCAAAACTTCACACTATCAAGCGCTGGTACATCCTGAATTGGACTACATTGACGTCATACCAGACCCTGAACAGGACTACAAGTAAGACTTTGATTGAACAGATTCAAAAGTGTGGACTTCCCTCCAGTCCCTTGTGTGGTCGAGGTCAAATCCTGGAATATGTTTTCAAATCATGATACAAATTAATGAGTGCATAAACTTTATTATTTATTTACAAAGTTGTATATATATAAGCGCTAAACACATAGGAAGCGCACATTATTTTTTTACTTTAATCATGCGGGTAAATACATAATTCCTTACTATTAAATATAAACCAGTTAAAAAACTACGATCACATGAAATATTATCTGTTAAAAGTGACTATTTTTGTGTTAATGAATGATGCACTAATATGGAAATTTTCCGATAATCTAAAAACCGGCAGAGGCTGGTCATAACTCCTAACTACGTTATGAATGTAGTTAAATCGTAGTCAACTCCAAAATACATTATTCAGATTGGCAACTCCTCCACTATGTAACTTCTTTTTTATACAACCGACCCAAAAAAATCGAATCCGGTGCCGGTTGATATTGGCCTATATACGATCATGTAAACAGCCCTTTGTTAGACGATTTTTAATATCTGTATCCTCGATACATGCAGATACCGCAAGTTGTCTATAAAATGGAGTTGTTTATACAAGATTGAAGATTCTGGTTACTAGAGATTAACCAGCCGTATAGTCAAACCATAGTTAATAGAATATACAGGGTGTCTCAAAAAAAACGCAACACTTAAATATGCTAGAATATTAATATTGTTCGGGTTTGCACCATAGTTCAGCTAAGATGACTTTTGGCATTATAAATGAAGGGTTAAGAGCCATTTTCAATTCCCAGAGGTGCTTATCTATTGCGCTTTAGAGCTGTATTAATTTCTTGCATATTTACGTGTGCGGTTTTTTTGAGACACCCTGTACATGGTTTAGAGACTACAGGGTGTCCCAAAAAAAAGTCCCCGCTATTGAAATGAAGCTTTTGTTGGAATTTGAATGCATGATCAACGCAGTAGTGTGTAAATAGCATATTTATTAGGTTGAGGCATTCAAATAAAGCGTCTTGCTTTCAATTGGGTTTATCATAATATTAAGGCAATCAGATTCGAACAAAGGCTTGATTTCAATAGAGGGGACATTTTTTTGGGACACCCTGTACATAAAACTACAATAGAACTCATTAACTATGTCGGGGAACATTTATGCAAAAAATTGTTCCTTATTCGCCACGTGCATCTATTGTATTTTGAACAAATAAACCAATAGTAAGGTCTGAATTAGCATGTTGTTCAAGTCACGGTTGAGGAGCTAAGCTAAGCCATTCTATTGGTTAGTTGGGCAAATACCCAATTGGGTTAGTTGAAAAAATACAATAGAGATGTGACGGATAAGCAACCATTTTTTGCATAAACCTGGACAATAACATAGATAATGAGTTGTATTGTACTTCCATCTAGTCTCCAAACCATGTATATTCTAGTAACTGTGGTCAAACAAACGCTTCGTTTACATCAAAATATGAGAAACTGTCTGTTTTTTTATGAATATACAGAAATATAGACCACGTGTGCTCAGAGAAGTTTGAAACATTCAAAGCTAACGTAGTCATCATTGTTTAGATAAGGGCCTTTGTGCATTGGTCATTCCCTTAGCATTTGTCAATTTCCACTCCACTTATCTACAGCCCCGAACTACATTTTTATTGTACTTCCCTTTTTAAACTTCAACTAACACTATACCCCTATTTATCCATATCTATCGCATATTGATCCGTTTTGCCTTTGTGTCCCGGTTCGTGTTCGGCATTGTGTTTAACGTACTGTACAGATTTAATTAAGGGTTGGTAATGCGAAACCTCTTTTTCTCCTGCATTGCGATTTAACTCTTGGTACATGTTACCATCACATGTAGATGGACTTTCATATTTTTTTTCAGAACATGTCTCATAAATATGATCATTCTGCTCATTGCTGCTTTTTTTACCGTTGTTGCAATTGTCTTGCTTGATTATAGGAATATCGTATTCGTGTAGCTTAACCTCGCTCCTGGGGATTTCTGCATGTGACTGGCCACGCATGCGCATGCTCTTCCGTCTCTTATAGCATACCAAGAAAACCACTGTAAAAAGCAGGAGTATTATAACTGCAACTGTAATATATACAATCCAAATTGTTTCAAAGCTCTTCTCACTTTTTCTTTCCCGGTTTATATCCGTGCTGTCCTTCGATGGTCGATCACTTGTCTCCAATACGACTGGCAATTCATTACTTTTTGTATAATTGATCGTTTTGGGAGTTGTAGAGACCGTTACAGGATTTTTTTCAGAAGAATGCATGACGGTGGTTACGTTTCTTGAATTAGAAATTGTGCCAGCTATTTTGAATAGAAAACAGAAATCTGTGAAAAATGATTCATATTCTTGCTTACAGCCGATTTGCAACTTCACAATTCCACCAGTATACTTTGATAGCATTTTGGAAATCGCACTTTTCGTAAATATCACCTGCCATTTTTGGCTGGGTTTCCGCGAATTCCCCGAACTCTTTAGCGAGAAATCAACGTCCATCATCTTTACCCACGACCAGCTTGATCTGGTTAAGCTGCCAACACTCGAATGTAACTCTGGATGCATTTCTTTTTCCCTGATTCTGCAATGATATGCTTGAATGGATTCGTTGAGGACTTCGGTACGTTGGTTTAACACTGGCATATTTTTACGAAGCGTTCGACAGTGCAAATTTGCAATTCCATTTGCATTGATGCACACTTTTTCGCCTCTATCGTACGTTGTGAAAGTAGGCGAGCATCTACAGCTTTTACACATGTTCCGTTCACTCTTCGGGTAACACTGAGCATTAAACGAAACGCAGTCTTTCTTAACCTGGAACGTCAAAATGTCGCCATCGCTTTGTCTTCTCACAGACAAGGTCGTCGGTCCGTCTGTTTGAACCGAAAACCTGATTTGTGTAGATAAGATTGTAAGCAAAACAGTCTCAAAATATCGCATCGTGTTATTAATATACGAATCCGTCGCGGCCGCGGACGATCAAGATGTTGGTAATGTAGGTACTCTCTAGATCTCTGGCTGCCCTACCGCTCGCTGTCGGTATAAATGTATAATCCTTAAAACTGATGTCAAAAGCGGGTTAACATTTCCTCTTTAATAAACAACCGGTCCATTTACAATAGACCGCAATACAAGTATACATGCGTATTTTACGAACGAAGGCTAATATATATGATAAAGAGAAGCTTGTATGTAAATATTAATATATGATAAAGAGCAGCTTGTATATGTAAATATTAATATATGCAGAATGATTGCTGTAAGTGTGAAACACCCTTCCGCGCAGACTTTGGTTTATTACCGCAATCTACATCGTGTTGTTGGTGGTGGTATAACTATTGTTGTTGCTAGGTTTGGCTATGTTTGCAATATTCCAAAACTCCATCGTGACATGACTTTTTGTACGCTTTCTGGACACTGGTCAAAATTTCAAATCGAGACGAATGCTCACAAATTTCTTGATTCATAAATCAAATGACGTCAATGGTTAAAATCTGTTGTCATAGTATAATTATCTATTCACCCTATAGGCGCAATGGTAGGGTGAGTGTGTTTGCATAGCCATGGGGAGAGCTTTACAAAAATAGGCGCTAGTGTCTAACTAAATGTTATCTAAAGTATGCTGTTGCATGCATGGACACCCTATATATAGCTAGATTGTATGTAGTCTACGATTTAGACGTAATGTATGTAAACCGCCTAGCTTTTCAGGGCGTCTGTGCGCAGGCTAGCTTGTAAGTTGATCGTCTCTATATTTGAACTTGATTTTATCATTGCTCGACACAAGACCAACAAACCAATGCAAGCCCTAACATGCACCGGAAACCCTTAAAAAGAAAGTTTTCATTTAAAATGCACAATACTAGCATTGACCCAAATAGGAGGTTAGCGGAAAGCAAATAATTAACATCTCAAATCTGAAGAAGTGCCTGCATGGATAATTGTGTTATATTATGCATGTTCACTGCTAAAAAAAACTTTTCAAATAGATCATTTTGTATACATTATGTCTGAACGTTTAAAATTTTCCAACTCAAAATTTGCAACAAAGCAACAAAAGATTGTAAATTAAAAGCAATAACCCAATATATCGATATATAAAGAGTATTGGCCATAGACTCCATATTAGGTAACAGTAAACAAATTTTATCAAATTACGGAAATATCCAGAAGGATGTTGTTTAAAGGCCCACACAGACAGGATGCGAATTGGCAACGCGGCGCGAATTTTCAACGTTTTTAATTTTTTAAAATCAAATAAATCTTAAACTATCATAATATTCTTGTAAATTACTTAACAATAAGATATTTTGACTGCTCTAGCGTCCATCGTTTCCAAATTTTGCTTCCAGAATTTAATTTATATGCTTCTGAAAACTCAAAATTCGCGTCGCGTTGCCGCATCTTAACAATGGTCACTGAAGGTTTCCGAAGTGAAAAATAAACTTTGAGACTATAAGTACTATATTCAAACATTCAGCCTCGCTGAGTGTTGGACAAACATTTTTTATCGCTAAAAGCAAGTTTTCAGAAGTAAGTGCATCGGAAGCGGAATATGAACACAAAGGTGTGTTGAATTACATCAATGACTAGTATCGGACCGAGTATTGACAATAGTCATGGCCTCAGGAAGACTTCAAATTAAAATGATACAACCATATGCATGGGTAGTTACCAGTTAACGCAGGCGTATGGGCGTATCTCAGAAAAGAACAACCCGAATTTTTGTGTTATAGATAAATACGTCGGGTAGAACGAATATGTGAATTGCAATTGCGCCTCAGATTGTACAGCACATGACCGCGCATGCGTATGTGACAACACAGTTGTCACGAGTTGTGCCATATCCGATACATCTTAATTATTCAGACGTTGTATTGCTAATGGTATATCATTCAGCTGGTATATATAGTCAGTTAAGTCACAGTGTAAATACTTGAACTCCTTGTACCGCAGAGTTGGTATGTATTTGAATTGTTTTTCAAATCACTCTGATATAATATTATTGATTCAGGCATAGCGAGAAATACGCGATATCTTGTTGTAAGTACGGTTTGTCACATGATTCAGACGTTATTGTATAGTGTCCATGGAATGTACGGTAAATACTCGATTTGCAACATCTGCGTTCTTGTAGAAACTACTAGGGATGCTTTCTCACATTATGAATCCTTTATAACGTTCTGACTGAAATAAATATAATTATAATGATATATTTCGCATCAAGCGAAAGCCTACAAATGGATCATCTCAATGCAATTTGAATTTGACCTCATCATCTGTCATTTTGTTCCATCTTGGCTCATTTCCAAGTTTCTTTACTATTTGCATTTATCTCGTTTATTTTATATCTGCTTACGTATCCATACATGCAGTATTATTAAGTTGATCGTAAAGTACGTTCGTCAACAATACAAAATACGATAATTGTTTTAAGAAACCATGTGACCAAAATGGGCGCTTGCAAACTACAATATCATAGAAATCAGATTAATAATATGCGGCATCTTTCAATATTTCGTCTGCGACTCAGTTTCGTTCGACATATTGCTCTAAAGGAAAGCCATTCAAACAACTAAAAGTTAGTAGATATCTCGTTTTAAAACTTTTAATTCAATCCAAGGTTTCATTTCACGCGTTAATGTTAACTATCATCATTAAAGTATACATGTTTCTACCCAATTCTGAAAGCCGGTTTGAGCCAACAAATTTTAAGTAGCAAGGTCAAGAAAAATTATTATGTTCATGAAAGGATCATTGAAGAAATTAGCTATCTTAGTAGGATGTGAAATTTCATTGAGCTTGTTCGCAAAGGTTTTTAGTTAGATTTTTGCCTAAATGCATGCAGAATAAGGATAGCGTGGATCACTAAGGATATTCTAGCTCACAGCTGGAAGTATTCCATGAATTTATTAACAAGTAACAACGCAAGACAAACAGAGTGTAAGAGAATTGATTTCCTCTTTACCTGAAAGAACCACAAACGAAAATAATATTTTCGTGCTTCCGTTTACGTTTTACTCTCACGAGCTATAAATACAAAACATTGGTCTTCAACACATGCATGAAAAAGAATTTTTAACTTTGACAAATAAGTGTAAAAATAAGCCGTAATACTTGAACGAGGCTACCAGGCCACCACCGGGAGCCTCGTTCTCGAGTAATTTTAATCTCTGTTGGTATTTTCTCTTCTCTCCGTTCTCATGTTCCTTGAAAATGACCTGGGTTGGCCGGCCTTGGTTACATTTGGAGTTTACATGCATCACTCGTACGTGAAAAAATGCGTTATAGCTCCACTAACCAAAAACCGTCCACCTTCATGTCCAATCTCGCTTGACTTCGGAACTTATCACGTATGATGGCCGATCTCAGGTGAAATCTCTTGCTGTCAAGGGGTTGAAGATGAGGCTCAATTTCCACATTCTTACACACTTTACTAAGTTGTGTTTGCTGCTTGCAATAAAGGCATGATGAATCGTTTTTAAAGTTATACTGAAACAGATCAGTTCTGAACGTTTTGCATGTAATGTCCAATCAATAATTATGTACACTTTAGGTCAGTGGATAATGTTTGTATAATATATACTGTAGCTATATAGACAATTTATTTTAACTTATATACTAATTAAACCTTACTGTACACCAACCACCCCAAAGGCTATTTCACTTCAAGTGCAACGTGTTCGCTGGTAAAAAAGGGGATAAATCTAGCAGTTTTATTCGGATGAAAAAAGGATTCAGTTATAATGTCGGGATATATTTAGACTTTTCATTAATCGTCCATTTGGCAATCCCCTCCTACATGGAACCAAAGGCAGTACGCCCTGGACTAAATCCATGTTGGTATTTTACAACTGATGTACTTGGTCAATGCATGTTTTTAAAAAAACTATAAATAACCGAAAGAAGGATGTTTTTCACTTTTATACACGCACTCAATTTAAACGTCACACAATAATATTTTAGAATGTCATTGGCGGAGTTCAATGATGACTGCGAAAATATTCGTGCTGATCATGATGATTGCGTGCAGTAACTTGTCCGAAGCAATTTCAGTATTTTCTCGAAGCGATAATGTTGAATCCATCGCAGATGGAAATCCAGCAAACAACTCATCGACAAACTGCAGTCTGAAGATCGATTATCAAAACTTCATTGCAGCATCCCTGAAGGACGTATTTCAGAACAGTAAGAATGGAATCAGATTGAATGTTAGGATGGAATCGTTCAAGAATAAAACAAACTTAACTGATGTGCTACCAGGATTAACTTGGGCGAACAAAATTGGTCGCACGTTAATTTCATTAATCACCGCAGCCGAAAACAATATTATTTCATCGTTTAAACCAATATTTTTTTCATCTTTCTACACAAGTACATTAGATGTCGGGCTCGAAACCTTGGATATTGTAGTCGCCGAAATGACGGAAGGATGCCTGTCGCTTTCAGGAAAAAATGTCTCTGACCTTCTTTTCAGTTTTCTTCTGCACCAACTGTACCCTCATGACCGCGTCTATGACTATCATTATGATTACGAATTGTGTGTTTGGAACAAAGAAACGTACTTTAATTGTTGTAGATTACTGGATCAGGCGATAAACTGTTCGGACTTTTCGTCGAAAATTTCGTTGACATCTTTCGATGCGTTTCTGCTTTTTGCACTTTTTTTCGTTTTCATTATGATGTATTTTCCTGTCATAATCGGGTATTTACGATGCTTCCCAAAGGAACGCACGACATACAAGGTTTCTGACAGCCCAATGTCACTTTCATCTATTATTCACATGATATTTATTGATGGTCATGGCCCAGTAAAGTCTTTTGGAAGGAAATTGGTGGTTTTAACATTCATTCTTCTAACAACGTGGCTTAATTACTCTAATTGGGGTTTTTTTATTCTTGTAAATATCTTGTGCCTACTATCTTTTCTGTATTTTGATGTATACCAATTAAACAAAGAAGTTGGTGAATCTCAAACTCATGCCCTCAATCCCGGGATGAAGTCCCTTTTAGCCGGAAGTTCAATAAGGATCATTGCTTTACCTTTTAACCTCAAATTTTGGCGAAATGAAGCGAGGAGGAGGCCGTTTCTCCGTAGGCACTTCCGTCTAAGCCTTGCTTCTACTTTGATGAGTGAACAATCGACGGCCAATGCTCGAGTTAACGAGCGCACTAGATTATTATCGCCGGTTGTGGAATCCCAAGACCAAACAAGAAGTTTACCAAATCAAATTCTTAGACATATCGATGTGTTCAAATATTGTTTATCAATTTTTATTTTACTAATCCTGTATCTGCTAATTGCTCCTTCACTTTCTTGTTTTGTTGTTGTAGCAATTTTGTTTTCGAGATTTTTGAATCATTTTTCTTTTTTCGTTCCTCAACATCATGATTGCTATTCCGTAATGCGATCTCTGCTTATCAATTTCACACAAAGCTTTAGCTGTGCCTTGGTATTCACTCAAACTTCTATATCTCTTCTTAATTGTTTCATTCTTTCGTTCTACTTGATCGCCGGTTTATACCTAAACGCGGGACATTACAGTACATACTTCGTTCCCTTCACCCTCGTCTTTGCTTATTCGTGGAGCAATTGGAAGTCTTCCGTTGAAACGAAATATCTTGAATTAAATACAAATATTTACAAATTTAGCAAGGAAAATTCCATCCTGGTTTCGGATACCCGCCCTGAAATAGGTCTACATTCCAGTGATAATGACAGTTCTCAAACAAGTATGTCGTCCGATACCCGCCCCGAAATACATTCCAGTGATAATGACAGTTCTCAAACAAGTACGTCAGATTTTACTCCACGTTATGTGATCAATTTGGACAAAAACGGTGAACCCTTCATTCCTAAGCCGCTATATGATATTGTGCGAGAAACGCTTCTGCCTTACGACGAAATTTTGTTCCCTTTTTTCGTAAAGGTGCTCTTGGTTGTATTATTCGCTTATTATTTGTTTCTTTTTCTGTCATTGTCCCAAAGTTCTGGCGTGACGAGCAATGCTAAAATCCTTACCACGATGGTTGCCACTTCAATACCGTTTCTTTTCGATGTGATTTGGGCAAAGAGCAGCGACGCACAAAAAACAGCCAATGACCTGGCCTTGGAATCGAAACTTAAGTGCATTTTGAAGGTTTGTGCTGTAAATAAGGAGACGGAAGAAATACAAGTGGAATTTATTGGTGATCCACCGACTGATCCAATGGGTTACCCGACGTCTTAATGGATACATCTGGCTTCATTTTCATGGCTTCCTTCCCTCTTGGTCGCAGGGGGGGTGGTGGGAGTGGGGGTCGAACGGAAAGCGAAAAGAACTGCATCTTCCTAACAGACAAAATTAAAAAAAAAATGGATACAGTAGAACCTCTTTATCTCTAGGTAGTGTTGATCGTGAATTCCAGGGTGGCACATTTAATTTAGAGCTGTGAACTGTTTAGGACCTGTTCATATGAGACGGGCCAGCCAAGGTCTCAAAAACAGCCCGAGGCCAAAGGCCGAGGGACGTTTTTGAGTCCGAGGGAATATTTTCCTATACGGACTGACTAAACTGGTAAATAATAGATTTTTTTGTGGTCCAAATTCATATTTTAGCGTTGGCTCTGTGCTTTTAAAATCTCGCCCCGTCCGTACGGCCTTATACGGACCGCTCGCGTAGCCAATCAGATTGCAAGAAACGCAAAAATATGAATTTGGACCGCAAGAAAAAAATAATAAAATGCCATACGGAAATGTTGATATCTTTATGTTAGGTGAGAGATAGTAAAATTGAACTGTTACAAGTGTTGTAGATTAATTAAGATTTAAGAACGTGATTGTATATTGAACCGATTATTATAGTAGGTCTATATATGATAAGATATTTGATTAAAGGTAATTATGGACCTATGGTATAGCGTTGAACTCCGTTAGGAGTTATTATTGTAGGGAAAGTGTTAAGGGTGCATGGCGCACGAACTCAGTGCAATTAAAAAACTGTAAATGATACACAAGTTACGAGCATTTAAACTAAATTGCTTTTTCTGTTACATTACATAGGGCCCTATACATGTTGCAGTGATATACTGAATAAATACTGAACTGTAAGAATTATACTTAGAGTTTCTAGAGAAATTATGACTTGTTTCGATTTGTTTATGTACCATTATGTACTAAACTATTATTAGTAGTATTTTTATTATTATTGTATTACTGTTATTATATGATGTGCTATGAGTGCTTTGGGATTCTTGCATGGATTCGGTGATTTAGTGCATCGTTATCCGGGTACTTATAATTTAAGGTAACGCTAATGCTGATCCGATGATGATTGACTAATGCTGATCCACTTCTGGGGCCAGTTGTTTCAAGCTGGCTTGAAAGGTTAGCTGCATGGTTAGCGCTAACCGTGGGTTAAATTTTAAGCAAGTGTTTTAGTTTATGTGCTTCTGAACCACTGTTCGTTTTTAAAACTCGGTCCAGAAAATATTTATGAAAAAAATTTAAAAATCAATGTGAATTATTAATGTGACCAATCGTCTGTGAACACTTACAATGCTCTTTAAGCAACAAAGTTAGCAGCTATCTTTTTAAATTAATCCACACACTCCACTTCATCACTTTCCAATATTACCCAGACTTCTATCACCCAAGGTCTATACACTTTATGTTGGTATTGAATAATCTATAATTAAAGGTTTTTATTGTAAAAGAACGTTCTTTAACATTAGAAGGAGTAGATATTTAGATTTCCGTATAGCAATAATCGTGTACTGAGAACTGAAAAAATAATTGTCTTATTAAATGAAAAATTTCACATGGAATCTGGTTCACAATAGATTGAGGGGTGGTACCAACGGGGGGGGGGGATTTGGGAGCATGTAGCATCCCCGAAGTTTATCCTAACACGGACTCAACTGATCAACATTTCTGACTAACAATGATTATATTTTAGAATGTCATTGGCGGAGTTCAATGATGACTGCCAAAATATTTGTGCTGGTGGTGATTGCGTTCAGTAACTTGTCCGAAGCAATTTCAGAAAACCGAAGTTTTCCAGTATTTTCTCGAAGCGATAATGTTGAATCCACAGTATTTGGAAATCCAGCAAACAACTCATCGACAAACTGCCGCCTGAAGATCAATTATCAAAAATTCATCGCGGCATCCCTGAAGGACGTATTTCAGAACAGTAAGAATGGAATTAGATTGAATGTTAGGATGGAATCGTTCAATAATAAGACACATTTATCTGATGTGCTACCAGGATTGACTTGGGCGAACGAAATTGGTCGTACTGTGATCTCATTAATTGCAGAGGCCGAGTCTTTTCAGCCGATGTTCTTCTCTTCCTACACAAGTACATTAAATGTTGGGCTCGAAACCATGAATATTGTTGTTACCGAAATGACGGAAGGATGCCTATTGTTTTCAGGAAAGAATGTCTCTGACCTTGTTTTCAGTTTTCTTCTCCACCAACTGTACCCTCATGACCGCGTCTATGACTATCATTTTGATTACAAATTGTGTGTTTGGAACAACGAAGCGTCGTACTATAATTGTTGCAGATTACTGGATCAGGCGATCACCTGTTCGGACTTTTTGTCGAACGTGTCGTTCACTAAGTCTTTTTCCGATTTCTTTATGGATTCGTTTGCTACAGTGGTTTTCCTGTTCATAATTTCTCTTGTAATGATCGGGTATTTGGGCTCCTTCCCAAAGGAACGCACAACATACAACGTTTCTGATAGTCCAATGTCAATTTCATCTATTATTCACATGTTATTTATTGATGGCCATGGCCCAGTAAAGTCTTTTGTAAGAAAACTGATCTTTTTACTGTTAATTTTTCTAACAATGTTGCTTACTGGATGGAATTCAAATTCTTTACCTCATTTTTTAATGTTGGCAGTACCTGTTCTGGTTTTTGACGCATTCGACTCCAATAAAAAGTCTGTAATTTTTAATCGTAATCCCAGGATGAGATCTCTTGAAACCGGAAGTTCAATAAGAGCCTTTGCTTTACCTTTCAACCTCAAATTTTGGCAAAATGAAGCAAAGAGGATCCCATTTCTCCAGAGACACTTTAAACACAGCCTTGATTTTACTTCAACGGATCAACAATCGGCAAACAATGCTCAAGTTAACGAGCGCACTGGATTATCATCGCGGGAAATGGAGTCCCAAGACCAAACGAGAATTGGTAAAAATCAATTTATCAGAGTAATCAGACGTACTATAGATGTTTTCAAATATCGTTTATCAATTCTTTTTTTACTAATTCTATATCTGTTTATTGCTCTTCCAATTTCTTGTTATGTTGTTTTAAGAACTATGATTACAAAATTTGGAGAGTTTAAGCCTATTCGCTATCTTTTTTCCTTATTATCACTACATAGACTCACAACTTCATCCTCATTACACGGAGTGGAAAACAGCGAATTACGGTTGATTATCTTGTCGTGCGTACACATTTCTGGCATTGCATTGATATATGTTGTAATTTTATTTTATTTTGTCAATTTTCTCAGTCTTTCGTTCTACCTGACCGCCGGTTTATACCTAAACGCAGGACATTACAGTACGTACTTTATTCCTCTCACTGTTGTCTTGGTTTATTCGTGGAACAATTGGAGATCTTCCGTTGAAGCGAAATACCTTGAATTAAATACAAATATCTACAAATTCAGCAAGGAAAATTCCATTCTGGTTTCGGATACCCGCCCTGAAATAAGTCTACATTCCAGTGATAATGACAGTTCTCAAGCAAGTATGTCGCGTGATTTTACTCGACGTTTCGTGATCAATTTGGACAAAAACGGTGAACCCCTCATTCCTAAGCCGCTATATGATATTGTGCGAGAAACGCTTCTGCCTTACGACGAAATTTTGTTCCCTTTTTTCGTAAAGGTGTTCTTGGTTGTAACATTCGCTTATTATTTGTTTCTTTTTCTGTCATTGTATCAAAGTTCTGGCGTGACGAGCAATGCTAAAATCCTTACCACGATGGTTGCCACTTCAATACCGTTTCTTTTCGATGTGATTTGGGCAAAGAACAGCGACGCACAAAAAACAGCCAATGACCTGGCCTTGGAATCGAAACTTAAGTGCATTTTGAAGGTTTGTGCTGTAAATAAGGAGACGGAAGAAATACAAGTTGAATTTATTGGTGATCCACCGACTGATCCAATGGGTTACCCGACGTCTTAATGAATACATCTGAAACAATAGTGAGACACATAAACAATAATTTTTGTTCAAAAAATAATATAGATTCATTTGTATTCTCTCTTTGGGGCATACTAATTGTAAGTTTTCTAGACCCCTTGCCAGTACAGCTTGGCAGGGGGCAGGGCTATATACGACGTAACCGTCTAATTCATTTTTGGGAATCTATTATTTCACTGATCCCACTCGATCATTATCTCTTTTTATTGGATGGCAACATTGTCGATCAATGATTTTTAGTGGAATTCTCAAAGATTTCACTGTCGCGTTTTTTGCACGTACGTACACGCACGTAAAAGCCTGAACCTTCCAAATTGTCGTTTGAATAATTTCAGTATGCCAGAAAAAAAGCATACCGTATCACCAACAGAATCCAACCTTATGCATCGATTAAATCGTTGACTTCATATGTATCATTTAAATGATTTTAAACTTTTACGTGCGTGTAAAATCAGCTCTTAAAGGCTGTTTTCCACTTACGCGTTTTTCATACGCACGTACACAAAGCCTAAATCCTTATACATGTTACCTTTGAAAAAACTAAGTGAATAAATCAAAGGAACATAGTTTTCTGCATATTTTATTATGCATTATTTGATCTAGATGTTAAATAATAAAAATTTTAAAGGAATTAAAATTTCCGTACGTGTACGTGCGTATAAAAAACGCGTACGTTGAACCAGCCTTTAGACTAAATATTAGAAACAGGCTTAGTCTTAGGAATGAAAAAGTGTAAAATCGAGTTGATGCAAGTATTTCAAACTGATTAAGAACGCCTCCATTTAGTTGTTGATTGATAGATACGATTGTCGATTTATAATATTTACGATTAGCTAGTGAATTAAAATTACTAGGAGTTTTTAGTTGCAAGGAAAGTAACGTTTAAACTTCGTACAATTTACTCTATAGAGCACAATTGATTAATATTAAAATTTTTGATGATAAAATTTTCCAACTATTCTCCAGTTTGCGACGCTACAGAAGCGCTCTTTTACGAAACTACCCCCCCCCCCCCCCCCTTGGTGTCGCTAC